AGAAATTGATCTCTTCTTACCAGTTACCGGAGCCCACCACGGTGACCTTGTGCTTGCGCTGATAAGGAGCGATAGAACCCATGGTGTGTGTAGAAGAGACAATTGATCTGCGGGAAAGTGGTCCGGAGAAGGTGGGTTTAAAAGGTAAAGGAGAAGTCGGCGGGGGCAAACGGGGTGGAATAATGAATCGGGTCTGGAACCCGGTGGCTGACCGAGGTCGAGATACGGTGATAGAGGTGAAAGGAACGTAGATCCGACGTAGATTGAGACGTATATCCATAAAAGTTATCGTGTCGGGTCCCCAATAAATTTCAGCCTTTTCGGGATTGCCTTCTGATCACGTCTGATGTCACCGGAAAGCCGTCGAAATTCGGAGAGGCAATTTAGCGCACGATAACTTGATAACGTCAGTCACGGTCTTTTTGTTTTATCTTTTTTCTCTCTTTTCGTTGTGCCCTTGACACATACATGGACTAATTGTGTGGAAGAGCCAAACAGCGTTGAGTTCCTGAAAAAAAACAGTGGGGAGAGTGGATGCAGGCGGTGAACAATTGGAGACGGGGTTTCGCTTTTCCCGTAGCAATTTCGTCTCTCTGTTGCTCCCCGCTGTAGATCTCACATGCGAACATGGTAAGCTGCATTATTACATATCTTGTTTCCACTTTCAGCCGGTTAATTATCGTTCTACCTTTACAGGCCCCAATCCGCAAGACAATGACGAAATCTGCCCCGGGTAGAGGCGCGATAGCCAAACCCAGTGTCTTTGGTGACGAATTTCGCACGAGCAAGAGAGATAAGCGTCAGATCAAGCATGCTGCCCTCGTGTCGAAGATTGAGAAAAATTCTCAGAAGACTCCTAAGCGTCGACGAGCATCAAAAAAACTTGTCACCAACCTCGAATCTTTAGCCGATGCCTTGCCCGAGGCTGAAGAATCCAACGATGCCGCCAGTCAAGTGAATGTCATCAAGCAGAAGACCCTGAGACACAAGCCAGGTGCCTTGAAGCGCCGGGAGAAACTGGAGAAACTGGAGCGAGACCGCTTCAACAAGAACCTGGTTGAGATGTCCAACATCACATCAGCCCCGGCTGCCAACAATGGCGAGGCGAGCAACGAGTCGAACCCGACGGCCGGTCGGTGGTCAGCCCTCCGTAACTTCATCTCACAGACGATGGAACAGCAGCCTGTGTTCAAGACGAATAAATAAGGTGCCCGGGCAAAAATAAAAAATTCCTCGGTCAGTGACCGAGCCACCGCCGTGGTTGCTGTTAGCCGTAATATCTGTCTAACAAGTGAACTCCGGCAATGACGTGGAATGAGTACCCAAAGCTCTTCCTAAAAGTTGAGTCTAGGCGAATACACTGAGTCTACTGCGCTCAAACAAGACATGATCGAACCACTTGCTTCCATTCGATCTGAACCGTGAAATCCAGACCCGGTTCTAAGCAGGTCTTGACGTTCAAATATTCCTATATCTCTAGGGGATAAAACGCCTTCTGGGACCACAGACGCCATCGAGCAACCTTCGACATTAGAGACCAAATAACCAAATACCCATCATTGTCATGAAAGAGCTTCATCTATCTCATGAGACTATTTTAAATATCTTCACACGTAAGAAAGAATAGGGGATGTATTCCGTGGGACCGCCAATGGCTATGGAGTATTCGTGCGCACAAATACTCAGCCATGACTTTATTCAAGAGCTCGCACGAGAACTGGAGTTTGATCAGGGTGCTTACCGGCATACGGCAAACCTCAACAATGGTAATGATGTTGACATCTCCGTAGATAGAAGCACCAAGTGCCGGCACCCTCCGCCTACGCTGTCTCATGGGCCCTACCGGTGAGACATTGTGGTCGTGAGGGTTGGGGAGAGGAAGAAGAAAGAAGAAGAGAAGAGGAAGAAAGGTGGGAGGGGTCTTTTATACCCCCAACAACACACGTACCTTCTCAAAACGGACACTTGCCCTTTGCCCTTGCCCTCCCTACACAGGGCTACTTAGGCAGTCAGTATTGTTGTCTGCATAGCAGAGCTCTACGGTGAGACAATGCTATCAATACGCAAAGGTGATATTCATCGAGGAGACAGAGCTGAATTTGCAACAGCTCAAATATTGAAAGATAAGTTTCTAGCCAGCTTATTTTCTTAAGCACATATTTCCGCATAATTCCAATCCTCGCTGCTCAACACCCCCAGGAGATGAATAGTACGTTTCCTCAGATCCCATACCTGCTTGGACATGTAGAGACGGGGATTGTTATCCGCTCAAAATGACTTGTGAGACTCAGGCTCCTACGCATTTGATTACTGAGATAATTGTAACTTCCCGTCGCCCTCAACTGATCGAAACAGGGATTCGACAACTGCGAGAATGATGGATTTAGATGCGCTGTATTTGAGGGTTGTCATGACTCGTATTTTAGGCCTCGAGCACCGAAATATAACTCTCGATTGTCCCTGGTTTATCACCGACATACTATACGGAGTAAACATCCTTCTATTGCAGTTCAATTTATCCGTGAATAGCCGGCCTGTTCATCGGCCCGATGACTCATCAGATAAGATCACCCCGGGGCCTGCGGGGGAGCTATCCGGTATCTGATCCATTGCTCTCCAATCCTCCCGAGGTCCTTCCTTTGCTTCGTGATCCAAGGGCTCTCTATCCGTCTATCATAATCTCTCTGTGATCTACTGGCGTCCAGCAATGCTGTGGCGGCATTTACAGCGTCGCCTGCCGGCCGCCTTGGCTTGTCGTGACATTGCCCGGTATCGGCTTCCTCAATCATACAGCTGGTCAACACGCAAACTGTCCAGCTCCTCCACCACATTTCCGACGTTGTCTCAATTCAACCGGTCAGAATTTACATCCCAGCCATTTACTGGTAGCTATGAAACTGGAGTCCCTACTCCCGGACCATTAGGATCAACCCCGGCCTTTGGCGCCCCCCCGCATCACACCGAAGGTCTTAAAGCAATATCTCGATCAATATGTCGTCGGTCAGGATCGCGCGAAGAAAGTGCTCAGTGTCGCCGTGTACAATCACTACCAGCGCGTGCAAGAGTTGGTGCGCCGTGAGGAAGAAGCAGCCGAGGCTCTCGTGAAGCGTCAGCGGAGGGAAGCACTCGAGACTCATCACTTAGACGGTATATCATCTATTGATTTTTGATGTTGCCGCTTGTTTTCTAATTTATTTTTCGGTACAACAGATGATATTACAGGTGTGCAGAAGACTACCAGCATACCTCAAAACCCCAGATCCCGCCCAAACACCCCCTTAGAACAAGCAGATTTCGCCGACACGTCGCCGCTACAGCTTGAAAAGTCCAATATTTTGTTACTTGGTCCGTCTGGTGTAGGAAAGACACTTATGGCAAAGACCCTTGCTCGGGTGCTGTCTGTGCCTTTCAGTATTTCCGACTGCACTGTGTTCACCCAGGCCGGTTACATTGGAGAAGACGCTGAAGTGTGTGTTCACCGACTTTTGGCAGCTGCGGACTACAACGTGGAGCAGGCAGAACGTGGAATCATTGTCCTGGACGAGGTAGACAAGATTGCAGCCGCGAAGGTTAGTCATGGCAAAGATGTCGGCGGTGAAGGTGTACAACAAGCGCTCCTGAAGATCATTGAAGGCACAACCGTGCAGGTCCAGGCTAAGCCAGAGAAGAACCCCCGCGCAACTAGTGCCCCGAATAGCTATCCCTCCAACAGTCCCTTGGGGAATGGGTCATTTCAACCCAACAACCCCAACCCGGCCGGCAAGGGAGAAGTGTACAATGTGCGCACGGACAACATTTTGTTCGTGTTCTCTGGTGCCTTCGTCGGACTGCACAAAGCTATCATGGATCGAATATCCCGTGGATCCATAGGCTTCGGTCAGCCCGTTCGGCCCACGTCAAACACCGGTGATTTCCCTGGTTCACCAAATATCTCTACCAACCAGCCACTTCCAATCCTTCCAGGGTCTGAGGAAGAAGCGCTGTATAAGAAGCATCTCCCTTTCTTCTCCTCTGCGTCGCCAGCTGGTTCTGGCGCCGAGCCAACCTATTTCAACGCACTCGACCTATTAACACCCTCAGATCTGCAAAGCTACGGCTTCATCCCAGAGTTGATCGGCAGGATTCCTGTCACCGCCGCTCTCTCTGCCCTCTCTCAACCCTTACTTATGCGCATCCTAACCGAACCCCGCAACTCCCTTCTAGCCCAATACACGACCCTATTCTCCCTCTCGGGTATCGAGCTGCGCTTCACCACACCGGCACTCCACAAAGTCGCCGGTAATGCCTTCACAATGGGCACCGGCGCACGCGCGCTGCGAACTGAGATGGAGACCATTCTAAGTGACGCCATGTTCGAAGCGCCCGGCTCGAGTGTGAAATTCGTTCTCGTGACCGAGGCTGTAGCCGACCGCAAGGAACAGCCCATCTACCTTGCCCGTGGACAGGGTGGACGTTTTCATGCTATGATTTCTGCCGAGGAAAGCCAGTGGGAAGCAAAAACTCGCAGGGAAAAGAAAGACCAGGATCAAAAGAGTAAAAGGCAAGATGATGCGGATGGCTCCAATGGGTTGAACTTCCAGGAATACCAGAATCGAGCGACTGGTTAAGTGTAAATAAATGGTATGCTTTCATTTCTCGTCTCATTCCCGGTGTCTACCTATATCTTTCCGGGTGTTTTCTTCTCATCCCAGTTACATTCGCGGCAATTAGCGTGCAGGTTAGCAAAACTATCCTTTTGAAAACCACGAACGTTCGTATGATAGGTCTTCCATGACTGATCAAGCATTAAGTCTCAATTTTGAATGCAGTTGGACAAAACTAGTATGCATTGCTACAAGCTACCTAGGTAGACTCTCACAGATAGTGACTAAACCAATTTCGATTCATTTCACATAATACATACAAGAACAGATCGACCGGGGTATCATAAAAGATTATGCAAAAAGGAGAACATGCGTATGTGCGCGTAACCTGCTCTGGCCGGAACTTCGCAAGGATCACTACTTGTAGGGAGCAGGGTACTTGTTCGTGCCGTTACCATTTGGACTGCCTGTGAAGGTAGACTGGACAGAGGCGTTGGAGTTGTAAGATGCCCAATTAGGCGTCTGGGGTGTGGTCGCGGTCATCGGGGTGGTTGCTTGGCTAGTAGAAGACTGTAGCTTGGTACCACCTGACAGGTAGCCCATAAGGCCTGCTGAGTCTATTTTGAACCGTTTGAAGAAATGGGGCGAAACCACCTCGCATGACAGTCATATGGCCCCATTTGTCCCACCGTTGCCCGGTAGAAATACCCAGAGATGTGACAGCGATGAAGTTTCGGAAGCGTGGGATGTTTATCAGTGACCATCCGGCGAAGAATTCGACGAGATGATCTGCATAGCGTTCAACTTTGTCCTTGATCTTGAGTTCGTGGTGCTCGGTGCGAGTACCGTATTCATTAAGGGAGGGTGCAATGACGTTGCTTTTTGAGTTAAGGTGTAGACTAGCTTCATCGAACAAGCCGGTGCGAGCGTCCGTGGCGTTGTTCTTAATGATCAACGTGTGGATGAGCAGCAGGCTACAGTTAGGTTTGTTAACAGCTTGAGCCAAATAGCGGTAAAGGGGTACGACATACAGTTCATGATCTTGCGAGTGCTTCTTATCACTGAGTCTCCTTTCGATCCACTCAAGTATCCCAGGGGGGAGCATCAGCGTCCAAGACCTGCGTTTGTACTTGTTTATATTCCGAATCCATTGGAGAGTGACCGCCACCCCCTTTAGGTCTGTTAACATATCTTCGGTGAGAAGTATGACACCGCCATATGGAAAGATGCATAGGCCGTGGTCACCAGGTGAACAATAACGGGGATCAACTAATTCCAGTGGTCTTTGAATGCGAACAATCCAGAAATTGAACGAGTTGGTAGGAAGCACAGAATTGAGTGGAGGCTGCAACGTATCGTATCCGGCGAATGATTCGTGAAACTGCTCTTAATTAGTTGTTTGACAATTGTGAACGTGTAAATATCGGTCACATACTATGGCCACGCCCTGTCTGCTGCTGTGCACAAATCTTGCCCAACCTTCGGGGCTGTCGCTTGTGAAAATGATCTTGTCATAGTATTTCAAAAGTGCCTGCAGAAGCTCCAGGTCCGTTTCCACTTCCTCATTGCCTCGGGGAAAGTGCAAATAGAACATATGTGCCTTCGATAGTTTCCCGCCTTCCTCGATTGTCGCAAGTTCTTCCACGCTGATTTTGTGGGCTTTCATGTACTCGTCAAGCGCCTGAGTTGCTGCTTGAGCCGCTTGACTCGCAAGGTTATCTTGGGGTTGGGGGTTAGCGCAAATTGAATTATCTTTGTGTTGATTTGCAGGCAGAAGGATTTGGGCCGGTGCTGAGGCCAGCGTCTCTCGCGATTGCAAGGATCCACTCATTCTAGTATCATGGTGAAAGTTCGACCGTCTTGCGGGACTGCCAGACCCTAGGCCGTCACTTGTACTAGGGGGGCTCCACGCGCAGTGAAAGCGATGTATTTGGCAAAAGGCCATGCGGTCGTTCACTAGGCTGGCTAGGTCCACTTGCCGCTAGAGCTATAACTGGGGCGAGCATACTGCGAGCAGCAACGAGTAGAGGAACTCCGGATGGCACTTCATCATTAGGATGTGGAAACTTGAATTCCTGTGATCCACGTGACCAAGCAAGCCAGACAACTTGAGGTCCCTTTCTTTGCTCCGTAGGATAGTGAATGGCGATAAGGTCGTCCTTTCGCAGGTCCTCTGCTAGATGAAAGAGGCTTTCGTTGGTGTCGCTGAAGCCCTCGACCCAGCCGGTACACCGTACAGAATTTATCTCCTATGACCAATGTTAGCATTATATGAGAGACGAATCTACGGATCTGATACTGACACTGGATTCACACAACCTTTCGTACTCTCTGACTGTGCATAGGTGCTTAAACCAAAGCTCGACTTGGTGAGTTTTTCGGTTCTTAGCCAACATCAGACATTGCCGAACATCCGGACGGATGCCGCATAGTCTGAAAGCACCGAGGGGTCTCTTGTTGGGTCCGATGAACATGTGGACAAGAATCTCTCCCAAGGCTTTGTTGCACCAGTAATCACCAATGTTGACGCAACCGCGCGCCCGGCCACTACGAACCGGCATTCTTGCAATTTGGGCCGCCATGGAAAGACTGGGTTGAGCAGGTGGTCCAGCCCTGGGTCTGGTGGGAACAAATGCTTGAGCATTGGATGGGTTTCCGTTCAACCCGATTGAGTTTGAAGCTCTTGACGCAAGCGGATAATGACTCGGCGACGGGCTACGAGGCACGTAAGAATCACCCATATCACGGCGAGAAGACCTTGACGGTCGACTGGGGGACGGTGATCGTGACTTTCGGGAGGGTGGTGACCGTCGGGGTGGCGACGACCGCCGAGGCGGCGATGACCATCGAGATGGCGATGGCCGACGAGAAGGTGGTGAGCGTGACCTTCGGGAGGACGGTGACCGACGAGAGGGTGGTGAGCGTCGGGATGGAGATGGCCGCCGAGGTGGTGATGACCATCGAGATGGCGACGGCCGACGTGAGAGCTCTGACGGTCGGTAGGTATCAACCCCAACTGTCTTGTAGGTTGGCTCCGGTCTATAGGTGTCATAGCCTCGGACTGTCTCGCGGCTGTCCTGCGAGCCTCGATTCTCAGTAGGCCTCTCGAGATTGGCCATTGCACGGGGCTTAGTTGGAATGGCTGGTGGGGGAGCAGTAATGGAATCCGAGAGACCAGCAGGTTTCTTTGAAGTAGCCTCAGCACGGGCTCCCGGAAGAACAGCCGGGGGGAAGACTGTGCGAGTAGAGGCCGAAGGACCGGTAGGTGTGTTGGTATTGGCCTGCAATGGGGGACGGGGAGCTGATGACGGCGGAGTAAAGGCAGAGGTTGATCGCCCAGGATTTGTCAAGGGAGCCTCACCTCGCGGGGAGAAAGTAGAGACAGTAGGATCTACACAATCGACCGGCTGGGTGAGGTTGGTCTGTGGAAGGGGCTTTGATTGGGTAGCTGACGAGGAAATAGAGATAGTTGGGCTTAATTTCGAAGAGTGAGACTCTGGAGGAGCCATGACGGATGAGGGCGCGAGAACGGCAGGCTTCTGTGGCTGTGTCGTAGCTTTATCGTTTGCTTGACCAGCTTTTAGTGGACCGGTCAAGCTGACTGAGTTCTCAGAAGCAGGTTGGTTTGCGGCTTTCGGGGATTTGGGACTTGTCACAGATGGGCCAACGACTGTGGTGGTGGCGCCTATGTTCGTCCTTGGTGGGAATTCAGAAGGTTTCATCAGCTCCATCTGTGACAAATCCGGTGCTCGTTCGCTCCATTTATTTTCACGGTATGCGCGCTTGGTTCCTGGGCCTGTACCAAAAGAAGACAATGCTGGCTTTGCGGCTTGTGGGGGGCTTTCCGGGCGCGCCGGGGGGTTGTGCTTGGCATTAAGTCTCTTTGCGAGTCGCGAATTTGGCTTGTCTAATGTTGTTTCTGCCTGTGAAATCAAGGTTGTTGATCGTGGCGGCTCGTTCCGAGGGGTTTGCGCACTCGATGTATCTGATCTTGGAGGTGCCATTTGTTGCAACGACTGGCGAGCCATAGTTCTTGATGGCGGCGGAGTTTCAGCGGGAACAAATAAGGCCGAAGTGGTGGAATCCACGGATAGACGACTGGGAGCTCTGTGAGATGCAATACCTGCTTCGGGCTCATGCGCATCTATCGTATCGGAATTGGCCAGCCGAGACGATTCAGCCTGAGGGAGGCTTTTCTGTCGTGCCCTTTTGCTCTCGTTTACGCCTTCGGTCTTCTTTTCGCTTTTTTGCCTTCTTCTCCAACAGAGCCATACTCTTCTCCCATGACTTGAGATTAAAGCGAGGCTTAACCTTGCCCTCGGCAATCTGCCTTTTCTTTTTTTCCCAGGCATCTAGGGTCTCTTCCGAAGTAAACATTTCCCTCGGCTCCCAGCTGCACCTGTCCATGCTGTATCCAGTCCACTCGACCAAATACTGAGTAATAAAGACACCCTCGTCATCCTCAGAATCTGGTTCTACGTAGAACCTCCGTTCCGCATGGATGTCATTCACGAGGTACTCCGCTTCCGGGTCGCTTTCTGCGGTAGATGCCAGAGAGTCGACATCACCAATTTCATTTTGATCAGGGACATCGCCCATTTCAGAATGTGATGCCATTGTAGTAGCCTAGCAAATCAAGTCAACAAATGCTTCATTGTGCAGCGTCCAATACGCTATTGCAAGCAAGACAGTACTCGGGATGTTAAGATAGAGCGAGTGCCTACCGTATTTCATGTTCATTGGATATGGTGAATATGAAGGGGGAAAACGCTCGAGGACAATAGCAATAGCAAATGCAAAAGAGCAAGGCGAGCAAGAGCAAGAACAACCTTGGAAGTTGATAGTTACAATTACTGCCCACCGATAAAAGATACCGCCCGCATGCCAAACGCCAACCCACGTGATGCGCTAATCCACAATGGGTGGGCACGATTAAGGAGAGACACTCGGCCCAGGTATCACTGACTATCCCCTGCTGATTCTCTATTACTTCCCGTGTGTGTGCGCTCCCCTGGTTTTCCTTCTGCCTGCTGTGAGCTCAGTACTGACGTATCTGACTTTCACCCTCTCAAGTCTCCAAGTACACCCCCTCAGTCTTCACTTGCCCGCCACGTTTACCTGTACTTTGATACCACCTTTCGAGCTTTACTAGCTCGACCACATTCAAAATGGCTAACGACGAGTATGACGTGAGTTGATTTGGGACGACTAGATCCTCCATATTTCAGAACTATATGCTGACGATGATATCCCCCACAGTTTCTCTTCAAAGGTAACGTCGCCACCTTACGCTGATGCCCGCCCTCGTCTTATCCATCACCCCTTGTTGCCCCTCCGAAAAGATCCCGAGGCTGACCGCGGAGGTATTGTGGAGTGAACAGTGGTGCTTATTGGAGACTCCGGTGTTGGTAAATCTAACCTCTTGAGTCGTTTCACCCGCAACGAGTTCAACCTGGACTCGAAGTCAACGATCGGTGTGGAGTTCGCAACCCGGTCCATTCAAGTCGATTCGAAGACAATCAAGGCACAGATTTGGGATACCGCTGGTCAGGAGCGCTACCGTGCGATTACCTCTGCCTACTACCGTGGCGCTGTCGGCGCCCTCCTCGTTTACGATATTAGCAAGCACCAGACCTACGAGAATGTCAACCGGTGGTTGAAGGAGCTACGGGATCACGCCGATTCTAACATCGTCATCATGCTCGTCGGTAACAAGAGCGATTTGCGCCACCTGCGTGCGGTCCCCACCGAGGAGGCCAAGCAGTTTGCCAGTTCGTTTCCCGACAATTGATTTCATAGTGTGGCGCTGACATTCAGTAGGCGAGAACAACCTTTCATTCATCGAGACCTCTGCTCTTGATGCCAGCAACGTTGAGCTGGCCTTCCAGAACATCCTTACAGGTTGGTTGTCGATTTCATGGAATTTGGCATTGAGTACTAATTTCGTTAGAAATCTACCGCATCGTTTCCAGCAAGGCTCTCGACTCCGGAGAGGGTGGCCAGCAGGTTCTCGACCGCCGTCCCGTTATCGACCCCAGCAAGCAAGACAGCGAGCAGAAGCAGGGCTGCTGCTAAATTACCCTTTCGTAGGGACGATGCACCGACTGCCACGACTCTTCTTTTGTGATGTGACATTGAGATGGTCTTTATCTGTGTTGGAGTCTGAAATTCGACGGCTACAAAGATGATACACAGGCGAGATCTGCTAGAGAAGCCACACGGGAAGATAGGGGTTACCGGACTTGATGGTATCAGCTGCCGGATTCCCCTTTGGTCCTTTTCTCTTGTTCGTTTTTTTTCCCGTGGTCCTCAACGAAATTGATCCCCTTTTTTTTCTGTTCGCCCAACGGGTGTGATATGTTTCTACGATGGTGAACACAGCTTGGTTGGGCGTCTAACATTGCGGCTGCGTGGCTTTTGTATGAAAATTCTCAAATTCGTATATTCATTCCACCCATTTAGTAGAACTGTACAATGTAGTCGTGCAATGCCAACAAGAAAAAGTGTCAATGCCTCATGCCATGAGGGAAAAGGGTCCACGTGCTCCACAAGGTAATTTACTTCTCTGGTCTAGCCTGTTATGGCGAACTGGATAACTAGCGTCTGTCCACGGGTGTCCACCCATAGACGGTGTTTGCTAGGAGAGTAAATCGTTATATACGATTTGCAGCGCCGACAGGGCCTCGATATTTCGAGTATTTGCGTGAGTTCATATAAAAATTTACCCATATGGTATGTATGTTGTACAGCAAGAAAAACTAGAAGTCCATGCACATGTATGTATTTCGATAAATTCAAAAAGTCGACAAGCACAAATCTAGCCTAGGACAATGCCCATGTCACGGTCAGCCACTGCAGATCGCAATTCTCCAACCTCGAGCCCACGTTCATTCATAACATATTCCAACGTGTCACCAAACGTTTCGCCGTTGTTGCGAAACCATTCCCCTAGAGACCAGACGTACTCCTCTACCTGTTCCTTCAGCAAAGCATGGTCGCGCAGCCATAAAATTTGGCCAGGATCGAGCTTCAGCATGTCCTGCATAATATAGTAATGCGGGATCTCGTCACCCCAACCTTCATAGCCTGGGTCATGGGAGAGGTCATTGCGAAACCGAGACCGGTATTTGGCTGGCGATTCGGCGTAATTACTCGGATGCGCCGTATGGAAGTATCGTTGGATCGAGGCAGCAGGGTCTTTCTGAACCAAGGTGTGACCTTGAGAAGACAGAGAAATAGTTGAAAGTGGAGGATAATTGAGGTGGATATTGAACGAGAGTTGCTGGCTGCTGTCTGGATAACGCTTGCGGAATTTGCGTTGGATAGTCCCATTACTAGGACATATGTGATTCTGGACAATATCACACATGACAAGGCGCAAATCCTCAATCTCGGCCAGCTCTTGGGTGGACCAGTTGTGAAGCAACTGAGCGCGCTCCAACACCACATGGCGAAGACTACGAGAATAGCGATCATAAACATGAGAATGGAATGCACTGTGATACAGCCATAGTCGGTATACTGCGCGGCGCAGCCGGAATCGCTCTTCGTCGGTGAGCAAGCGACGATTCTCAAAATCTATCTTCCACTTCTTAAATGGGTAGATCGTCTCCCATTTTCGCGCTACCATACCCAGCTGAATGACTTGTTTCAGAAGGAAATCAGACATAGGGGGATGTCGGATGAGATGAGCAGGCTGGCTTTCATTTTGCGTCACAACTTGAATGACATCGACGAAGGGACCAAATTCGGTCTCCGCGGCACTGGCTAAGATATGCAGTTTGCATGTTGAGTTGAGGACGCGGTGCAATCGGCGGCAGATGACTGATAGATTCAAGACATCGGAGACTGAGTCGCATGATCGAAATATATGGAGCAGCAGCTCCGTTGCAAGATGATCAATTCGCATGATGGAAAGATCTATAGGGTTGCTGTAAAGAATAACATCATTAGAAGGACTCATAGAGTGTCAATTTGCGATGACTTACTTGATGAGGGGTTGTTATTTGTATCAGGTAATTCGAAATAAGATAACTGGTTTCCGAGGATTTGTAAATGAACTGATTTAGACAGTGTTGTCACGAATTGAAGCGAGCAGCAACTCGTGGACTTGTCGCGCGTACGGTGTCCCTATTGGATGTAGACCCCGCCGTTGGGGATAACAGAAGGAAGAGATAGCATGGGGTCAGAAGTAAACATATTGGAAGAGCAAGCGCCTTGTAGCCATGTAGGGCTAGCCAACGAAACAGATGCCATGATAGATGGTGTCAGGAGGCAAAGACAGACTTGGGCTCGAGCGATGGCGTCGAGGCCAGGGCTTTATATGGCGCTTAGCTAATGTTGCCCCTTGCGTCCCGAGGTCCATCCATGGGACCAACCTGCCTGTTATTCTGAAGAAAAAGCTGTTTGGATGGCAATGAAATAGGCAAAAGCAAAGAACAGATAAAAAATAATCAACTTTTGAAATTAACCAGGATGAGACTTTGCCCCGACGCCTTAACGGACCATGATGAAACCGTCGCATCAAATATACACATGTAGTCGAAACATCATCCCGAGGGATATCAAGTCTAGAAATAGCACGACGAAACAAAAACACAAACCCCTTATGCAAAGAGCTTCCTTGTATCCAACGCATCCACCTTCCGCACAGAGTTCTCGGACAGTCCCAGATCGGAGCGCTTGGCCACCCGATCAGTCTGGCCGTCTCGGCGCTGGGAGTAACGGCCAGCCTTGCCCCGTCGGATGTCGCTACGGACTTGGTTGGGGCTGACGTACTCCTTGTTCTCGTAGATGACGGGTCCACCAAAGCTGCCTTCCAGAATGACAATGGGGGTCAGAACGAAACGGGGGCCAATCTCGACCAGAGAAACCTCGGGCAGGCTGTTGTCCTTGCCCTTCGGTACGGGCTTGATAGTCTCATCGCCGTCCTTCTTCTTGCCAGCCTCAGACTCACGGATCTCATAGACGCGAATCCAGATCTTGCCGTCCACTCCAAAGATACCAATGATGCGGTCGATGAATGGCTTCATGCCTCTGACACCACGCTTGGGCACACAGAAAACTCCGCGCAGCATCTCCCGAACGAGCGCACGGTACTCACTGCCAGGAGTGCCCATATCCGGGCCTTGCTCGTCGAAGGAGCGATCGAACACGACCAAGCCGCGGCCGCCCTTCAGGCAATTCCCTGCGAATCCAGCGCCGAGCTCACCCATTGTGTGCAAGTTGTTGAGATGGAACTTAATAGTGGGGCCATTAGGGGGGCGTGAAAGCCAGAGATAAAGATCCTGGCCGTTCTTCTTGGCCTCGAGGAAGAAGATAACGTTGCAGGAATGCAGATCGGCAAGAGAGTTCAGGAGGAGGTTGTATCCAGCAGCCTTCTTTTTCGTGTCGAGCTTAGTCTCTTTGTGGGCATGGGGAAGAAGGCCGCAGATATCGGACATGAGGTGTCGGTGGCTAGAGAACGCAAATTGTCAGATCAGTAAACCCATGCAACATATCTCAAGGCGCAATATTCATACCGGAAGGAAGCGCCTCTGGAGGTCAAGATAAGTACTCGGGTCTTGGGCATAAATCCAGAAGCAAGCTGCTTCTTCACAACCTCAGCCGCCTCACCATCGTCGGAGTCTTCCTCTTCGCTATCGGTGGTGTCGTCCTCCGCATTGAGGAGCTCCTCCATCTCCATGTCCTCGTCGGACACATCCTCAGTGGGCTGCCTAGCCGCCTTCTTTGAGACACTCTTGTAAACTGATGCCATGGTGACTGTTGATTGTGTCAAAATGGAATTGAAATTGAACGTGTAAAAAAAGGCCGCGATCAAAAGGTTGATGGCAGAATATTTTTTGTTTCCCACCGCCCTTGACCTTGTTGTATCACGTGCCAAGTGGGCTGCTGATTTATTTGCTGCTCTTTACCGCCCTTCCTTCCTGCCAAACATTTCCATTGTGCAAGTGCTTGTTGGTGTTGTTGGTGTTTCCATAGACCAGCTTGCTTTATGATTTTGGAAAATGTGAACTACAGCATATGTATTCTTTCATACTTACCCTCTTAGGATCTATATGCCTAATGTCATTTCAAAAGATAGACCGATGTTCAACAGACCAGAAAAGTCTTTCATTGTGTCGAAATATACGTTTCATTCTATGCACATTAACTAAATTGACCCGACAAGAGAGCATTAAACCATTTTAGATTACAGCTATTTTGATTTTAATCTCAACAATTTAGAGATCCGGACAGAATTCGGCCGAGGAAAGGGTGAGTCAATATCACGGAACGTTCAACGCTCTTTGCAGGTCTGTAAAGCCCTCTTGGGTGACCTTCAAGCCGGCAATCAGATTTGCAAACTCCAATTTCTTTCGGAAACCCCAATCCCGACCCCGATAAATAAGGCCGTATAGCAAGCCAGCATTAAATGTATCCCCAGCTCCGATGGTGCTATAGACTGTCAGTATGGCCTAACTGGTGCTGTTGTTGTACATTGGAAAGCTCAAAACTCACTCGACGACTCCCACTTCTTCAGTATGCGCCGGGACATGAGCAAAGTTGCCAGTTTCTGGTTCAAGTGCTGCAGCCCCGTCAGAACCCCAAGTACAGCACAGCAAGGATCTGTGAACCGTAGATTAGATTATTGCTCTGAGGACTTGGACAGTAAAGCCTACGCTCGGCTTGTCTTCAATGATTGATCCCGCAAGCAATCCTCAGCGGATGTATATCCGTTGCTCTGCTCAGCTATTAGATATGCCTAGAAAAGCCGAAAATAAAATCTCACCTGTGCCCAGCCCTTCGAGTAGATAACAACGTCTGCCACGTCTGCAAGCTCCTGCAAGCCTGGCCTGCCCGGTTTTTCCACCTCAACACTGATTTCCGCCCTGGAAAGTTCTCCCGAAGATAACGAATACATTCCAATGTTACCTCTGGTGCACGGCCCTGGGTTCAAGTTAGCGTGATTCATGACCAGCTGAGCACCTCGCCAATATTTAATGCACCTCAAAGTGAAACCAGGGTCGATCAGTTACCGCACGCAGGGGATCAACAGCAGTTGCGAACTCTGTGCGAGTCATTTCAGGCAGCTCGTTATAATTGACGATCGTCCTACTACCGGTGGCCTGGCTTGTAATAATGTAACTAGAAGCTGGCTCACTGAACCTCTCTCGGTAAATGCAACTATCTAGCCGAACCATATTCCCTAAGCTTGATTGGATTTGTTGACATGGTACTGAGCTTTTGGAGGGAAGGACAGCAATGAGATTCAGTGATGATTCGGCACTCGACGGCCCGTATTGTAACAATTGTCCTAGAACTTCGAGGGTGTTTGGGCAGTTTCCACCGCGCCGGCGACTGATTCTGGATGCACGAAGCTTCTCATCTTCACCAGGGTAATATGGGGCCCTAGTCGAAGCATGTGAGTACCACTCTCCAGACGGAAGCCACTTCAAGATACGGAAAGAACTCACGTTAGAATTGTGTCAAGGTAACATGCCCCTATAGCTACTAAAGTCATAATCACGATTTTGATAAGAATATATTTCCGTTTTCCTTGGAAGGAGGAGCTAGCAACCCGTTTGGCTCGTTTATTTAATCAGTGTCGTTGGTCGAGTCGAGGATACCGGCGGCTTTCCAAAGTTAGGTCCACCCGTGGACGCCCGCCACCTGCAGGTGCCCTCCCAGGCCCGGCTGGAGGGTGAATTAGTCAGCGTTTTGTTAACCCGTGGACCCGTCCACGGGTGGACCTCCAGGGTTGTCTACGGGTGGGCCGGGGCCGTGCCTAGGTAGACCAAAGGTTTCAAGGTTGGAACTTTTCCTACATATGTAGCTTGGCCATAGGTACATACAATGTGTGTTTCTCTTAGAATCAAGAACCATTTTGCAGTTTTATAGTACCACACATGGTCCACAATGAGTCATTATACTTCACGACCTCGGGAAGTATCTACAGCTATATAGTGTTTTATGCAGTCTCCAGATCGGACTTCTAGTCATATATCACCTTATTCTCACTAAGAAGATTCGTCCCTCGATATGGCCAGTTGAGTTGGACTAGGGTACTAAGCATCACGTGGCCAATATATACCACAGTGTACTTCAATACAACGACCTGAGCATTTGCTTCCAAGAGCTTTGTCCTCGCATGCTTTCTAAGAAGTCACAAGGAAAGAGGCTTATATTTACACCCCTTTGTTTGACTATTTAACTATAAATACCAATATTCATTGATAGGTACTACTTGAAGCATAAGTATAAAGAAGCAGGCGGGATATTGCAGCATGAAATTGGGTTTGAAGAAGGCAAACCAGATTGATAGACCAGGAGGCATGCAATTCGTACATATCTTATTGTCTCTTACACTTTCAAAGTACAAAGCAAGCATTGATGTGGCCGGCAAACACTTGTATATCCCAATGATTCTTTTTCATTCTATACCAGTTATATAATCGATATGAACTACCTACCTAGATGAATCCTCCCACTGTCCTCATAATTCTATCTTTATCATTCTACAACTGAGACCCATTTTCCCACCATGGGCCAGCGGAACAAGGTGTTAGAGACAGACACTCCTACTGCAAAATTTCTCTACACAATCATCAAGCAATTGGATCTGAAGTCGGTCAGTTTATTGCCCAACCTTTCAACTGAAGATCGATCTAATCTTAATTGAACATAGGTTGATTGGAATAAGGTCGCTTCTGAAGTTGAAGTCTCCAATGGTCACGCTGCTCGTATGCGGTATTCCCGTTTCCGACAACAGATGGAAGGAACCACAGGGGCAAGCAAACCAAAGCGAAAGAGCAAGAAGGGAAAGACCATGGAACCCCCTGCTGAGATGCAATGCATATTCCCAATGGCTCCACCATTCATGATGCCCATGGAATCGACAGATTCTTCTCTTCCGGGCAATCCCTTCGTAAAGTGCGAACCGGGCACTCAGGGCAACACGAACATCCAGAGCTTTATGCAACATTCCCCGCAGTTGATGTTGGACAGCACCGAAGGACAGTATTATTTTCCTCAGGATTTTGCTTCGACACAATTCCAGCTGGCGTCAAACATACCATCTGGAATACCATCGCCCAGCCCCGGAACATCATTGTCCTTCATGCATGAAAATCCATACCAGTTCCCAACCGCGTCAACCGGTTACTCTTATTCAACACCAGGCACTCAACCTGTCTTCGATTTTAGGGAGTTTGACCAAATCAACCCTTTCACCAATTATGCCCCAACCATCAACTGGGAACCACGCCCCCCTCCTCGCCAGGAGAGCCCGACTGTAAAAGTCGGAGAGGAAGAAGAAGAAGAAGAAGAAGAACAACAGCACCGGCACCAGCAGCAGCAGCACGAAACCTGCCAGCAAGACCCCGCTGTAACAGTTGAAGAAGAAAAACGGACCGACGAGGGGGTACCGAGTACACAGAACCAGGAAGATGACCATGTTGTTGTCAAAGTTGAAAAGATCCAAGATTGATCAGGTTTTGTTGGAGACTAGAAGGGCTTCGTTCATTTGTTCATCAGCTAGTACCCCCTCGTCATTACCATAGAGTTTGCTGATTTAGTTTCTGCGTTCGTTCTTTCTTGCTTGCCAAAGTTAAGCGTGATATTTTTATGTTTCCTACAAGTATTGGGGATTCCCATGTTCGATTGGCGCCGCCGGGAATTCGAGGATCGATATAAGATCAAGTCTTGAGCAAGAACATGTTATTTCCAAGTTCATTAGCAATTTTCCGTCCCTTTTACCATAGATAGCCACACAAACGACCTAGGATTTATCAACTCATTGGATATGATATAAACATTTATATGTTGATCATAACTGGTGTATCGTTAAAGGCATGCCCTGGTATTGCGCTGTGAGCATGGCTACCTCTGCAAGTTCCGCTCAGGGAACTATAAGAATAGCAAAGCCGGGACTTTTGATGAGTAGTATACCTGAGGTCAACCTCATATCACCACAGCAGCCCTGGAGCCTGCCAGATCGCTGATATAATCGACGTTGAGGTCCACTGGAAAATGCATCAAAGGCATCCAAACTAACCAAACGAGCCAAACGAATTAAAAAGCATTAAACACGTCTCCTGGGGCGATCTGCCCCTTGTCGTTGTGCTCTCCACCCAAAAATTGATTTATCTTCAGAAACATCTACCCTTATTGAAGGCGCCTGGAGATTCCCTTCCGAGATCGCCGAAGCAATGCCTTCTTACAAGAACGACCCTCCGGACCAGGAGTATCTAGACTCGATCAAGAGACATACCGACAAGGAAACCAACAAGGTACGACGCATCGATAACTCCGGTGGGGTTTTGGCTTGAACCAACTGTCAACATGCTAAACTGGATACACAGGTCAATCTTGCGCTCGTGGCCAAGGACTTTGGCTATGCCAGTGGAAAGTCGTTTCAGAAGAAGTATGCCAAGCTCAAGAAAGCACACAACCTGACCAACGGCCATATCTATGGTGATGACAAGGCAAGCCGACCTCTATCCATCCAGATAATATCTAAACTAATTTAATCGAATAGCCAGAGACCTCTTCTACTGAGGCGGCTTCCCCCGAAGTGGCCCAGCCTCCCCCGAAGCCGAAGGAAACCAAGATCCCCGAAGCCGAGAAAAGCGTCATGGATATTGTGAGCGAGCACTTGAAGGCATATTCAGACAAACTTGCCGCCGAGAAGAAGGGCAAAAGCTTGGAGGAGGATAAGAAGAAGAAAAAGCAAGCCTGATCTGCCATGACTCGAGCAAAAGAGGTCTTCGGTGTGCGAGGATTCTGCGATCAAGCTACAGGATAGGTGCCCGGAAGATGATAGCCTCTAGTTCAATATGCGCTTTATTGTAATGGGAGGCATTTCTTGTAGGGGAGTCACTAAGTAGAAGCATTGGAAGCGCAATTATTGATCTCCAGGTCTCTCTGTCTAGTGGCTCCTCTAACCATCAATTTTGTAGTCGGAATTAGCCCGTACCGATGTCACTATCGTCCGATGTGGATAATCGAAATTCATAGTATTCGGTTCTCTAGCTAGATAGTGCTCAACCCAGAAAACAGCAAAGACTGCGTAATGATGAGAACCCAAAGATACCTATCTTCACTCCCAAGCCAATGTATGCCATGGGCTAGATGCGCAAAAAGATCAACACCTCAATGCTGTGGAGAGTGTGAGGACAATGGATCAAGATCCAAGGCGTATCTTTGCTAATCAATGATATCATTTCGGCCTTCGACAATGATGATGGGAATCTCAGCATCATCGGCCGTGACGGACAGCCAGGAAGGGTCTCCAAGAAGTTCGGGATATTTGTCAGAGCGCTCAAACTCTTTGGCATTCTTTACAATGCTGAAGTAGTATTTCCTGCTGCTGATTGTCAGTAATTGCAATAGAACTTGTACCATAGCGGAAGAGCTTACGCAGCCTCGGCTGTCATATTGACGCCGATATCGAGTGACACGTTGTCCCAGTTGATCTGTAATAGCCAGTAACATTAGCGGGTGTATTGGATAGGGAAACGTCGTGAATTTAGGGACATTGTGAGAGACCGAGCTTGAAATCAGGTGTTACGTACCTTGCCCTTCTGGGAGTTCTCCACACAGGTCAGAAGGAAGGCGATGGCCTGCTCCTCGGGCGTATTGACGGAAGTCATTTTTGGTACGATCACACAATAGAATCGGTTGCTGTTCGATGTGGTGACGCATGTGATGATAGAAGCGGAATAGCTGGGATAAGAGAGGAGCGATGGAGGCAAGGACCTGCATTTGTCTGTAGATGAGCCTCAACGCGCGTTACGGTCCCAGGTGACACTTGAGGGCTCCTTCTTAAGGTAACATCACTAGATTTGACTACAGTTTTGGCTAACAGAAAGAATTCTTTGATATTCAAATACAATTAAACAGTGCCATTGCTTAGAGTAACTTCATCAAGCTGTGCGATGAAAGCACCTTGATTGACGTTTGCATAATTTCCAAGCAAACTTGATATTCTTTGTTTTCTAGGAGGAGAGGGAGCATGCGGACTAAGAAATGCTCAAACCAAAAGATTCAATATTCTATTCGTGGCTCTTCGTTGCGTTCCCATAGGGTATCAGGGCAAAGGAATCTCAAGCCAGCCTCAATAGAGCGGCTAACGTAGTAAATTTCATCGAAGAGTAATCAAACAGTAGGATTGAACTTATCAAAGGGGTATCCTATCGAAAAAACACAAAAAGGGCCTGCAAAGTACATATCAAAAAAGGGCAAAAACATGATGCCAAGATCTTGACATAAGTCTAAGAGACATTCGGTTGACAAGCGTTATATGTCCGCCATCACAGATTCCACGATTTTTCGTTTGTATTGTGACAAAGCCTGCTCCTTTTTCTGCATCTGAGCACGGAGTTTTGTGTAACGCTGCTTCCATGTTGCCTCGGAAACAGGATGGCTGGGATCATCATCGTCAGAATCCAGCTCCACCGTCTTATCGTTGTCAATATTCTCTTGGCTCGGACCCATAATCGTGCTTGTGTGGTCAGACGCACCTGTCCCTCCTATAGTAGGATTGACATTTGCGAGCGTTATTTGCATCGAAAATTGGCTTGAAGTCTTGTACTCATGGGAGATGGTATAGTGGACCCCACTGAATGAGTCGTTGGAGGCTGAGGCCCCCCTATTTCCATCGCTGCTTTGAATGACACGTTCGGCCTTGACAACCAGTGGCCCTGGGTTAGTGCCCGTGAATCCGAAATGATGACCAACGCCAAGGTGAAAAGCCAGTAGCAGCGAAGGGTTCCCAAGTTGGAACTGAGAATATAACGAAGACAAATTGATCACCATCGCCGAAGCTAGGGCACCCGCCTCATTGGGACTGAGCGTCCCCGTCCGCCCTGTCAGCCTAGCACGAAGAAGCTCTGCAGAAAGTACATGAACAATGTCATCGATGGAGGGACTTGTAGTAGCGACTTCATTGCCTTGCCCACCGGAGGATGTTCGACTAGCGATACCATTCTTTGGAGTATCTGTGGTGGGATATTGGCGGGAACCATTGGGCTCTTCGGACCCAGGAATGACAGCACCATTCACACCATTAACTACTAGCCTCGGTGGTGTGGCTAGTCGAACCGGTGCCCCTGAATGTTGAGGGACCTGCAATTGAAGTTTATTCGGTCTCCCCTGAGAGATAGACGTCGGAGGCTGATTGTGAGGTGGGGTCTGAAATATTTGGGGCGGATTTCTCTCAAGGGCAAGTGACGGAGGTTGATTATTCGGATTGGGTGCTTGTGATGATTCCCGACTAGGATTGACCTGGAAGGTAGAAAAGGAACCCGACGATGACCCTCTATTTGGTGGCCTTCCCCGGCCTTTCCCAGCGGACAAGCCATTGCTGTTCGGCCAAGCAGATGAAACTGCAGGGCCATGCCGTCTCCTAGAACGGCTCTTTTCACCGGTTGACGGGGTGACTGCCGACCTTGGCTCCGCCGACATGTGAACATCTGATGGTAGATGACTCCGTGGGATGATAGCAGACTGTGGATAATTAGCAGGAGAGGCATCCCGGTCAGGAAGTCTCCAGCGTGTATCTTGACTTGGCTGATCCGGCCCTGAACCATTCGGATATGACGAGGTCGCCGCTGTCCAGGGGTCGTTTGGTTCCATATCATCAGGAAATGCACTGAATGGAATCGCACTCTGTGGGAATGTTACGGAATGGGACTGAAAACTACCCTGCTGTACGACGCCAACAGACGTATCCAACTGGGGCCGCTTGATCGCTCTCTCTTCCTCGATGTACCTATCCTCAACCCTTTTCCTTCCCCGCTTTGGCTTCCATTGTGGCACAAGTGCCCTGAGTGCGAGATCTTCTTCCAATAATACACCATCGCGGGACTCGCTGACGAAAGGACCGGATGGTGGGAGCTGCGTATAGTAAGAATGGGGCAATCCCATGCAATATTCAAAGAAAGCATCGATATGCATAGCACGCATCCACCGCTGGGTGAGATTAGCAAGACGAAATATGGGCTGGAGGGTTGACGGCAGACGTACCTTGAGCCGAACTGTGTACTGCTGCACCTTCTGGGTGCTTTGTTTCTTTTCAATGTCAGGTGGTTCGACACCCAATTCAATTGCTAATTGGATCCATGTCTTCAACTCTTCATTCTGCAGCCGCTTTCGAATGAGCCCGTATAGGGTAAAGATGTTGAAGCTCTTCCCATCACTCCGCGGGAGACACCGAAAGGTCTTTCGCAGATCTGACGTGTCAACTGAGGATGGAACATTAGGATTGCAGTATAAGATGAATGCGACATAGGCATCATCGATCGTCTCGTCAGTGATATCCCGTGAAGGAAGAACTCGGGAATCTGCGTGATCGGCAGGATCTTTCATCGACTGATGGCGATGAGGATCGAATAGTGGTGGAGACATGGATGTCCCGGAGCGATTGGCCGAAGATGGCGGTATAGCAGAACGCATGCCCCTCGGGGAAGACTGTAAGCTCCTGGGGGTTTCTCTTCGCTGTAAAGGTGGCGATTTGTTGATATCTATTTGGCTACGAGCACTCCCCAGGGAGGAAGCACTCTGCAACGTTGATTCCAAGGTCGGAGGATATCGCGCATATTGTTGAATGACCATTTGCGGTCCGCCGAGCTCACCACGGCTCGGGCGATCGGTGGAGTCCATGATAACAGGAAATGATGTTTCCATCTGAAATTTGGCGATTTGGAGCGACAGACCTCTAGATTTAATTGTAGAATAAAGCTAGAAGCGCGATGCAGGCAAACAATCAAGCGGATCCTAGGTCGCATAGGCAAGTCGTCATTATCGTCAAATTAAGAGCCGCGGCATAGATGTAGGCTATCTTCAACACAAAATGTTCGATGTATGAATACAAAGAAAAAGGGAAGAAAATCAGATTCTGAACAGCAATGCGCCGATGGTGTAGGGTTCCAGGAGGTTTCCCCTCGAGGTGGCTGGAAGCGCCCATCTTTAAAGCTCAAGCTGAGAATCTATTTTGGGGCCATCTAGTGCTCCCTAATGAGGACTAGTGCCGTGGCCTGAGGGCGGGGTTCCTGCCTGGCTATCACGTGTACGCTAACCTCAATATGGCTAAAGCGTCTTGGCACATCCCAGGTGTTATCGATAAGCTCGTCGTCTTGGCATTCTTGGCCTCTTCGACCTCATCCGTCAAAAGAAACCGGACTCACCCGGACCATCGCAAGTGTCAATTTGAACGGCAATAATCACAGATTTGCCGCCTCCGCAAGCCAAGTAATATTGACTTCTTGCTCTTATTGTTGCGTGCGCGACGTCGTGCGTACAATGTGGCTCGGGTCTCTGCTACCCACTCTCTTATCCTAGCGCGACCTTATCCGTCATGGCGCCCTCGAGTTGGCGCTCAAGGTCCACTCGCCCTGTGCGGTCCAGCCGCACCAAGGTGCAGACATACCACGAGGAAAGCTCCTCTCAAGATGAATCACGAGGGTTGTCTGGCTCAAGACGTGCCTCGTTATCTCTCAGGTCGCGCAGTACAACTCGAATGCCAAAGTCCTATCGTGAAGATTCGACAGATGCTAGCTTTGATGGAGCCGTGGAAAACGAAGAGTTCGATGCATTGGTAGATGCGCTGATCGACGCACCAAGCCTGGATGCACCAAACCCGGATGCCGAATCTGTGACTACCCGCCCTTCCAAACCCAAACCTGCTCGGCGCGCTGCAACCACCCCGAAGCCAAAGCAGACCAAACGATCGAAACCCAATCAAATTGGGAGAGCCCTGCAAAAACGTGTCAAGACACATGTGGATGACCCGATCTTTCTGGGTTCCGGTGTCATTCCTCCTGGCAAACTCTCCCCTACCAAATCCTTCTTGACATTTTCTTGCGCGCATCACATCCATTACTCGACAAAAGCCGTTCGACCCGCAATGACTCTGTCAAATGGCTTGTCAATGTCGCTCTGCTGTGTCGAAGCTTTCATGAGCCTGCGCTGGCCGCACTCTATCACTGTCCCCCTCTTCTTCCTGCCTACAAGAGCCATGTGCTCCTTTCTCTGCTGGCACGCCCACAAGAGTCTCTCTCGATGAACTACTCTAGCAAGGTCAAGCAACTCCATGTTGAGGTTGAACCAGTGCTCATTTATAAAAGTGGGCCCTACGGATACTTCGACCTTGCCCAGCTGATTGAAAAGACTCCTCGTTTACACACGGTACGACTATATCACAAAGATGATTACACGGTGGGAATACCTCCATGGCACATTATCCAATCAAAGTGGACTTATCCAGACGCTCTCTTTTCCGCAATCGAGAACCGCGGCATTACCCTCCGTAGCTGGGACTGGAACAGCCGCTTCTTAGAAACCGATGAGCTTGTCGAAATGATGGTGAGGATGCACTCCCAGCGCGCCTTTCAGGGCATGAAGGAGCTGAAGTTGCTCCATTTCGATAATTCCGATGAAGAAACTTCCGCTGCCAAAGAGGCTGGTCTCCTCGAAGCCCTTGATATGCTCCCAGAGCTTCAGCGACTGGAGTTTATTGAAAGCTCATTGGTCAGTGGGGAAATTCTGATCAATCTACCAAATACCCTCCGTTCCTCACTCTGAACAACTGTGATCGATTGTGGTCATCAGATCTCACAGCCTATCTGTCCTTACATGGCACCAATCTCCGAGAGCTCAGTCTAAGCCACAATCGCCATCTCAACATGTCTTACATCCAAACTTTGGCTCATTGCTGTGAGAATCTCGAAGTTTTCAAAATGGACCTTTCTATGCATGATGCGTCCAGTTATCACGATGTCGAGCCACACTTCGAAGATCTACTTGTCCAAACCGAAGTTCCCACATGGCCAGTAAAGCTCCGAGAAATCGAGCTCACACAGTTACGCAAATGGGACGACGCGACTGCGGAGGTCTTTTTCACTTCGCTGGTGAATGCGGCACCTAAACTTCATGATCTACGTCGATTGACCATCAGTGCAATCCTAAAAATTGGCTGGCGTGACCGTGCCAATTTTCGTGAGCGGTGGATCGGCCTCCTCGAAAAGGTATTCCTACGACGAAGCATGCCACCAGACCCGAACCTCCGCTCCCTTCAGAGACGCTCCCTCAAACCCACCACATTCCTCACAAGGAATAGCCCCGATGAACTTGGTGCTGGATCATCAACACGGCCATCCACGGCTGATAGTGGCCCATCGACTTCCTCCAAACGACAAAGCACTCGGCTTGCACGTCAAAGAATCCACGAAACTGACGATGCTGCTAGTGATTCTTCGTTAATGGGGACTCCACAGCCTGAAGCCGGGAAGGTACAGGAATGTGCGATATTGTGAACATTCGGATCGACAACCAGCGACCGACTGAGTTCCAACTGACCGAAGATGATTTCCTAGATGATGAACTCAGTGGCGACGAGGACTGGGCGGGCGAATGAACTTCTAGCCAACCCTGGGACGCTCGGGGCAATAAGCTATGGCGAAATCCCAACAGCAGTACCTTTTTGTATCTATAACCATGTCGTCTCTCGGGCTCTATGATGTGCTTGGACGGATGGGTTCTTGTTCTTTTTATGCCGATATGTTTCTATGATCCGGTGCTGGGGGATAAACAGGAGCTACTATTCGATATTTTTCTACAATTAATACTTAGCGATTTATGATAATAACGGTTGCGCAATACATCCCATTATGAACATACAACCTTGCGTAGCAGTTATGGTGTCCACTGGTTGACTCGGTCTGTGCACGGCGATCAAAGGCCAAGCCCCACAAGATCGTCTTATCAGCGAGTCTCGTTGAACCTCACATCTGTTTATTCCACGCCTTTGTTCCGTGTATATTTACATTTTATCAGTTCGTATCCAGATTTTGGATGTCTTCTACTCTTCCTTTCGATATCCTGACATCGGCTGGATCCTGTTAGGTCTGAGATGGCGCCTGAGGCCCCTGCGGACACCGCAGGCCCATCCTCCCCGCCACCACAACTCCCAGAAGGGTGGTAAGTCAACACCGAGAACCAAAGGACATACTCGCTGTATTCTAATAATAACATTGAACAGGCTCCCCCAGTGGGAAGGTGTCGGACGGAAATGGTATTACGTACAACGCACGACCGGGAAGTCGCAATGGGAGATCCCAACCGAACCGGTCGTCCTGACCCCGTCAACAACACCGACGCCAATGGGAGCGGGGCCATCGCAAGAGCCAAGATCACATCCGACAAGCAACAGTACTCGAGAGCTGGAGTCCGTGGACACAACGGCAGGCGGGACGTACTCTGCGGCGGACAGTGCGAGAATTTCCGTAGGGAATCGCGCTCATTATGTCTGCGTAAGCATTGCAAGAATGGCACTGATGGTAGGATAGAGCTCCCTTGACTCCCATATATACGGGCAGTCGGACAATCCAACTTATGGGTCTTCCGGGGTACCGGGTTGGTATTCGAGTCAAACCGGTCAACACTTGCTCGACGGATATCAGCAGCAGCTCGCTGCAAACGCAACCGGATATGGGCAGGTATGTTTAAATGCTCGAGTCCGACAGATATTTATCCATCGTGATGCTTATCCGTATCCAGAATTCGGTGCAACGCGGCCCTGTTGGACAAATGAATGGTGTTCAGCAAGCATTTTATGCGAGCCAGACACATCCGGGGTATCAAATGACAGGTCCACACCACATGGGCCAAAATATCTCCTCATCGGCGTGGGGTAATAATCCAGGTACCTATCAGGGACACCAAAGCGGTTACAACATGACGCAACATGCACAATCCTTCCAAGGGTTTTCTGCTGATCCTGCTGGATTGCATAACCACCAGCAGCCAGCATCGTGGACAATAACTAGCAACTCACAGGGCCAAATGGCAAGGTCACTGGAAGGAGCTTCCGATTCTCAGCCACCGTGGCAATTGGAATCACAAGGCCATTTGAATGCCTCTGGTGAGGCTGCCCCGGTGAACCTACACCCATCAACCATGCCTAAGCCCTTCTTTGGGTCTTATTCGTCCAACCAGCATGCGGAACCGTCTTCGGAAGAATTCTCTCGCCGTTTCTCGAATCCTTCTCTTGTCCGGGAAGGGCAACACTACCAAACTTCCGCGGAGAGTTTCCCCAACCATTCATCCCACTCCATGATTGAGCAAGGTAGATTCGGACAAAGCCAGCCGGACCCACGTTCCCATTCGCAACATACTCCCACAGACCCTTCTTTGCAGGGATTTTCACCGCTGCAGCATGTACAGAGTCAGTATCAACAGCAGCACATGATACGAAAACAGTCAGGACCGCACCAGGCAAATTTTGCCCAAGGGCATCAGCAATATCACAACCCAATGGCGCAGGTCAATGTCAACCAATACATTTCGCAGCATCAATTTGGTCCTAGCGGTGGTTCGACGGGTTTTTCCGAAATAGGACACGTTCACCAAGCGCCTTACCACCAATCGAGTCATTATCCCGAGCATCTCGAACATTCACCGGGGGAGACAGGAAAAAATTCAGGGTCGCGTTTTGTTAGTGGGCCATGGACCTCGGTTTCACCTTCTGCTGGACAGTTGTAGGCACCAACGTGCTGTTTATGTCCATCGTTGTGGTGAATGGGAACACAGGGTATGATTTCTTATCTGAGCGGCTTTATGGACATGTTTATCTTCTGCGTTGTTTGTGTTTCAGTATAGATTCCCGGGTCGATATAGTTCGTTACTTCAATTGAGTTTTGTGCCAAACTATATTCGGTCTATCTACCACAAATCCCTGCGCCAGAACGCATTACAGCTCCAAGCAGTACACAAAATCGGGTGTTATGGATATTCTTGGATTCGGGTGTAGAGCGACACACAAAAGTTCAGAACATCATATCATCCACCCACTGCGACATCGACACAAAGGCAGTAGTGATAAGACGACTAGGTAGCAAATATGGAGAGTGAAGAACGATTGAATCCTCTATGAACAATCAGGAGCTGGCTAATATAGCAAGATGGAGCCTGACCAACTAGGCATCCGCCGGTCACAACAAGTAACTAGCATGAGCTTCGAGACGTGAATCTGATTGTAATGTTCCAGTGAATTTCACAATGCCCTTCGTGCTCACGTGGACTGAATCTCACAGACAACCTGGTCAGATATTTTCAATGTTCTGCCCATTTCCCCTCCCATATCTCGTTCTTTCGATAACATCCCCATTATTCCCACGTCCCCCAATCATCCCCTTTCAACTCTACAACCATTTTCAAGACAATGGCTTCGACCTGGGATCATGAGAGAGACAAGCAGGTAAGCATGCTCATTTTGTAAACATACCAGCGACAACACCGGGGATACAAGTTCTCGCACTTTTCTTACCCAAGCTGGCCCTCTGTTGCTTGTACTGGCAGGGTCTTGGTATCAATGACTGATGATTTGGTAGTTGCTTGTGGCCATACTGGCCGTCCATTCTCCGCTGGACTTTGCCGCTATTGCTAAAGCGATGGGACAAGGTGAGTACATACTTGAGAGCTATCTGTCGAGGCTGTCACGTCTACGATTCCTACCTTTTGCACTCCTCATGAACTCCTTCACCCTAAACTGTCAATACACTATCATTAAATGAACCCAACTAACAAAATATAGGCGACAGCACTGCTGCTGTGAGACAGCACGTCCACGCTCTGAAGGCCCGCCAAGAGGGAACCACCAAGCAATCTCCTACCAAGGACAAGACCGACAAGCCCACGGCCCGTGCCCGGAAGGTTACCAAGCCCACCACTAAGCGCAAGAACGCCTCGGCCACCAACCCTGAGAAAGATTCCGTTGTCGAGGGTCAGAATGGCGATGAGGAGGAACCCTGCCCCAGTCCCACTAAGCAGCGTAAGCTCTAGGGGCCGTTTCTTCGACCTGGTATTGGTTGGGAGATGATGATGGTGATTCTGACATTCATGGGGTGGTTTCTGCGGCATAACGAGAGAAGAAATCGTTTGGCCTTTAATCTACGTCTTGGGTTCCTTGTTCTCCACGCGGTATTCTTGAATTGAAATACAGCAGATCGATCGTGAACTTCCCTTTCCCAGAAGAACGTAGATTCCCTTCATCGCACTAGTTCCCTTGGCCATTCTTAATGTAGAGTGGGCTAAGTATCTACATAAAATCTAGCGATTACGATGTGTGTTGCCCAGGTGGTGCACCCCCAACTGCCGAAGGGGATCTGGACATGCTTTGCAGACGCCACTCCCTCACATAGCAACAGTAGAAATCAAACGTTCATATAACACGTTAATATTGCCGGATAATTTGACGCACCTATTGATAATACTGGAAGCTCTTTTATAAGTACATAGACTCCCCATGTGTTCCATTGTTCATACCTAGCCCTGGGTTATTTGCCTGGTCAAACAGCGTGTTATTGCATCTGCTCTCAACATCCAATGCGTCACTTCAGTCTTGTTTCTATGGAAGCATCTTTCTGGAAGCTACACGGCTGAATGGCTTTGTGATCCTGTATCACATCAGGAAATCTTACTAGCATAGCAATACAGCCTCACCCACCGTCTAGGTGTTGTTCCATGCTTCCAATATCGTTGGACGAACTAGTCTATGGTCTTCTCGGTTAATATTGTTATTATCGTTCCTCTCGTCGTCGTAGTTCTCGTAGTCTTGGTCTTGGTCGTTGTTGGTCGTTGTTGGTCGTGGTTGGTCGTGGTTGGTCGCCGTTCTTATGGTCTTGGTTATGGTCTTAGTTGTGGTTGTCGTTGGTTGTCGTTGGTCGTCGTGCTCGTCGCGCTTGTCGCGCTTGCCGGTCTTGTCGTTGCTGTCGTTGCTGTCGTTGCTGTCGTTGCTGGTCGTTGCTGGTCGTTGCTGGCCGTTGCTGGTCGTTGCTGGCCGTTGCTGGCGTTGCTGGCGTTGCTGGCCGTTGCTGGTCGTTGCTGGCCGTTGCTAGTCGTTGCTGTCGTTCGTTGCTGGTCGTTGCTGTCGTTCGTTGCTGGTCGTTGCTGTCGTTCGTTGCTGGTCGTTGCTGGTCGTTGCTAGTCGTTGCTAGTCGTTCTTGTGGTCTTGGTCGTTGGTCGGTCGTTGGTCGGTCGTTAGTCGGTCGTTGTGGTTGTTGTGGTCGATTTAATATCTAGATACCCTTAGTAAAGTAAAGTACGATAAAGCAAACATTTGAAGATAACAGGGGAAAGCAACTTGTTTGTGCCCCATGTAGCGACCGTCAAGCGCTCATATCTCGTCCCTTCCCTCTTCAACCTCTCACTTGACCGTTTCTTCCCTTCCTACTCTTGACCAAACCATCTCTCCACTTCTATACCACATCGACTTTCAAGTATCGAACGAACAAGGTGCGTTTATGCTAGTTTTGGTGAATGCTTCTCTTGGAGAAGTATATACTTCTACGCGCGTTTTCACGTCACTTCTGTACCAATCGCTGACATCGTTTGCCCCAGCCCGCACGATGAAGAACATCACCTGGAACGAGAAGGCTGATGCCAAGGTACGTCTATACTTCCCTCTGTGTAATCGTTACCCAATTCGCCTTTCGTTTGTTCCCCGTCTTGGATAACCTTGGTGGTTGTGCTAGGCTTGACGGGAAAGTGACGGCCTTGAGCCGGACATACCAGGTCTACGATGGTTGTATCTTACCGCTAATGGCTTTGATATCCCATTTGTTCCCAAGATTGGCCCAGACTCACTGTCTTCGATTTGTCCCAATAACTAACCCTCATTTACTTAGTTGCTGGCTGGCATACTTGCCGTCAACCCCAACCCCATTGATTTCAATGCTCTCGCAGCCTACATGGGCGATGGTAAGTACTAACCCCGCTTGCCCCTGAACTACGGAGTATAACACCAATCTTTTATGTTGCGAGCTATTTGTGCGCAGTACTCACTACAAATACATTACGGTGTCCCTTTCCACTCATCCGGTATCTTCTTTGTTGGTGGTGTACGCTGAACCATGTGCCTCCCTTGCACTATGCATGCCCATACCCCACCAATTTCTACCCATTCACTGTCTGTCGTGCACAATTTGCCCAGAACATCCGGTCTCGATTCCTCCTACCCTCATCTCCGCCTATCTCAGGCTTGTGTATGCACCATGCTAAACCAATTCTATAGGAGTCACCGTCTCTGCCCTCCGCCACCGTATCAGTCGTCTCCGGGCTAGGGCCGCCGAGCTGAATGACGAAGGTGCCTCATCTACCCCTGCTTCGCCCGCGGCCAAGCGCAAGCGCAGTACTCCCAAGAAGTCTGCAAAGGGCGCTGCTGCTAAGTCCAAGGAAGCTGGTACCGAGTCTGGTGGAGAAGGCCCGGTTCCTAAGGACGAGGGCGCCGACGCTGAGGATGCGAAGGACAAGAAGCTCAAGATGAAGCACGAGGACACTGAGGAGTAAGTTCCTGTCAACCGTGAAGATGCCAGATACAATTCAGAGAGCTAATTCTGTTTGACCCAGTGATTCCTTCCTTGACTCCAGCTTGTCCAAGGAGGAAGATACCTCTGACCTCTAAGCGCCATCGCCGCGCTCTTGATTTCCCCACGGTGGAGCCATAGTGCGTTGGCATGGTGAGGTGTCAATTCTCTGATGGTTTTCGGATGATCTGGGGAAGTTTTCGAAATTTTACGGGATTTTACAACTGGGAGGGATACATACTGGGACACATAGGGGAACCATTTACAAAGGGTTATTATCAGATGGACATACAACGGATAGCATGAGCTCGACTAGTCGGGTCTCCTCGCTCACAATACATACTAGTTCCCGATCCCATCAGTCTTCTTTCTACTTTGCATTCTACTTTGCACGGCAAGAACAGAACAAAGCTCGACAAGAGGTGTCGACTGTTATTTCAGCTATGTAGCTTCGGTGCAATCCAGACAAATGGGCACCAGCATTTTTTTGGATTTTGAATTTTTCTCATCACCTCACAGTGGAAACAAAGGCAATTCCTCATGGTCAATTTTTTTTTCCTTTTCCTCCTTTTCTCTGGATGACCGGGTCACATATCAATCGTTGGGGAACAACAAATTTGATTCACCCAACAACAAACAAGGCCATCCCACAAAAACGCAAATTTGAATATCAATCATGGGGGGCTCAAGACCCCCAAGCTTCAGGCGACAGACATGAGTCGCCTTCGCGAATGACCGTCGAGCTACTGGGGAACCAGGTCCGACTCAGTGTCATAGTCATTGTACTCGGTCCATTCAGGGTCAGTCTTTCCGTTCTCGGTATCAGCTAGCTCTTCATCGATCTGCTCGTGAAGGAGGGGGTCGATGGCGCCAGAGTCAGTCCTTCCGTTCTCAGCATCAGCTGGCTGCTCATTGAACTGCCCGCGAAGACGGGGGTCGATGAGGTCAAGGTCAATTTCGGTCTTGATAGCAGACTCGGGAAGAAGTTCGTTGAGTTGGGCAGCCGGACCTTCCTCATCCTTAACGCGGACTTCATCTTGATCGGTGGGGGCATCCTGTGCAACGCGCTTGCGCTTGCGCGAAGGGCCGGCAGAAGTAGGAGTCTCATTGGCCTTCTTGCGGGGAGCACGCTTCTTCGGGGTGACGGGGCTAGAGGGACCAGACACGGGAGCAATGCCGGCGCGAACGATCTCCTTGATTCTGTTGATACGTTCTCTGAGGGCACGGGGTGTCGGTCTGTTTTCCTCATCGCCAGCTGAGAGGATGTTAGAATGTCCATTTTTGGGATATACAAATTGGTCACTCATGCGGGACTGATAACTTACGCCAAGCCGCTGCGACCTTGTTCATATCGAGAGCGAGGTCATGGGTCTCGAGGATCTTGGCCAGGAGCTGTATCAAATGATGGTCGTCAGTCACAATTGTCATTGTGTATTTTGTGCGGCCCATGAACAGCGATTCATCGAGGTTTCGGCCGACTTGGAATGATACACAAATTCTTCACGCAAAAGTGAATACATGATGGCGACCTTCCTTGAGACAGTTGAGATGATCAAATCAAAACTGAATCTGAAAGGCACTTGGGTATGTGATGCAAGAAAGTGAACCTCCTCTCAGGTGTGTTCGGCCAGGCATAGTACGAAATAGAAGGCCAATTGAAAAGGAAAAGTGAGAACAAAGTAAGGTATAAACTCACAGTTTGGTCAGCGAAGGAATCCCACTTGACTTTACCCATTTTGACAGAGTAAACGGTGTAAACTGCGTATGGTAGATGATATGATAGGATGAATGTAAACTTTGTATGATTCTGTATGCGGAACAATAACAGTGTCAAGTGATGCGAGTGACGAGGAAGAAAGAGGAAAACAAAAGTTTAAAGCAAGCAATTTAAAGGATTCAGATGATTAGGATTAGTCGTCGATTCTCGGCGCTTAGTCGTATACAAACGACTCAAACGACATATAGTTCACCTACGACATTCCAATTTACTCGTGAGGTTTGCCTTCCAATGTTGGAAAGCCCTAAATTACTCCCCGGTCTTCCCAACTGCTGCTTCTAAACTCACGCCCACCACTGCAGCATGTTCCCCGCAGATCTATACCTCCCCTCTCTCGTTCTGACTTCTGCAGCTATAGCTTCAGAAGGTTATTTAACTATTACAATGGCATTGGATAGCTCTGCAGCCGGTGTGAGCAACATCCGCTACGGCAGCAAAGTTCAGACACCTCTGTGAGTGGAACAATCTCCTGGGGGGGCTGGTATATCTCACAGAACTGGTCAAGGTTCGCCGACAGAAAGAAGAGAGAAGAAAGATGGATAGAAAATGTAGGTGTTTCACAATGGAAGCATATCCCGAATGAACCCGGAGATGTTCTTTCAATGTAGATGGCGTTTTACCTAGCTCGTTTTTAGAGCATGATACGCTATTTTCTATGTATGTATGGATCATATTTTATGTTTGCTCTAATTAACCATGCACCTAGGATAGATTTGCGGAGGTAGGTACGGTACTGATAAGGTGTATGATTAGAAAATTAATATCATTTAGATTTGCTGTACGGCACATTGACTCATTTCTCATCAAAATAGACAAACAATGTGGCGTTTGTCCCATTTGGGGCATCGATTGGGGGAAGGGCAAGTATGAAGGTGGGTAAAGCAGCAAACGATTTCATCCGCAGTTCCTCATTTGGGCCGTCACACATCACTCTGATCTGTAAGCGGCATTCACATGCAGGTTCATCATATTTCAATCATTCCTCTGAGCAGTTCTGGATCTGTTCATTTTGCAACACGCCTCCTTTTGATTCGAGTTGGGGCCAGTGGTAAGTCATCTTGCTCAGATAAGTGTGGCGACGCAAGAAGGCCGGTGCTGACTTTATTCTCTTCATGCTTAGATCTTCCTGAATCACGAGCGTGACTCTCCGATTCGTTCTCCACTGACCCGTGGATACGGTTGGATTCATGTGGCTTTCGTGTACTCAGATGACTGAGTTGCACATCTTCATGAGCTGGGGAGCCGGACCAAGGATGAGTGCCAGACGCGACTAGTCCATTGGAGGAAGAGGCCAGCTGCTGATGCAACCGTTTAGAGATGCTTTTGGTACGGCTCGTTGTTGGAGATCGGCGACGGTACCCAGGCTGCGATACATGGTTGGGCGATCTTGATCGGGGGCGGGCCTGAGCCATGCGAGTGGACCTGACACTCTTACTGGTGTCTGGGCTTGGGTCTGTGGCGCTTGGAAACCAACTGCGCTGCAACCAGTAGCCAACACCGGGGCTTTTTTCAAGTTCAGACAACTCCAGGGTGCTCGAATCCCTCTGGTGCTTGCTTGGTGGCAGCGGGGGTTGTTCGCTGTCGCGTGAATCCTGCTGAGAGGGGGATCCACGAGCAATATTTTGATGACTAGGCTCAAGTTCCGAATCCTCAACCCCGAGCTCGCTAGCATCCAATCGATGGTCGATTTCTAGAGACTTTTGACGCCAACCTGCAGCCCGCCGTTTCACAGACAACCATGAATACTCACGACCGGTCTGCTCGCGAAACTGCGACGCGAGATTCACCCAGAAGCCTTTCGCTGGCAGCTCACCATCTGGCACAGAGGGCAATTTTTGTTCATAGAGTCTCTTCAGAACGCCCTCTTGCGCAAGGGTAAGCTTCTTGCCACGGCCTGTGCTGGGACGGTGATCGATTACTATATCGCTGATTTTGGTCCCACGGGCTGATGCAAGATCCATTGCGGGAATCCCTGGAGGCGATGCCGGGTTGTGGGTCTTAGGTCTGACTGACGATCATCTGGTCTTGTTGGGCATGGGGACGCCACGCTGCCACCGGGTTGAATCACTGGGCTTGAATGTGGATGGATATCACAGGGCTGGACCCACAGATCAAGGAGATTAAGAATGCCAGTGGCTAAACTAAAGGAGCGTAAATGACACTGGAAGTGGGTCGGAAAGGTCGGAGGCGCGTCGCGTCGCGTTTATCCCGCGTTTTGGGCACTGACACGTGATTGTCACAAATCGATTAATGTGGGTTACGGGATTCGGTCTTTTTGCGCGTATACATGCATACTATTGCTTCATTCAGTTAGATATTTGGTCATGTCTACTAGCATCCTTGGTCTTAGGATTCGGGCACAATACACTTCTACGTGAATCAGTGAGTCAATATCGCCAGTGAGAATCAGGGTAAATAAACAATAGATACAGAGATTATTTGACAATCTAACCAGCGTTTCAAAACACCTGGTAGGATTAACTTATCTAGAGTTACCCTGTACATCACAAATTAGGCACAGCAGCTGCACAAGGGCAACCGTGCATGAAGACAGAGCACGTGAACCGCGTGGTCACAACCCTAAATCAACGACATCAGGACCATCCTTTACGATGTCTCCGGCAGACCTGCTGTCGGAAGTCCATCAAGTTACTATCTATAGGTATAAGTCGCTGGCTATTACGCAAGACCAGTGACAGAAGGATTAGCAATCGCATAACCGCACCAGCAGGTGGCTTAGTACTGTCATCAGCTCCATCTGGGATAATCTCGGGCATATTTCCTATTACGACGAGTGATGCCTGGCTCATTCTAGATGTTGACTGACGAGGCAATTGGCTTTAGGTTTGGAGACGAGGATAACTCAATGATTTTAAATAGAGCACATCCCAAGTCAACACATGATGCAGCAGAGTCCGCCGATAACTCGAGCATTTCTACACAAAATGTGACAGCGCCGTTGATTAGCTGGAGATCAGGTGAACAAACTCGACAGCCATGATCTAGGATTTTCTTCAACTTAATACTCAAATTCGATATGAGGGGTATATAGATATGTATCAACGTTTCGAACATCAACGTGTCACCCAATAAACATTCCCTGAAACACCTCCGCCAACGCCAAACACGAGCGAATTACTATGTAATCAGCATTCATCAAATCGGAGATCACGTCCAGCAAGATCACCTAATGACAGAGCTGAATCCATTGCGCAATAATATCCTCCATGTCATGCGCAATACCCCACTGAGAAGATAAGCACCGGAAAAGCTTTTGCATAGAGTTGAGCTCATAAAGCAGGTTCCTGACAGAACCACCAATAGGAAGCGGAAGCGAGGAAGCCCCATTTCCGTCCTCGACGAAGCGCTTTGTCTCTGAGCCAGATCGAGGCCGGATATCCTCGTTTCCCAGGTTGAGATCCGAATGGGACAGCAAAGCATCTTGCCAAACGGTGTTACGAGGCAAATTCACAGTAGCGACTCCTGCAAGTGAAAAGACAACGAATATTGTTGCCGCTGCAAATAGTGAGCTGGGCATGTGGACGGCGTGCGCGCGACCACGTGGTAATTGCTCTACGATGTCTTGAATGGCGACTGCGTGGAGGACGGCCCGCCGCGCGTCTTCTGAATTGGCCCATTTGACTAGATCGAAGCCAGGGCGGACAGTTCCGCATCCACCAGAGACGTGCTGGATAATGTTGTAGCGCGAGCAGACGTGGCGGGAGAGGGCGGTAGAGTTGATCGTTGTATCTCAGGCAGACTGTGTGCCAACGCAGTAGAATCTCGAGTCTCTCTGCTGCAGTAAAGTGGATGCTCATGGATATTGTCTCATGAACTTGAGCTAGGGCTCGCCGGACGTCTGATTGGCTAGGAACTCCCACGGCTAATTCGTTGTCATCAAATTCGGAGGTTAGAGACTGGAGCCCTTCCAGCACCACACGCAGTGAGAAGGCGGAGAACCTGTACTCTAGAGTGCGGAAATTCCCAACCGGTGGGAAGAGGGAGCGGAAAATCGTTCTGAATGAGGATTGATCCGGCTTTTGTGAGTGCATATGAGCCAACCATTCATTGGCAGTGCTGGCATCAAAGGCTTCCTCGCTACTTGGGAGGCTAAGTGGGTTTGCCACATGGCGAGAAGAGGCACCATCACTCGACGTTTGAGCCACAAGCCCGTCCAGGACGTAGTAGGCTAACAGAGAGCGTTGCTGGATCTCCCGCGCAGACCAGATTCGCCACTGGTGTTCCTTTTCTGCAGCGGGAGCATCGACCGAGGGGAGGTTGTCCAGTGAGTATGGCTCGCTATCATACATGCCGCAGTGCCTTGCCCATAAGAAGCCAAGCGGGTGGAATACCTGACTAGTGGTTCGAATTGCCCGGTTCTTCGATAGCGCCCCATAGATCTGGCCCAGCAGGGCTGTGATCATCAGCTGAACTCCCTTGCATGCATCATATGGGCCATTATGTGTGATCATAGACTGCCATGAAGTCGAAAGTGCGGTATGCGCTAGGCGCCACAGGGCTTCGCCCTTTGCAACCGAGTCCTTGGGGCCTAGGTACAAAGAGCCGATAGCAATGGCATTAAGAAGGAGAGCATGCGTGCATTCGCGGAAAACAAAGGTTGCACGATGCAAGATTGGGAATGTGGGGATGAAGCGGACGAAGAACATATGAAGACATTCGTCGAGGAATACTGAGGTGATGGATGTAGCTTTGACGGCGGCGGTAACACTGGATGACTACGAAAATAGAACGTCAGATTCGATCGATCTCGGTTCAATCTGTGTCTTGACCGAGGTTTTTAACAACCCACTTGTCTGACAAAATGCAATACTCGACTCACCGAGCTCGTTACCATCTCTGTGACATCTTGCACTGCCTGGTGACCTCCACCGGACGGTATTTCCCCGACAGTAGACCTATGGTCATCGAATAGATTCGGAGACCCAAAGCTCATACCATTCATATCCTGCACAACAGGTGGAAACGGCAAGGTACCAAGCGGCATCTGCCATTGGTCTGTCGTATCCGAGGACATCAAGCTTTGGAACAAGTCTTCCGAATCAGGCCAGACCAACTCAAAGTCCAACTCCGAGGCAACATTATGCATACTTGCATGATCTCCGGGATGAGACTCGTCCCATGAGTGACTTGTTGCTGAAGTTGACGCCGGATCCCCAGTGGAAGCACTTGTCGTATCCCAAGAAGGGAGAGAATTCAAAGAGGTAGGATGTGGCGGTAAGTGAACCTCCGAAGAGCCATTCTTTGCATTTATAGCACGAGCATGCAGCTTTTCATGGCGAGTAAGAGCATCCTGTCGGGCAAAGGGCCTTCGACACTCTTTACAGACATATGGTTTAGATCCCGTATCTAAGTCTTCTGGTCAGCTGGGTGGGTATTTCCTTTTGAAACTTGTTCAGAGTCAAAAAGAAAGGACTGGAGGATCTGAAAATCAGAACATACGGCAACGCTCATGTCTCTATTGGGACCCGTTAGTTTATCTCGTATCACTTGGCGGTCCCTCCTTCGTGGGGAAGTTGGATTTGAAGCCTTGGGAGTCTACTCACCCTCAAGTGTTCGGCCTTGGAGAATGCTTTCTGGCATACTCGACAAACCAGTTTCTTGCCTCCGGACACCGCAGGCGGTGCCGTCATTATCCCCATTGACGCCATTTTGTGGATGAGGAGAAAGAACAGCAGAGGAAAGTAGATTGTGGGGAGGGAATTGTGGGGTGTGGGACTGCTTATGCGATCACGGAAATATATTTTGCCAGCCTCAGAGTGCTTGGGACATCTTGAAGACAGCCTTGGAATGTACATACAGAAACCAGGTTCGAATGTATATTTACTCTACGTGAACAAAAGAGAAAATGCCGTACGATCAGCCAAAATTGAAGAGGGTTTGTTCGAATTCAAGTCAACCATCCAACCTTTGAAGCGTTCAAGCGTTCAAGCGGACATAAGGCGTCGTGGCAATACAGCCAAGGAAGTGTGATTGCTATGGTCTTCTTCCCGACTTCTCTCCACAACAGTGCTCAGGCCGAGCCTCATATAATGCGTCGCAAGTTCGCGCGGCTTGCAGGCAGCATCGAAATGCCGTCCGATCCAGAATTTCCCAGGATGAACGGTGTATTCAGCGAAAATAAATAGCTTGATCCCAGGGAAATTGCGCCAAGACGCCAAAGTAGAGAGCCTTTCGGTACTTGGCTCGGGATGGAAGCCGTACTGTATAGGAAAAAGCTTCATCGGCTAGCCGTGGCCAAGTGCCATGGCGATGCCTTTTACATCACTCCATGACATCGATTTATTTAGCGGCATGCTGACTCGCTGGTACCGATGCTTTCTAATCAGAAACCGTGGAGTGCCTCCGCATTTCTCTCCATGGTGACCCCATTTTCTGTCCATTTCCTCCCCGAAGGACCCGCAACGGAGCCGAGAACCCCGGAGAATACCAACCCCAGGAGCAGGGGAGATCCGACTGGGCGAACGCTGTGTGCTTAGTGCCTTAGCTATCCACATTATGCACACTCACCCTGGCATTTTTTACCAGTCCCTCGCTGATTTCGCGTCCCCAGCGGAGCTGCAGAAGCCCCCAGATCTGTGGTCATTGTTGTTTGCCCCTGTGCCCTCAATTGGTTCACCCTGAGATATTATTTTCAGTTTCCAGTTTCCTGTAGTCCTCTCATTCAATACTCCCCACGCTCCCTCCGGCTATTTCAACCACGGTCAACAATACCACGTTGGATCATACATAGAGGGTAATTTCGAGCCTTTGAGTGCCTGTCTGATTCCACTGGTCTCACCGGGAACGCAAGCAATATGGCATCCTTCGAGTTGCAAGCGAACTCGTCTCGGCGAGACGAGGGCGAGGAGGTTCCAGGCACGAAAGCCGACATCGACCTCGTTGAGAGTGCAGGACATGGACGGGCAGCCACGTACGCCGAGTCAATGACTGCTCGTCTGCCAAAAGCACACCGAGACTATTTGATGGAGCGACACGGGACTTTGGAACTTGATCCTGTTCCCGGAATGAGTCCAGCTGACCCTTACAACTGGCCTGAGTGGAAGGTAAGTCAATATTCTTTTTGCTACAAATCAAAAGGAAAAGCCCCTCGGACAGAAGACTGATGTATCGACGCGCAGAAAATGATTAACCTCATCCTTGTGGCATTCCACGCTTGCATGGGCACATTTACCGCGGCCGGCATCATCCCTGCCTATTCGGACATCTCCAAAGAACTCGGCGTCGGAATGCAAGATGCTAGTTACTTGACCTCTTTGCAAATTGCAATCCTTGGAGGTGCGCCTCTGTTCTGGAAGCCGCTATCCAACCGGTATGGCCGCCGGCCTATCTTCCTTGTTTCTCTGATCTGCAGTCTCGCATGTAATATCGGCTGTGCCAAAAGCACCACATATGCCTCTCTGGCTGCTTGTCGGGCCCTGGTGGCGTTCTTCATTTCGCCTGCCTCTGCTATCGGTAGTGCGGTCGTCATGGAGACAACCTTCAAGAAAGACCGCGCCCGTTACATGGGCGTTTGGACATTGCTCATCACCCTGGGTGTCCCAGTTGGGCCTTTCATCTTCGGCTTCGTCACCTACCGAGTTGGTCATCACTGGATCTACTGGATCCTCGCAATGGTAAGCTCTCATCCCCATTGTAGTTAATAACCCTGTCCATGGGCTGATGAATCCAAAGATCAACGGCGGCCAATTCATCTTGTATCTGTTCTTCGGCCCTGAAACCCTTTATCTGGGCAGCGGCATCGACAGCAAGGAGTCAGCGAGGAAAATCGAGTACATGTCACTACGACGGATCGACCCCACGCCATTCTCATGGTTCGAGTTCGTCCGCCCACTGACAATGGCTCGACACCCATCAATCCTCCTCCCAGCATGCGCATATGCAATGGTCTTCCTCTTCGGCAACATTCTCGCAACCGTCGAGATTCCCCAACTCCTAGAAAAGAAGTTCGAGCTCAACGCCGAACAGCTAGGGATGCAGTTCCTAGGTGCGATCATAGGCTCCGTAATCGGCGAACAAATGGGCGGCGTGTTATCAGACTTCTGGATGAACCGGCGTAGTCGACGTATCTGCGGCAAGGCTGAGCCAGAATTCCGCCTGTGGCTTAGCTACTTCGGTTTCGCGCTCACCATCATCGGAATGATCGTCTTCCTGGTTTGCACGCAGGAATCGCCCAGCGGGCACTGGAATGTCACGCCCATTATCGGCACCGCTATTGGTGCTGTCGGGAACCAGCTTGTCACCACGGTCATGATCACCTATGCCATCGATTGCTTCCCGCAGGAAGCTGGTAACATCGGTGTCTTTATCACCTTTGTCCGACAGATCTGGGGTTTCCTTGGTCCCTTCTGGTATGTTTTCTTCGCGCCCGCCCCCTCATTTTGTTTTGCAGCGTCGTCGCTAACCTCATTTTAGGTTCGCTCCTATGTTCGAGACTGTCGGTATTGCTCCCAGCGCGGGTATTGGGTCCGCGCTGGTTGTCGTCGTCAGTGTTATTCCCACCATCTTCCTGCACTGGCGGGGTAAGGTTTGGCGTAGCGAGGAGTAAAGGGACTGGAGGGGAGATCGACTTCGGTTCGGTATTTCGTGTTCAGACGTTTCGGGGTTATTGTTTCGATTTTGACGTTTAGACCATCGGTGGATATGATAGAGTGATCGGGTTCGGGTTCGTATGAGATTCGGCATCGGCATCGGCATCTCCATCGGCCTGGACCACGGGCGAGGTTCGTGATTGTATATAGATTGACACACAAATTGCATGATTCTCCAAAGGGCTTTGGCAATCTGCGAGGGGAAAATCTGCTGTCAGTATAGGATAGAAGCATAAAAAAAGAGTAGTTGAATTCTGCTCATATCACCATCTGTAGAATGTGCAAAGAGGCATCAACTTTTGAGACCGCCAAGAACAACAACATTGATGCATAGAAAAGAAGAAAACAAGTAAGGGAATGAATTTTCAATCAACAATACAAATCCAGCAAAAGGGCTTCTCAAAAGAAAAGAGCCGGAAATTGTCTTTTAAGAACGGGGACAACTCGGGACACCGACCCGGTTCAATCCCGTAGCGCTGAAATCGAACCATCGCGGGTCAATGAAGCCATGTCATGCAATTGATGACTGCCGGGTGAACAGTTCGGCTTGCGCTTCTGGCTAAATCTTTCTAGTCGGGCACTATAAACGAAATGCAGAAGTGGGAGGTTATTCCTATACAGTTATGCTATAGGCTCCGCGTTAGTAGGATAGTAACATTATAGCAGTAAAAGGAAAACTCTGCTAAGCCTGTAAACATTAAATACATGGTTTCGGCTTACCTATTGGCATATTTCTCCCGTTCTCTGAGCACTTTAGCCCTTGTCTACAACAAAGTTGTCCGAAATGCCAAGTAGGATCTACAGGGCGATGTGGCGGGAGAGATTTACTCCGTCCATGGAAGAGTTTATATCCGGCTGAGCTATGTGATTGGTCAAAGCTTCTCTATACGGCCGTTGACTCGCATTTTTGAAGCATCCCTTGCCTTGTGACTTGGGCCAGGAATTAAATATACCCAGTCCGGTGGCTTTGATAGTCATTAGTGGTTGTGGTAGTCGTGTCGTGTATCCAAGGAGAATTGGGAACATGTGCATGGATGTGCAAAAGATTACCTCGCATAGAGTTTACATTATTACAACATGCATAAGTATTTAGTAGCTGTCAGAGCAACTGAAAGTCTTATTGAATATATATAGATAGGGAGCTATTGCCCCGAAGGGCTACATTTATCATTTTACATACTGGATTCATGACTGGTGCTCGATCTTGTTGATGAGTGTTCCAACATAGGGCAGCAGCTCGACGGCGAACTCGTCGCCAGCCTTGAAAAATTCCTTTGGATTCTTAGCTGCACCAACGCCAGGCGGGGTGCCAGTCAAGATAATTGTACCGGCAGGCAGGGTGGTACCTTGAGAGAGGAAGCTAATCAGCTGGGGGACGGTGAAGATCAGGTCACTGCGATGAAATCCAATGTTAGCTGGTGTTATATTCCATATACCAGAAGCAATGCGAAGCAAATCTAACGTACGTTAAGGGGCAGTCCTGCATCACCCTGCCGTTCTTAAGACCACGGATTTGGAGCTTGCTGGCGTCCGGCAAAAGGGCAGCAGAAACGAGAACGGGGCCTATAGATATCAAGTCAGTGCCATTCTTCTGCATAGTTTACAGCCTCAATGGACATACCAATCGGGCATGCGCCGTCAAAGCCCTTTGAAAATGACCACTGGCTCTGGTTCATCTGAGAAGTGCGGCTGGAAACATCGTTCGCGGCTGTGTAGCCAAGGACATAGTCGAGGGCCTCGGACTCGGGCACATCCTTAGCATCACGGCCAATGACAATAACCATCTCAGATTCATAGTCGCCGGTGTTATCCTGCTGCGTAATCTTAGGCAGAACTGTTGGCGCAGGCCAAGGATCCGCCAGAGAGCTAGCCGGCTTCATGAACAATGTCGGGACATCGGGGATCGGGAGCGCCATCTCCTTAGCGTGGGAGGCATACTACAGTGCGCATTAGCAATTTATTTCCTTTGGATGTCCCTCTTCTCATTGAAAACACACGTTCAAGCCAATACAGCGAATAGTGCCAACTTCGCTTTGCGCCAAAGGGGACAGGATGCGCGCGATGGTCTCCGTCGCGTCAGTCACTTGGCCAGGGCTCAGAACTGAAGTGCCGGAGAACGGGCGCACTGCAACCTCCTTTCCCTGGTAAAGAGCCAATCCGACATCTAACTGGAGATCGACAGGCTCTCCGATTAGAACCTTGGCGGGGTTCGACCTGGGGACAAAGCGCACCAGGCCTATTTTTCGTCAGTCTGGGATCCGGGGTCAATTTGAGGGTCCTTACGCGAGAAGGTAGATGCGATTTTAGACATGACGGTATTAATTGGAGAATGAGAAAGAGGATACAAGTAGATTAAAGCAGAGCTCCATATATAATAAGGGCTATCGTGACCGATAGCGGAGTATGTCTGCCCCGACGCTGGATAAGCCGGAGGGGCAGCCTCCCACAATGTGGGGAAGTGGCGAGCGCGGCCGATTTCAACTTTGAGAATAAAAAGAATAGAATTCCCGCGATGGTGGGATTTTTCTAATTATACTCCGTTTCCCGTCATCATGTCTGCTCCTAAAGGTCCCTTCCGCCTGGTTAGTGTCAACACCGCACCCGAGCGCGCCAAGCGCCTCATCGGCCGCGTCGCCGAGGCTCTGAGCGACCGGTACACTATCATCCACGTCGACAACTGTGAGAGTAAGCATATTGAGCGTCATTGGGGGTGAATTCTGGTTGACAGATCTTGGACAGAAATTGACGAAGTTGAGGCCAAGGTCAAGCAACACAACCCCGAGGTTCTGGTAAGTCCGACTCCGGGATTTCCGAGCATGCTCGAGCGGGAATTCCGCATTAACATCGTGAATAGTTCAGCGCCTCTATGTGGTCTGCCGAGGAGGCTCAGCAGATCCATCAGATTGCCCGCTCTGTTCGACCCGACATCAAGCTTCACGCTATTCCCCAGGGCTTGCAGGTCGAGCGTGGTCCCGATGCTATTGTTGAACATCTGCTTGAGAAGGTTCCGGTGCTGCTGGACAGCTAGAAATTGTAAATATGAACATGTATATACCCATGCCTCAATGAACGTTCCTTGACTGGCCTTTCAAGATGTTGCACTCAGTTTGGTATGTCCACAATCATGTGCGTTTGGGGGCAAGGCTTCTTGTCATATCAGGCATATCTGCCGGTGTTTAAGCAACACAATATGTTATTGTAAGACACGGAGAGCATATCGCAATATGACCTCCAAGATAGAAGATAGAGACTTTCTCCACGGAAGTCGGAGTGGAATGTGTTGTTGAGTCTTGCTTCCCCCGTGTTCCTTTCTCAAGGTCAGGAAGTGAAGACCTGACTTGGACAGAGTCGACAGTTTAGCTGCATGTTCAGTATCGTATCGGTGTCACTGGATGGTTCTTAAGCAAGCAGAAGAACGAATCCATGAAAAATCATGAGATGGAAAAACTCAGGAGCTCTGGTCAAAGACGCTCCCAGCTTCCCTCGTGATGAGGTCTGAGTCCAGGTACTTACGGTAGACAGAGTGCAGTAGGACAGTTGTGTGAAAATTCAACCGTGAGTCAATTCAACCGTGAGTCCCGTACCGTGTGACCCCTCGGCTGGATTTTACCCTTCATCCTTCGTCTTCATGAAGACTTTGCGGGCATCGGCTCAAGCAAAGCGAAAGTACTAAACTCCGGGGAATTGGGCTACTTACAAATACCTTCCACCTAGAAGCGGACTCTGAGAGCTTGGACGCAGTTATGGTGCTCATACATTGCCAGTCATTGCACCAGCAATAAGACGGCAGCTTGATAGAGCAATCCTCATTCTATTCCAGAACAGTGACATCTCATACGGGGTCCGTATCACAGACCTGACACTGAACCTCCTTGGCCCTTGGCAAGGCAATGGCACAACCCGAGATATTTCTATGCAATGCTCCAGGGCTATGTGCATGGTGTCCGTCGATTAGGCCACCTCCCAAAGATTCCAAAACCAAAAGCAACCGCCTCTCCCGGAGATCTTGGATCCATCGAGCCAAACTGAACGAATACTCCCCAGCCCCCAAGCCTTCAATCCACACATGATCAATACGGTCATTAAAGTTGCATTTGCTCCAAAAAAAGGGCACTTGATGACTTCCCGTCCAATAGTCATCCGGTGAATACGAGCTTCGTCCCGCTGCCACCCTTGGCACCTTGGCGTTCAGGGTCAACCAGGTATAAATCCCCCTGTTATCACTTCACTAGGCCAGAAAACGAACCATTTCTACGGCGAAAGCACGTGCTTATAAACTCGTGCCCAATCGGACCATTGTTGATTTTTTCCCTAGTTTTTTTGTTTCTTCTTCACGAACAATCGGCATGATGAGCTGACATACAATTTCATTTTGATACCCCTATGAACTGATCCACGATTTCAAGAGCAATGTTACTTCGTCACACTTTTCTCTCACTACCCTGGTCTTGCTAGCCATCCCAACGGGAGTATTATCACGAAAGGGCGGCGATAGCTCTAGCAGCGACAGCGACAGCGATAGCAGTACCTCCGGCGGCTCCAGCGGGTCTAGCGACTCCGGTGATAGTGATGACACCTCTTCAACAACAACATCATCCTCGGGCGGAAACCGCTGCTCCGATACGCACCGCCTCGACTTTGACGATCTTCAACCTTCACACTACTACCAATACAACCGGGCACCACGCCGTGGCCATGCTAGCGCTTACAGCGACTGGGATGGCGTCTTCTTCAAGGGCGAAGCCAGTCTCAAATACACCATCATAACACCACCAAACAATTTGACAGAAGGCGACATCGTTAGTTCATCGCTGATCACATGTCCCGTCGGCAAACAATCCATGCGCATGCTGGGCGCTGCATGGGTCGGCGCCAAAGCTCCCACTCCCGCGGGACCCGTCAATCCCTTCACGTTGGGTTTCAAGGCCTGGGAGAGCAACATCCGCGTTTCGGATATCGACTATTCATACAGTGTGTGTGAAAACCTGGATCTCATCCGACTCACCACGACGGTGGACTGGTACAGTGGAGGTTCAGTCGAGAAGGCCATGGATGCGGTTGCGTTAAACATAACCCAGGCGGCGGATAACAGCAACAAGATTTTGTTCGACGGGGTCTATGATCTCAAAGACTGGGCAGATAGTGAAAGGAACTCCATGGAACCGGCAGAGTATGACAACTCGGGTCTTCGGGATCAGATGATTTCCCTTCCAGATAGTCTATGCTCGGAGGGGAGAAACTTGGGCAAAGTCCTCATTGGGTGGCCCACTGGAACACACATCAATGGGTCTATGACCAATGAAACGCTTGAGTTGAACTTTTCTGGCTCGACAGTTGCTGGGTTTGAACGTGGTTTCGCAGTTACCGACACCGACACAAAAGTAAATGTGACTTTTGAATTGACATTCACGGGTAGTTTTGATGCTGCCAATTCCTCGCAGGTGGTTCTGCCAGGAGCGTCGAGCCAGAATGCGTCACTAATCAGTTTTGAGAGGGCCACTGGTGGTGCTACTGTGACAAGTCTCTCATTGTACTATGTACTACTATCTCTATTGGTCAGTTTGGGGATGATGGCTGTATGAGGGTACCATTTTGAGAAGGAAATATACCAAGTTATCAACAATATCGATTATTTTTCATCTTCTACTTCCTTTTCCTTGTCGTCATGTAAAAACTGAAAGAACAAGCGAATTTACCTTCAATTTATACTCCACCTTCTGCTAACCCCTCAACAAGCTCCGATATCACTGGGCACATATCCTAATATCAAATTTACGAAACCGCAAATAGCAGGAACCAAGAATCACATAGTCAGTATCCGTCTTTGCCCGAAATAATTCCGTAACAAGGACCATTCTTGCTGAACATGGCCCGCAAATCCTGGACAATAGAGTCTGGAACCTCCCAAGCGGCAAAGTGTCCTCCACGGGAATGCTCTTTCTGTTGAACAACCGGGCCCAAGCCAGCAGCCCAAGAGCAAGGAATGATAGAAATTTCCCGAGGGAGGTGCGCAATTCCCAGCTTCACACGCGGCACGTAGGAAATCAACTCGTTGTATGACTTCCCGGATATCCCGGCATGAAAAGCTTCATAGTATATGCGGACACTTGCCGCGGGCCCAGCTGCAGAAAACCAGTAGATAGATATCCAGGTTAGGATTTCGTCATCTGTCCAGGGGTATGAGTCTGTCCAGTCATGCAGCTTCTCGTAAATCCAGGCTAACAAGGCAACAGGACTATCTTCTAGAGCCGCGCCAATAGTCTGCGGCCTGGTGCTTTGGAGTTGATTGTAACCGTAGCCTTCTCGTTCGAACCATTCATTCCTTTTGCGGCCTGCTTTTTCCCGCTCATTATACGGTAGCAATGCGTGTTGCAGGGCTGACCATGGGTTCTCGGTGAATCGAGGGGGGGTTGGCTAGCACCATGTTGACATGGGAGGCTTGGCAGTGATCGGGGTATAGTAGACCGATGGTTCTAGTAATCCAGAAGCCCCAATCTCCACCCTGAGTCACTGTACGCATAACCAAGTCAGTCCTGGGGGTGCGTTACGATTTTTTCCGGGACATACCGTACTGGTCATAGCCCAGCTTGATCATGAGCTTGTGCAAGGCTTCTGCATACTGTGCAAGTCCAAACCCACGACGAGTCACTCCGGAAGAGAAGCCGAAATTGGGCAGTGATGGAGCCACAACGTGAAATGCAGGACTGTCGTTGTCGCCTTTCAGCATCGGGAGCAGTTTTGTGACTTCAATAAACGATCCAGGCCCTATACGTAGATATTAGAGTTCGTCATGCGATAGAAGAGAAGATCGATACTCACATCCATGACTAAAAAGCAGCGGGACCGCGTTCTTGTGGGTGTTGATGTGATGGACATCTACAAGTTAAGCCCCGTGAATATCGAACCTTTGAGAATATCTGTACAAAACTCACAGTGGATATCCAAACTGCCAAATCCATCTACCTCGATCTGCATTTTATATTGGGGCAGCTCATTCAGCTTGGATTCTGCCTTCCGCCAATCAAAGCCATCTTTCCAATAATCTATGAGTCTCTGTACTTCTTTCACTGGGGTTCCAAAATCCCAAGGATCTTGTTCGGAGGACTCCAGCTGAGTTGCGAACTTGGAAAGTGCTAGGCGCTGCTGAAGGTCTTGGAGACTCTCATCAGGAACGGAAATATTGTACGGCTTTGGTTGATCGGCCATAATGAGATGATTTTGTTTTGATAAAAATTAGAAGCGATAGTATCTGATGAGGCAGCGGGGGTAGCGGGGACTTTGAGCTTTGGTGAGATGAAGTCGGCTACCTACTTAAGGTAGTGCCGAGGTCGCAGAATTGGGGGCCAGACCTCGACCAGTGAGACCTTGACTTCGACACATAACGAGGTAAGATTTCGTCTTTTAAATTGTACCGCGAGTAGACAGGAAACGCGCTATTGCAATTATATGCTCACATTAACTCATGCCAACACGGCCGGGCCCATCTTGTACACCAGCGCTTGGCAATGGTAATTGTGGGGTTGCCGGGCTCCTCTAACGGTCCCGGGGGGGGGGGCCTCACCTCACCGCCAGTCATGGCGGCCCCCGGCATACACGCCACGCCTAACGCAGCAGAGTACCAAATTATTTGGTAAACACCAGCTAATCTCAGTGACAGATATTGAATTGAGGTTTGGTGTCAATTTTACCTTACAAGTATGTCGTCTCTATCTCTATGGTAATTATTCTAATTTAATGTATCTACAATCTCACCAATTAGCAATAATAATAAAATCAAAGGGTTGTAACAAATTTTGCTGTAAGCAGAAGTGATGACATTTAGGGGGCTGTGGTGGCCTTGGTTGGCCTTGGGCTGGGGGCTTCGTGGGCATCCCTTCCCGGGAATTTTGTGGCCGGAGCCTTTGATGGCAGGGTCCCCTAGAAAGCGCCGGCTTCAAAGCCCCGCCCAGTAGTGCCCGCCCGCCCCCTTCCAAGGCAATCCCCCCCCCTGGGGCTGGGCCCGGCCCCGGCCATAAAACTCGCTTAGTCAGCGAATGGCTTGCCCGCGGGCCCGGGCGGTATTTCCAAGGTTCCCGATCATTATTGATCCAACTTTTCATACTTGCCATTCTCTCAACACAAAGGTCAGAACATGTTCTCCCTCAGGGCGGTTGCACGTGGTGTTCCCGGCCTCCGGGCTTTCTCCACAGCCCGTATGCTGCAATCCGAGCTGGCATATCAAGTCTTTGGCCCGGAAAACGGGCAAGCTGTCCGAGACCCCATCCTGATTCTACACGGACTCTTTGGATCAAAGCAGAACAATAGGAGTATCGGCAAGTATGTTTTGTGACCAGATCTTTGGATAAAACCCCTTGTTCTTACAGATGTCCCAGGGCTTTAGCACGGGATCTGAAATGCCAGATCTTTGCACTGGTAAGTTTCTGTTGTCCCTGGCAAGACATGAAAAAAAATGTAATCCGAGGATGCTAAGCAAATCCGAACAGGATCTACGTAACCATGGTCAATCTTTCCATGCCCCCGAGCACAATTACGGTGCCATGGCAGAGGATGTGCAGGAATTTATCCAACAGCAGAAACTGGACAAATGCGTCCTGATCGGGCACTCCATGTACGTGATCATATTCCCCATGTCAAGTCCAGCTCTAGCTCGCAAATTATCCGTCTTGCGTGCTATTCTCATGCTAATCATTGGTAAAGGGGTGCCAAAGCTGCAATGGCAGTAGCACTACGCGCCCCGGAGCGCGTGTCAGCTTTGATCCCCGTTGATAACGCACCCGTGAACGCATCCTTGAAGAGCGATTTCCCCAAATACGTTCGCGGCATGCAGAAAATCGAAGCTGAGAAGGTATCGAAGCAATCCGATGCTAACAAGATTCTCGAAGACTACGAAGAGGTAAGGGGTGTTCATCTTTTTAATGACTAGGGGGGGAGAAAGCGCGGGGGCCGATGAGCCTAGCATCCTCCGGTAATATTTAGCATGCTAACGCTATTTAGTCCCTTCCAATCCGCCAATTCCTTCTCACAAACTTGATACGTTCCGAGGAAGATAACACACTTAAGTTCCGAGTGCCGCTATCCATCATCGGCGGGTCGTTGGATCATATGGCCGATTTCCCTTTCAAGGAATCTGATAACCTGCAATACAACGGTCCGACGCTCTTTGTTCGTGGCACTAGGTCTAAGTATGTTTCGGACGACACGGTGCCGGCCATTAAGAAGTTCTTCCCCAACGCGCAGATTGCGGACGTCGAAGCGGGTCACTGGCTCATTTCTGAGAACCCTGAAGCATTTCGTCAAGGTAATGGCCCTCTTTCTGACAAATATTAATAGTATATTAGGCTTACACGATATTTATAGCGGTCGTGAAGTTTTTGGGGTCGACATAATCGGGACCCACATTATTGGGGTAGCATATCGGTCACGTGACTTTGAAGATTAGACGTATGTGGAGAATTCCATGTACAAAATAATAATTCACCCAGTGGTGTGCTGAGTAATGTAATATCGATTCGAGTAGCAAATCGCCAGTCAGGCTTTGAGCCTACTAGCGAACTAGGTATCGATGGACCTAATAATGTTTCCCCTAAAGCTGGCTCATGTAGATGTTGTTGGTCATCATGGGAGGTCGTAATGCAAGGGTGATGCAAGGGGGGAAGAGGCCCACGGCGATAGTTGTGGAGAAAACGAGATCTATGAGATTAGGGCTGGGACCTACTCATTCTCCAGTTTGCTCCGCTTCCGCTTTTTGCCTGGTCTGTTTGAAGAATGGGAGTTCTCTTCCCAATCTGCTCTCTTCTTTGCCTTCTTCTTGTCCTTTCTGCTGGAGCCCGGAGTAAAAGATGACGGTCCCGAGCTAGGAGCCGGCGAAGACTCAACCACCGAAGAGGATTCGGCTGTGCTTCTTTCGTCCTCAGAGTCTGTTACAGAGGACACCCGTCGCTTTCCTTTCAGATGTTGAACCTGACGGGGTTCGGCAGATTTGCCGCCATACGGCGATGGATGACTGGAACTGGGCCCACTAGGCGTTTGTGATGGCTGTCGAACTTGCACCGCAGTGTGGTTTGACTTCGAAACGCTGGGTGTGGGATTTCCGGCATGTCCCTTCACGTTGAGCTCGACTGGTTGGTATGCACCTAGAGTAGGGCCCGTGGGGACTGTCTTGGGTGTTGCGGTAGGCCTGGGAGTAAAAGCAGCACGGCCGTTTGATTGGGGTTGAGGAGTTTCCGGCCCATCGATGCCCTCCTCCTTCTCCTCCTCCTGCTCCTCCTTGGCCCACTGAGCGAGAATCTCGACAATGCTTTCTCCTTTTCCAAGCCCTTTTCCAAGCACCTTGAAAGTGTCTTCAGCTTTCCTCAGGCGTTTGATGTACATCTTCACCTCATCCCCCTGCGCAGTGAATTGCTCCAATGATACCGGTGGTTCCCGCTTTCCAAGGGCTTCCACCTGTTCCTGGAGTCCGGTAAAATTGTTATCTTCGGCTTCCTTCCGATCTTTCAAATCTTTGAGCTTTGCCCTGAGAGCGTCAAGATCTGCATCTTCCTTCAAGCTTTTCAGTTGTGTACGGAGATTGGCGCGATCTTTGCCTTCGGTTTTGCTCCAATCTTCCAGGGTTTTCAGTCGTATCCGGATCGCGTCAAGAGTACCGGATGCTGTAGGGTTTCCCTCCGCCGCAGTCCCAGTTAACTCGTCGATCGTTCGTTGAACGGCCTCGAGTTTCGAGATGTGAGCATCGACCTTATTGATCAATGGTCCAATCTGGTCTGTGGACTCCGTGATACTTTCAAGTACACCAACCTGATCCTCGGCCCTTACAGAAATGCCTCCGATCGTATCGTCTTGAGCCTCGACCTTGTTGTGCAATTCACTCCGCAGTACAAGATTTCTCTGCAGCTCATCACTATGCTCTTGGATGGCTCGTTCGATTGGAACAAGCTTGTCAGAAAGGTCTTTGACCTGTTGGAGCAAAGTCGGCAACTGAGTCAAAGTCTGGAGTTGCTCGGGTGACACCTGTGGTGCTCGAGACATCTCTGCGCTGGCCTGTGCCTTTTGTGCATCTGCCTGGGCCTTTTGCGTATCTGCCTTCAATTGGCTCGTATCTGTCTTAAGCATCTCCGCGTCCGCCTTGAACGCGTCTGCATCTGACTTGAGTGTAGAAATTCTGGCTTCAATTTCACTTCGGTAGGCGGTCAATTGTTGACTCAGTTGATCAACAGAGGGGTACATTTCCTGCATGGCACGTGCCATGGAATTGACTAAATCGCCTGTAGTGATGTTGTTCCATCGATTTTCTAGCGACCGAATGCCCCTGGAGATAGACTCGATTTTACTCTCGCACTTAGTTACAGCCTGAGCAAGGTCGGAGACTGGAGTAAGGCTGGTTTTGAATGCATCTAGTTCACTTTGGAGGTTGTTTCGGAGGCGCTCCAAGCTTTCAGGCAAGGATGCTCTAAGTTGGTTAAAGTCCGCGCTGAGTGTCGTCTGACTGTTGGTCATTTCCTCGGATTTCTTCGTCAGGTCCTCCACCTTTCTTAAAGTGTCATCCTGTCTGGTTTGCAATGACTTTTGGCTCAACTCTTGATTCTGCTTTAAAGCAGCCAATTCACCTACACGCATGACATCCACCTCCTTGTGGAGGTTCGTAATATTGTTCAGGAGGTCTGCGTGTTTCTGAACTCTTTTTTCCAGAGACACCACTCTTGTAAACATCCCGCTGTGGGGAGTTGGGGTTGCTTCGGATGAAAGCCGGCCGCCGTTGTCAAGGCTTTGTCGCTGGGTTTTGAGTGAGGCCAGGAGATCTTCTTGGGCGGTAATCTTCTCCGTGGCCTGCCTCCTTTGGGCTTCAAAGTCGGTTTCAATCTGTGAGATCTGAGTTGACGTGCTATTGCTCAGATTATGTCGCTGAGTATCGAGAGTCCTGATATCACTTTCAATGGAAGAAAGCTTGCTCTCAACCAGCTCATTCGTACTTTTCAATTTGGAACCAAGATCCGAAATGTTGGTATCTAGCCGCTGGTTGGAATTTTCGAGCTCTTCCTGGACGGTGTCGACTATCTTCTTAATGGCAGCAATCTTACCTTCAAGGTTCTTGTCGGCAGCCTTTACTTCATCCTCGAGGCTTGAAATCTGGTCCATAAATCGACCACTCCGTTTAGATTGAACATTGACGGAGTTCGCGATCCTTCCCACGTATTCCAGTGCCTCCTTCAAGCCATTAGGATGCTCGAGGGCATGTTCCACTTTGTCCAGCTTTCCCCTGAGTTCAGTGATATCTTTGTCCCGGCTCCGCATGTCCGTTTGGACTCCTCCAACTTCGGTATTCCCTTTCATTGGATTGTCACCGCTGCCTGTCGGGCCAGGGCCTTGTCCCATTCCCTTGATCGTGGACTCCAGATTATCGACCCTCTCAGGTATCTTTTCGAGTTGGGGTTGAGGCTTGAACTGCGACAATGTCGAATTAAAGCTATCCTGCGCCTTATTGGAGAGTGATCGATACTGGGCAATCGATTTGACATGGTTGGCTAATTCATCTTTGGCCGCGTCCAGCTGTTGCTGAAAGAGAGCGATGACGCTCGGGAATTGTTGATTTTGCTTCGCCCTCTGTAGGTTTTTGGTGATAGAACCTATTTCCTTTTGGAGTCTCTCTTTCTCTTCCTCGCACTTGTTCAATTTGACCAATGAGTTGACCAAGTCTGAGATGGACAATGCACCTTGGCGACTAGGTGCATTTTGGTTGTCTGTGGACGTAGGGCCCAGGGCGCTATCAGGGGTCAAGAGTGGAGGCACCTGTGGGGCTGGGTCTGGAGGAGGTCTCTGGATCAAGAGGTTTTGGTGTGCCTGTTGGGTGTTCGATGATTGAGGACCAACTGGTGGCCTAGCGGTACCGGCTAGCCGAGGATCCTGCGCCTTGGTCGGAGGGAGCACAGATGGGAATAATGGGCCCCCCCAATCGCTTGCGGGAATTGAGGTTAGGAGAGTCAACATCCATTCTGCTGGCCATATTCCCTAGAGTGAATGTATTGCAAAATACTCATCGTACTTGCAAGACCTGCGGTGGGGTTTCAGAGGTCCACACAGAAGATGTGCAGTCTCCCCCAAAGTCCTAGAATTTACGCGTTCACCACGCGAAATCTTGGCCGTGAGGTACAGTGCTTGTCGGTGTAGGTATTGTTGAAAACGCCTAGTCGGTTCCCCTTGAGGTAGTCAAGGGAACCGGACAAGCCAGGTTGAAAAGCTGAAAAGCACCAAATTTGTGAAATCAGTTCAGGTGGTGGAAATACAACAAGTGGAAATGAAGTCAAACAAGAGACCGTTTCTTTGAGAAATTATTCTGCCGGGCGGTGAGATGCACGGGGATCTGCGATCTGCCCTGGCTCTCTCTCTTCTTTTGCTTTTCTAGAGCTTTGTCGCATTTTACCAACATAATCTTCTTGTTTAAGATACATTCCGCCCTGGAAATCTCCAAATATGGCTGTAGTGAGTTGAAATTCTTCTATAATATTCTCACAGTTGCTGACAGCAGAACAGCCAATCTCGACTGTCGCAGAGAGCAAGGAGCTCCGGGGACTGAATCTCATCGCCGCCCATTCGCATATCAGAGGCCTTGGTGTGGATGTAGACACCCTTCAGCCTCGGACATCATCTCAAGGCCTCGTGGGTCAGGAGAAGGCCCGGAAGGCCGCCGCAGTGATTTTGCAGATGGTGAGGGAAGGCAAGATTGCCGGTCGTGCCGTTCTGATTGCAGGACCTCCTAGCACTGGAAAGACAGCAATTGCAATGGGCATGGCACAATCTCTCGGACCGGATGTACCTTTCACCATGCTTGCTGCTTCTGAAATTTTCTCAATGGAGATGTCAAAGACAGAAGCCCTGACCCAGGCATTCCGGAAGTCCATCGGTGTGCGCATTAAGGAAGAGAGCGAAATCATTGAGGGTGAAGTTGTGGAGATTCAGATTGACCGGAGTGTTACTGGCGTGAGTGAATTACCTACGCGAAACGAATTAATAGCATTGGATACTGACTTACCTGCAGGGCAATAAACAAGGAAAGCTCACGATCAAGACTACGGACATGGAAACGATTTACGACATGGGGACCAAGATGATTGATTCGATGACCAAGGAACGAGTAATGGCAGGAGATGTGATCTCCATCGACAAGTCCTCGGGCAAGATCACCAAGCTCGGTCGGTCATACGCACGCTCTCGAGACTACGACGCCATGGGCGCCGATACCAAGTTTGTCCAATGCCCTGAAGGCGAACTTCAGGTTCGCAAGGAGATCGTCCACACCGTCAGCCTCCACGAGATCGACGTCATTAACTCGCGTTCACAAGGCTTCCTGGCCCTCTTCTCCGGCGATACGGGCGAGATTCGGAGTGAAGTTCGGGACCAGATCAATACCAAGGTGGCCGAGTGGAAGGAAGAGGGCAAGGCAGAGATTATTCCTGGTGTCCTGTTCATTGACGAGGTTCACATGCTCGATATCGAGTGTTACTCCTACATCAACCGTGCCCTTGAGGCTGAATTGGCCCCTATCGTCATCATGGCTAGCAATCGCGGCCAGTCACGCATCCGCGGAACCACCTACACCTCCCCTCACGGCCTACCCCTTGATTTCCTCGATCGTGTTGTTATCGTTAGCACACAGATGTACTCTGGTGACGAGATCCGTCAGATCCTCGCCATCCGAGCGCAGGAAGAGGAGATCGATCTTTCGCCTGATGCTCTCGCCCTTCTCACCAAGATCGGTCAGGAGTCAAATCTGCGTTATGCCAGCAACATTATCACTACTTCGCACCTCTTGAGTCAAAAACGCAAGGCCAAGGAGGTCAGTGTTGATGACGTCCAGCGCAGCTTCCGATTGTTCTATGACCCCGCTCGGAGTGTGAAGTTCGTCAACCAATATGAACAGCGCTTCATCGGTGACCAAGGTGCCGTTAGCTTCACTGCTGCTACCAATGGCGACGCCATGGAGCTTTCTTAATTAGGTTACATGTTTTAGTACTGGGCTATTCGGTGGGCAGTTAAGCGGGTCGAAAAAACTACACTGGATCTTGATTTTATTTTATTTTTTGTCGCATCAAACGATGTATGATAGGACTGGCGCTTGTTGACTTGATTTGGCCTTTTGAGATTCAATTGCAGTCCTCTGTTCTGGAGGATCTGATATTAATATTCCATTCGTCATGGTATTTTGCGTAGCCAGAGCAGTCGTAGCTGCCCAGGTGATATGGGGATCGATCATATTACAAGAAATTAACAGTGCCGGACCATGGCCCTGAATCTCCAACTCGACGAAACTCAACACCTTCGCCAAAGTAGCCAGCATTCTTCCATGAGTCCATCATCGCGCTGTCATATGGCCCATGGGCATCCCCTCCATCTCTAGCGTCTGACCACCTGTATTCCCACATGGCCGGACCTTGCTCAGTCACTCCGCTCGCAGGAGGGTCAACCCATTCCTCACCCGTGTCGTTGCGATACTGCCGCGTGAGCATTTCGCGCTCTGTGTCATAGATATCTATTTGGCCGCGGCCCATCAAGATATCTGCGGCGCCAGTAAGAGAATCAATTGCCTTCTTCCGAGCCACCTCATTGGGGTCCTCATCCGTCATCTCGATATCCTGCGCAGCGTTCTTCTTGTTCTTCTTGTTTTGCCACTTAGGCTTTCGGGGAAGGCCTTTGCCCAGTCGGGCCAGTGCCTCAAGTATTGTTTCGCCGCGTTCGAGGTTGATGATGATCGTCTTCAGGACATCCGCTGTCAAAATGCTGTCGTTCATTCGGTCCTTCTCTTTGCGCTCTGCATCGCGTTGCTCAGCAGCCTCTTTGGCCTTCTTGATATCCTTCTTGGAAACGCCCTCCAGCCACGAGTCGTAGGCCGCGTCGGGGTCTGCTGCTTTGCGAACATAGTTGCCCTGATCGTCGAATCGACCCTCCTCTTGTTCTGTTCGCATGTTGAAGGCATCCAGGAGAGGTGCGTGCTTTTTCTTCCCACCCGCGCCAAGTTCTTCGTCCACCACGTCGTCGACTCGTGCGCGTTCCTCTTCCCCAACTTCACTGCCACTTTCCTCGTCATCAATATGAGATGCACCCTTGCTCAGATCAACATGAAGCGCTCCTCCACTTTTCGAAGAAGCGACTTGACCTTCGATCTCGTCGTCTCGTAGGAAGCGAACGGACTTTTTATTCTTATGTATAACTTCGTCGCCATCGACTTCCTCTTCGCCGAAATCCTCTTGTAGCTCGGCGAACATATCATCGTCTTCCGTATCGTGCTGGGCTCGTTTGCGCGCGGATTTCTCTTCTATATGCGCGGAAAACCCTTCGTTCTCGCTGTCCGATTCGTAGCCCTCGAGATTGACCGCCTTGCGTCTTACTCTCTGGCCACGTCTGCCAATTTCATCGGCGTCTAGTACTGCGTCTTCTTCGGGCGCATCGGCTGCAAGAGCTGAGGGGTTGCGAAGGTCGAAGCGGGGCTTCTTGTGCTCTGAGGAATCCTCGCCGCCGCCATTGTAGTCGGTACTGGCAAAATCTTCACCTGCGCGCTTGGGGCGCGGAAATGAGCTCGACATGGCGCTTGGGATGAGAATTTCAGCTGAAACTAAATGAGAAAGGCAATGTTGCGCAAAGTTGAAGGGTAAATAATCTCTGAGAGAGCTGATTTCCTTGTCCGGGTCGGAGCGGAAAATCATGCGGAGCGAGCAAGCTGCGTCACTGACGGCGATCCAGAAAGCGGCGTATGGTACCTCGAATAAACCCGGTCTCACTAAAACACCTTTCTCTATATCCATCTTTAATCTTTTAAATTCAAAGAATCCGATATGGTAAGTCAACTTGAACTCTCCATTCCTTTCCCAATCTTCAGCCTCCTAACTAACAGCTTTAGTACCGACCTGGTTACTGGTCGGACGACTCCCATGGATGGAATCCTAGGTGCCGGCATGCCGCGCCCGGGCGCAACGTCCCGTCGCTTCGATGAATATTATCGCTGCTATCCAGTAGCGATGCTTCCCGGACCTGAAAGAGAGAATGTGAATCATGGTGGCAAGGTCATCATGCCTCCCAGCGCATTGGACAAGCTTACCAGACTGCACATTACCTATCCGATGCTATTCGAGCTTCACAATGGTGCGAGAGAGAGGATGACACATGCGGGTGTCCTTGAGTTCATTGCTGAAGAAGGAAAAATCTATTTGCCATTCTGGGTGAGTAAGACATAAGTGATTTAAGTGTTGTGACCGTGCTAAGACTCGGTTCTCTACAGCTGATGCAAACATTACTACTGGAACCTGGTGATCTTCTTCAAATCAAATCGACGGACCTCCCTCCTGGCCAGTTTATCAAACTCCAAGCACAGTCAACCTCCTTCCTCGATATTAGTGACCCGAAAGCTGTGCTAGAAAACGCCTTCCGGAATTTCTCATGTCTTTCCAAAGGCGACGTCTTCACTTTTTCATACAACGATCAAGTATATGAGATGGCAGTGTTGGAGACAAAACCATCGGGCACTAAGAATGCTGTGTCAGTTCTAGAAACCGACTTGGAGGTTGATTTCGCCCCGCCGGTTGGATTCGAAGAGCCACAGCGGACTAGTGGGACCAGCACACCCGGTAGCGTCGTTAGCGGTGGAAAGCTTCCAGCTGGTGGACTATTGCACCCCCATGGAACCATGGCACAATCAATCAACTACCCCGCCATCGCCCCTGAGGCCACCGATGCTGCCGCGGGTGCCCGTGCGGTATCATCCAACTTTTTGTCTGCGGGACAACGTTTGAACGCTAAAAAGGGCAGCAAGGCTCCGACTCCTAACCCTTCCACGCCTTCTCCAGGTGCTGTAAAATCCTCACATCTACCTCCAGCCCGAAGAGTCAATGGCCCGCAACCACTTCGACTCCCGCCTAATCAGCTCTTCTTCGGGTATGCAATCAAACCCGTCAAACCCCGTGATGAGAATGGTCAAGTCGTTCCGGATGACCAGCCCAAGTTCCAAGGAATTGGACAAACTTTGCGCGGAAAGCGAAAGGATCTGTCTGACTCTGCCACCCCCTCTGGAAGTGACGCTGAAAGCCAAAAAAGCAAGGACAACACTAAAAAGTCCGACGGCGGTCGAACTTTGGGGAAGCGCTAATGTCTGCAACGATCTATTTCAAACCTACACTTTCATGATTCTCCTGGGCTTTTAGATAGTGGAAATCTCTAGATCCGGCGGCGAGATTTCCTTCGAGGGCATAGCAAGGTTCAACATGGCGTTTGGGGAGTTCTTTACTTTCACTTGAATACATAAAAGGCCTTGCAATAAACCTCACTATCTTCATATTTCTCGTAGGCCGTTACAGTCTCCACGTTCTAGACTAGAATTTTTCAAGCCAAGTGGTATCCTTTTACAGTCCTTTTGACTCTTAAATCTCGTGATCTCGGAGACTTTTACAACGCTTAAAGATTTGGGGATTTCTTGTGTTCTTCGGAACGACCAAGCACATCGTGTACATATTTTTACACATTAATTCAACTAGCAGGTAAGTCATGCTCGTGGTCAGAGACGGCCGTATAGTTCGGCTAGTGCGCACGGCTCTTGGCAAGCTGAGGATCGCCGTCCACAGGCCCTGAAACTGGACTACACTATTGATCTCACACCAGATACTCGGGGTTGCATCATGGCCACAATAGCTGGGCCGCCTTTGGCCAAATTTATCAGACTGGCACCCTCAGTCTATCTCCAAGACCCGCTCAACCCAAGCGAAAAGTCGGATCGACCAGTGATATTCATTGCTTTTTGGATGAATGCACCCGCGCGCGCACTAGCAAAATATGTGGTCGAGTACAGACAGCTAGTACCATCAGCACGAATTGTCATCGTCAGAAGCTCATCAAGTGACTTCATCTGGCGCCTGAGGGCCCAGACCCGGAGAGCCCGCGTCGCCCCAGCCGTGGAAGCAATGCGCGGCCTAGTGACCCCTGAGAATCCAGTATTTGTACACTTCTTCTCGAATGGAGGCATGTCCAGCACAACACACCTATTACAAGCCTGGAAGAATGCGACAGGGTCCCCATTGCCCATCTCCGCAATGGTCATAGATAGCGCACCGGGCAGTCCGAGCCTACGGGCTGGACTCAAGGCTTTCTCTTTTGCGCTTCCACGGATGTGGATCTTGCGCCTGCTTGGCAAAAGCTTGCTTATTGCTTTCTTGGTCCTCTTCAAGTTGATCCATTCTTTTCCTATGTTTTCGGATCCTATCTCCCTTGCCCGGAAGCTCATCAATGATACATCTTTGGTGCGAGCGGCTAACCCGGACGGGACTCTCAGTCGTTGCTATATCTACTCAGATACGGATGAGTTGGTGAACTGGCGCGATGTGGAATCTCATGCGGTAAACGCCGAGGCTGAGGGTTGGGCGGTGCGCCGTGAACTGTTTAAGAACTCCCCTCATGTTGCACATATGAGAGCCGAGCCGGATCGGTATTGGGACATTGTTCGAGAGTACTTGGGAGATTTGGTGTCGGCGTGATGACCATCTTTTGCCTTTCGATTTTGCTTTGCCCTAAGAGGAAGGACTACATTGTACATGATATACATCATGCTGTACGACAATCATGCACATGCACCATCTGCTTGCCTCCATACATACATATTTTTCCCCTTCTTCGAGTGTTCAGCCCGTGGTTATATATGAAGGAACAGGAATTTACTTCCATCGAACCTTTCAAGGTCAATTGACTTCTAGCTTTAACCACAGCAAATTTTTGCAATTCCATGGTCATTGGGTTGAATCACTATGACTGATACCTCAAGATCACCCGGGCATATGCCGATTTGTTAGTGCCAAAGGGCCGAAAGGCCGGAGCCAAGTTCCGCAGCTCCCGTCTGAACTTCATCAACCATTGCGATATAGGAATACAAGACGACGACACCCCTGCATCATTAATTTGGTGCTCGTTTTAAGTGTCCGCAGCTTGATTTGTTCCAGTATTCTTCCGTTTCAATCATCATTTTTCACTTGTTTTGTTGCTTGTGCCTGATATTGTGCAGGCCATTACAAGATAAACATCGTCAAAGTAGGCTTTGGCGCACTTCGATGACCCAATGTTATTCTGACCCAGCAAGATAGATCATCCGACTATCACATCATTCTTGAGGACTTTGCTTCGGTATACTGTTCTTGACTAAACGCAACGATGTTCCAACACCAATCCCACGAGCCGAGCTTCCTCCATTCCAAGGCAGAGAAGGACTCCCGCTTCGCTCTTCCGGGATTCAACCGGCCACTGGATTTTGCTCCGATGGAGAAAAATGTCTACGGTGTCGAAAGCCGGAGTATGTTTCCATCTGCGTTGGATGATAGAGACATCCAAGCAGGATACGTGGAGTAAGTGCAGAGTTGCCACGACACAAGAGGAGCTCAATGCTGAAAATCCTCATAGCCTGCCCGTCTTGACGCTCCGTGAGATGAGTATGGTGGAGGTCATGGAGGACCTGACCGATATTCCTGAGTGGTGGAAAAAGGTCAGTTGTCCTCAATACAGCCGATCCTGATCATTCTGCTAAGATTGCTTCAGGTCTTTGAGCCCGCCACACAAGAGAAGTGGAAAAAGGATGCTCTGAACAGTGGCAAAGACATTACGCTCAACATGGCTGAATGGATTATTGACGAGCTTCAATTCAAAGCCATGATCTACGAGACTACAGGTATAGTCGCCCTGTACAACGGCGATGTCACTAAGTCCGACACAAACATGCCTGAGGGGCTCTATGACGAGATGAGAGACAAGTTCTCCTTGCTAGAATACGATATGAAAGCAATGCAGTACTTCCATCCAGGAAGCCTAAACCTAGAGCGTGACCTCATTTCCATGGCCTTGTACCCGCTCCTTTACGGCAGAACCCGCATTCTCACCGACAGGATCATTGGGCTCGAAGATGCCCTCAGATACGCCGGCCAAGGCGAAGTGATCCCAGTCCCAAAAGAGACTGGAATAACCAGAGAAGACATTGCCTTCCGTGTCTTGTCCCGGGCAGATATCAAGGTTCGGCCCTACAGCCGGAAATTTCAGATCCTGCCTTCAGACTGGGAACTCGGCGATGATGGACAATGGCGCATAGCCTCATACATCAACAACCTGCACCCAGTCAAACACCAGCCCATCTACAAGCTCCTCGAGAAGATTTTCAATCTCATCGTCCCGCAATGGAACGCAACTTTGACTCCCCTCAAGGATATGCTCCATTCCCGTTCCCGAATCGAATACCACAAGGCGGAGTATTACCCAGTGCCGAAGGAGGTCGCTGCCCAGGCACCGCAGATGCATCCAAGAGAGGCGCCGAGTGAATTCATCGAGCGCAACGAAAGGTGGAGAATGGAGAACTACCGTGCCATCCAACCCGACGCCACAAAGTTCATCCCCTGGGCCGTTCCACCCTGGTTGATGGACAAACTGCCCGAGGACCTTCCCAGCGCCGTCCGGATTGAACGAGGTGTCGATATCAACAAGGACTACAAGGATCGTGGCTTACAGGTGATCACACGTATATTAGGCGTTGATCTAACACCGGATAATCCGACTTTCGAGACAGACTGGCATGTCGAAGGCACGATGGTGAGTTCAAAAGCTCCAATGACACCCACAGTACTTTATAATGATAAACAAATCAGAACGAGCACATCTGCGCCGCGGCATTCATACCATACGCCCACGAAAACGTCGTCAGTCCGAACATGATATTCCGCAACATGGTAGAAACCCAGCCGCTCGCAGAAGTCGAGCACGACCCAAACGACTTCATCTGGCTGCAGCAAGTCTTTGGTTTGGTAAACGGCGAGCCGGCCATTCAATACCCAGGGTCGACTCGCGCCAATGTAGGCCGAGTGGTCATGTACCCGAGCACTCTAGAACACAAGTTCACGCGCTTCGAGTTGAAGGACAGGACTAAGCCTGGGTACACGCGCGCCCTCGTGTTTTTCCTTGTCGATCCTAATATCCGTATCATCTCTACGGCCAATATCGCGCCCCAGCGTTTTGATTGGACCAAGGAGATTCCGCCTGGGATGGGGGTTAAGGAAGGTTTGCAAAAACTGGCGCTTGATAATATAGATGAAAAGGGTGATATGCCGATGAGTCTGCGTGAGGCTTTGGATATGAGGATAAAGGTTTTGGAGGACGTCGCGGAATTTACTCGCTATCAGCATGTGGCTTTTGAGTCGAATGTGTTGATGCTCTAATGTGGTGTTTCGTTTTCTGTTTTATCTTTTGCCTCCAGTGGGTTTTTAAATTGAAAATTTGTTTTTGTCAGGATTATTGCCAACCTATTTCTGTCGATCCAAGGTGCTGTGGTTGAAGCGCCAGCTACGTGCTACAGAAAAGAATAATCAGGTAAAGATGATATTAAATCGCCGCGCTATGCCATTCATTCGTAAGACCAAGTATGCACATGTCCCATTTTTGATTATCCCAAACTCCAATCGACCCAAATCCAAGTCCAGAGCTTAACGTCCCATCGTCTCAGGGAACTCATCATCAAGCTTCAGACGAGCCGTAACGTTCATACTCATCAGTTCTTGAATGAGAAGTTTGGCGGCATAGGGGATAACCATCTTCACAACGGAACGAGACGACTTGCACCCAGGACACCAGTTCAAGTAGCCCATGAAACCACACTTTTCACAGATATCCACCTCGTGGCGATCAGACGAAATCATCAGACGCTCCAGCAGCAGCTGACTAGTACCGTAGGCAATCAAACAATCGCGTTCCATCTCACCGAGACGTAGACCTCCATTACGCGAACGACCCTCGGTAGGCTGGCGGGTGAGAGTAGCAGTGGGACCCTTGGCACGGGAGTGCATCTTATCTTGAACCATGTGCTTCAGTTTCTGGTAGTAGATGGGACCGGTGAAGACATAGAAAGGCAGAGGTTCACCGGTGATACCGGAAGTGAGATAGTCCTTGCCTCCATAGCTGAAACCTTTGTCGATCAGGATCTGGGACATCTCTTGGACAGGGCTGCCGCCGAAACAGGTACCGTAGCCGTGTTGGCCTGACAGAACACCTGCTTTACCAGCTACCAGCTCCAGCATCTTTCCGACTGTCATTCGAGAGGGGAAACCGTGGGGGTTCATGATAATGTCAGGGTTGATGCCTTGGTCGGAGAAGGGCATATCCGCCTGGTCTGCAATAATTCCAACAACACCCTTCTGTCCGTGACGGGAAGAGAACTTATCGCCGACCTCGGGGCGACGGGTTTGCCGGGTCAGGACCTTAATGAGTTGCGTCTCGCCTTCAGTGGCAGATACCAGGACCTTGTCTATGTAGGAAGGATCCGGCAGCTTGTAATTCATGGGTGCCTCAAGAACATCTCCACCACCAATGTCGGGGCCGCTGAATCCCAAGGAATTCTGTACCCTGGGTGTGACCTTGTTGATGTAGGTTTCGCCGTTGTTGACCATTTCGCCAACTGCAGCAAGGCCATCAGACTCGAGAAGCGCGTGCTTGCGGATTGGAGCGCCATTCTCGAACGTCGGTGCTCTAAGGGAATCCTTCGCTCCGTTGGGGTAACTCTTCAGTGTCGTGACGTACTTGCGGAAAACCTGGCAACGTCCAAAGCCACGGTCCACGGATCCCTTGTTCAGGACCAGAGCATCCTCAATATCGTAGCCGGAGTAACTCATCACGGCAACAGTCGCGTTCTGACCCGCAGGCAGTTGGTCGTATTTCGTCAGCTCAATGGTTCGTGATTTAACCATTGGCTTTTGTGGGTAGACCATGAGGTAAAGGATGGAATCAATTCGCTGGAACTGATTGGAAGCAATGGCGCCAATGGCTTGCTTACCCATGGCACATTGGTAGGTGTTACGCGGGGACTGGTTGTGGTGAGGATAGGGAATCAAGCCAGCAACAGCTCCAAGCACTGTGAACGGTTCAATCTCAAGATGAGTGTGCGTATTCGTGATATCCTTCTCGTAAATGGCGATGTAGGAGTCGTTCTCCTCGTTGACGTCGAGGTATTCAACGAGCCCTTGAGCAAGGAAGTCGTCGAACTCCATTTTTCCGTCACGCAGCTTCTCGAGATGCTGAACACCGACAAGAGGTTTGCCATTTTCCACGACGATAAGAGGTCTGCAGATACGCCCATCATCGGTCGCGACATGAACGGCTCGCTGGTGGTGATTGATGTAAATGCTGACAAATTCGGAAACCCGGCCCATGCGGCGCAGTCTTCGGAGGCATTGAGGAAGGACTTGGGACGTCTGGTCAAACCAGTCGGTGTACCGTTGATAGAAATTGTGTAAGCACCCCGAGCATAGAGCTGTTGCCCACCGACACTCGATATGTCTTCGACGCCGAGCATGAATATCAAGTTCCGCACCGGTCCCTCTTCGTCGTTGGTCGTGATATGCGTCATGAGGGCCAAGTTCTTGACCAAACCACATGCCTCACCTTCGGGTGTATCCGCAGGGCACAGCATGCCGAACTGGGAGGGTTGCAAGGCACGAGGACCACTGACTTTACGGGTCTTTTCGAACTGACTGCTAATACGAGTCATCATACCGAGAGCTGCAATATAACTCAATCGGCTGAGAACGTGAGTGACACCAGCACGCTCCATGCGGAAACGCTTCAAGCTCCAGTTTCCTGTCGAGATGGCTCGGTTCATACCCTGGGTGATATGATTTCCATGCATAGTCACGATAGTCCAAGCATCGAACTGCTCGGCCCGATTGCGTTTGTTTAGGACTTTGTCGATGTTCATCTTGATATCGAAACAGAATTTCTTGAACAGATCTTCAAAAAGAAGGGCCAGCATCTGACCCGCCAGCTCCAGCCGTTTGTTTCCAAGGTAATCACGGTCATCCACCAGGGCCGGGTCACTCTTTGCCATCAAAACGCGACGAGCCATGTGAGCAACGTAGATAGCCTTGGGCCGGAAGTTCATGTCTTTGACCTCAATGTGAGAAATGATGACAGATGCAATGGCTTCAACTGCCTCTTGCACGTGAGTCTTGCGATAAGCGGCTTGTTTTCGGTTGATCTTGATACGACAGCCGATCCAATCAAGGGCTTGTTGTTGAGTGTAAACATCGACGTTGATGGCCTCTTCGAAATTTATAGCAAAATCATCTTGATACAGAGCATCGTCTCCAGTAACCATTTGCATCATTTCCTTGTCGGTGTGGATGCCCATGGCCTTGAGCAAAATGACGATCGGGATGTCTTCATTGAGCACGTTGTGCTTGACGTAGAGTCTGCCTTTTTTGGAGACAATGTAACTCTTGGATTTACGCTCGTTGGAGGAACTGTGGATGTTAGTGATGGCAGAACAAGAAAGGGTTGGACGTGGGCATACCTGGTAACTGAGGCCTGGACGATATCTTTCTTTGGGTCGGTTTCGACGATAATTCTGTTCTTGCTCAATTGTTCTTGTACAAGAATGACCTTTTCTGTTCCATTGACCACAAAGTAACCACCGGGGTCAAGTGGACATTCATTGAGGACGCTCATCTGAGCAGGCGTTTTATTCGACAGCACACACTTAGAACTGCGTAGCATCATCGGAATTCTTCCGATGGGGACTGCTCGTCGGATAACCCTTTGCCGTCCACGGACATACTCAAAGTCAACAAGAATGGGCGCGGCGTATGTAGTGTCTCGTAGTCTGCACTCTTGCGGCGTGATTGTCGATTCGAAATCAAGCCCACCATCGCCTTGCTCGTCGGCTCGTCGAGGTGAGGCAACGTAGATATCGGTAAACTTGATGTAGAAGTTGTGGTCCACGTCGCTTCGGATCGTGGAGCTCGACTCGACAATTTTCTTCATTTGCACCTCCACGAAGTAATTATAAGAGTCAATGTGCTGCTTTACCAGCCCTTTGACCTTCAGGAATGCTGGCAGCAGGTTCCATTTGTCCCTGGCCGTATCGATCGGGTCTGTAAGTCCCTTATTGTAGTAAAATGGTTCCAAGAGCGCATCGAATGGATCCCTGGCCTTGAAATTCGAAGCCGGCTCAACCTTTCTGGGCACGGCATGCTCGTGAGGCTGAGGAACAGGGTTGGACTGGGACGGGCGCTTGCTTTTTGTGGAGTCAGTGGCGGGTTGGTTTCCGGCCTGGAAAATAGCAGAGCAGTCAGTATAATCATCTGAAGTATGGGACTTGCGATTGGAAAAAAGTTTTGTTACCTCTGAAGGACGTCGCCCTCGACTAGCCGCAGAGGGCTGTGGCCTCTTGCGCGGGGGCATTTTGGCTAGACAGCTGAGGTACAGAGATATCGACCAAAAAGGATATCCCAATTAAGCTACTCAGTCGTCCAAAAGGAAGCTCGCAAGATGGATTCTCATGGAGGGGAAAGATTTGAGTAATTTGGAGATGGCTTAATAAGCTGCGGGCCGGGTGGAGCTGATAATGGCCTGAGGCATAAATCGATAACAGATATCCTTTAGCTGTTTCAAAATATCTTTTCTTCTCGGTGTTATAGCCAGAAGGATAATAATTAGCTATAGAATTGCTGCCAGGAGTCGGGATAATTTCATGATGTAGCCCTGGAGACATATTGGGCTTATCACTCTGCGATGTCTAACATACATACCTTGCATCGATAACCGTGCAGTTGGCTTTCCAAGGTCACTACTCCGTATGTAAAACCAAAATAGTCATTGGAGTTTCTGATATATCTGTTAGTTTGGCTGAAGTTGAGGCTCTCCTACCTTTCTTTTTGAAAAAAAAAAAGGGGGATATAGCTGGAGTTCTGGAAGTCTTTTGTGCGGCGAGAAGGCACGGGAATTGACTGTCTTTGGTATATATATCGGGCCGACCTCATTACACCATTCCCTAATGAAAATAAAAAACAGTAGATCCAAAGGGAGAGACGTACTCTTCAAGTTATCGAATACTTAACCCATGTAAATTCATAGTTGAGTATATCTCATTATCAAGTAGGCGTACAAGACCGAAGGATCGGAGCATACTAGCCTTAACTCTGAGGCAGTAAGAGTCTCAGAGGAATCGAAGAATCAGGGTTTGAGCTAATCACTAGATATAAACTGATTTGAAGAATAATTTATACTAGTACCAACGTTTCAGAACGTATTGAGTACTCCGTACATGGTTGGATTTATGAGACCTTGCCAGGTTGTTGAGGATTTGTCCATTGACATGGTAGTACATTTAGTGGGTCTTTGCGCATGCAGGCCACCCCGGACATTTATGCCTGCACGGACAAATTATTGATCAGAGTTGACTTGTTTCTGCTCGAGGGAGACGGTCTACAACAGTACTTTGTATAGAGAATAACACCAGCTACTACGCAGTGAAGAGGCGGTCACGTATATGACAACGTGGAAAAGAGGGTTCCCACCGCATATACCACGCGCAAGGCATTCCGTTCACAGAGTACTAGGACTATTATTAGTAGCCATGGTTCCACTGCTTGTGGCATATGATTTATCGAATATCGAGAAAACTCGGTCCTTCATGTACGATGTATTACAATTTGATGTCTGTGGCGAAATAGTTTTGACCGCAACTTTGAAATTGCCACCCTTTACTTTACAGACACAGACTGCACCGCAATATTGCCTTTTCCGGAGGAATTCCCATTTCTGATCGAATGCACGGATCTATCAACGCAATGAGTGGTCCAATGTATCGGTCGTAGTACTTGAAGATGGTACTGATCGCTGTAGCAAAAGCAATTTAGAAAGTATGCAATGCCATCCACACGTGGTTGGTAAGACAGGGGTCATCTTTTCCACCCGGTATGTACAATGTACTGCGTAAAGTTTCCTCTGAGGAAACCAAACGAAAGCATTAGCAATGCTATCGGCCAGGTATATCTGTTATCAATAGCCTAGAAGGCCCATTGTAAGGCTTTTTGCCGCAGGGGTTGGACGGAGGGGGCGGAGACCACTCTCTACCTAGGGAGTTTCAGATATTATTGGCCAATGTACCTTTTTTTGGGGCAGATTCATAATGCCTTCTAGTAAGTCCAATTTACGAATGACCTCGGATTGTGATTCGTGATTCTAAAACTGAGGCAGCCAGTCAATTTTGGAGGCGTAAATCAGGCGTTGGGCATAAAGAAAGTACTAATTAAAAATTGGTTCAATTTTGGGCGTCAACAAGTGGGTTTTGAGTCTTATCGTGATTATAGTCATTATTGGATCCCAAGACCATACCTCTGTAAGTAGCTAGCGCACTAGTTCGTGCACAGTTGGGGTTCGATGTACCGATGCACTACAACATACGGAGTACCACTTGGAGACTTCCCAGGTCAAAATTCAGCACAGACCGTAGCGAGTTCTCAGCTCAGATCGAAAATCATAATAATTGTTCTAAACAGATGGTTCATCGATGGATAGAGGGGAAAAAGTGGCCCATCATTGGCGATCCCCCTCCGATGTGAATAAATAATAAGGATGACCGGGGTTCGGAGGATCCCCGCCCCATTGGTATGCTTGTTATTTGGTGGATCAGGGGCTCCAAGCGACACAGATCAGCGCTGGTGGCACTTACACCGCTTGTCCTGACGTTGAGCCCTCATGCAGATGATAGTATGGGGAAGTTAGAAGTCAAAAGATTTGAAGATGTATTGGAGAAATTCCAGAAGCATAAAAGAAAGAAAAAGGCTCCATAAGTTTAAAAAGAGATAGCAGACCCGTGGAACCAGAACAAAGGAAAGGAAAATCATCCATGGGTGAGGAGCTTGTCGCGAACCGTTTTTCATTGAGCCCCTTTTTTTTTTCTCTTTTATTTTGATATAAGGGATATGATCTCGAATACAATATATCTCTTTCAACAGTAATTTCAAATCCAGGATTCAGGTACAGGCGCCTAATCACCCTAGAGGGCGATCCGCTGTCACATCTTCGGGCACTTCGGTCATTTCAGTCTCCACAAGTGGCTGTTAAGAGGGGGGCCAAATGCACCTGCAGCTGCCACGCTTTGTCGACCAGCGCATTGAACCCCCTTACCGGAGTCCTAGCACAATGGTTCTCTCGTGTATAGCCCAGGTTGTTCCCAGTCCACCATGGAATTGACCATTCGTAGCGTCTTCAAGGCCTGGCGGGAGCTATAGCCCATTGACTACCCCAGGCTCTTCCCGGGACAGATGCGCCCAAGTTGTACAGACAACGGAGGCTCTCCAATCAATAGAACCCGATCAATGTCCGAATAATTGCTGGCCGATCATCTGCTGTGGCCGTCTCAAGTTGTTTTCGGCAAGATACCGTAGTAGAGAAGTATACATAACGTGTATTGTTTTGGCACACCCGAAGAGAGCGTGGAAGCATGGATTCATTCATATTATATAAGGAGAATACACAACATACATATGTAAATAATGTAAGATTGAAAGATCAAAAGATCAACTGCCCCCCCGAACTCTCGATAAAAAAACAAAAAAGGAAAACAAAAATACAGAAACAAATTGAAAAAAAAAAGAAAAAAAGGAAAAAAAAGCGCGAGCACAGTCATCTCCTAAAAAGGATCTCCCCGCTCTGATCTGGACTCCCAGCCATTTTCTTCCCCCCTCTTCCTCTTCTTCCCTTTTTCTTCCTTTGCAACTCCATTTTTGTACAACAGTTTTGTATCGTTCGTTTGGGTCATTGTTAGGTTGTATTTCCTCGCGCGACACGCTCATTTCGTCCGCGCCTCGATCCCTCGGTGTTCGCTAAGTCGGAGCGGTAAGAGGAGCTTTATCCCACTCTGCAACTCCCTGCTGATCTCCGCATCGTCAGGTACACACGATATTTTCTGTCAAAATTGTCCATAGATGACTTGCGCAGCTTGAAATCATATAGCACTTCTCCCATCAACCGGATTTGACTCCTCTCGAGGCGTTCATTGTGTGAGTTAGGCCCTTTTGCGAGCGCAGATCGTCTCCGCCTGGTCAACCCCTCAGCCCCTCTCTCGATTTCCCCTTGCTTGAAACGCCGACGACACACACACCGCCAGCCCACCCTTTCCTCCCATTCGGATATTCTTCGGCCAGCAGAAGACGTCGCGTCACAATATCTGGGGCTGGTCGTAATTGCTTCCCCGGAGAAGCTCCCCCTAAAAACCCGTTTTTGGCGTCAACAAATCCCTATATTTGCTGACCGGGCGTCGTTTTTGGCATATAGTTGAACAATTCGGCCTGCCCACGATGGCCTTCAAGCACGGGCTGAGCGAACGCCTCGACGAGCTGCGATTCCCATCCCCACGATCCCCGCCCTCGGAATCTGCGTTCCCTGGGTACACTTCTCTTTCCCCGGGTCATTCGAACTTTGGATCGGGATTCTCGTCTCGCCCAGCTGGTGATGTGCGAGCAAACCTGCAACGTCGGTTTACAACCGATTCGAGCAAGTTCTCGTCATGGAATTATTTGAATCCAAGCTCGGGATCTGGCTCGAGCTCTGGCTCTCAAGATCCGGTGGATTTGTTGTCTTCGGTAAGATCATAATTTCTTTTTAAGTTAGCAATTGTCCCTATGCATTGAGCCTACGTACCTTTCTCCGCTTCCATTGAATGTTCGTGGGTGATGAGCGTGGTTGCTTGAAATGGTGTCCCGGTTGTCCAGCCTCTGCAAGATCCTTTAAAATTACAGTGGTCTCTGAAGGTTCAATCAGCTTCTGCCATATCACGTTTACGTGCGTGCAGCTTGAATTTGACGAACCTGTCACCATTCATCCACCGCCATTCATCTCCCACCATTCATCTCCCACCATTCAACAACCGCTATTCATCCACCGTTATTTATCATTCTTATCTCCCTCATTTAATTGCCCTATTGTTCTATATTCATCCACCCCCTCCTATTCTTCATCGATCAAGCGATTCCACGAAGTGCGATTGACGCCTATTGGTGGTTCAAATCCGCCTATTCTGAGCCTATTCAGACTTCAAATCGACTCTTGCCTGCTAGGCTGCAATCCCATCCGGGTTGGTATAAAAACCACAGCTTGGCACTCCCCCTTTGCTTCTTCTTCTTTTATTTGCTGCTTCACAAGTTCAGTTCCCCGTTCCCCGTTTCCCGTTCCCCGTCTGCATATCTTCGGATTCGAACAAGTTCTTTGCCTGTGCTATTTCCCGTCTATTTGCCGTCTATTACCCGTTACATTCCCGTTACATTCCCGTTTCTTCTCGACTCTACATCGTTCGGTTGGTGTTCCTCGTGCAAGTGATTGTTCTGTGGGGTCCCTATGAAGATATCTGTTTTTGTTTTATGCCTTTCAAGTTTCTTCCTGGAGGTCTTTTGTGCAATTCTTGACAAGTCTTGTCGAACAAGTTGTTAAGACTTCACTTCTCTCACTTCGTTCAAACTGATATCTTTCCCAAACTTCCCCCCTTTTAAACAACTTCATTAGCATCATTCTGGGAATCACATCTGACCTGTTCAACAGTTTGAGAAAAAGAGACAACATATCGAGTACATGCGTGAACAGAAGCGCCGTTTCGAAGAGGACATGAAAATCCTGGATCTTCAGCACGCTCGTGAGAAATTGGAGATGGACCAGCTCGCGCGCGACTTGGCCCAGGCTGGCATCTCTGGCCCAGTTAGTGAGCCAACCACCCCGCCTGAATACCGTGATACTACTGTGTCGAGTGCATTTGGTCGCCCTGCTCGTTTCTCCACCTCGAGTGTGACCTCTTCGCCCGGCTTTTTCAATGCCTTTGCTCCTTCGACCTTGACTTCACCCCAGGCTGTTTCCCAGCCCGCTCAGCCGTCGATTGACCGATTTGCTGGACACTCTGTTCCTGGTTCACGCCGAAACTCCGAGAAGGACGACTTCCTTGCTGATCCTACCTCTTCCCTTCCGATCGGGCCCATCGTGAGTGGAAACCAATGTTTCGGTTCGTGTCATCAAGGGCATAGCTAATGTTTACTTAGTGCTGCCCACCGATATTCGCTGCCCTCCGGCAACCCGAATGGCCAGTCTCATCGGTCCAGCATCTCCGGTTTGAATGGATCACGCCTTGACACCTTCAATGTGCCCAAGTATCTTTTCCCCAGCGACGAAGACAAGCCCCGTAGCCATCTGAGAGAGCTGGAACGCCTGTCGACTCCTGATATCAAAAGTTACATCAAGTTGACCGAGCCTGACGACAAGTTTCCGACGCTGTCCCGTCGTGGTGACTCCAACATGGTAAGTTTCCCACGATTGAACACACAACATCCTGAAACCTAATCATCTGATTAGTTGTCGGCAAACCCTGATGCCCACGATCTCGCCAACCCTCGTGCACCAGGCTCCGAGAATTATTCCAACCACAGCCGGCACCGGTCGTCTCACCAGAGTATGCCGCAGAATATCCATAACTTTGGGCGCTTGGAGCAGCTGGGAAGCCAGAACAATGATGATCACAGCAACTCTGTCCACACATCACGCCACGGTGCTCGTCGTTCCATGGGAAGCCAGATTACCTTCCATGACGACCACCACGATGACCGCCACGATGAGGTAGCAACTCCTGTTGCCTCGAGCCGGCCCAATGCTTTGCAGTCATCATACTCCACCAATGATCTGCCTACGGTTAAGGGAAATGGAGCTGGCAACGCTATTACTCCCCCCAAGACTCACAATGAGCATATGCATCACCACAATACGAGCATGGGACGCATTCCCCAGAGTGGTGTGAACAGCCAGGTTAAGGCCGAGTTCGATGAAACGGAGTTCTATGGTAATCAATCGACTTTACACGCCAGCGCTCCAGCTTTCGGGCCTCAGCTCGCTTCGGCTGCATCTACCACCCATGTTCCTGGTTCGGTTGTTCAAATGGGTTTGCCATTGCAAGTCCCTGCGGTTCCTGGCTTCAATTATGGAATCCAGCCATATGTCGGCCAAGCAGCCCCGGTCAACGCTCATATGCAAAACTTCGCAGGAGCTCCCGCATACAACAATGCCTATACCGGCTATGGTACTGGCTTCCGGTTTACTGAACCTGCAGCCCGAGGCAACATGGCTCAGCGTCGCCAAGAGAATGATGCAACTCAGCTCACTCGTTTCGGCAACTACCCTTTGGAGCATTACAAGGGTGAGTTGTACAGCCTGTGCAAGGACCAGCACGGTTGCCGATACTTGCAGCGCAAGTTGGAGGAGCGTAATCCGGAACACGTGCAGCTGATTTTCAGCGAGACTTACATGCATGTTATTGAGCTCATGACCGGTATGAACCACACACCTTCTGCCATTTAACCCCATTGGCATTACTAACCTTTCTCCCTTGAACAGATCCATTTGGGAATTATCTATGCCAGAAGTTGCTAGAATATTCCAACGACGAACAACGCACTGCTTTGATCGACAATGCTGCGCCTGAGCTGGTCAAGATTGCCCTGAATCAGCATGGAACCCGCGCACTGCAGAAGATGATTGAATTCATCTCGACCTCGAAGCAGACTCAGACAGTCATCAATGCGTTGCAGTATCATGTTGTTGATCTGGTGCAGGACCTGAATGGCAACCACGTTATTCAGAAATGCCTCAACCGCCTCACTCCCGAGGACGCCGAGTTCATTTACGAAGCTGTCGGAGGCAATTGTGTGGTTGTTGGTACTCATCGCCATGGATGTTGTGTCCTTCAGCGTTGCATTGATCATGCTTCGGGTCATCAGAAGGCTCGTCTGATTTCGCAGATTACCTCGCACTCGTTTGCTTTGGTTCAGGATCCCTTCGGAAATTATGTTGTGCAATACATTCTGGACCTTGCGGAGCCCAGCTTCACCAACCCGCTGTGCTCTACCTTTGCAGGCAATATTCCTCAGCTGTCCAAACAGAAATTCAGCTCCAATGTGATCGAAAAGTGCCTCCGGACTGCAGATAACTACATGAAGCGTCAGATGATTGATGAATTCTTGGCGGGAAATGAGCTTGAGAAGATGTTGCGTGATTCATTTGCGAACTATGTTGTTCAGACTGCCATGGACTTCTGTGATCTTGAAACTCGCAACCGCATCGTGGAGGCCGTTCGTCCTATTCTTCCGTCTATCCGTCAGACTCCTCATGGTCGCCGTATTGCTGGCAAGATCATGGCTGCAGATACCAACGGCCGCAGTAACGGTAGCAGCGCTGCTACCAGTGGACAGGTCACCCCCAATGAGATGAGCACCACCGCGCAGGTCCCGAAGAACTTGCTGCAGAAGCCGTTCATATACCATCAGCCTGGTACTCAGAGTACTCAATCTTCGAGCTCATCCGTCGGATACAACAGCCAGGCCTATGTACCTCAATCCTCCCAGAGCTCTGCCTCCAACACTCCTTCCGGACAAAGTGACACCTCGTCCGTTTACACTGCGCCCACCCCTCAGCTGTCCACCAAGCTTGGCCCGCAGCAAATACAGAACTACTTCTGATTGGGGTTGGGACACCCACATCAGTGCTTGTCTTTCACAACCCCAGTGTACTCATAGTGAGACGATGCGACGAACTTTTCTTTTTTCTTTTCACGATTTTACGGTTACTTTTTACACTGTCATCGAACTGGGCCTACATCAACTGCACATGCCATGATCATCTATCCCATGATTTACCACACTTGCGTTTTACTGCATACGCCTTTGAAGCAATGTGCCATGATCATTGCATTTGGCCCATGTTGCATACTGCATACCTTTCATGAAGCGACCCGTGCATGATGCAGACTTCGTTGGAACTATGTTCCTCTGCTCCATTTGTTTCTCGACATCTTGTATTCCTTGTCCACCCTCTTCCCCCCTGGCTTTCCTCCCCTAATGCCTTGCATGCCTAGGTCTTGAGGGTATCTGGCAATGGTTTTGGATCGTTCCTTTGAACAATCTGGTCTATTGCCTTGATTTGAGGATTGGTTCGTCCGGCTTGGGTTGTTTTTGTTTCTTTTTCCTTTTCTCTTTATCTTTTTCGCTTCCCCATTGTGATTTTCAACTTTTATTTTTACCCATTCAACGTTGTACTTTTGCGCCTTGCTTTTTTCGAACTGCGTTTTGTGTTGTGCCTGTTCCTTCGCATTGGTTCATCGTTGCATGCAAGCTGGGCTGAGCATGGGTATTGCAAGGGCTCAGGAGCCTTTATCCATTCATCACCTTGGTTATTTTCCGGCCAGCTTGCTGCTTCTTGAGATTGATGATAGGTGCCATTTGGTCCTTGGGCCAGATCTTCGTCATGCATGATCCTGCACACACTTTTTGCATGTATTTTAGCAATGGAAAGCTGAATTAAGTTTTCATACAATCTTCTCCATTTCTAGCCCTTGTAGATTTCCATATCTTCTTGAGTTTTGTAATTCCTTTAGTTTCGTCACCAAATTTGCAGCGCGACGCGTGATCACGTGCGTCTCAAAGGAGCCGCCCTTCGGAGCTTCAGCAAGATGCCGCAAGTTGCTTTTGTCACCAATTCAGCCTGCAAGATCAGAAACAAACTGACTGGGCCGCCCATGCTACCAAAAGAGGTTGCCAGCTCATTGAGCACACAATGGCCTTGTCGTGATGTCCAGATACGGCAGCTAGCCAGTCTTTTAAGTGTGAGTTTACTATGTCGACAATAATTCTTGACATTCGCCAATCATCCTCGGAGAAAGTGGCTGACCTCCAGCGCTCTTTGAATAGCCTCACATTCCTAGTCCTCCAACATTAGTCGTCCATGGCATCTCCGCGACCTGCAAATCGACTATCCTCCGGGCCGTCCTCGCAACCGTCGAAGTGCCGCACGCGATTGTAAGGAGCTCGGAATGTATTACGGGACGGCATCTCCTGACGAAAATCCTATGGAATACACTGGGGGCACTTGGCCAGAAGGAAGAATGGGAGAAATCTGGCAAGGGAAGATGCGAGCAAGTTAGTGGCCTTGCAGTCTTGCTTGAGGAGTGCCTGGCAGCGAGGCCCGTTGACAACCAAGGCAAATTCGTGCTGGTGCTAGATGAGATCGACAGGCAAAGAGAGGCACCTAATACTCTGCTGTCAGCACTGGCACGGCTAGGCGAGATCGTGAGTCCTGGCTTTGGACGAATTTTGCTGGGTGTAGAATGTTGCAGCTAACCGGATGATTTCTAGATTCCGTCTCTCTGTGTTGTTCTGGTCCTCAGCTCGACTCCACGGCCATTGTTCCTTCAAAGCGCAGCGGTTCCGCATGTCAGCTTCCCTCCCTATACCCGTAAGGAGGCCATCCACATTATCCTCAGTTCGGATGCGCCAGCCTTGGACGGCTTGCCCGATGAAACCTCCTCGCGGATATACCCATACTTTGTCTCTACAGTCTACGACTCATTGGTTGGACCGACAGCAGGTTCCGTACTGGACTTCCGGTCCATATGTGACAGATTGTGGCCTCGGTTCGTTGCGCCTGTCGTGAATGGCGAAACGCCCCCAGGCGGAAACACCGAGTGGGACTTCTCGCGACTGCTTGTCAAAAACAGAGCCATCTTCCGACATCAGGGCGAGTCTGCACTGGTGCACCGCATTGTCCCCGACGAGACTCCTGCCAGCGCCAAACGGGGCCCGCTGGTAAAAACTGCTATGCCTTCGGCTCTCCCTTCTCTGCCATATTTCTCGACCCTGATCCTCACGTCCGCATATCTGGCCTCGCACACGCCTCAACGACTCGATACAATCTTCTTCTCCAAATTCTCCTCATCATCCCTTTCAGCCCGGAACAAGCGTGCCCACCACCGCCGGCGTTTGAAAGTCCTCTCCCAAGCCCAGGCAGAAGAGAGACGAGCTGCAAACGACGACCCGTCAACCCCCAACAAGAAAGGAAAACGAACCAAAACCCGCATCACAAAATCAACTCTCTCCTCTGCCTTTGCGACCTCCTCGGCCACCACATCCGCCATCGGAGGTGGCGCAGGCATCGCTGGCCCATCTACTATCCTCACGGCCCGTCCTTTCCCCCCTAGAACGTCTCCTGGCTATCTACCATGCGATTGACCCGAACCCCCCAGCAACCCCACTTCGGGTTGCAGCCGTCGCAGACCGTATCTACGCCGAACTCGCAACGTTGCGACGCTTGCGGCTCGTCGTGCCCGCTGCTAGCCATAGTGCTATGGCGACTAGTAGTGGGAATACCACTGCTGATGCGGGAGATAAGTGGTGTGTCAATGTCTCTGGTGACTGGATCGGTGAGCTGGCTAAGGGTATTGGTGTCGAGGTTGGCGAGTGGTTGGCTGGTGGTCTGGACTGATTCGACTTTGATTGGGGGCAAGGGAGTACTGTCGGAGTTGACTTGGTCCTTGTACTGGCGTTTTGTTCTTGCATTTGTCAACGGGAGTTCCTGACTTGGTCCTGAATTGCATACTGGTTTTACTTGTAGTTAGGTCAATTATACCCACGTTATCATTTCACTTGAGCATTGCCTATATCCGTATGCAAGTTATATACTTGAACATTGTAGATCATGGCGTAGCCACAAGGCCCACGACTATCGTGTTATCGCTTGGAGGTAATTATCTCCTGTGTACATAGGGGAGTAGAGTTGTAAGATATGTTAGGATTCGACGTCGCTAATCCTCCGGTCCACCTACCACACTTGCATGCTTGCAGCAGAAAATAATCATCATACATCATGGGTCCACTTGCTGCCTTCGAACGCCAACGCAGAATAACAACCGAGCTCAAAAGCGAATCGCCAAGAAACACCAAAGACCATGCGCAAAGTCCCCATACAAGAGAAAATGGAACGCCGAAAACATACAACCAGCGCCAAAATCCCGCCCATTCCTACCAGGTCCACTGCTCAACCACGTCATCCGTGCCGACCAACAAACTCGGTCCATGCGGCCCCCGCCACTCCGGGGTATCATTCCCGTACTCGAATCGCACGCAGCTAGGTGGTGAGGAGTATTGACGCCCTGTGAGAGGCGAGGGGGACCTGGAGTCCAGTTTGAAGAGAGAAGAGCTGGACTTTGCAGTCTTGGGAGGCTAAACCGAGGCCTATGTTAGCATCGAACGAGCTAAAAATCGGGATATTCCGATGTTCAAGGGAAACGTACGACTGGCCAGAAGACCTAGCTCGGTGCTCAGGTCGAAGGTTGGAAACGGAAGTGAGGAGAAATCGGGGAAAGTGAGGTAGGGCTTCGAGGAGTCATGATATTTAAGTGCCGTTGGCGCGAAGCGGAGGTCGTACATTCGTAGCTGAGATGGATGTCAGTGAACACCCGAGGGCCGTGTCGCGCAGGAAAGAAAACAAGGGCAGACAGCGTCACGTACCGAGGTAGGTCCTGCTGCCACGAGCCGGTATTCGTCCATCTGCTTCATTTCCATCACGGCATCGTTGTGCTGGAGACGTGTGGCACTGCCACCACTGCGAAGATCGTGGAGGAAGATTTTGGAGTTCTTCTGTCCCGCCGCAATCACGTCAGGCGACATCCATTCTACGGCGTGCACGCTCTGGGTGCGCTGGGAGCGTCGTCTATTGCCCGTGGAAACTGTATTGCCCTTGAATGGCTTCTTCGATAGGCACCAATGGCTACTAGTACCCTCCAGGGTGTGGAGGCCTTCTGAAGTTCCTATGGCGAAATGGGCGGTTGATCCTGTGGGCTGCGCCGCGGAGCACCAGAACGACATTGGGTAGTGGGGCCTGATCCGAATCGGATGCGAGACTGGAAGACTTTGGGTAAGCGCGGTGTCTGAGGATAGAGATACATGTGGCATCGTACATGTTGGCCAGCGGTAGTTGCCACCTTCGTCGGGTTCTGGGAGAAGATGAGCCGAAAGGAAGCAGTCGCCTTGCGGGCCTTCGTTCATGGTTGCACTGGAGCTGTTAGCAGTGAGTCTATCGAAGAGCTTTGCATCGAGACGTACAGGAGGTATCCTGAGTGACTCAGAGACATTGATCCTAACTAGAAAGGGTGTTAAATGTGCATTCAGTGGGACGAAGTGCTGGGGCGAATGTGCTCACCCAGTACGGCTCTCTGAATAACACCCGTTCCATAGTGTGATCGTAGCTCCACTGTGACTCGTCAATGTCAGGGAAACAGACCCTACTCTCTGGTTAGTAGTAGTCGACATTCGACAGCGACAAGCCCATCAACTTACGATACAGACGATTCATATCCGCGAGCCGAGCCTTGTCATGCATGTTAGCCACGTATCGGGATCATAAAAGCCAATGAAACTCACCGGCTATCAATGTCCCAGAACGTGGGTTGCGCAAGACATGTCGGATGCTGTACGAATTAGGCCATGGCTCGAAACGGTGGAGTTCCCCACGGTGCAGTTGGCTGGCCTGAATGCGAGCTTGCTGTTCTTGCCTGGCACGAGAGGATACAATGACTCCAATCTCTCTTTGCAGGTTCACCAAAGGGTGCTTCAACGATGCAGCTTTTCGGATCGTCTCTTTATTCTCACGTTGTCTGAATCGTGTCTTGTTTTCACGTTTCTGCGATTTATTAGCAAACGAAAAAGTACGCAGATCCCTCTTACGTACCGTCAACTCAGACCGCTTTCGCTTCACGGCTTGCTGTGAGTATTGTGCATTAGGAGGTGCAGCATGGTTGGCTTGAATTTTGAAGTACTTCTTCTTCTCCGGGTCTGTGACAGTCAGTATAAGTGGACACAGGAGTTAGTGTGTAGCGGGGTACTTGGCCACTGCGTGTATATGGCAGTAGTCCAAAGGCTCGCAAGTACAATATAGCTTGTGTGTGTGTGACTGGCACGCAGCAGCACGCGCCTTTACGTACTGACCTCGCATACCTCCGCAGAAGGGAAGAAACACATGAAAACAGACATACCATAATAGAACCCTGGGATTTCAGGAGCCATGGTTGCTGATGACACGCGATGCTGGAGATGCAAAGAATAGGGTGAATGCACAAAGTGGGAAATACTCCTATGTTCACGGTATTGAGATGGTCATGGGACTTCCACTTTTCGAGTGTCTAGCACAAACGAACAACCATAGTGGATTTGACCTCCAACAAGGACAAAGACAAACATAAACAATAACAATAACAATAACACGTCTATTTAGATTATCATATGAGATGAGGGAGATAATGAATTACGCAGTTATCGCAGACATTGAATCTGCTCAGGTGAAAGGCGCGGGAGTGACGTGGGATTATGTAATATGTCAGATTAACCTTGGGATGCCTCAGGCCACCATTTTGATATACCTGCCCTAAAAAGAACTACATCTCAACACCAAAGCATCTTCTGTTCTGGTTTTTGATAGGGAATTGGGGAGATTTTATTCCAATTTTACCCGAGCATATGTATGGAGACTACCCCCAAGTAAATCCAGTTCTTGATTTTCCAGATTCAATGTTGATGTTGTGCTGAATCAATTCAATGTTGAGGATATCCATGATCGTGCTTTCCAATTGCACCAGATACATACTTAGAAGCGAATAGTCCATACATGGGGAATGCACTCGGTACCGTTACAAATATCAACTGCGATAAAGCAGTCTGTGCTAAAGCCAAAAGAAACATTGTAGGATTTCAGATATAGGAAATGTGACTGACGCGAATCCTCCATGCATTCAACGTGCCAATGTAATGTCCACGGGTTGTGGATTGGCTTATCGGAGCCTTCAACCTTGGAAGGCACCGATAAGCCACCTGAGAAATCCCCTGTAAAGGAAACGATAACCCACTATCGATAGCCCTTCCATCTGTGCAATTGCATGATCCTCTGCAACTAACACCGCGTTGAGATGCAGGCAACGCAAGTTATCCAGAACCTGCATCCTTCAACACCGTAGCCTGGGAGCTCATCCCAGGCTCCGCTAGGCTGGTGCATCTTTTCCGACCGTATAATTGGCCGGTATAATGAGTCCCCATTGCTGTAGATTTGATGGAGTCTCCATGCTTGGAAAAAAGAGCCAGTTATTCACAGTAATGGGTCATTTTGTATATGCCGATAGATGACAGTGCATACCGAACAAAGCGAAGGCAGGCGTAGGCAGGCGTCTGTAATGAAAAGTGTTCTCGAGGTAGCTGGCGCCTAGTGGTCGTCGTTGGGGTTGTCGTCATTGGTCGTTGGGTTGTCGTCGTTCGTCGTTCGTCGTTCGTCGTCGGGTCGTTCCTTCATAAATACCTCGATCCTCGGCGTTTCCGACTCTTCTCCTCGCAACCCTCACAACGCCTTCGCAGGCTCATTCCCCATCACCTTCTGTCTTCACATCTGCTGAAGCCAGAGCATAAACCATTTCTTTTCATGTAAGTATATTCCCGGGCTGTTGTTCTTTTGTCTTTTGAGCGCCGGATGTGTCGTTCCGAGAGGCAGCGACCTCTCAGCGTGCCTTCCTGTTCATGTTTCATCCCATTTTGTTGTGTCGATCGATGATGTATCAGCTCACACTTCTTGCATGAAAGTGTGCATTGCATATGTGCCTTTTTGTTTGACAGTTTGCTGATTTCTTTCAGCGTTACCGCCGTTTCTCCATCATGGCCAGACCAAAGTCTGACGTGATGGATCAGCGGAACGCGCCGCTCAGGAGTCATCCGCCAGACAGGCCTCTGACTCAAGGTGTTACTGACAAGGAAGATGACCGCGCCTCTATTATTCCGCCATGTGGAAGCCTGTTTGAAAGCATGCCACAGGGCCGTTCCCAGGAACAGAACCAGAAACAGGACCAATCTGTCGGTCTTTTCAAGCGACGAGGCCATTCTGAGCTGCCTCCCATCCAGACCAGTAGCCTGGCAGGAGTTATCCCAAACTCCTCGGCTGGCGGTCTGGATCACTCGAACTCGGATATTAGCGCAGCCCAGTCTTTCCTGACCAAGCGTCTCAACAAATCTCCTCTCCTCTCGAACAAATTTTCCATCCTGGGAGAGGAAGAGCAAGACGATGGTCAAGTGCAGCACGATGATTCCCAAGAATCCAAGGATGAGGAGGAGTATCACAAGTTCCGTGCCAGCCTGAACAATAGCCTGGAGGATGATTCTCCCATTGAACTGGAAGACCGTGAACGACGCGACAGCTTGGTAGCCGAACAGCAAGATCAAATTAAACTGTTCCGTTCCAGTTTGCTTGCTGGTGTCAAGGCCCAAAATGATCGACGCGGCCGTGTCAGACGGACTCCGCCCACCATTGACGACGATCCTCAAATTGGTCCCAACGTGGCTTCCGAATCGGAATCGCACGCTTCCACTATCGTCGAGAACAAAGACAGCGTCGTCCCTATTCAAGACAGCGCCGTCCCTGTTCAGGACAATGGCGAATCTTCCTCTTCTCTCCCGGAGACATTGAACCCCGACAACTCTTTCAATGAAGAGAGCGAAGAATATCTGGATCGCCTCATTACTGAACTGGAGGTCGAAGATGGAAACGAACCTGACGTGGACGAAATCACTATCCGTGCCGAGGAAACTCCCCAATACCCTCCTACTCTGCTGGAGACTAATGTCGACGAGGGCCTCAAGGATGACGAGGTGGTCATTCGGCGCAAGAAGTATGGCTGGAATCGCCTGAAGGAACATAAACGGAACCACTTCATGAAGTTTCTTTCCTTTCTGATGGGCCCGGTCCAGTGGGTTATGGAGGTGAGCAAGACTGTTCCTCATTGATCATAATAGCGTGGTTAGAAAATGCAAGTACTCACGATTCTTTTTTCTCAATTCCAGATTGCCGTGATCATAGCCGCCTTCTTGCAGGATTGGATAGATTTCGCAATCATGATTGCCCTGCTCATAGTGAATGCCGTGGTTGCATTTGCCCAGGAATACCAGGCGGACAACATTGTCGACAGTCTCAAGAAAACTCTTGCCATGAGAGCTCGCGTGGTTCGCAACGGCGACATCGTGGACATAGGTACTGAAGAGGTCGTGCTCGGTGATATCGTTCACGTGAAAGATGTGAGTTTACGGCCATTTGAAAAAAAAAAAGGGAAAGAAGATTTCGATGCTAATATTCCGTTCAGGGCACAATCGTTGCGGCAGATGGCAGACTGATATGCGATGACGACGCCTGCATTCAGGTTGATCAGTCTGGGATCACGGGAGAATCGCTCGCCGTAGATAAACACAACGGGGATGCTATCTTTGCCTCCTCGACAGTCAAACGTGGGGCTGCGTTCATGGTTGCGACTGCGACTGGTGATCATACCTTTGTCGGAAATGCAGCCATCCTGGTGGGCAAGGCTGGCAATACCAAAGGCCACTTCACTCAGGTCCTGGGCAAAATTTCCAATGTGCTTCTGATTCTGGTCCTTTTCAATCTCCTGGCTGTCTGGATCAGCAGTTATTTCCGCTCAAGTCCAGCTGTCCAGATACTTGAGTTCTCGCTCGCAATCACCGTCATTGGAGTCCCCGTCGGTCTTCCCGTGGTTGTCACGACAACAATGGCTGTTGGTGCGTCTTACCTCGCCAAACATCAGGCCATTGTGAAAAATCTCGGAGCTATTGAGTCGTTGGCTGGGGTGGAGATTCTCTGTTCAGACAAAACGGGAACACTCACCCGTAACAGACTGACATTGGGGGATCCATACATAACCCCTGGAATAAACGCAGAAGAGCTCATGCTGACTGCGTGTCTTGCGGCTACTCGAAAGAAGGGCGGGCTCGATCCTATTGACAAAGTGTTCCTCAAAGGTCTTCGCCACTTCCCGTGGGTCAGATCTCGGATCGCCTCGTACAAGACACTTGATTTCTCGCCGTTCGATCCAGTGTCAAAGAAGGTAGTCGCCTATGTGCAGGCTCTGGATGGTGAGAAGGTCTATTGTATGAAGGGTGCTCCTATGACCATCCTGAGAACAGTGGAGAAGGAGACGACACTCTGCGAGCCGTTTATCAAGGAATACGAGGCAAAGGTCAATGAGTTTGCTAGCCGAGGATTCCGTGCGATCGGTGTTGCTCGCAAGCATCAGGGACGACCATGGGAGATTCTGGGAATCGTGCCATGCTTGGATCCCCCACGCCATGACACTGCTAAGACAGTTGCCGAGGCCCAAGGTCTGGGACTCTCTATCAAGATGCTCACGGGGGATGCAGTGGCCATTGCACGCGAAACGGCACGCAGACTCGGTCTGGGAACCAACATCTACAACGCTGAACGCCTTGGTGTCACTGGCGCCGGCTCCATGTCCGGTTCGGAAGTGAATGACTTTGTTGAGGGCGCTGACGGCTTCGCAGAAGTCTTCCCCCAGCACAAGTACAATGTGGTTGACATACTCCAGCAACGCGGCTATCTGGTGGCAATGACCGGTGATGGTGTGAATGACGCACCTTCCTTGAAGAAGGCGGACACGGGAATCGCGGTGGAGGGCGCATCCGATGCGGCCCGTTCTGCTTCTGACATTGTCTTCTTGGAACCTGGTTTGTCTGCAATGATTGAGGCGATCAAGATCGCTCGCCGGATTTTCCACCGCATGTACTCATACGTGGCGTTCCGGATCGCCCTGTCCCTTCACCTGGAGCTCTTCCTCGGCCTCTGGATGGTGATCAAGAATGAGACTCTCGACCTACGCCTGGTTGTTCTTCTCGCTATCTTTGCCGACATTGCGACCTTGGCCATTGCATATGACAAGGCGACTTACTCTCAGTCCCCTGTCAAATGGAATACGCCCAGACTCTGGGGGGAATCAACCATTCTAGGGTTCATTCTTGCAGGCGGTACCTGGCTGACGTTGGGCACCATGCTGCTGCAAGGCGAGGACGGAGGTGTGATCGAAGGCGGGGGTTCACGAGACGAGGTCCTGTTCCTGGAGATTGCTCTGACCCAGAGCTGGTTGATTCTGATAACTCGCATGGATGGATCTGAACCGATATTGCAACGGGCCAACTTCCCATCTTGGGCCCTTTTCTTCGCCGTGCTTTCTGTCGATCTTGCCGCAACATTCATGGCCAAATTCGGTGTCTTCGGTCAAGCCACGTCCTGGGTAACCGTTGCCCGGGTATGGGTTCTTTCCTTTGGGGTGGCATTTATGAACCTCCTGGCTTACCACGGGATGCATAACTCGGAAAGGTTCAACAACATTATGCATGGTAAAGGCCCTCGGAAGGACAGAGAGCGCTCGCGGGAAGACTTCGGTAAGTTAGCAGAAACTCAATTCTTCCTCACGTCTTTGGTACGGGTAACTAACCGGTCATAGGTCTGAATATGCAGCGAATGGCCACACAGCATGAGCGGAGTTAGTGGTTTGAAACCATCTCGTACTGCAATTAATGATGATGAAAGATGATGAACTGATGATGATCAATGGGGATGCCTCTGATGGGTACATTTCAATGATTTTATCATGTCGAGGAGGAAATGGAAAGCGGATGAAGTCTTGTTTCTCATGAGGCGACCACTTGGTCCTGCCTGTCTCGTTCTATTATTATCGGACGCTGAACTGTGATTAACAGACCTTAATTTTTACCAGATTATCTTCAATCCTCTCCTGCTATTGTATATCCTTTGCTAAAAGCCTTTGGATACAGTATCAATTTCGAACTGGTTATTGTGGTATCCCAATACCTCGACCTAAAAAGACTTGACAATCGCGTATCCGTCGCGGCCTTATTAGGCAACGCGGGTCGCGAAAAGAGGCGCGTATAATTACGCGAATCAGTTATCGCGTCAATAGACGCGTGGATCGGACGAGAAAATTGACACGAGTATGCCAGGCAACGACGACCGCCTACATTTGCAAAACTTGAATCAAAATGCAGTCGGCCTTCTTTGCAAGCTGCTTTCATGAGAATGTAACTCAATTTCTACTTCGCACATGGAAGACCTATGGCTTTATAACCGGCATGCAGTCTCGCCAAACTACGCCCGTTTACCTCCATGTACATACCGCATGTTCCCATAAATGGATGCGCAGGCTGAACCTCCACTGCCCTAGAAGCCTGGAGTGCACTGACTATGCGTGGACTAAGTGTCTGAACGCTCGAAGGTTCCAGTATTGCAACTTTCCCAGAACATTCAAACCTTGCCCTAAAGGACCTTGCCAAGGTGAAGACACCATCTCTGTTCAGTATGTCAGCTTGCAAGCTAGCTGTGGTTACTGATATTCAGATGGAATTCTATGAGCTCTGCGAGCCAACCCCTGAGATATACGTACGCGACTTACACCATGAAGAACTTGTTAACTATTAGCAGTGACTATTTGTTGAGAAAGATACCACAACCAATTCGCTTTACTGTCTGTTACCGCGAAGGCCTACTCACATTTCCAAGTGGACGGTTTAGTTCTAAATAGTGATGGGAATGGTCCAGAATCGTGGCCGTTTGGTCTTGGCTACTAAAATGTACTGTCCCTTGCCGTCCACATCGGAGTTAGGGCTATAAGAGTCTCCCTGTAGCTAAAAGGATCCGTCCATATGAATACACCTTCAAGATCTACACTGTATAAGCCTACAAATACCTCGCTCTTTAACTCACTCTTCAACCTGAACTAGTACATGAGTATGTCCTAAATACTCCACACATACAAAGGCACTAACCTGCCTTCTCAGCAGCATTAACAAGCGGGACCCCCGATTCCACAGTGTGCCAGCCACAGTTGCCCTCCCCCTCCGTAATCCGCCCGCTCTGGCGTTGGGATTGAAAATCATTTCTGGAGTCCACTCCCCCAACATAGCTATCCTTGGCTTCTTCGTCAGCCTCCCTTTCGAAGCGCTTTTGTCGGCAGTACATCCGCCAGAAGACAAGAGTGCCGTGTATCTGGGCTGCGGAGAAAGCCAGATGCAGAAGCGGCGTGACAACCTTGAAGGCAAGACGCCACCGGTCCCATGTACTTCCAAACAGCCACATTGTCACAACCGTCTCGGTGACTGTCCCCAACGCGGTTGTGAAACAGGAGAAGAGGAAGATCCTGCTGAGGAGGTGGTGCCGGTTGGGGAAGATGCGGTAGAGAATTATAGCGACGTGAGGGAACAACTCGAACACGGTGTCAAATGCACCTAAATCCCGAGTATTATTGTATTAGTATTTCTGATCTTTCTCTTAGTCGCTAAACCAGAGCCTCATAAACTTACCCCAGACAGTGCAGAGGACAAACTCGATGTACGCATCAGATTCGCGTAACGGGCGCAGACTAATTGCTATGGCCGCTTGGCCAATGAAAATGGTCCCAATGTGGTGCATCACGGCCACGGGTGACAACTTCACCCGGTAGATCAGCTCGAAAATGTATATTCCAATCAACATCTGGGCCACAATAATCAGGATGTCTCCCAGTGTCACCATCGAGCCTTTGACGAAGGGCGTGTTGAATGACGGCCCTTTGCAGAAAGCGACACTGACAAATGGGTATGCGGCAACAATCAGAATGATTAACTTGGTGACACCGGCAATGTGATGATTCACGAAGCCACGGCGGTTTAGCTCGCTCATATTCGTGTAGATCGAGCCATATAGACGGCGGATGAGAAACCCTTCCAGGACGTAGAATCGAGCAATGAAGAATATAACCAGCACAATGGAAATGATCAAGGCTGAAAATGGGGCCAAATCGGAGATAGGACCGAGTTCCTTCATGCCCAGAGGTATTGGATGAGGGTGTCGTGTGAGGAGCTCCATCGCTGGCTTAACAAGTGAATGAATTTGAAATGAAGTGACAGGAAGTGATAAAGACGAATGATGGTGCTTAAAAACGTAAAGAATGAAAGGTGAAGCTCGCAATACGCGTTATTATTCAAAGCACGCGCCAGGCTGTCAACTGTGGTCGGAAAGGTTGTGGAAGATAATTGGGGAAGGAGTTGTAGCGAGGCTCCGGGGGTAGGGCAACAGCCTTAGGGGCCCCGTCTCAGATAGTAGACCCCCCGCAAAACCCATAAAAACTGCACCGCCTACGCTAAACCGCCACGAGCTATAAGTCTACCTAGGAAGTAACTTAACGTTTCACTAACTCTATGGTAGACTCAGCCCCACGAATATATGAAGTTACACCAGGTTCACTTGGATCTGCCTTAATTCTTCTCTTGTCTTACAGCGAAATAAACTCCATACATTAATGAAATCGGAGGGACTAAATGGAAAAACCAGGATTCAGATTTTCTGTCTTAAACAAGCAGATTGACAACGAGACTCAAAACGCAAAATGAACGGGAAAAGAAGGGAACATTAAGCCTGGAGCCAAGCTTTGCATGACCGGCCGCAAAAGCTTAAGTAGTGGGGACCGCATATAATAATATGCACGCTGATTGGCTGTGGGGTTCTCCTTTTAGGACCATTTCCCTAACTGGTATCAGTTACTATGCCCCCGTCCAGCCCTGTCTAGGCAACAGAGTAAAGAACAGGGTTGCCTGTTTAACCGAGCATATATAATACTACTACATTTATAGAGTAGGTATGTGTGGTTGTGGATGGACAGGGGAAATTAGGTTGCCTGGAATTTTTCAAACTTTGGAGAGTTTCCGGGGGGGAAGTCAATTGATAATCAAAGTCCAAAATAACCTAGGTATTAACCGGTTCCCAACTACTAATATTCTACGTAAATTTACTTCTTGTATAGATAAATCTCTTATCCTTCTAGCTACACGCAACACCACTTGGGCTGCGGGGGTGGATATCTATGAAAATCTAATAAAAATGTCCTGAAAAGAAGCCCTCAGAAGACAATATACTAACCAAAATTATTGAGACACGGGCAACTATTCTTGCATAATATTCTCTTATTCTAAAGAACAACCCATATCTCAGATTCACAATCCTGAAGAGTATCGACAATACTACCTCTGAATCTACCATTTCCCCATCTCAGTACTGCCCAAAGGTGACGTAGGAGACTTATAGAACCTTCTTCCATAGTCGTCTTCCATGCCCAATGCAAACCATATGGAAGTCTTCTTCGCTCGGTCTTCGGAAATTAAGCCAGAGTTCGTGAATCGAGCTTCTTTGTCAAATAAAGAGATAGTACTCCGGTGAGATACTCTCTTTGTCAAAAGTGGTAAAGAAGTGAGAGATGCACTCCGTCAAAGGGATATATGCAAATCTAAAGTGAGATATACTACCTAGCAAATAGATAGTATTCTCAAAGAAAAGTGAGAGATATAACCTTCAAAGATGTTCTTAAAGTGAACTGAGAGATAAGTGAGAGAAATAGTCTTTCTATTCTCAACACTTACAACAAGCCTCCACTACGGGGAGATGCTCGTCCAGGAAGATATAGGCTGACCACAGCGCTATTCTTGATGGTCGTCGATAAAAGAGGGGGAAAACGAGGGCCTCATAACCTATTGAGGGCTACGATACTGGAGATCTAGTGGATACTAGCCTAGGAATATCAGGCTGAAGAGAGGTGATAATGAATCTATGGAAAGCAGGCTGTATATGAAGCCTGTACTAACAAAGAAATGGCAAACTAGCAAAGGCTCAGTCTGCACAAAGAAACAAAGACATGCTATGTATGTCAACAATGTGCGACTGTACGAGGAGGTACAGGCAGAGGACAGGCCTATTGCTGAGATCTGCAAATCGGGGAAAGATTATTTTAGCAATACAATGGATTTCACAGTGGCACGGAATCTCACAGTGGCTTCAAGTTGAGGGTTTCGCTATAGGCCCCATTTGAATCCTTTCCAAAATGCGAAGATGTTCATTGTAGATCCAAAACTATGGACATGGGTCTCGAAAGCCAAAGCAGCAAGATCATGATTGAAAATCATTTAATTTAGCAGACATCTATGGATATTTTCAACATTCTAAGTAGCTCTCTAGATGTGAGAATACGAAAGTGATTGAGCACAGATCAACTATCGTGGTAACCATGATAGTCTGTCCCAAGCTTCCAATTGATCAAATGAGAAATATATTAGCACAAGGTTCTATTTATAAAATCACTAGGGTATCATTTTGAACATGTAGAACGAAGGATGAGATTCACGTCACCCGCGACCATTTCTAGTCTGTATAATACAGTGAGGTTAGCAGCTACTCGATTGTGGTGATTATAACATAGAGAAAGACAATCTTACCTGCCTAAGAGCCACTCTCCTCTCCGAAGCTCGCCTCTTCCACCCTTTCATCCCGATAGTTATGAAAATAACCCCATTCCAAAACCCACGCAGAGACCCCAATGTACTCACAGCTAGCAGAAGCGAGTGTGTTCCATGCTTATGATGCACGAATTCCGAGATACGGTTAATGGTAGGTGCGATCCACGTTGCTAACATCGCAAGAAAGAAAAGCGATGGCATGATCACGTATTGTCTCAGCGAGACACGTCTCTGTTGCGGAGATTGATAAGTCGTCGGGGCTTTTCTGGGTGGAGATAGACGCTGTATGGTATCTTGTTCTGTATTTTGTTCCGTGGTATCGCTTGTTATAGTAGATTCTGGGGTGAAAGCTGGTTTTCTCCTGGAATTCGCTTGGACGGTCGTGAGACTGCTGGCGGAATTGCCAGAAGTCAGAGCGATATGGTCGTCATCGCTTAGTTTGAACTCGTCGCGAACTCGAGTTATCTCGACACCGATGAGACAATATAGTATAAGGACGATGACTATTATCAGCCTGTTGTGTAACTATTAGAAGAGTAGTTGAGCAGGCGAATAGAGTATACGTACCATACGGGTGCGTAGTAGAAGATTATTCGGAGGACCATCCAATTGCGAGCTATTGAGCACCATATCTATAGGAGATCAGTTAGCCTATAGACATCAGTTTCAAGTCAAGAATACTCACAGTCTCGTCACCATATATAGGACCTTTCTCACGACCTCGGATGAAAAGGAAGACAAAGGCAGGGATGAACGAGAGAGTAGAAATACCACCGATATATCTGAGTTCGAGCTTGCGTAAAGATTGAGTATCAAAATGATGGAAGACAACCAGGTATGTATCCAAAGCCATTGCGAATGTCCAGAGCACGTCAGCGACTGGGAACCTATTTTTTTTACCTTGTCAGCGTTACATTGCGGACAACATTGTCTTGACAATGTCCAATACCAATAACATACATTTGAAGAGCAAAGCCTTGGAATTGACATAACGATGAAGTATCTCCAGCTGCAGGTCCACTAGTGGATATCATGGTAGCGACGGAGTCGAAGAGATTATAGAAGGAGTTGAAGAATATTATACGATGAATAGGACTCCGGAAGTGCCGAGAAAGAGAAAAGGCGCCGATTATTGTGAATGACCCTAGAATAGAGAGAACTGAAGAGACTCGCCCTGCAATGGCGATCCCCTTGAGCTCCTCAGGAGAGTGATACATAGCTCAGACCATAACGAGATAGATGCAAGAATTGCCAACTCCCATCTATTTGAGTAAATTAGGACAAAAGATAGAATTCGCGATATCACGTTGTGTCGATGAGTATTCTTTGGCCCGAATGACGTGATTTTGCATATTAAAGACTTGCAGCCAGGCTCCCAGTGAATCGATGAATTTATATTCGGTGTCAAAGGATTAGGAGTCATATTACAAAATCTATATAGCGAAATCACGCTATTCCAGGGGCTATTAGTCCTAAATAGGCTCATCACTCTTGGTAATGACGATGAAATTGTATGTCGAGAACAATGTGATAGCTCAGATCAGCCAATCATGGTTGATTATACAAGGATCAAGCAATGTTGCGCCATATAAACGAGCCAATGGTCTAAAATGTGCCTGAATTTAATCAGACGCTCTTACCGCGAGTCTAGATGTCTACCTTGAGTGCTCCGTAGTTCGCAGTAGTTCGCACAATAAACACATAGAGCCCTAAGAATATATTCGCTCAGATCATCAAATCTTATTTTAGCTGATATCGGCAGAGGCTGTGCCACTGTTATCGTACATATATTGAACTATAAACCAGAATTATATCGGCTGATGCCGAAATGTGTGACTGTTTCCCCTTTTCGTCGGATCGGGGACCCGCGGAGATCCCGAACGCTTTTCGATCGAACTCATCTCATTAACCGTTCCATACCCACAATTTCTACTGCAATGTTCACCGAATATAGAGTGACCGTCGTGAATTCAGTCTTCTGTGCTCTAGATATTCTAGTGGATTCTATGGCTCCATCTATTGATTTTCTGTTCTCTACTGCGCACTTTAGTGAGGGATTTATTATGCACGACCAATCAAAGTTGCATTAAAGTGATTGATAAATTAGATTATGTACGATTTCGAGTCCACAATATTGAAACGATATGGAATGAACTTAGAGGGCGGCGCCGACCAAGAGGAGAGCACCAGAGGCGATCATGGCGTTGAATCCGGGGACCAGGGAGCCGGCGCCGTTGGGCTGGGACTCGGACTCAGACTCAGAGTCAGACTCAGAGTCGGAGTCAGAGTCGGGAGGAGCCTGTACAGTTGACAATTAGTATTTGTGGCTCCCTTATAATGATTGAAAGAAACTAGTGATGCGAGAGCAACGTACCCTTCTTGGAGCTAGAGCTGGAGCTGGAGCTGGAGCTAGAGCTGCCTTCGCACTGGCCTTCGAGGCTCTGGAAACGCTCCATGAAGCCCTTGAGCGTGCTAGCAGCCTCGGCGAGCTCGTTGGTTTCGCACTTGTCTTGGATACAAGTGCTCAGCTTGGTGGACTCGTCCCGGTACTCGGAAGCGGAACCGCTGATATCACAGATGCAAGTAACGTCAGCGGAATCGGCGCTACCGCACTTGTCTTCGAGACCGGAGCTGCTGTAGAAGGTGTCAAGACAGGTCTTGATGCAGGAGGGCACGTCGCCGACGACATCGTTCCAGGTCTTGAGGTCGGCGGCGACGGCGGCGGAGGCCAGAGACAGGATAGCGAGGGAGGAGAAACGCATGATGATGCAGGAGGGGGTATATATGAATAATAGTATTAAAGTGTGGCCGTGGAGGCTGTGGTATAAAGTCTTGTAGGGAGAGAAAATAAAGGAGCGAGTGGTTACAGAACTCGATGTCCTTGCGGCTTGGAGGCAGACTATATAGGGGCTCGCCTGGCTCACCTCGTTCCCATTCCCACTCAATAGGGGCTCTGCTTCAGCAATGAAACAAGTCGATTCCACATCCTCCACACATTACCTACAAAATAAGTGCCAAAGTCCATGGTAACCAATAAGCTGTTGTGATCGTCAAAAAACACGAGACGGGGATCGTATATACGGGACGTGGTGAGCTTGGCGCAAGGTTTTATAGTTTTAATACGAGAAGTGCACGGATGCAGATTAAGATGGTTTAAGATGATTTAAGATGATTTAAGATGATCTTAGAGCCCCGTTAGCCCAGAAATAGATTTAATGGCCGTAGATCTTGTGCCAAGGGCTAAAGGAAGCTCGTTGTTGCGATTCGTTTCCCACGACCCTGCCGATCGCAATTTTCCGCTCCGCTCGGCCTCGTACAGAGCCTCCAGTAGCATTTTTTTTCCCGATACGAGCTCGTGGAGATCTTTGTACATATGCAGTAAACGGATGTGCGTTGTCGATACCTCAGTTTTCTTTCGTTTGAAGTCGGAAAAAGGCATGGGACTTTGAAACTGCGTTATCATGACACCTTCGCCAGTTCGGCAAAAGTAGGAAAAAAATCCCAAGAGGAAAGTATGCAGAACCCACGGTTCTCAGCCATGCTGGCATGGACTGTCGAGGCAATGCCGAATTACTCCGTAAAACCGCTTGTCTATGTACCTACTATACTGCAGTCTTGGAGTGACTTAGCAAACTCGGATATGAACTTGTAAGTTATGCTTGATTTCCAGTTACCGACAGTACCAAGGTAGCCGGTCGACTTAGTTGATGACTTGTCACTTAACAAGTCAATATGGTCAAATACAGGTTGAAGAAAGAATAGCTAAGGAGGTCCATACCCCATAGAAGCCAACGAGGTGTAATAAACAAGGAAACAACGACAACGTTGTCAAAACTATGGCGAGAGTCGATTTAAGAGTGGATCGTGAATGGTATAAGCTCGGTACAGGCGTTCAATCGAGCGGAGTATTTCACAAGGGATCAAGGACCGAAGCAGTGTAGTCCACATCTATAAATGGTATACGGAGTAATTAAGATGGAGCCACTCGCACCACAAACAGAGTCTTGGTTTTCTCCCTCTCCTAGACAGGGAGCAACATCCTACTTATCACTCTGTATTCCGTACGGTGGAGGTCTTGTTTGAGTTCGGGCTGGCGTAATTTTGCAATTTCTTCGTCGTTGGTGCAGGGGGTTTAGGATGGCCCCGGGGTGCAGTTGACTAAGATGTTAAGAGAAAGTTTGGAGTAGGCAAGCAAAGATGCCAATAATGGGAGTTGACTCCGTATTGAAATAGGGAAATGTACGGAGTAAGGCGAGAAAGAGTTTGATGAACACGACTGGTTGTTGTCCCCGGCTTTTAACCGAGTTGGCGAGGAACGGATTGAGTAAAAGCGGCAAGACCCGAGCACTAAAAAGGAAGGAGCAAGTGGAAGGAATCCGGTACGATGTACTCCGTCTGTTTCGTAGCTACACCAAAAGATATCAAAATATTTAACTCGATTATGGATTATTGTAAACTACAGAGAGAGACAAGACACCAAAATCCCTGGTTCCGGGCCAATACCGTTGGGCAAGGAGTCGGTTCCATGAGATACCAATGTGCAACATAAGGAAAGGAAATGAAAGAAAACGATATACACAGCGCTGGACAAACGGGTGGGAACGTCGATGCAGAGGCCACTTATAGATTGGTCATCACGCCCAGGGCTTCCATAAAGGAATGAGACATAGGCGCAAAAGGAAAGAGTATGTAGGAGATATGTGCAGTGAGAAAGGGAAGGTGTCATAATCAAGTCTTCGAAGTTAGGTGGTCCGCAGCCTGGTCTTTAGTTAGCATCATGCAAAACACGCAAAACCAAACGCGAAAGAAAACCTACCTTGTCAAGGTTGTAGTCGTACTTCTCCAAGGCATCCAAGGACTCATCACGTGTGAAGCCCATGCCCGTCAACCGCTGCAGGATCAGGTCATCTTCGCCAGAGTCGTTGTTCAGAGCCCATCCGGGCTCTTTGGATTTCGCTCCGTTCGAGTCTTCGCCGATGTCCGGTTTGGTGTTGTCAAGAGGCGCAAAGAGCGCGTCCCATTCATGCGCAGCCGGCTTGGATTCTCCCTCCTTGGGTGATCCGACGGGCGGAGCGGCGGATGCATGGACGTTGTTGTCGAAAGCGAAGAACTGAGAGGAGCTGGATTGGTCAACATCGGCTCCGGAGACAGCCTGCTGCTTCTGGGATGGGGTGTCGAAAGAGAAATCAAAGTCGGTCGTGTTTTTGGCTTCCTGGCTCTGTGGCTCATCATCCTCATCGTCATCTGCTTCGACTGCGGGTGCAAGGTTCATTCCCGCAAAGGCTGCCTCAAAGTCCGGTCCTCCCACCTTCGCTCCACCGGACGGGATAGCAGCATCAGAAATAGAGTCTCGTTGGGTCTCATTGCTTACGACTGGCGCACCAGTGGTGTGCTCCACTGAATGAGGCGCGTCCGGTGCCACGGTGGGATCGGCGCGGTCGGGCAAAAGACCATTAAATTGAGGGGGAAGATGAACGTTATCTTCTTTGGGAGCCTCATACTCTGGAGGGCTCTGGAGTGACCCAGGAGATGGGGGTTTGTTTGAGGTTCCCGGGACAGGGAAAGCAGCCAGTTGAGCAGCGTCGATGGAATCCTGCTGAGTCTCCTTTTTGGCGTTTGGCGCGGGAGGCGTGAAATTGTCATCGAATCCCAGGGGACCCTCGTCGTCAGAGCTCTCATCTTCATCATCATGGTGTAACTCTTGGATAGGCGGGAATTCGGATGGGCGGGCTAATGCAGCTCCATTTGTCTGCTCAGCTCCAGTTACATGCTTCATAGAAGCAAACGCCTCCTCGAAGTCGTTACCTTGCTGGGATTCTGACCGTTTGTGTGCCTTGCTGCCAAACAGCTCATCAAAGCTTAGGTCCTTATTGGCTTCGACCTGGCTATCATTGGCGATAGAGGATGTTGCCGGTTCGGGCTGCTGAGCAGTTGTGGCTGGGACCTCAGGGAACTTAGCCGAGGTGTCTTGGCCTTCCTCCTCAAACGGAGATCGTGCGGGGGTACCTTCAAGAGTTGATGGTGCTGCACGGCTGTAGTCGCTAGATTCTGCCACTGATTGAGGTCCATAGTCACTGGTAGCCGCCTGAGAAGGCGTGCCGAATCCAGAGGTTTCAGGGCCGCCGAATCGACTAGCGGGAGGCGAAACCATAGTAGACGAAGTCACGGACTGGTTATCGTTGAACTGCAGGAAGTTCGGGGTGAGCTGTCGGGACTGGCTCGCAGGTGGGGGCTCAGAGAAAGGCCCCGCAGGAATGCGCCAGGCAAAGAGCCAGGTGGAGGTGAGACCGACGGGGTTGTAACAGCAGAAGTACCAGGAGATGTTACCGCGACTTGTGGTGACTCGGAGCGGAACGAAGTGGGTGGTGGCCCGGCAGCAGGGGAAGCTGCGAATGACTGTCCGAAGAGGCTGTCAAATGCCCTTTGCTGATCATTTGAGACATCGGGGGACCGTGCCTGTTCACTCGAGCTACCCGTTCGACGGAAGAACGGATTTGTGTTTTGGCTTGCCGTTGAGGCAGCAGGGCTTACAACCTCGGGCACGCTGGGGGCCGGTGTCGCAGACTCCTCGGAGTACTGTGGGGTCTGACTAGCCAGACCGTCAATTTCATCCTGGAGCTTGTCCCGTTCGCCTTCGACGGTAGCTAATTGCTTTTTGTTAATGGCAACAAGACCCTTCTGTTGGCGCGCACTAGATCGCGCCTTCTCGAGTGCTGGCTTAAGCTGAGCAACTTCGGCATTGGCCTGGCGGATCTTCTCCTTCAGGCTGGCATTCTCCTGCTCATCGGTAGCCAAGGCTGTCGAAACTTGCGTGTATTGGTTTTGCAGATCTTGGCGGCTGCCGTCGAGCAATGCATATTGCTGCTGCAGTTTGTGCGTCTCTGCCTTGGATGACTTAAGGCGCTCCTCAAGTGCCTTGAAATTGGTGACCTCTTGCTCGTACATTGAACGTGCTTGGGCAAGACGGGCCTCAAAGTCACGCTTCTGCTGCGAAGTTTGTGAAATGTCTTGTTCAGCAGAGGTCCTCTTCTCCTGCACAGTGTGCATTTCCTTGGCCAGAGAGCCAATTTGGTTGGACAAGTTCGCGAGCTCAGTGGTCTCATTGGTCAACTTGCTAGATTCTTCGGGATCATTGTCACCAAGAAGATCATCCGACGGAGGCGGTGGGGAGCGAACTGCTGCCGGGGTTCCGGCTGATGCACCAGTGATCTGTGGCTGCAAGCTCTGGCCAAATGTTGAAGTCGGAACAAAAGGCTTGAAGGTGTGCGATGCCGTCTGAGGGGATGCCCTAGAGGAAGGCGAGCCTGGAGTTTGGAAAGCACTATTGGAGCCTCCGGTAGACTGAGGCATCTGAGGCTGGGCGAATGGCGGCGCGGGCGAATCGAGGCCGAACAAATCATCGGCAGCTGTCCTCACTGCGGGTGCGGGTGCCGGGGGAGGTGCGGGGGCTGCCATTGGTGCAGGCGCTTGGCCGCGCATGCTGGGCGGGATGAGTGCGGGCGGGACCACCTGTGGCAGCGGCTCCTTGCCGCTACGCTGCATTCTCACCAAGTACATAGCGACAGCAAATTCATCCCGGCTTAGCTGGCCATCGGCGTCGATATCAGCAAGGTCCCAGATTTGAGCAAGCGTTTCTTCAGGAAGCTGGGCCTTCATGAAGAAAGTGACAGCTTGGTCTCCAGTAATGAGTCCTAACTTAGCTGTATCAACAGTCTCAAATATGCTATCGAACTGGGCCTTCTCTTGTGGTGTAATCAACCAATCTCCCCCCGGTGGCCTGGGCGGAAAGAGAGCCTACAAAAGGCGAGCGATTGGCTTGGTTCATAGGGCTTGCGGTTCGCTGGGGGCCAGTAAATTGCTGAGGAATGGCCGGGATGGGGGGCACATCGGGTCTCGACCCAAAAGACGCACGTGCGGCCGATCCCCGTCGAGCTGCCGCATCGTACAGACCAGGTGGAAGGGTCGCTGGAATTCCGCGCAGGGCGCCCGATTTATATGATGTCAGGAGATGCATGGCAATGGTAAACTCGGTGGCATCCAAGGCACCTCGCTGCTTGGTGTCAGACAAAAACCAGATACGACCCAGAACCTCATTTGGGAGGCGGGCGCGTTCAAAGATCTGTTTTGCGGTTTCACCTATAGATCAAACGGTAAACGTGTTAGATGCGGTGGCAGTTTCCCGGCAGTAAAGAGCTACGTACCTGAGATCATCCCATTTTTGATGTCCGACTTCTCGAACAGCGAGACGAATTTGCTGGCGTCATCCGGCTGAAGTGGAGGAACACGAATAGGGCCACCCGGTCCAGGTGGAGGGCTTTTGGTTCCCGATTCCGGGACGCTTGCCGTTGTATCCACCACAATTCCGTCAAAACGAGGCAGCGGGCCAGCTATGAAGAAGATGCGGGATCAGCATGAGTTTCATTTCTCTAGAAGAAACATCACTCACATTGCAGAGCCAGCTCATCGGAGGGTGCACGGCCAGCTTGGGCATGTCCAATTAATCGCAGAACAATACCGAAGCCAGACGGGGTCAGGAGACCCCTGTTCTCTTTATCCGCAATTTGCCATATCTACACCACCAATGATTAGCCATGGCTCCCATTGTTACGATCCAACACCCATGATATCCACATACCAGGCCGAGAGTATCGGGGGATAGGTGAGTCTTCTCAAAGAATGGAACGGCGATTTCGCCAGTGATGACGCCGAGGTTGGTGGTATCAGCAGCCTGGAAAAGCTGGAAGAAAACGCGCTTTTCCTCAGGAGTGAGGTTAAGGTTCGGGTGTCGTTGTGCTGGAAGATTGCGATCCGTCAGCTCCGCTGTGTTGCGCATAGACAATGCGGGTGTATGAAGGGGAGGGGGTGGTGATGACGGAGGTCGGCGGGCCTTCTCCTTAAGTGCGCCGAAGCTCTCCTGTGGTTCATTTTGGGTCTGACAAGGTGTATCAAGTATTACTCACTGGTATCAGCCATTGCTGCGTCCTAGGAGGAGCTTAACTCCCCGCCTTCCAATGAGTTCACAATGTTGGGGGCCTTGAGGGACAAGTTGGAGACACGGGATGCTGTCAGCTTAGTCTGAATATGCGACAAGCATGGGCGAGCGCAGTATTTGACAGTGACAGCGAGGACACGAGATATGATAGATCTCGAGCTCCAAAGAGGAAAATAAAGATCAAGAGGAATGGTGATAGAAAGTGGCTGGAGTCGATGTCGTAGGGAAGGTTCCTGGGGTTCTCAAGGCGGTCAGTCGGTCTAGCGCCCATTCCAACATGTTGTCTCGCCCTAAAAGGGGGGAGGATATTAAATACATACAAAGAACAATTGAAAGGTGTTTATAAGGCTTGAAATTTACCAATTGATAGGGCTGTTCTTATTGCAGTTGATCTAATGAAATTGGTTGTTATTGGGATGCTTTCCGAATCTCGTCAACATCAGAGCCGGAACTATAGACATTGCATGAACAAAATCACCATTAGCGGCTCTTGACACGGCTATTAAAAATATCTAAACTCTCAGGGCATGTGTCTTCAGGGTCTCTTTGAATGTACCTAGGTAGGATATATCCAGTACCAACATGATCTTCTGAGAAATACAATATCTGGCTTTTGTTAGCACCAGAATATATATATGTTCAACTACGAACTCGCCTTTTCTCTTGCAGCATCCTGTGAGGTTTGACTGTCTTATCCTAAAACCACGATCAAAGCCCTACGAGAGCTCAATCATGGTTACCTGCTTGGCCTTTACTTGGCTGCCTGGCCCTCCACGCCTTGGATATGTTGTAGGCCCAAGGAACTCGAGCAATAGCTATTCCGCAGTGTTTTCTCGGGCTTATGGTTCATTATATCTGAAGTAAATCATTCAGAGCCTATGAACTCGAAAAGGACACCAAGAAGTATGGGCGACGACAGTATCACTGCCCCTGACGCAGATATGCAGACACCCGGGAGACAATTTACCACCGAACAATATAACCGGACTAGATTATTATACTTACCCCATATTGGTACGCCCCGAACCCAGAAAAGTGCTCAATGCAATACATAACGATACACTTCCTCTCGTCTCGGGATTCGCACCTAGGTGTATGCTGCATGATGTTGCTCAACCCTACTGCCCAAGACGTTTCTACAGCCTCTGACCAGAGGACACACATCGAGAGCCAACCCAGTTACTTACCACGTGCACACTTTACGAGACCCAAGGAAAGAACTTCAGAGAGTAATAACAATGGCATACGTATGTAGAAACCCGAAAGTGGATGGAATGAGGGGAAATTTCATCGCTGCTTCAGGGATATTAAAGATATATCGAACAACAAAGCCAGAAAATCATTGGCAGCAAAACTTATGTTCCCTTCTATTTGCAAGAAGCCCGATAGACGCTCGAAGACCGAACCTCTAGACTCACGTTGGTCCCCAAGCCAACCCGTAGAAGTGAAACAACCAAGAGTCCCAAAGACCGGTCACAAGACATGGCTAATCTAGTACTCGGGCTCCAGCTCCTCATCACCCTCGATGGAGTCGGAGGCGACCTCCTCGTAATCGCGCTCCAGAGCAGCGAGATCCTCACGAGCCTCAGAGAACTCACCCTCCTCCATACCCTCACCAACGTACCAGTGAACGAAGGCACGCTTGGAGTACATGAGATCGAACTTGTGGTCGAGAGCGGACCAGGCCTCGGCGATGGCGGTGGTGTTGGACAGCATGCAGCTATATTATAATATTAGTATTAAAGTTGCAACTAGGTCCAAAGACCCGAAAGAATCAGAATGAAAACTTACACAGCACGGCTGAGGTTGGCGAGGTCGCCGTTGGGGACCTGCTGGGGAGGCTGGTAGCAGATACCGAGCTTGAAGCCAGTAGGGCACCAGTCGACGAACTGGATGGTGCGCTTGGTCTTGAGAGTGGCGACAGCACCGTGGGCGTCCTTGGGGACAACATCACCGCGGTAGAGCAGACAGGTGGCCATGTACTTGCCGTTGCGGGGGTCACACTTGACCATCTGGTTGTTGGGCTCGAAGCAGTTGGAGGTGATCTCGGTGACAGAGTGAGCCTCGTGGGCGGCCTTGTCGGCGGAGATGATGGGAGAGTAGGCGACCAGAGGGAAGTGGATACGCGGGTAGGGCACCAAGTTGGTCTGGAACTCGTTGAGGTCGACGTTGAGGGAACCGTCGAAACGCAGGGAAGCGGTGATGGAGGAGACAACCTGAGCGATCAGGCGGTTCAGGTTCTCATAGCTGGGACGCTCAATGCCGAGGTTGCGGCGGCAAATGTCGTAGATAGCCTCGTTGTCGACCATGAAGGAGCAGTCGGAGTGCTCCAGGGTGGTGTGAGTAGTGAGGATGGAGTTGTATGGCTCAACAACGGCGGTAGCGTTCTGAGGAGCAGGGTAGACACAGAACTCCAGCTTGGACTTCTTGCCGTAGTCGACGGACAGACGCTCCATCAGGAGAGCACCGAAACCGGAACCGGTACCACCACCGAAGGAGTGGAAGACCAAGAAACCTTGGAGACCAGCACAAGCATCGGCAACACGACGCACACGGTCGAGGACCTCATCGATCATCTCCTTACCCACGGTGTAGTGACCACGGGCGTAGTTGTTGGAAGCATCCTCCTTACCGGTGATCATCTGTTCAGGGTGGAAGAGCGAACGGTAGGTACCGGTACGGACCTCGTCGACGACATTGGGCTCGAGATCGGCGTAGATAGTACGGGGAACGTACTTGCCCTGGCCTGTGAAGTGGGGGAGAAAGAATGTTAGGAAGCCATGCTTTGGAATTTGCACATCAAGGCGGGGGAACATTGAAAAAAAAAATTAGCTTTTTCATACCAGTCTCAGAGAAGAAAGTGCTGAATCCGTGGTCGGGGTCGGCCTTCTTGCGCTCCTCAGTGAGGTATCCGTCGGGCTATTATGGATGTTAGTCGCGGGTGTTTACCTTCCGGCAAGAAAATAGGGGGTACGGGTGCCCGAGTCAAGATTGGGCGTCACCACGAGTTTGATTGGAGAATCTCAACATACCTGAATACCGTGCTCCAGACAGTACAGCTAGAAAAAAGATGCTGTCAGTTTACCGAAGACTTGTCCCTCAATTGGGGTGTGGATAGTTACCTCCCAGCAGGAGTTGGCGATCTGGCAACCGGCCTGGCCGACTATAGGAAACGATCATGTCAGCGCGTTCATTGAAGAAAATATATCAATTCTGACGAGCAGAATAGATGGACGATGTTGACATACCGTTCAAACTGATAATCTCTCTCATTGTGATCGAGTCGATGTTTTTTCAGGCTAAAAAATCAGGAGGGGGGGAAATGAAACCCAAACAACAAACGCGGCGGTCTGAAACTCTCAGTTAGGTTCACGGAAATGCACGATGGAAGGGGGCGGGGGATAGCCTTACCTGAAGAATGGAGGAATGGACGAGAAGATGGAAGGGAAAACAAAGTCGACCAGAAATGTTGTGGAGGAGGAGCCGTCTGTGCTGTACAGGGGGGAACTTCGTTGTTGATCCGTTCGTTGGGTCGCGTCGGGCCATCTGATTGGCTCCTTCCCGGTGAGGAGCAGCGGTTACTGACCGCCTCGTAGTGGTCTCGTGATTCCACGTGATGGCATCATTAGTACCTGGTAATATAGGAGTATTAAGAACATATTTCAAGCTGAAAATGGCTTGGAAAATTCGAATTTCCAAAAAATTATCAAGTTTGTCGAGTGTCGAGGTCAATTCCTTGAAGGTGTGTGGTGTGACAGCGGTGTTGGAGCTATCATCAATACTCGGTCAGGTCGGATCCACTCGGGGGGAACCACCTCGAACCACCATTCGGCCATATTATAGTCAAAGTACTAGATGTAAGACACACATCTCGGTATTGTATATACTTCTAGTATTGCATATTCAACATTTGAATGCTAATTGACTTCTAGTACTATTATTGTGAAAAGCTGCTCAAGTCTCGTCATGACTTGAGAATAAGACATCACTAAAACATCATCTCGTCCACCTAAAAAAGTCCCCCTATATTGCACGGCAGTACATCAAGACTCTCATCATGCATATCAAGCTCATTCCCACTCTGGGACTCATGCTCTCGCTTTTCACAGCAGTGGCGCAAGCAAACGTGGAAAAAACCATCTTCCTAGCACCAGCACCAGCAACCGTCCCTTCCGAGGAGCCAGACCTCGACGACCTAGGTCTGGAGCGTCTATCACCACAGAGGCACGTGGTGCGCACTCGCCTTAATGCCTCATTTCCAACGACCGAGGCCCCGGACGGCACGGACTCGTGGTTCTTCCTTGAAAACCTGAACCCGGGCCAGCGGTATGAAGTACGAGTGTGCTGGCTAGCCACAGTAAGACCATCTACCAATTCCTCTCCAATCCCCTCCCCCTTCTATCTCTATTTATTTATAAATATGTGTTATATCCATTGCCATACATAAATATAACTAACAAACCCCTAGCAACCGACAACATTCACTCTCAACACGTACCCGCTCTCAAAAACTATCGAAGACAAAAACCTCCTGTCTTCCCTGAGCATGTACACATCAGCCAGACTCGCAACACTAGACCCAAAACTCCAAGCAAATTCTATCCCGCGCCGTGGCAATCCACGCAGTAGCAAAGATCCGCTCGACCCGGCGCCAACCAGAGACTCGGTCCTGTTTCTACATGTGCACGCCGCAGCAGATTACTTCAGTACCGACCAGGCGTTGATGCAGAATGTCCCGCCCGTGGCGGTTGACTTGATTCTTGATCCATTTTTGTTTAATGTTTTCCCGCGCTCGTTGGTGCCGACTGCTGGGTGGATTGTACTTGTTGCTGTTCTTGCGCTGGTGATTGGTAGGTGGGCTGTGAAGGAGGTTGGAAGGGCTGTGGATGATGCTCGGAGACAGAGTGTTTTGGAGGAGATGAAGAAGAAGTGAGGTTGGTGTAGGTTTTGTGTGTTTTGTTGGAGATGTACGATTGAACTATGAGCTAAACAAAGAAAACTTATTGAAATATCCTTCTTCTTGCTCCGTGCGGATCTAACGTGGCCTTTTTGGCGACTAAGTGTATACCTCACACTCCTGAAAGGTTAGCTCGATGCTCGACGGTCTGCATCGATGTCGACGAAGGTTAGTGAATTGGATGATCCAACGAAGTCCAATAATGAGGGATGGATGGCACCAGCCATGAAGAGTGGAAAGTTGGGTTCGTTTAACTATCTGGCTCATACAGAAGTTCTATAACATGGACTTTTTCTACATAATCATTAGTTACAAATTCAAGATTGTGTAGCCAGCGTTGAACTATAGACGCGGAAAGGGTCAAATGACAGAAATTAAAAAAGCAAAATTCAGATAAGACAACAAGAACGATTAAATGCCGAAGCCGCAATATCGAGTACATAGGGGGTGTGCTGGGTACAGGATGAACGATGGCGATGGGGAATTCTTAACAAAAGCAAAGGCATGGGCAGTGAACAGAGGAAACGGGGATGAGTCAAAAGCAAAAAAGAATACCAAAGGCTAACGCCTCTTTCCTCTCTCTATGCGTCTCCCAGAATCTGATTGGCATGTATGCCAGTCTATTCAAGATGAGCCCACACCTTGCCATCTAGATCAAATGACAATATCACACAAATCTCCCGTTAAATCATAGCTCCGTAAATGGCTCAACCATTAATACAAATGTAGCATAATCATAATCTTAATCTTCAAAGAAGTTCAGGACTGCGCGGATACCCTTGGAGCCCAGGCCATGGGTCGGGTAGGAGATGTACAGCGGATCCTCGGTGGCGCCGAGCTTAGCACGGAATTCACTCTTGCGTACAAGATGGAACTGTTTAGCAAGGGCTTCGTAGGTGTGCTCCAGCATCTTGACCTTGGTTCCGCGCATGTTGTGGCCAGCGGTGAGCTGGGCAGTGGCGCCAGCGCCAAATGTGAGGCCCTTGACGCCGCTCTTGGCGGCGGTCTGGATTGCATGCGTGACAATGTATTCGATAACACCGTTCGGTGCGCCAGGGAAATCAAAACTGTATTTGACTTGCATACCGTGGGCAGGGGATAGCATAGCCAAAGCGACAAATGCACAGACGACGCCGTTCTTGTCCAGAGCATAGAAGTACCAACGGTGTTCGGAGTCGCACCATGGGCGGATCTGGGAGAGGTGCACTTGCGTGCCCTTGCGGTTGGACAGCCAGTCGCTGATACGCTCGTCAATCTTCTTGCGGATATCGTCTGGTACCATTTCGCCTTGGTTCATAGAGACCAGCTTAATGCCTTCACTTTCGGCGCGGCGCAGCTTGCGTGCAATCTCGCCGTCAGAAGCGGCTTGGTTGCGCGACGGGTCGACGCGCTCTTCGGCGATACAGGACAAACTGCGCCAGCCTAGTCGCTCGCCAAGAATAGTCTCAACCTCAGGTGAGCAGAGAATCCACACGGGCTTGAACTTGGTTTCCCGGCGTAGCCACTGCAAAAATAGCGTGATTGTGCGTGCGTACTGCTTGGGGTCGCAGGCCGGGTTACCGGGAATGATTGCAAAGTTGGAGGAGCTAGGCACGTAGGCGACTGCCGCACCAGTGCCCATGTCACGCCAGATCTTGAAGCGGTCGTCAAACCAGGAGGTTGATGTGGCATCGCCGTAGTTAGCGACCAGATGTTCAAGAGGCTGCAGCTCACTGGGGTCCGAAGCTGCCCGAGCCTTGTGCTCACGGTGCCACGGCGGTTCAATGGTCGATGATTCTGGGTGTCGGAGCTGTTCAGAAACAGGCTTTGCTGGCAAACTCTTGGGGTCGCGAGGGAACATTGACGTCAACCGGATGTTGCCCAGCTTAAGGATAAGCATCACGATACGTTCCAGGCCAACTCCGGCGCCAGCGTGGGGGGGCACCCCAACGGAAGCCCTCAAGATACTCCTCCATATCGTCCGGGTTGATGCCCACACGACGCATGTTTTCCTCGAGCATATGGGCATCGTGGATACGTTGCCCACCCGAGACAATCTCTTGGCCACGAATAAACATGTCAAATGAGTTCGTATACCTGTCGTCTTCGGCATCAGGCATCGTATAGAAGGGACGTGCACTGCGAGGGAATTTGTCAAGGACATAATAATCGGTGCCATATTGCTCCTTGACAAGCTCACCCAGGCGAATCTCATCACGGGTACCCAGGTCCTCGTCTAGAGGTAGCTGCTCGCCGTCTTCATTCAACCAGCCCGAGTCGTTCAGCATCTTGATACCGTCGGCAAAACGGATAATCGGTGTCTTTTCCAGCCATACGACATCTTCAGAGGGAAACTGGCATTTGACGAGCTCAACCTCACGGCGGTGTTTGGTGTAGAGACCCTTGAGGATATTTTTGATCACGGCATCAAGGGTTTCAAGCATCTCGTGGTAGTGTTCCTCAATAGCCATCTCAAGATCCAACCCAGTGTATTCTGTAAGATGACGGTGGGTATTGGAGTTTTCGGCACGGAAAACAGCACCAATCTCGTAGACGCGACCGAAATCAGCAGCGATAGCCATCTGCTTCGCCAATTGAGGAGACTGAGCGAGGAATGCAGGGCGGCCGAAATAGTTGACCTGGAAGACACTCGCTCCAGACTCGGTAGCGGCGCCTTGCAGCTTTGGAGTACGGATTTCGACAAATTCGCGGTCGTCAAGGGCAGCGCGGAACAGATTACATGTTGCGGCTTGAATACGGAAGATGGATTGCGAGGTTGAAGTGCGAAGGTCGAGGATCCGGTTGGCCAAACGTGTCCGGTCAGGGACATGGTTGCGGCGGCCCTCGGCCTTTTCTTCTTCGTTGGTCCGAATCTCTGCCTCGTAGACACTGAAGGGGACAGGTTCCTCGCGGCGAACCTGGAGGTGAACCGAGTCAATGACCAGCTCGACATCATGAATCGAGCAGCCCAAAACTGGAACCTCAGGCTTTTGTATGGTGCCGCGGACCATGACAAAAGAGCCAACCCGGAGGTGCTCCACCCACTGGATCATGGCGATAGACGATATCCCCTCCCGTTCATGCAACACACCCTGGAAGGTAGCTAGCTGCTGGCGGAATACGAGGAACACTAATTTGGCGCTCAATCGACGGATAACGTGTAGTCTTGCGCTGAAAAACACTTGCTGTCCCTCCATGGCAAGAGTTATGTCATCGATCCGAGTCCGCAATTCTCGTGTTCGAGTGGCAGACTGCATTAAGGGAAGCTCGCCATACCGAGCTTTCATCTCTGCGGTCTCCTCAGCTGCGGCTTTGGCAACCTCCTCTTCCTTGCGGCGGTGGTCGCTCTCGGAGAACATCTCCTCGCTGAGACGACTGCGCTCGCTTCGACGGTGCTGACGCACCAACCGCTTTTGTTGGTTTTTGCTCAAGCCACCGGTAGAGGAGTCGTCGGAGACATCGTCAGACGAAGAGACATACTCACTCTTATCACGTAGGAAGTTGCCGAGGATGCTGCGACGAGGGGATGTGGGGGAACCGGACCGAGATTGGGCGGTACGAGCTTTGGATGGCAAGGCAGAGCGAACGTTGGAACCAGAGGAGTCATCCTCACCTCCCAAGTGTCCTCTAATGGCCTTGGAGAGGGCACGTTTGATCGACATAGTGTAGTTTCTATGAGGAAGAGAGAAAGAGAAGGTGGGAGGGAGTTTGTATATGAAGGCAGAGGTGGGGGCCCGGAACGGGCGATTGATTTCCAATGGTTCCAAACCTTCCTTGGAAGGTGAAGAGTCCGACAACAAAACAGGAATTGCCCTGGATAATTAGACTTGAATATAATTGAATAGAGTAGGTTTGAAAGAATTAAGAGAAATCAAAATAAATATGGAATGTAGACCTGCCAAGGTGTAAAGTACCAAGATGTAGGTAGGTAGGTAGGAGGTGTGATGACATCATCAACCAAGAAACCCTGATTTTCTTGGTATGGAGCCCTGGAGATAACTTGAACTCCATTGCTTCCGTTGATCACGTACTTTATTTTCATTACTCCGATTTGTCTTTTGTCTCTTTTGTCTCTCATTTCTTATTCCCCTTCCTCTGACCATATTCTTCGTTCTTCCCTCAATCTCAAATATTCCACCTGGTTTTACGGTTTTACCCCCGTCTGATCATCGTCGCCTTCCGGGTCCATCCGAAGCACATGTCTGGCCAGTAGGACGAACGTTACTTCACACCACAGCAACATGGCCTCGTCTCGTTGGTGGCTCTATGTGCAGGCCATCTTTTGGCGCTTCCTGATGCGCATCGGCATGTTCCTACATGAGATCGGCCCTCCCCGACCACCCCGACCGTTATTCACCCGTACCGTCACTTCCGACGACCATTGCCATCCCGTCGTACTCCACTTTTACTGTCCGCCAAATTATCACGAACAACGAAGGCTAGGCCATCGTTTCCCCGTCGCCGTCAACTTCCACGGAGGCGGTTTCACACTCGGCGCCGCTACGGATGATTCTCGCTGGGCGAAAATAGTGCTGGACACTGTCGGGGCCGTAATGGTGAGCGTCGCGTACCGACGAGCCCCCGAACACCCATTCCCGCGGCAGTAGACGACGGAGTCGAGGCACTACTATATCTGGCAAGACATGCCGGCGAACTGGGGTTAGATGTGAGCCGCGTGGCGCTGAGCGGGTTCTCGGCAGGCGGAAACTTGGCTGTCACGGTGCCCTTGCGACTGCGTGGTAGAGTATCCACGGAAGTGAAGGAACACCTGGGTCGGGCGGAATCTACACAAAATCTTCTCAACCAGGTCAGCGATCTCAACATTGTTGCTGTCTTCGCTTGGTACCCGATTCTGGACTTTGAAGAATCTCGCGATCACCGTCGTGCTATGAGTCTGATGCCGGATAAGACCCTCCCTGCATTTTTCACTACCCTCTTCGATGAGGCCTATCTTCCTAATTTGGAAGATCGTGTCTCCCCCTACGCTTCTCCCATCCACGCATCTGACCGTGTCCTGGCTGAAGCTCTTCCCGCGACGTGTTTTTATTTATCTGCGAGTGGGATATGTTGATGAAGGAGGGCCAATCCTTCGTTCGCCGCTTAGAGAGCCTCGGTAAACGCCCCCGTGCCATGCTAATCGAGAAAGCCCGACATGCGTGGGATAAGTCACCCAATCCGTGGCGGGACCAAAACAGCGTGGACATCTTATACCGCGATGCCTGTGCTGATATGAAGGCTATCTTCGACCGGTGATTGGTTCTCTTGACTTTCCATGTATTATTCTTAGCTTCTTAGCATTAGGGGACTTGACTTTGGCGTTTGAACCACTGGCATCCATAGCGTTGTTTTTATATGATTATTTCACCGTCACTTTATCAGCCTGATCATATTGTATGCATATAGCGTAGATGTAGCCGTCTCTCTAGTAGTAGCAATATCGAATTGACTCATATCTGCGCCAGCAAAGCTGCACACCGCTGAGCGGAGTTTTTTGTGTCCACGAAAGACACGCTGGGACGATTATCCAGACCGATTTCAACAAGGGTCGAAGCTGAAAAGAATGTTAACACAAATCATCTCCATCGGACCCCTGTGAACTCACCTTCAGGATTATAAATTGGCCATCCCAGGGCTTCCAATCCGCGTTGGGGATCAGCAATGAATGACCCCCAAGCCGAACGCATCTGATCCTGCAGCTGGCGCTGGGCATCAGACTCATCAATACCAGTAATCTCAGCAGAAGCTCCAAAAATCATATTAAACTCGACCCCATGGTATGCTCCACTAGTGGGGTAAAGACGGGTATTCTCCCAGTCTGCGTTGTATTGGAATCGCCAAACTGGTGTATGTCGGCGACTCCGGTGTGCTGCTTCGAGATTGGATGGACAGAAGAACGTTTGCATATTGAAGTCATTCCACTGTTTGTCTGTCAATGTCGATCCCTGGGCGTAGCTCGCGATCTTGTAGAATCCTGCTTCATTGGCGTTGTGCCCGACCAGATAGGGCTGTTTGTGGGAAGGCGCTGGTTAGCAGCTACACACATGTAGATCCATTCAGTACGTTCGAGATTTAGCAATGTCCACTCACTACGCGGGCGAATTTCCCTTGCTGCGAAAGAAGAGGTGTAGTTCTCAAAAACAGTCACGTCGTCCACAGTTGGCTGGAAAGCCGGTGCCTTCCTCGCAGGGTTTGTAGTCGGAACCTTCAGTGCACTAGCAGCGGCGAGAATGGCACTCGCGTTCTGCTTCCTCATGCACGGCAGGACATCCCCTGAAGATCCACAGCCTAACTGGGCAGACACAGTATACCAATGCTTTGCTGCGGTTGTCTTATTGTTTGTCGGGAAGCTGATGGCCGTACCGGAATGCGAGATTAGCCCGGCAACTAGAGGTTCGGACTGGTAGGCGTATGCCCAATAATCGACGGAAGCACTTCCGCAGGACTGGCCAGATATAGTTATGCGGTCTGGGTCGCCCCCGAATCCGTGGATATTTTGTTTTACCCATTCAACGGCCAAACGTTGGTCTAGAAGACCAAGGTTGGGAGGGTGTCCAGGTAGACCAGGAAACCCGAAGATGTTCATGCGGTAGTTGACCGCCACGACGATTACATCCTCTGCATCAGCAAATCCGCCGCCATAATAAAAAGGGGTATCGGTCGTGCCACTTGTCCATCCTATATCATGGATCAGAAACATGGGCAGATACAAGTAAGAAGCAAAAAGCAAAAACCTACGACCACCGTAAAAATTGACATAGACGGGCTTGAGCTTATTTGAGTCTGGCTTTGACCAGACATTCAGAGTCAAGCAATCTTCACTTTGAGTATTGTTATTGATAGCCGCGAAGGCCTTGAAGATGCTGTCAAATTGCGGAGTTTTGTTGGGATAGTCGACCAGCTTCGACACCGAGTACATGCAGTCTCTGTATATTTCTGTTAACCGAGAATGTATGCATTACCTCAGATAGTACTCACTTCCCCTAGATTATAGTAATGTCAGAACTCCATATTGAGATTTCATGCATGGGATGTAAGGGATAAGACGAGATCATACATATTCCGAGGCTACGTGGACACCCCTGGTCGTGTAGGGTTGGGGCGGTGCGAATCGCAATTGGTCGACCGGTGCCTGCGCGTAAGGAACCCCCAGCCATTCTGTGACCCCGGGATTCTTCGATGCCTCGTGGCCTTGAATGACTCCATTCGACCCGACATGGACCTGTCGTGCTACGGCAACTGCCGCCAAGGCCAGCCATGTTACCTTCATGATTCGCTCTTGAAAGAGACCCCTAATTGAGTTGAAGAGACAAAAGCAAAGGAAATGTCGGAAACTAACTAACGCATCTAATATAGCGTCGATAGGGCTAAGTGGGGCTAGCATACTCTGTAGCCTGTAGAACCCAGCCATATTCGTTCTGCCGTGATTTAATTTAGGACTACCCTGTTCTCGCCTTGTAACCTAACAAGCTAATGGCCATTCGGGGTTTAGATTACTTGGCAAGGACCGGCTCCTGTCTCAAGTTCATAACAAATCTATTTGGCCCCCTAATGGGGCCGTCCGAGGTCACATCGAATGCCTAGTAGCGGCACGGAAGCCTTTAATGCTTGATCTCATAAACGAAAAAAGAAAAGCTCTCTCCCCTAGCGACATACTAATTAAATGCACTTAGGCAATGGATCTTTCTGATTCAATTCGATTTCCATTGACCTGACAATGTTATCCAAAGTATGACATTCTATGGCCAAACAACCGACGGTATCCCGGATAGAGGCCATTTGGCACGGTTACATTAGCTTGGAACACTAGCTCCTCTAACGACGTGGCTAGTATATGAGACTTCAACGTTTTATCCAAAATGACTGAACATTGTCTTACAAGCATCTAGCTGAAGACTAAACCCAAATTTCTTTGAAAAGAGGGGGCGAAGCGCCTTCTCGGACCAAAGGTGTATTTAGACTAAAACCAAGCTGCGAGACCATGCACAGATTTTATCTATGCCGCATTTGCACGATCGAACATTCCATAAACGCTTTGGGCCCATCGGGTCTGAAGCGAACTGAATCGGGTAATATTGAGGTCATCACCAATGTTACCTATGTCATGTATACGTCGAGTGTTCCTCATCTGGCGCCAAAAGCAGCCAATATGACTGGATTATGACGGACTGTTAAGGTTAAAGGATGAGTCAAGGAATTAGACTGGCTTTGAATTATATCTCCACCATCGTGAAACATAGCTACCAGACGAAGCCGAACAAGATGGTAGGCACTAAAAAGCTCCCAAGAATGCCCCGAGGCTTCCGATTATGGTATGATCGATTAATCCATATGGTCCATCATTCCGAGTCCGAAATCCCCGCCCCTGTTGTTGCGCATATCGAGCAGCCTTTCTCCCCTGGTCTCCCACATCTAAACCCCTCCGATATGACCTTACCTCAAACAGAGAAGGCTTTTAATATAAAGCAGGCGGATGGCTATCAGAGTTGGCAGTTTCCTTCAATAAATGTTCCTCTTCCGGCTGAATTTGGTAATTGCTATCACTTCCCTAGGCGTTATGGGAGTGTTCTAATTATGATTAGATCTCTGGCTTAAAAAATATGATGAGTTGACCGAGCTTTCTGTCTTCACGGGAGCAAAGTCCCGGGTTCGGGTAGACGCTTTGATAGTGGCGGTATACCGCAGCCTATCAGACCAAGGACTACTCCAAACCCCTACCGGCACTCGAGTGACTTTGGCTCTAGAGAGTCCTTTGGAGTGGGGGCCTGTCCTCCACCAAAATGTCCCACATACGTGTATTGGGACGGCAGATTACAGTCTCCTTTTTGGAGAGAAGGACCACATGGCCTGCCATTTAGTTATTATCGAAGCTAAGAGACGCGGCAGTTTCCCAGATCAGGGCCAAATCCTCGCCTATATGGCGATGGTACAAGCCAATAGAAGATCAAGGGGCCAGACAAATTGGACGGTTTGGGGGGCCCTGACAGACGGCTGGGTCTTCCATTTTTACCAGCTAAACATGGAGGGAGAGTGGTCAGTCCTGCCATTACAGACCAAGAGAGAAGGCTGGCAAGCTATTGCCAGCATGTTTGGGTCCATCGTCCTACATGCACAACAGGCATGCAACTCCCCCCTTCGACTTAAGTCTGTCCTCAGACCAAGCGCCTACCTCAAAAAAACGGAAATCAGCTGCTTCTACGGCGCCTAGAATCGGTTCCCTTCAGATGGCACCAATGGAGGAGTTCATGAGCGAGTTCGAGGATGCTCTAGACGTTGACGCTTAAATCCTTGTGCAGAGTTGGGCATTTTTTATTTTTAGCTAGCTTCAGTTTGATCCCAACATTATCCTTAATTGAACTCAATCTGAATTCGGTTGGGACGACCTTTTCCTCATCATCGCCCTCGCGGCATCTGTCATGACAACAACGGCTATCGTTTGGATAAGTCAAGATAACATATGCGTTTTGACGCGAATATGGTGACTTATCTAGTCCCAATAAGCTGACATCCAATTCCCAGCTGTGGTGCATGGTTATGGCAGGAAGAAAGCTGATATGGGAAAGGATATACATATAGCTTTTAAGGTATGTGTGCAATGATATCGATAGTATTATTGCTCGTTCAAAATTCTCATAGTCGGGCAGTGGTTCTTTGTTGCGCAGATTCCCTATAAGGTTGCTCTTGGATTTACGAAAGCTTCTATCGTCCTCCTTTACCTCCGGATATTTATTACAAAGTCTTTCCAACGCGTGGGAAAGGCTTTTCTGATTATCATCGTCGCATGGACAGTCGCATCAGTCCTCGTCACAATTTTTCAGTGTATCCCCATCGAAGCTTCTTGGGACCATGATATCAAGACCAAACAGTGTGTGGATAGAGATAGCTGGTGGTATGCATTTGCAGGAATTAACACGGTTACCGATATTTCCATCGCCATTCTCCCCATTCCCCCAGTTCGCCACCTGAAGCTTTCGAAGCGCGACAGAATTGGACTGGGCTTTGTTTTCGGAGTCGGGACATTGTATGTTTTCGTCTCATCCCCTCTTGCCTTCACGTTGACCAAGATTCTAATGTGTGATAATCATGAATACATGTAGTGTCTGTGTCACCAGTATAATCCGTACAGTTGCAGTATCTCAAACGTCGACTGGCTTAGACCAGAGCTGTGAGTATCTCTGGAAGTCCCTAAAGAGAGGAATCAGAGAACAACTGCTAACAAGGTTTTGATGTAGGGGATTTCATCCCTCGCTCAATCTGGACACTCGTTGAGTGCAATACGGGAATAATCTGTGCATGCCTCCCTATGATGCGCCGGCCGCTAAGTTTTGTGTTTCCATCGCTTTTCAGAGGCTCTTCTCAAAATGAACCAGAAAACCTTCGCTATGTTCCCATTGAACTAAGGTATACGAAGCACCAACGGCCTGCGCGAAGGAGTCAAAGCCAAGAAAACATTCTACAATCGGATGTGCGAGGCGGAGTGACTTCGGTCGAGGAACAATATAATCACATCTGTGTTACGACAGAGATTCAGCAAAACGTCGCAAACGGAAATAGGAACTTGAAGGGACACCATTTGTCATAATATATTTTCGGTTTCATCCAAGAAATGTAATCGCATGGTAAAAGCTGGTATCTCCATATAAGCTGATATAGGCTTTTCAAGGACCGGGCCGTACTATCATGTCGATCACATCTCTTGGTTACATAAACCACACATTACTACCTACCTAGGTAAGCTGCTATAGGATTAAATAGACGGTCAGGGTCTCGACTGGCAGAATATATAGAGAATTTGAAGAATTAAGAATGAAATAGCACCTGGGCAGCCCTGGAGAAAATCAGACATTAAGTAATCAACTAAGTTCCAAGGTTTCAACCTATATGGAGAATTGGCGTGATATCGGTATATTGTACAACATATATTCAGGCGTGACCTGGAATTAATATTCATATTAATAAAAGATGAGAATGAGGCACTACAATAGACTGCGGAGCCTTGGTTGGCATTCAGGATAACAGAAACGAAGTAATCCGACTTCTTGGCCCCGGGGTATTCCCCCAAGGTGCATCCAGCATATAGCGAGGTAAGCTTGTACTTACCTAGGTACTACCTAACCATTCTTCTTCTCAACAAAACTATTCATCTTTCCGATCTAGCTGCCCTCTTCTCCTTTCTTTTTTCTTTTTTTTTTTTTTTTTTTTTGGCGCATTGGCCTCGCAGACTCATTCCCGTTCTCCACTTGCTTCCCCACACTGTGACTGGTCACTTTCTGGTCCAGTACTCCAAAGATGTATAAAACATCATTATCTCTCCTTTTTATATGTGGTAGGCATTTTTAAATTATAGGAAGAATAAAGATACCCTATTTTACCTTGCTGTTTTGACCTTTTAGTATCCTGGTTTTCGCAGTAAAATCTTCGTATTGTGAGCATATTAAGACCCGGCTTCTGTTAGCGTACCCTCCTAAATTTGGATGTGCGTAACTAGCGCCAGGATCTTCGAAGTGAAGGATTTGTTCCTGCGGCTCGATGTTGTAGATGGATGTTTTCTTCCTCCTTTTCCTTTTCAACAGGATTGTAAGGATTCCTTACCCACCTGCTTCAATATCCCTTATCTCGCCATGGTGCCCCGTACACTTCTCCACCTCTTAATATTTGTCTACCTAGTCGTAGCAGACAAGACCTGCTACTTCCCTGGCGGAGATGTTGCGATCGACGATGTCCCTTGTTTCTCAGGTGATGCAGACTCACCATGTTGCTCCAAAAACTCGCTTTGCCTCAGCAATGGGTTTTGCTGATGGACTCTCACAACCATATGCGCTGAGTCGAGGTAGCTGCACCAATAAAAACTGGCCAGCAAATGGCGCATGCGACGATAAGTGTTCTGGTGGTAAGCAGATCTCATAAATTCAAATTCCCACCAAAAGCTAACAGCCATTTTTCTGACTGCAGCTACCGAGAGGCGCAACTCAGGGTGCGCGCTGCCGCTTTATCGCTATATCGACAAAAAACCTTACTATTGCGCCGACTCGGTCACAGTCAATTCAACGGGCGACACCGCTTGTCTCGCAGGTTCTCCCTTTACGCTCGATAACGCAGAGTTGATTACAGACAAGGCTGCGCTCGCCAATTACACTTCTAGTGAGACTGGCTCGAACTCCACATCAAATTCAAACACAACGTTAAGCGGCGATGCGAAGAAGGGCAATGATGTTGCGATCGGAGCCGGTGTAGGAGTCCCCCTAGGAGTGCTGCTTCTCACCGCGCTGGCCTGGGCGCTATTCGAACGGAGAAAACGTCTCTCTATTCAGGCTATGGTGGAGGGACTCCAATCCCAGGTTGCGGAAACGGCGGCATACCGAAATATGCAGGGACAGACACCGGTTTATAGTCCTCCCAGTGAACTCTCGGCTTATAAACCGCCCCAGGAGCTGGAGACTACCCATTGACGGCGGTGCGTGGCCATCATCATAGTCTTTTCGGTCTGACATAGAAGGACGGGTGGACGGTTGAAGGGAGCTCGGGGATTCATATGATCATGTTAAATGTTGGCTTTCAGCGGGTGCAATCAAGTTTCCCAGCGGGTCAGGGACAGAAGCAAAAAGGGCTGGATGTTCTAGGCATTGAGTTTACTATTACTCTATATTTATATGTAACTAGTAAGCTGCTATAGGGTTAAATATAAATTTATAGTATCGAGAAGTAGAATGTAGAGAATTGAAGTATAGGGAATGGAGTATAAGAAGGTTTAGGTATTGAGAATTCAAATATTAATGAGAATCAAATCTGTGATATTGGTGCATTCAAATGTATAGAATAGTCAATAGTCATATTAATCAACTACAAGGCACACACTGGCTAGAGACTGCTGTAGAGCCTGGGCTGGCATTCAGGATATCGCAGAAGCAAGAAAAGCATGCCGACTTCTTGATGATCCGCGAGGGGTGTGCGGCATGGCACCGGCCAACCAAATGTTGCCTACATAAAAGACCATTTCCTTACCTTGGAATCGAATACATTTCCCTGATCAATGTCATGTTAAGTGAGGATGAACGGTGACGAAATAGTGGAGCTGGTATCTTTTCCGGGCCTGGAATCAAGCTTTTTGGCTTGACAGCCCGAGAATCGTTTACAACATAAAAAGCGATCATGACATTCCAGACTGATTATTCTAACTTTTTCTAGTTTTCTTTGCTGTGTCTTTCTTACGCAAGTCTAATTCATTTTTCTTTGTTATTTTTGGCATCGTTGTTGCGATGGCGTCCTTAAGGGAACCTGGTCGGGATGTCGGAGTGAAAGGTATGATAAAGGTTTGAGAGATCGTTAAAAAGTAATAAGGCTAATATAGTGATAGATACCGTGGAAACTCCCGAACGCGAACAACCAGGAGGCACCGAAGAAAAAAGAAGCAAGAATGATGGCATGGGCAACATCCCCTCATATAGTTTGGCGGGCTCGGGCGCCCAGAATCCAAACAACAACCGAGGATATGCAGATGAAGAGTACAAGCAGTACAACCCCCAGTATGGCAAAAGCGACGATGAACCGACCTGGAGTTTGGCTCAGCCACTCCCTCATATTGTCCGGCCTGGCATGCGTCATGGCGCCTTGCCAGAGGATCGAAGGGAAGATGAAGGCGACATGAAAGAGAACGGCCAGGATCTAGCGCAGGCGGATGAGGTTCGGAAACAGCAGTCGGTGGAAAGGCGAGTGAAGAGGGTCAACGATCCCAAAGAAGACGGCTTTTTCAATACTTGGTCGAAAATTCGTCACTATCTTCGTGAGCCGCTGGCCGAATGGCTCGGGGTGAGTTCTCGATATGGCCGAAGAAATCTAACAATGGATCTGCTAATAATTATCTTTCGCAGACAACTATGGCAATGACAATCGGTCTCTGCGCCACCTTATCGAACTTCACTTCCTCTAGCCAAGCCGGGTCATACCCTGCTCAAAGTGTCGCCTGGGGCTTTGGATTCATGGCCGCCATCTACACTACTGGTGGTATGTCTGGTGGACAGTTAAACCCAGCCATCACAATCTCGCTGTCTGTATTTCGTGGATTCCCGGCGCGTCGATGTGTTATCTACATCGCTGCGCAACTTCTGGGTGCTATCACCGCGGGGGGTATATCATACGCGCTCTACCATGACGCCATTGTTGAAGTCGCGAACTTGGCCAAAGTACCTCAAAATGCAAGCGTCGCCGCTCAGGCTCTCCTCACCTTACCTAAACCATTCGTCCGCCCTGCGACTGCGTTCTTCACTGAGTTTGTGGGCAGCGCAATCCTAGTTGGTTCTATTCTCGCTCTGGGAGATGACACAAATGCACCCCCAGGGGCGGGAATGCAGGCCTTTATTATCGGGATTATCATTTCGATTGTGATCCTTGCACTTGGGTATAATACTGGAGGGTATGTGTCCAAAGTTACTTCCCAACTCCAAACGCATTTGAAACTAACTGTTGGTCTCTTTATAGTTGTTTCAACTGCGCCAGAGACTTCGGACCGCGACTTGTTGCCCTTATGGCTGGATGGGGTGGGCAGATATTCCGAGAATACCATGCATGGTGGATTTGGGGTCCATGGGTTGCAGATATCACCGGTGCATTGTTTGGTGCCTTGCTCTACGACATGGCTATCTTTACTGGTGGCGAGAGTCCAGTCAATTACCCCCCACGGAGGCGAAAGCGGGCGTACCGCGTGAGAGCTTTGAATCTTCGGAAGAAACTTCGTGTTGGGAAAAGAAAGGTCCCCGATCTTGAGCATTCAGTTGCGGAGACCGAGCGCTGAGCTATATATTTTGTATAGATGGGTAACTATCACTTCGTATTATTAGTGTGTATTTTGAATATTTTGATGAGTCCAGCACATCGCTCCCATGCAAACCGATATCCAATCCCCTCCAAGCAACTGTTGTTTTGATCGAGTGTTTGAATAGCTGATTGGGACAAGCCAAAACGACAAGTCATTGATTTGCTGGCTTTCCTCCAATCTCTGAAGAGAGTCAACAAGGCTTTGGCGGCTGCGCGCAGCAGCTTCAAGCGGGAGAAGTGGTGGACGATACTGCCGTCTGGAAGACTGCTCATAATGGAAGATGAAGAAGAGGCATCTTTTTCAGTGTCTTCCTTGATTGTCTCCTTTCCCGTCTTAGTGTTGTAGTGGGCTGTTGAACCTAAGATGACGAAGAGTTGGTTCGGGAATGGGGTTCAAGAAGGGCAGATGTCATTTTCGGGCTCGAAACATCCGCGCCTGTAGAGTCACTAATTATAAGGGCATGTAAGCTATGAATTAAGCTAAGCTTTTGTGCTCCCGGTACATTCAAATACTAATCAAACAAAATATGTATGATCTACGCCGATGTAAGCACAGTTGCAGATCAGATATCCCTTGCATACCTGAGGGTTCTTAGCCCGCCACAACGGGAGTATAAATCGCAGGCGATCATTCTTCAGATAACGCGAATAATTAGGGACCTCCTCGACGCCATTTCCCTTCACCATATTGCAAGCGTACTCCCAGCCAAAAGAAACCACCGACGCGATGCCTGACTCTCCCGACATAGAAGAGGCCAATCCTTTATTGCTCGAATCAGAAGATGAATATCGCAGTAGTCTCGAGTACTCACAAGACACGGCGGACTTCGACAGAAAAGGGGACCCAGAAAATCCACTCGAGTGGCCTGGCTCCTACAAATGGGGGGTCGTGGCCTTGCTATCCTTCATGGGCTTCACAGTGTACGTATCGAAAGCCCTGCAGAAATACCTGCTTGAAGCTAATTATATCCAGCACATTCACATGCATCTCGCTAGCCCCTATAGCCGGTCATGTCGTTGATGATCTCAACGGTAGCAAAGGGGCTAAATCTGCCACCGTTATGCTCGTCACAATATGGGAGCTAGGCGAGGCAGTAGGCCCCCTTTTCATCGCTCCGCTATCTGAGATATTTGGGCGCTATCGCCTCTACCTAACTATGAACACGATGTTCATTGTGGCTATCCTGTTCGCCGCTTTATCGCCCAGTACAGAACTGCTTATCGTCTCACGCGCTCTAACGGGAATTTCGGTAGCGTCCAACGTGCTGAGCCCTGCCATTATTGGTGACATGTTCGTCCCTGAGCAAAGGGGCACTGCGCTTACTCTGATAATGTTCACTCCCCTCATTGGTGGTACCTTGGGTCCAATTATTAGCGGTGCTGTCTTGCAGACTCTAGGATGGCGCGCTATCATTTGGATTAGCGTTGTGATGGCCAGCATTTGCCAGATCTTGTTCTTAACCTTCTTCCAAGAAACATATAAGGTCCAGATCCTGCGCCGGAGGGCGGCTCGGCTAAGTCTTGAAATCGGGGGGTTCGAGAAGAAAAAGCGTCCTACGGTGGACATGGCCAGCTTGGGACACTCGATCATGCGCCCGGTGGTGGTTCTACTCAACTCGAGTGTTCTGGTGGCTCTCTTGCTGTTTGGGTCTTACATGTTCTCACATTTCTACATTGTATCCACAACACTTCCTGAGATTTTGGAAGATATTTATGGACTGTCGCCGACTGAAACAGGTCTTGTTTTCATTGCAAATGGTGAGTTTGCTGCAGTTGCCCTCTGATGCCTTGGATGGACTAACGAGTTATTTTAGCCATTGGCACCATCATCAGTTTTATAATATCGAAAGTCCTATTGGATAAAATATACGTCAAGCTCCGCGCGCGAAATCACGGAGATGGTCTGCCCGAATACCGCCTACCTCTCAGTATCATTGGAGCCTTGACCCTCCCCCCTGCGGTGATTCTGTATGGATGGTGCGCTGAATACAGGCTACCGTTATGTGTGCTTGTCTTCTCGATGGTTTGGCTTCGTGCTTCTGTGATGCTGGCTTCCTCGCCTTTGACGGCGTACATTGTGGACGCGTGTGGGATTTATTCGGCATCTGCAATGGCTGGTCTCATATCAATGAGATGCTTAGCTGGGGCGTTCTTGCCGCTTTCAGTATCGCGTCTGACTGAGAGGCTTGGGTACGGGGGAGGCTTTTCTATGCTCGGAGGTCTCGGCCTGGTCTTTGCTCTCATTCCTACATTGGTTTTCCACTATGGTGCACAGTGGCGACAGCGTTCTCGGTATACAGCAAGTAATTCGTGATTCTTTCCATCGATACGCTATGACAAGGCGCAGCAGAATGTGAGGGCACCGCTTCTTGGCAACGGCGTCTTGGTATTGAAAATATCTTGGTCGACTCAGAATGCAATAATAATTTATGTCCCAGGAAGTGCCCACCGAATGAGGTATTCGTGCATATGAATATCGAATGCAACAAATCGAGGGTAGTGTGGAATTTTTAAACACACAGGTCAAAATTGGTCCCTTACGCCTGTCTCCTGCTCCTCACTCAATCTCTTCTCATTCAAGGTCGTCCACCATTCATGCGATGGGTCTTTGCTCGGTCCAGATTCATCCCATGGCTTCGGGCTCAGGATGTAATGTACATTCTTAACATTCTCATCGCGCCATATGGCGTCATGGACACCTTCCCACCGTAGGGTTTTGAGTGCGTTGTAAATATACGGGAGTGCAACCCAGCGACCATAAAATAGATCACCGAGAAGGGACTGATCAGCAAAATCATAACTGGATGTTGTAGAAGTCGCGAGCTGTCCAAGAATTTTGTCGTAGATTGCTTGAGCTGGGCTCACCACCTGTAGGCCCCCATTGGGTATTCCAAGTCCTGCAATGGGTGAAGCACCGGTTGTTTGCGCAACGTCAGGATTGTCATGCTGCGTACTATAGGCACAATTGGCCGGAACCCTTCAAATTCTCGAATTAGCATGTAAATCGCGCTTGAATGGTTCTCAAAGTCTGTGAGGGGAGAGGCTGGTCTTACCAGTCTGTTGGATAGTGAGCTTTATGAAGCGGATTGCAGGTGCAAGCATGGCTAGCGGCAAAAACTCGATTCCCGTTTCCAGCCATTTCCGGCGTATCCAAGTCGATATCCATTAATTCATCCATATTTTGGAGGACCAGCATGTCACTATCGAGTTGCACGACACGGTCATATTCAACGAGTGAGAAAGGCGTGAGTTTGCTCCAACAGTCGTAAAATCGTACATCGTTGGTGTAGTCCTTCGGTACTGACGGAAGGAGATACGGTACATGCCGCTTCAAGATATTTCGGGAATCAAGTGCTTTGTGGCCCTCGGCGGGGAAGGAGTCCGTGTAGAGAACGACAAGCGGATACTTTGACCCCACCTTCCTGAGAGAGTACTCAAGAGTCAAAAGCCCAGAGAGGTACGCAGTATTTGTTATGAGCGTGGTCCAAACTGAGAATTGTTATCAGGCTGAAGACATTGAGTTCCAGATTGCCCTGTCGATCCGTACCTTTCGAGGCATGTGGTTTGAGGTTATTCTCGCCCATGATTTTGATGGTCGCGCTAGGACTGCTAGGACTGCGTTCTTTTTTTAGCTTGACAGGCGATTGACGCGCGTGAGAAATCGGAACTCACATCTGGCAATTGAAATTAGCTGTTGCACTTGGGTAGAAGAGGAAGGAGATTCGTAATGCCCTGAGACCTCGGGAGTGACACGAAGCGCGTAAGCGCGTTGTGGGGTAGGTGACAGGAGTCCGGTATCGGTTGCCCAATGAGGGGCAACCTCACCTCCACAATTAGCCCTGGAGCCCTGGAGGTCTTGCTACATTTATAATCAGAGGGCTTTCTCTCCATTCCAAGGTTACTGTACCTACCTAAGTAGGTAGTATCCTATATGAGTCATATCCTCATATAGTGAGGCTAGAGGATGTATATAATCTCTCGCTCCTCACAAGCTCGCCAGATATTGAACCACCATATTACATTCAGCTCTTATGACTAGCAAGGGAAATCTAATACAACCTTGGAAGTTTTTCCTCATCTAGCTTAAGGAAATGGCAGGCTCTACGCTTAGTTTCGATACGCCCGAGTCGCTCAGCCCTCTTCTATGCCGAACAGATAGTGATCCTCGACCTGTTGTTATGATGACTTGCGGAATGGCAGGTAAGTGAAGCAAAATTCTAGGGGCAAGCTTTTGGTGAATAGCTAATGGGGAATTTATTACTAGGCTCTGGGAAGTCATCGCTTTCTAAATGGGTATTATCGAATCACCCATCCTTCAAACGGCTCTCAATCGACTCTTTCATATACACCAAATACGGGCTGTATGGTGTTGATTATCCAGAAGACAAATACAACGACTATCAAAATGAGGCTGAGAGGGCTCTCCGAAATGAATTAGTGCAGCTGCTTCGACAGGGCTCTCAGGATGCAATCCTAGATTTGTCTTTCGCGTTTCGAGAATCTAGAAATGAATGGAAGGACCTGATTGAAAATTCTGGGGGACGTTGGGTACTTGCGTATCTTGATGTCGATGTTGACGAGTTGCGACGGCGGGTCACTGCCAGGAACCAACTGGTCGTCAAAGACAGCGATTCAGCTTTTTTTGTGACGAATGAGATCCTCGAGAGTTTCATTGCTGGCTTTGAGAGACCGATCGGGGAGGGAGAAGTTATTTTACGTCTCCATAATAAATTTAATACAGGCACCGATCTATAAATTTCAGCGCCTAAGCGAGATACCTTGATCTATCACCTTCGTCAAGGCTGGCAGAAAGATGTCCCAATACAATCTTAGTATTGTTTAGGGGCTTTGGGAATTAAAGAGAGTAAAGGTAAATCTGATTTCGAATATCACTGTAACCAAGCTTCATCTAAGCCATCTTTTACCAAATCAATGATATCATCGCACCTATCAACATCTGCACGATGCGCGCAATGCAGCCAATCGCAAAGCCAAGCAGAAAGAGGAATACCGTAATACCAAGCACCAACCATGGCACTGAGCAAGGCAGCTTATCAACCATCATATATCTTGAAGGTTATAGGCCGAGCGTATGTTAACGAAGTGTAGAAGGCCGCTTAGGCAATGGCAGCAACCCTGGAAGAAAGTTGTGTTATAATGATGAGAAGGATAATAGTTTAAACAAGGGAAGGAGCACCCACTTGTGTTCTCAAAATCGCCTAGATCTGGATAGTGTGTTCTTTCCTTGTTGTCGAACTTTCTGGATACAGTTCTCGGGGAGTTCCTGTTGGTCAGGCAAGTTGAATGACAGTAAAGGGAAGAGCGAATGGTATTCCTGCAGACTAGTTCCTGCCAAAATCAAGCCCGCTATGTGCTTTCCTATTTTATCTATGCACATATGCAATGGTGATGATTAACTACACCGTGTCTCCGAGTCCCTTTTGGTAAATACAGTACTCAGGATGATCGCATGTTTACATATGTAAGAATCTAACTTTATGTCCATGTGGCACGGCATCCATCCATGGATGGATTGATTCCTTTATTTTATGCACTTTTCACTCTCAAGGTGAATTTCCGATGTAGTCAATAAGTGAAATAATGGCGGCTATCTGCCCCTGTGAGTCCGTTCGTAATTCCACTGAGTTTATAAGTGTGCATCGAGCGAGCTGAAACACGGAGGTTTTAGGGTTTAGTTGTTTAACCGCCGCTAGGCTTGATGTACATTGATGTACATTGATGTGGAAGGTGGGGGAAGAAGTGACTGGATATCTCTGGGCGCACTTGCATTAGATTAGCGCCTCGTTTAGTGATCAAACACATAACCCGTGGACCGGTCTAAATTTAGGTCCCCTGCTTTACTTATTGCAATATAATAACCTTGGAATGAAACTGCCGGTAGAAAGCTGAGTACAGCATCATATTTATTCATAACAGCCCAAACAGCAACAATCTAATAACGTCCCATTTACCTCCCCTTCGTTTCAGGAAGCGGATTGTGCGTCAAATTGTATTCCATTCATCTCTGCGGATTTCGAGTCAATCAGCCAACAACGCAATGGACGTTTCATCTTCAATTGCTACTTGGCTTTCTTTAGCTGTAACATTCGTCGGTCTTGGATCTATCGCTACTCGGTTCGGCGCTATTGTCGATCGGACAGATGAATTCCGTGACGTGCGGGGCATGCGGCATTTAGGTAGCTGGTGGCACCGACAACCCCATATACCATGGTATCATATTGTCAAACCACCCCCTATTGGGCCTGTTATCAGCGCAAACCTCTTGCGCGGGCTCTGCGGTAACAATCTGGTATATGTCAGTCGCTTGCCATTATCATCACATCCAGTGGGCCAGGCAGCATGGTCGGTGCTACTTGCAGTCATTCACCCAGGTTCTCAAACCAACAACCAGCACAAATCATCGGGAAAACTCTCAACTCATGGTACTGTGGGGTTTGACCACATAGTCACTATTAATAACGAGCCTTTCCAGCCCCCTCCAAGCGAAAGCTGGGCTGACATGCCTCTTCGTCCTCTTACGAGGCACAAGTTGACCACTTGCACTGTGATTTCGCGTGCAACCCTTATAACACTATTCTGCATAACGAATGCGCGACCGGTATTCTGGTACAGCAGCGCTTCTGGCCATCGAGCTGCCTACGCATCCTACTGCGGACAATGGCGAGTGGAATGGCCCATTGGAGACCTTGCACGTGCGTACTTTTGTGCGCATGATTCTCACACATTATTGAAGGACCCATACCCGGCAAGGTTTCAGCAGAGAGTCGACAAGTGTTTACAGATGCTGGCTGGGGTGATTGAATCACACTCGTCAAATACATTCAAGTGTGCTTTTCCAGGACGCAAATCATCCGGAAAATGGATTCTTGAATATGCACCCAAAGGATTTGGCGGCGCACACGGCGGAAGACATCTTTACAACATGCTCGGTGGCAAAGTGAGCGAGGTGGACTTTTTGGCCATGAAAGCGATCAATGCAGAACTAGAATCATCAGAAGACATGGTAGCTCTTAACTTACCCAACAAAGACTCTGGTGTGCGCGACGTGACATTGTACGTCCCCAAGCAAGAAGCGGCCGTTCTCAATGAAGCCTTGGATAAACTTCCTTGGACATTCCTGTCATGGTCGATTCATCGAGGGCTACGCGATATCCTCGTTGCTTTTGCAAAGGAAAGGATGGACCGCTACCGAAATTGTTTGGCAGAGACACTCCGTCTTGCGGTAGCAAAATGGCCGGAAAGATTGGAAGCCAGAGGATGGGACCCGCGTTTTGTGAGGGAAGATATGGCAGCTATGGCAGCAAGTGCTGTTATGGCGGGCCAGGGGAATTCAGGAGATGTCGTCAGAATTGTGACTGAAATAGCAGCGGTTTTATCGGGCGGTCCAGTCTCAGCTCTTGATGAGACGAGGTTTTGGAGAGATACAGCTCCCATATCTGATTCTCCAATCCTTGACCCGATGACCGTTATCGCTCTTGTCAAGTGCTTCGTCTTGGAGTGGAGTAATGATTTGAACTATCAGATGTACCACGATTTCCCTATAGAGATGTACCTAGGATGAGCAGGTACAACTCTTCGATAGCCCAAATATTTTGTCCTTAATGTACTTCCCATGAATTATGGATAGCGACTTTCCTCCTTAGTACATATGTACTCGAGCTGAACGCGACCCTTTGAAATGCCCTTGTGGGGATCTCGGCGTCTCGGGAGCCGATGGATGCCGAGACCACGATCCGTGGAACGGAGTCTTAAGGCCGAATATGTTTTTGTCGAGATATACCTACCTAGGTATATATCATGGCAGAAGAGTGTTGAAGGCCACATCCATGGGCATCGATGAATAGAAAAGAAAAATAACAGACAGAACCAATTCCGAGAATAGAAAGAAATCCGATCAGAAGTCAGACATTCCAGACCTCCACAAAACAACCTCAAAACACTAGTGCAAATAAAGAGAATGGATTCAACTCCAGGGCTATAGGTGGAGATTAATCTGCCAAGCTTATTCAGCCAATCGAAGCGACCACTTTCAATTTCCCAAGTGATCTAGTGGGTGAACTGGGACTTTGAGGGTCCTTATAAAATGAGGTCTCACTTAAAAATAGAGTGTTTTTTTTTTAAAAAAAGAAAGAAAGAAAAAGAAAAAGAAAAAGAAAAAGATCAGGGGAAAGCAATATCGATGAAAGTCTTAGTCTCTCAGCCTTAACCCACCAAGCCCATGGCGCTTGATAGCGTTGTGTATTATTCCTCTTAAATCCTCTCTTCTTCGTATACACCGTCGCTATGCTCGCTCAGGGGCGGACATTCACCAGATTCTCAACGACAAGCATATTCATCCTACTATGTCTCTTCTTCATCCTCTATTACCACCCAATGAGACAAGCGACACCAGAAGGCCCCTCCACATATGATCCCTCCAGAGAAGGTCTCCAACCGGCATCACCGCGGATCCCAGAGAAGATCTGGTACAAAGTTGGCCCGAAAGGCTTGAGCGACCAGTCACACGAATGGCTGGACGATTGTCTCCACAAAAACCCAGCCCATCGCGCGCAGATCATGACCGACGACACGGGCGATCAATACGTGCAACAAAACTACCGCGATCGTCCCGATATCGTCGACGCCTACCTTTCTCTCACGGTGCCGATCCTGAAAGCAGATTTCCTGCGCTACCTGCTTCTTTTCGCGGAAGGCGGCATCTGGGCCGATCTCGATGTCTCGTGTGGTGATGTACCCATTAGAGAATGGATCCCTGAGACGCTGCGCGCTAAGGCTGGTCTTGTTGTTGGGTGGGAGTTTGATGTTGGCTGGGGAGAGAATTTTATTCGGCAGTTTGAGAGTTGGACGATTATGGCGGCGCCGGGTTCGCCGCATCTGTTGATGGTTATAGATGATATTATGGATGGGATTCGTCAGAAGACGGAGGAGTATCGGGTTCCGATCTCTGAGTTGACTCTGGATATGACGGGGGATGTGATTGACTTTACGGGGCCGAGGCGGTTGACTAGTGGGGTATTGAAGAGCTTGGAATTGGCTCGCAATGAGACGATCGATATGGCGAGTATCTCGAACCTTTTAGAGCCCGTTTTGCTCGATGATGTTTTGATCTTGCCGGGGTATTCGTTCGCTGCGTCAGCGAATCATTACGGCAACGAGAATGTGACTGGTCCTTCATTAGTCCAACATCATTATGCCGGCAGCTGGAAGAACCATAATGGTGGTGAGGCGTGACTTAACGCTGTGTATTGTTTTATGAATTTTCCCTTTATACTCCCTAGACGTCGCCCTTAGCGCTTTCCTCTATCGCATGTATTAAATACCCTTCCCTCCCTTAGTAGCTCGAAATATAGAGAGCCCGTATAAAAGCCTGACGTTCCAACGACGACCCTTTGCGGTGGCATCTAGGTAGCTTGCAAGCACGTTTGGTCGTCGGGGACACGTAGATCGAAAATGGGCTCCTCAGCAATAAACATTTCCGTGGCACAGAAACTCGCCATGAAGACGAGAGACGTGATGCTCAATGAGAATGACAGCCATGAAACTCACGAGAATGATTTCCGCCTTGGTCAACCAGTAGCATTTACCGCTGCCGCTAGCAGACTAGTGCCCAGGAAGAATATAAAAGTTCGGAGGCCATCTAGAGTTGTTGTAGGTAATATATACGGCACCTTGAGTTTGAAAATAGCGGGGAGTGCAGAAAGTTCGATTAATTGAGCCTGAGAAGTAGCCTTCGTATATTCCAGAATGACAGGAAATCCCTACAGCATTCCGAATGCAGCAGAAGGCCTCCTAGTCCCGCGAGAAACTCGGAAACCAACCTTGGAAGGCATCGAACTCGAAATGTAAGACACTCAGGTTTAGTAGACCGTGAGAAGAGTCCAGGAAATTTCATGTAAATTATTTTCCCATTTTTTGAACAAGCTAGATTCGGCACTATGGTAGTACACGCAGGAATTTCCCAGGGATTCCACCGGATAGTTCCGTGCTCAAGAACGATATCATCAGTCATAAGGTATCGGGAACTTTTGTGAAAGAAAAAGAAAACAAGATCAAAATATCGCAGATATTGGTGGAAATCCCGAACGCCACGCTGAAGTAACAAAATAATCGAACACAAGATCAAGTCCTGATTCGAGAAAGATAGATCATGCCCAATTCACTCCTCATCAGTCTCGGTGAGATCATCGCCCTCTTCATCATCGGACTCGTCAACCCCGCTATCTGAGTCGTTTGCGTCGTCGAGGCCTGGAATACCGCGCCACTCGACGTAGTCGCCTTCGAGCCAGCGACGGCTGCGGGGAAGTTGGTAGGGATCGAAGGGGAAGTATGCATCCAGTTGATAGCCGACGTTATCGCCGGCGCGGATCTCGCGGCCGACGTGGCTGAAGCGAGGGTCTGAGAGATTGGAAAGGTTCCTGAAGGCAGTGACGCGAATGCGCTTGTTGGTCTCAAGGAGAGGGTAGACGTATAGGAATTGGAAGTGGTGTGCGATGCGGGCGAACTCGGCGACGATAGCCGGGGAGCATACCTTGAGCGGGTTCAGACGCGAATAGATACATTTGTGAAGGAATTCTTTGATGTTGGGAGGGAATGCGATCTGGCCCGGCTCGAGCTCGTCCACCTGGTCCGCAGTATCACCGTCAATGGCGGCGGTTGTCAGATCGCGCCACCGGAAACAGAAGATGTAGAGCAGGGCCTGTGCGGTGGAGTAGAAAGGTCCATAGCGACGGAGATCGGGACCGCGGCAGCTGTCCTCATAGTCCATACGTAGGCTGTTGAGGTGTGTGAGGAGGAGGTCGAAGACGTCGCGGACCACTTCTCCGGAGATATGCGCGCCACGTGCGACAAAGCTGGCCAGGTATGCGGCTGCTGACTGGCGCAGGATGCCAGGCTGCAGCTTGTTGAAGATAAGCTGCACAAATGTGGATGCGAAGCGATCGATGAGTACGGGTGAGGCCTGGGAGAAATGGAACAGGAGGAACTGCGAGTGGCGGGATCGGTATGTAGGAAGAATGATCGTTTGGAAGTGGCTGAGGAGCAGATCCAACGCATTCTCCTTATCATCCAGGGTCCCCGAGGTGAACGGGGGCGAAAAGTATTCAAAGAGGATGTCAATCATTCCATCCACTTTGAGAATGTTATCCTTGATCTTCTTGGCCCCCTTGGTCTCGTCATCTTCCGAATCGTCGCTGGCAACCGAGGCATCATCATCTTCTTCCTCATCGTCAACCTCATCCAAGATTTCGTCACCGACCTCCTCTTCAAAGTCCTCCATATCGACCTGGATTTCAACGTCGACCTTGACAAGCTTCTCGGTGATAAGAGCCAGGATATCGGACTGAAGCTCTGGGGCATAGCTGATGATTTGGATGAGATTGCGGGTGTAGGCGATGCTCGCGCTAGCTGGATCTGAGTCGAAGGGGAACTGTGTAGACAAAATCTGGGAGAGTGATCCACTACCGGCCGGGATGAGTTGCAGCACATGGCGCATTGCCATGTGGACGCGTGTGTGCATTTCGGATGGTTGCACAACGGCGTAACCAGGCAGTCGACCGACTGCTCGAGGGACGGACCCGAGATTGGTGGCTAACATCTTCAAGACAGGACCAAGGAAGGTACCCTGTGCGGCGGCAAGGTTGCCCAGGAACCGAGTGTACAGCTTCACGTAGGCTTCATCCCGTCCAAGCCACTCGCTGTTGATGATGGCATGGACCAAACCGCTGCAGGAACGGTCTAAAGAAGCGACATGCGAGATCAAACCAAGAAGGTGGTTCCTCAAAGATGTGTGCGTTGGTGATTCATATGCAAGCAGGCTGTCGTCACCTTGCTTGGTCGGATCAGCAGAAAACATTCCCTTGATCCGGTCGTAGCCCTCGCTTTCTGACATTGTGACATGTCGGTGGATAGCCCCGCGGACCTCTTCCCGAACGACTGCCAGACTTTTCTCCGACGATATATCATCATGTATCTTCACATCTTGATCAAACTGCACGCGGGGTCGCTTCTTGGTGGGAAGGGCTTCCGTCACGTCATCGGCCTGGGATGAGGACGGGGAGAGGGGGATGTCCATTTCGCTCATCTTGCGTTTCGAGCCAGCGACCACGGGAGCAGGTTTCGAGGTTTTCAGAATCGGCGCTGGAGAGGAAGTGGGCAGCATTTTGGAATGAGATAGCGTGCGTGTGGGCGGTAGCGCCGGGTTGCGTGAAGTCGTGGCAAGGGAGACCATGGCCGAATGTGAGGGAAAAGTGATGTAGAACAGGTTCTAGGCAGAAACCAGTGTCGACATTTGCTTCCCTGCACTCTAGCAGAAATCAAATCCCGTTGACTTTCGATTCAACGTCGGAGCTTATCAAAGACTGGTCCAAGCACACGACACTTTTTCACGTCGAGATCTTGGGGCTAATGCTACAGGTTGGAATAGGAAAAAAAGGCGACAATCTGTCTGCATCCGTGGAAGTCCAGTTGCTTGAGATAGATAAAATCGGATGCAGACAGAATGGTCGAGTTGCTGAGTCCAGAGCAAAGCAAAGCGAAATTTTTCCTTCTTTTCCTTCGGTCACTTGTGGAGCCCAGCGGAGCACCCGTGACCGTGTCGGTGAGCCCTACGCTATGCCTAATTGGGTAATATTGGATTATGTCATCATGTCCTCATTGTCGCGTTTTATACATCATGCTCTACATTTTATTTTGTTGACTCTGAAGACATTTTCGAACGTGTCTATGGAATATACTTGGGACAGAATATACAATGAAACATCAATGGAATTCCATATGAGACTCCCCAAAAAGTCCCCTGAAAGAACCCAGATCCTCAAAGACTTTGTAGGCTTTGTGAGCAGTTGGCCCCAAATGATACATCAATGAATGACGATAAAAAAGAGACCGTCTATTACGGGAAGAATAGGATAAAATGGCATCAATAAATTCAAAAATCAGGATTGAACGCGGGAACAGAAGGTCCTCCCATGGTATCGTGAAAAAGCAAGGGGCAGTAGTCGTAAAAGAAAGAATAAGAGTTGGTCGTCGTGGCGGGCTGAGCAAAGGAATATCCAGTCCTCGCAAGTCCGCAATCTCGTGTCGTTGATAAACCCCCGGGTCAACCCGGGTAGGGGCAGCAATTATATTAGAACCAAGATGTGGTCATAGGTCCACGTGTGTCCTCGAAAATGCTGCCGTACAGTTCTTCAACTTCCACAAGATAATCCTCGACAGAAAACTTCTTGAGCCCCTTGGCGTATAGAATCCGCTCTTCATCATCGAGCATATTGAGGCCCCCAAATTCCTCTACAACCTCGTTCACCTGCTCTAGCTCTTTGCCGAATGGATGCGGCTCGGCCTGGAAGAATTCCTGCGTTGCACGAATGCCCGGTGTGTTGCGCGCGGCATTCAGTGGAGGTGGGGACATCCTGGAGACCGAGCGCTTGTGGGCAAGCTCCTGGTGTGAGCGCTTGGTGTGGGACAGAGCCCGCTTGGGCACCAGTGGAGCATCTGTTGACGAGGACGTGGAGGAGCGCGGGTGGCTTGTCACCGTGGCCGTGCGCTTGGGGAAATACGACGTCGCTGGGTTTGCGTCAATGGGAGAGCTCCCGTGAGGAGAGACGTCCGGCGAGGACATAGATGACGCGTAGCTTTGCGGGGAGAAGGCCATGTCGGAGTCGTCGCGCGATCCTAGTGAGGAGGCAGATGAAGAGCCGCTCATTGTGAGATCGGGTGCGTTGTAGGCTAGCATGTTGGTTGTGGACAAGAGCTGGACCGGTCCAGATATATTGCTGCGCTTTATACTTCCCGAGTTAAGTCGCACATGTCCTTCGCCACGGTAGGGCATGGGTGCGGACACTTCTGGGCGCTTATTGCGCCGGGTGAATGCTCTTGTGAGGTTCGACATGGCGGATTCGGAGATTCGGTCAAGTTCAAAATATGACAACGGTGCGTTTCGGCGTGGTCGGGAATTGATTTTATAATTTTACACATGCAATGTGTGAGATTTTTGTTTCTTTTTCTTTTTGGAATCTGGTCGCTCTTTGCGATCGGATCCGTATTTGAGTCTCGCGTGGTGGGACGATCGCGCAAAGAATGTAAGATCAACCGGAATGTCCAGTATCAGATCGGTATCAGATCGTGAGTTGTAGAATTTCAAATTCTATAAAAATGCACAAAATGAATGTTGGATCCTCTTCTGAATTTCGCGCAGCAAAATGTAGAGGAATAACAGTCTCTTTTGTTAAGGAATGGTGGCGTAGAGGTCAAGAATAAGAAGAAAAGAAGAAAAAGGGGTCCAGGATCTCAGATCACTTTGTATCAAGGACTTAAAAGAATAGAATAATAAGGAGAGAATGAAGGAACAAAGGCACACACACACAATCCCAAGGAGGTTGGAAGAAGAAAGTGAGAAGGGGGGGGGGGGTCCCTTACGGAGGATTAGTATTGGGCGCTACACCAACGTTTGAAGGATTTAGCCCTGGCCAGTAGCAGGACAAAGGATGGAGCCCAAAAGATTTCAGTCCAAGATTTCAGTCTAGAATATTTCAAAATTTGGCTAGGGCCCAGTGTTCTTGATCAGAGTGGTTCATCCAAACTTCGGACATTTGCCTCTTTCTACGGTATATGAACTACGCCCCAATTTATTCTCTACCTTGACGGGGGAAATTCCATATCTCCGAGTTGACTCCAGCCATCCTGCAGGGTCATCTTCGAGGACGGATATGTGCCTGGGTATGGAGGGGTCATCGGGCCACCGGGCAAATGTGTACGTGTTCGACGTGTCCTATCTGCGCTGTCATTCCATATCAAACACCCTTGAAGTCTGCAAGGTCACGCGAATAATAATTCCATCCCTCGTAGCAAGTGTCCAATATAGCATGATGCCATAATACCCCGAGAATGATCTAATTGAAACGGATGCAGGTCCGGGCTCTTAGTCTGAAGGCACGGGCGTTTCACCAACCACCTGTATCCGTTCTACGCTGAAAGTAGTCTGTGCTCCGTGACCTGTTTGGCTCGGATGAAGCCAGGAAGACGGTCCAATCAGAGGGTTCAACTGGAAGAACTCAGGTCAAGGGGTCTTGCTAGCGCTTGCCTGCAGCTGATCGAGTCTGGAGGAGTTGAAGAATTTCCAGACCGAGATGGTGTGTTGCTCGTTATCTGAGTGGACTGGTGGATTTTCTGTGGAGTATTGGTGTTTAAAGTCCTAAAAACCCCTTCCATCTCAGACTCCACTGTGAAAATTGTGTGGAGTGGAGTGAAACCCGCTAGGGTCCTACGAAGTACTCCGAACATTGTTCGGAGTAATGTTGGATGTGAGGTATTGTACATTGAATATTGAATATTGTAAATTGTCAAGTGCTCCTCGCTGTATTTGAATTGGCCTTGCTTTCAGTCGACAAAGCCATTCATTCTGGATTCCATTCTGCCCAGGCGGTGTTTCCAAGATTTGGTCCAATGAAAAAGGTTCCAGACAACACGTGATGTGGTGACTACTGAATTGATGGCCTCAGGCATTAATGCTCCACACTTGCCTGTTACAGATAAGGAAGGCTCCATGAGGAAAGAGATGAAGTCTCCATATTATTGTGTAATTGTACGTTCAACACGTCGATTTAAAAGCAAGGTCGCGTCGATTTAGAAGTAAAGGCTGGGATTATTGTGTGACAGCTCCTCGGCCTTGCTCAACCCCGTCTCCACCCCAGCTCTTGCATCCGCATCTGCATCTGCATCCACTGAAACACCGACAGCATCCTCAACGTTAGTTATTCCATCTCGGGTACTACATGGTGACGGGCCGGATTCAGGTTCCACCGCGACCTGGTGTCCAAGATATACCGACGAAGCTATCACCCCGGGGTGGGACTGATGAGCATCGTATGATCTCCCCGAACTGACCGTGTTGTCTCTTAGGTTGCCATGCATATGAGAGTTGTCCAGAATGAGGATCTCCCAAAATCTGCAATCTATCATGGGAAGGAGTCCTCGGAATCGTGTAGCCACGTCCCGGTGTATCTGAAATCACATCACTTGGCTGCTCAATGGTAAACCGGTCGGACATGGCCGTCAGCCAACGCTCCATATCGGGCCATTCTCGGAGGGGCAGCTGAGACCACTCTTCCATGCGAGCTGCCTTGTGTTTGAGGGAGGTCTCCGTCTTTGCTGTGGCTTGTGCTGCTGTTGCTTGTCCCATTGAACGAATGGTCATCAAAGCTCCGTAAAGGGCTGACTCCGTCTCCGCCAGTCTCTGTTCCAATTGGTTCAAGTATCCCAATGGTAACCCTCTGGGCTAATGAATTAGCTCCCCGCGGGTCCCTGCATATATAGGCCTGGGTACTTGCCTTTTACCACTCTCGGGGTAGATGCATTTCGATGCTTCCCCTGCGCATTGCGAACAGAACGGACTTGGCAAGATGGTTAGAAATAAGGCCAGCTATCGAACTAAACGGTGACAACTTGTTTGATCTTACAGTCTGCGATCACACTATTTTGTAGGTCAGAACTTGTCTTGCTGTTCTTTACAAAGAATAACATACTTTGCATTTGCGCTGTCTGCATAGCTCACAGGAAATCGGATTGAGGTTCTCTTCTGATGGCACCTCGAGTCAGTCGATCTATGCTTTTGGTGTGGGGTATTCTGGTCACACCTGGCATGGTAGCACCAGGTGCCTTCCGCTTCGATCGCAGTTGCGCCATTCGTTAATTTTATTGTTATACAATACGTGCAGGTGCAGTGGAACTCCCGAAGGTATGCAAGACATCAGGCTACCATTGTCATGGGTATGGGTGATGCTGGTTGGTAAAAGCTTCGGAGTAAGAAACCTCCGGGCGGAATTGGCAGGCACGTGATGGCCACTATATTTATGCAGGACAACCCTAAAACGAATAAAAAGATGTGATGCTTTTGCTTTTTTTCTGACTGAGCGAGACCTATCGCCTTGTCGTTCAAGATCCCTGCGAATTGGTCGTGATGATGCATCTGATTGTTGGTTTTGTTAATTTCAGACATGTAGTACCCTTATAGTATTCTTGACACTATCATAGGGCCTATGACATTACTATAACACTTCGGTCTATCCGTGCGAGAAAGGAAATCCAAAAAGCAGTGATGAATGATACGGGGCATTTATTATACCCCTTCTTCCATTCTTCCCTTCTTCAAAACTTATTACTAGCTTTCCCTTCGGTCACTTGGCTACCTAAAACGATGGTTTGATCCATAGTTTTTCCTCGTTCAGTCTCACAGTAAGCGTGGCCTGCTCAAAGGCATACGCACAGGCAAGAAGCTTTTCTTCACTGTACCTGCGTCCAGTAAGAGTAATGCCATATCTAGTGCCAATATCAGTAAACAGGTATCCTTGTGCGTTGAAGGCCGCTTACGGAATATTTGGAGCCTTCGCCACCATTCCCTTGGAGTCTCTGACAATTTCTCGATCCGCAGAATAAAGCCCAAGTGGTACCTGGATGCCCGGTAGTCTTCCAATATCAAGGGGAAGGTCTGTGGAAGACGTAGCAAGGAGAATGTCACAATGGTGGTTATCTAAAAGACGCTCGACATCATGGCCTAGGTGCTCCATTCGTGCCTTCACGGAGAGGAATTCCTCAGATCCGGACGTCCCTGGCGCATCACGCGCACTTCCAAACCAGTTCTCTCCATATCCCTCGTAGTCCTCCTCGGAGGTGCTTTTCGTGAAGTCAATAAGATCTGACACGTTTCTTATCCGATGGGGATTTTCCACAAGGTTCGCGAAGAATTCTTCGAAGGCTGTGGATTTATCCATAAGTAAATTCGATTAAAGCACTATCACCGTCACTTACCTTCTCGCAGCAGTACATCCCCGAAAAGATCTTCTCTTTGGCCCGAGCCAGGTTTCCAATGCTCAAAGTCGACGTCTTCAACAATAATAGCACCGAGTTCACGGAACTGGGAAATGGCATTCTGGAGAGCAACTCCAACCTCCGGATCCGAGTCTGCTACTCGGTAAACAGACCTAGGGGCCTACCCCCATGTCATTTAGTCTGGTAAGAAACAAGAAAGAGAATAATTCTGAAACGTACTGCAATGCGAACACCCTTCAGCGCGTCCCTTTGGCAAGCAGCTTCATAATCTGGGATTTTGTCAAACGGTATACTCTCTGTTGCACAGTCAAGGTTGTCCTTTCCTAAACACCTGTGAGCTTCCACTTAGATAGACTTAGGTGGCCCTAACGGGAACATACCGGCAATCACATGCAGGATAATTGCACTATCTTTAACGTATTGAGTAATAGGCCCCACGGAATCTTGCTCAGGATTAGTGGGGATGGTTCCGAACCGGGACGTTAATCCAACCGTTGGTTTGAGACCAACGACCCCATTCTTTTGCGCTGGATAGAGAATGCTTCCACATGTCTTCTATCCTATTAGAACGCGTAGTAGTCACACTAACGAGTGTAAAAAGCTATACATACCTCACCCCCAATAGTAAAACTCGCCAGTTTCAAGCTTGTTGCAATCGCACTCCCAGATGAGGATCCCTGGGGGTCTTGGTCTTGGTAAAAGCCACCAACAGCTTGTCCATAGAGGGCCAACCAACCACTCTTGCATTTGGAAGACCGTGACATCCCCCACTCGCTCAGATTTGTTTTCCCTAGTATAATCGCACCAGCCTCTCGCAGGTTGGTCATGATCGTGGACTCGAACTCATATCTTGCTCCAGCTAGAGCATATGGACCCCCTGTAGTATTCATCTGATCCAGCGTGACGAAGGTATCCTTGACAAGGAACGGAATGCCGTGGAGGGCTCTGTGAAAAAGAATTTAGGTTAGGCATACTGTGGAAGTGGGATTGTCGTATCCATGAACATTGCCATCTCGCCTCTCCTGATCCCGCCGGATTGCAATTGACTTGGCTTCCGGATTAACGCACGCTACTGCCCAGACCTGGTCATTCACCTGCGAAATCCTGGACAGGTAGAGCTACAGTGGACATGTCAGCTTCGGGTCCAACAACCTTGCAGGAGAAAGTTATTCAGACATCTACCAAGTCCTCGCTCGTAAATACGCCATCACCAAGACCTCTGCTGATTCCTTCCAGATCAAGGGTATCGACGACGAGAACCGCGCTGGGTATAGCTTCTTTGGTACTGGAATATTCCGGCGTTTTGCGTCGCAGCCTACAATATGTTGTCACGAGCCCCAACAAGAGAGTGAAATTGCAAGAGTGCAAAAAAAGGATTGGTTCTTTAGAAAGATCAATTTTTACCCTTGTGGTGTTTTAATGAGGGGCCGTTGGCATTAGGTAACAATGCGTGCCAACCATTGCCTTGGGAGGAGGTTGCAAAAACTAAAACTTTCAGTGAGTAGAGAAACTCTAGGCATTTATATATCGCGAGTCCTGATAGCTACCCAACGTTAGGCTCTGTGGTAGTCTCTATAATTCATTCTGATATACCCTACCTAACAGGGATTCCGCGAGTAAGCCGAGAAACGATTAGATCCACGAATACTTTGTAAAAAGTCAGCTTAAGGTGCCACGTTATGTACAAGGATTCAGCGCCTTAACCATCTGGGGTGAGCGAAGAGGGCCGCAGAATAGCTGGGTCGATGTTACGGTCATTCGGAGGGTGGGGGGGGACACCATGTCACTGGCCACGGTATTCGAGTTCGTAGCGAATGTAGGTGCAACAGCGGAATTGGTAGAAGGAGCAACACCAGAGGGGGTACTAAGTGCAGGGGCCTCTTTATTCTTTTGTTGGTTGATCCACTGCTCACTCGGAGTTGGTGGATCCTAAAACGCGCAACTTGCCGTTGGTATGGACAACGAATATCCATATCGTTTAGTATCATGAAGTTTGACACTTTATGAGATTTCAGCTTTTCTGATTTGGAAGGGGCTTCCGCACGACTCGGTGCCCGTATGTCTCGAGCGGGTTGGTTTATAGCACGGAGGCCCAACGCTCGACAAGTATCTTCCGGTCAGATACAGTGATGGAGATTGCAACTTTGACATCACTCTCTGGCTCATCGAGCCGGAATTGCACAGCTTCTTTGAGGCTTGCACGGGTCTGCGAGGGTGCAACTTCGGCGGCCAACGTTGGCCACTTACGCGAACGGCCTGGCGGCAAATCGTATGGCGTCCAAGAGAAATTGGGCGTCTTCGTTTTGGTCGTACCGCGGACATATTCTGCATGTGAATTGATGATATACGTGCCCGAGGTGTCTTTCACTTGATCGAGCCAACGATTGAAGAGTCTGGCAAATTCTCCTGCTGCTGCGCCGTGGGCTGGCCCAGAAGTCTTCCTGGATCCCTCCTACGTAATGCACTGTTACTCCGAATCTGTTGCTTGACGTGAATACCCGAGAACGGAAGCCGTCACCTTCTCGCTATTGATGGTCTGGAGTTGGATGAGGAAGAAACTCGTGGTATCCAAACTAGCAAAGCAGGGCATTTATAAAGGCCTGACAAACAACAAACAAAGCGCTTAGTCTGCCACCATAATAAGGCATCCATATAGGATGGGATGATCTCGACACACCCCCCAGACTGAGCATCAAAAAAGATGGATCAAACCAAGAAGCATTTGGTTATAGCACTGGCTCTGGCAACTGGCTCTGGCAACTGGCTCTGGCAACTGGCTCTGGCAACTGGCTCTGGCAACTGGCTCTGGCAACTGGCTCTCCGGCTCTGGCAACTCCTTGTTCGAAAATCAAAGAAATAGCTCTCAATGTGAGATGCTAATAAAGGTGAGAGATAGTACTCGACGTGAGATACTACTCTTCAAAAAAGCGATAATCAAAGTGATAATGAAGTGGGAGATATAGCCTTTAATGCTATTCTCAAAGAAAAGTGAGATATGCTCTCCTTAAAGGGTAGATGCAACGATAAAGTGAGATAGATGGAACTCTTAGTATTCAATCTAGCAAAGCAGGGCCTTTATAGTGGCCTGACAAAGAACAAACAAAGCGTTCAGTCTGCTACCACAATAAGGCATCCATGTAGGATGGGATGATCTCAACAGATGGCTTGTCTATGGGCAGGTGAGCGATGTCTCTCGCCGCCCCGGGACGTAGATCATGGTGCAGAAGGGCTCCAAGAACCCGGCGCTATTCCCCATTTCCTTGAGCAAGCGCACCATAGGCAAGGAAATGGTTCATTGAACAGAATAAAATCTTGAATTCTCTCGATCAAACGGCCTCAAACCATTTATGCTCCAATGCCTGACGTGCCGTAATCCGTTTCGTCAGATCAAAATGTGTCATAGCGCATACAAGGCATTTAAAGTCACCATCAACACCATTCCAGAAGGCGAATGGCTCACGCGGGGTCTCCTGGTTGAATCCGTCCCGAGTCACTTCGAAAACGCGAGCCCCATGGATTGTCGTTACCAAGATGCTTCAAGGACTCGCTGAGGCCGTCTTCATCTGCGAAGTAAGAGACCTGGCGCTCGATTACGATAGCGAGGGGATCCATACCCTCTTCTAACTCATCTTCTCGAACTGCGAAAATGATGCGCTTATGAACAGCACAGATGCACTAGATGGCCGGTTACTAGCCGCGCTTAAGAAATTTCTGAAGGTCGTACTCACAACAATAGCGAACGAGAAAACATCTGAGGGTTTGTTAACAGGCCCTCTTGCGTGGGCTTCAGGGCTCCTCCACATCCAGTTGCCTGCCTGTTTCCCGACCATATCGCACCCTGGAGGAATATGAGCTGCATCTTCCAGATCCCCAAGTTGAACTTGGCCAATAAGAATCTCATCTTTGAAACCCTGCCAGTTAATAAAAACATTGTCTGCTTTTATATCTGCGAATAGTAAGTTGTTGTCCAGTATTCAAAGAAAACACCAGGGAAAATACCCGTGTGAACGATGTCCTGATCATGGAGTTCAGCAAGCCCAGCAAGGGCATCTCTGAGAACCCTTTTAATCACCATAAGGGGCAAGTCTTTCTGGACAAGAGTTAAGAGATGATCTGTGAAGTGTTCGAAAACAAACATAGACTTGTTAGGGATAGTGTCTATAGCAAGGCGGACATGGCTTGCATTGCCACGTAGGCGATTATTGACTACTTGAAGATCTTCAAAATTGACAGTATGTATGTACTTTAATATGAAGTCGTGACCGTCCGCCCCGAAGGAGGTATAAGCATGTAAACATAGGAGGGTTCGCTATCTACTCACGAGGCACGATAGACTTGACGCGGTGGAAAGACTTCGTCCTGCAAAACATGTTCGATGGTGTAAGTGGGACCAGACTGGCCCATATGCTCTGTGGAAAGCAGAGGGTTGCTTGATATCGCGCTGCTTGTGCGATAGAAAAGAGGCTTTGATCCTGAAATTACTGTGCGTTGGAGAGGGCTTAAATACGTTGAGCTTTTGCAAAGGCGGCTTGTTAGAAGAGCGGGAGACTTTAGTGCCAACATGAGTGTGTGAGACTGTAGCAAGTTCTCGGATTGTTTACCTACATGTATGTAGGTAGTATCGTACCTAGGTATGTTGGGGCTGTAAGCTGCCCAGGGGCCTATCGCTGACGTAATAACAGTTGACGGCCCCGGGTCTCCACAGATGGCTTCTAAGGAACCTTGACTTTCAATATCTCAATTTTCCAAAAAGAAAATGTGAGAGACCACATGATGTCTTCGGCTTCACCTTCCAGCATGCGATTCGAGGAGAATAAGTCTGAATGGCCATATTCTTCCCGCGCAACCAAGAGACACAAGCGCATCTCCGGCGCTAGTACCTCAAGACCCTCTCCTCGTGAAATTGGATTTATGAGAGAGTCTCAAAATGAGGGATCCGCGAGCTTTCTTGGAAGTTCAAGTGGAATCCATTTTATCCGTCATGTTTATAATGCCTTCGCACGTCGTTCAGCAGACTTAGACCAAACACGAGTCCGTGACAGAACCTCAGTGCCAGGGGAAGACGACCGGCTACAGCGAAATTCCGGAAGTGTCATTCAACGCTCGGATGAGCTGTGGGCGAGGGAGGAAATAAACTGTGCACCAAATACCTCATTTGCTTTCGACGATCTTGTTAAGTGGACACGGAGTTATTTCGAAAATTGGCATCCAATCTTCCCTTGCCTCCACGCCCCGGCAGTCTTGAAAACTATGGAGATAGTCAGTCAAAAAGGGGCCGAATCAGTCAGCCGACTGGAACTGATGATTCTCCGCTCCATCGTGTCCATTTCTCTTGGTGATAATCGGCAGAGAACATCGTCTGGATCGAAGCTCAGTCCCGTTCCTTCAGTCTTGGTCTTTCGATCTATTCAACATGTGATGCAAGATGTACAAAGCCTCCTTGAAGAGCCAACTAGCTTGCCGCTGTTACAATCAGCATTTACCGCTCAACTTGCACTCACGTCTCTTTTGCGCCTGAATGCCGCCTCGCGGGTAGGAGGTGTCATCACCCGTACTGCATTCCACCTCGGGTTGCATCGTTGTCCAAGACGCTTTTCTTGCTTTAGCAGTGAAGAAACCGATATCCGTTGTCGATTATTCTGGTCAATTTATTCCCTCGAAAGATACCTTTCTCAGGCCCTTGGAATTCCGCTCTCTATTCGAGATGACGACATCGACGTGTGCTACCCCGGTGCAGAGAGCCATTCTTCAACAACCCCAAAATTCCCCGACGATCGCAGATTGCTCTTACTGTCCCATCTTGCAAAATTCGCACGGATTCGAGGTCTGATTGTTGAACTTCGTAATAAATCCATTCTCCACAGTCACGCCGGCCAGATTGAAGCGGCTCATGTTACTGGAGAACTAGCACAATGGTGGAATGAAGTCTATGACGATGTGAACCCCATTGATGAGGCCGCAGAAACTGATCTAAAGCAAGAGCCAATCTTGCAGCCATATCACCAGCTACTCCTGACCATCCTGAGACACGAAGCTATCATCTCGCTGAATCGACCTCTTTTAGCTTCTCAAAATACCAATTCGGAGTACAAGAACGCTTTGCAGACTTGTATTGGATCTTCTCGATCTATACTTGCAGCATTGAAAAAGCACATGTCCTCTGAACCGGAATCTCCGCTCTCCTGGCCATGCTTTACATGGTCGACTTGGATGGCCTGTCTCATTCTGATGTATGCTGCGTGGGAAGAGGAATTCCCTACGCCGACAGCTCTCAAATATGCGAGAATGGGGATTGCCATTTTGGAAAACCTATCATTGCGCGGTAGTAGCTGGCCAGAGACCTGCATTGAGGCGATCAAAGGCATGGAATCTGCTTTTGAGACACATACATCTAGTGGGCAGCAATCCAAGGCTACTGCAACATTCAACAGTGCCGGGAGATCAACTCATATCCATGCCCAACCCACACCATCAACGGATAAACGGATATCACGAATGCTGCCGGTTCAGGATGGAAATAATGAGACTGAAGATGTAGGTCTCACGCCAGTTCGATCTCAAATTTCAACACCGAATGGATATCAAGGCCGTCCAGTCTCAACCGGAATTCATCCGTTCCAATCATCAATTCGCTCTCCTGTCCAAGGCATTGGCCCCGCGGAAAACTATGACTCTGCCATTTTCTCCCCGTCCGACAATATCGGTAACTTTGCTGAAGCCATAGACCCTGCTGAGAACTATCTCAGTGGGCAGTCTTCGGCTGGTCTCATTTTCGGCAACATGGCTGATGGAAACCCTGCTTTTAATCCGAGTTTTGCTGGTCAAGACTCTTTGCCATTTTCATCATCTATGCTCATGAACGATTTATGGAGTGTAGCCGATGGCCCATGGATGATTCACAACAACTTCTTATGATTTCCGACACAAAGTGTATAAGAAGCATATGTGGGATAGTCATGTTCCGCACGGAAAATATTCCCAGCGCTTCTAATTCAGTTCACTTATATAATTCAATATCAACTACTGTCCTGTCCTGATCCAAGACAACTCGCAACTGGCCCTTGTTTTCGGCATTGGAAGCGGTCGAACCGAAAAAGCCCCGTCTTAACTGGCCAAGATACAGTTCATAAGCCGGCATGTACCCTTTCACGAACTGGACAACCTGTTCATCCGTCATGCTCTCATTCGTCCGCGCCCGGAGAGCATGTTCCTGCTGCAGCCGCCACCGATAAACATTGACCAGGTCATCGGTATCCAAATGAACGAGGAAATCCAAGTGCTGCGGTCCCATAAAAAGATCGCAGTAACCGCGTAACTGCGTGTTCGCATCCAGCAAGTGTTCAACGGCATGGTATTTCAGAGTCTCTGTTGGATATTCCAGTGCAGTCTGCTTCTGTGGCCCTTCCTCCCACCGTTGTCGAATAGCCATTTCCTCCAGTGGCTGGAATCCAACACACCAGCCTTCAAAAACAACAACGTCTATCGCTGTTCCATCTGGGACACGGTACCATGTACCTTTGGGTGTCCGCCCACCCTCGCCATTGAACTTGCTCTTATCGAATGACGGGATAAGTATCTCCGAGCCAGTGCGTAAGCTTTCAAAGAAAGAGCGCGCAAGAGCTATGTCATGTGTTCCCGGTTGGCCCCGTGTTTGGACCAATTTGTTGGATGGATTGTCCACGCGAAGTTGGACGAGATCGTCGTGATCAAGGTACAGGTCATCAAGTGACAAATTTATTGTGCTGAAGCCGTGGCTTTGTCTTAGCTCTTTCACGAGTGCATCGGTCCATGTTGATTTCCCGCTGCCTTGGAGGCCTGTCAGGCCTAGGATAAAGGGTCGCCGGGTTGTTGATGTTGAAGACTGGCATTGAAGATGGCGTTCAATATGGGGTAGAACATGATTCAAGACGCTGTGTACTGTTTCTTGGGGAATTGACATTGTGGAAGGATGGACTTTCAATTTTGAACCTCGCAATGCTGTGCAACAATTCCAAACATTTACTGCCCTATTTTACAATGATAATTCTTAAGCAGGATCTGGAGTCTCTCGACCGAGTAGCATGCAAGAGTCAGGCTTGTTCCCCACGCGGACATGTCTTTCTCCGAGTGGGGCCCTATAGCACAACACAACGCGGACATTTGCATCTCCGTCTGCACCCCGCGACAATTATAGTTGACTGAGCTCGCGATGAGGGGCTATGCGATAGGTTTATGGGTAGATTCCAAGTGGAGACTGGAATATAAGAGTTTGAATCCGATTTCCGTTAAAGGCTCTCGCACGCGCTGAATTCATCTTCTGCCATCTCCCACCTCGAACAACAACTTTATAACAACACCGTCATGTCCCCTAAGACATACAGCATCGCTTCTATTCCAGCCGATGGAATTGGCCCAGAGGTCATCAATGCTGGCATCACAGCACTGAATGCCTTGACCGACACACTCAAGACGTTCCAGTTGGAGTTCAAGAACTATGATTGGAGCTCGGAGACCTACAAAAAGACCGGTAAATACATCCCGGATGGTGGACTCGATGAGCTCAAGAAGCACGACGCGATTTTCTTCGGTGCTGTCGGCGCTCCCGGTAAGCAGACACAACCAATACCTTGAAGACATGATACTAAACGCGCGAGAAGACGTCCCCGATCATATTTCCCTGTGGGGTCTGAGACTCGCAATCTGCCAGCCATTCCAGCAGTACGCGAACGTGCGCCCAACACGGGTATTCCGCGGCACTGAGTCCCCGTTGCGCAAGTGTGGGCCTAACGACCTCGACTGGGTGATTATCCGTGAGAACAGTGAGGGAGAGTATGCGGGTCAGGGTGGTCGCTCGCACGCCGGAAAGCCGTGGGAGGTCGCAACTGAAGTTTCGATCTTCTCCCGTCATGGCGTGGAGAGGATTATGCGGTTTGCTTTTGAGACTGCTCAGAAGCGGCCGCGCAAACTGTTGACTGTGGTCACCAAGAGTAATGCGCAGCGCAACGGCATGGTCCTTTGGGATGAAGTGGCAAAGATTGTTGCGGTTGATTTCCCCGATGTGACTGTGGATAAGATGCTTGTTGATGCTATGACTACTCGCATGGTTCTGAAGCCCGAGAGTCTGGATACCATCGTTGCTACCAATTTGGTGAGTTATCGAAATGAGAAACGATGTATAACTAGTTCTGTGGACTGACGTTCACCTAGCACGCCGATATCCTTTCTGATCTTGCTGCCTCTCTGGCTGGATCTATCGGTATCGCACCTACCTCTAACCTCGACCCTACACGGGAGTATCCTAGTATGTTCGAGCCCATTCACGGCTCCGCTTTTGATATCACTGGCATGGGTATCTCCAACCCCGTGGCTACATTCTGGACGGCCGCGGAGATGCTTGCTTGGCTCGGTGAAGAGGAGGCTTCCAGGCAGCTGTTGGCTTGTGTTGAGAATGTCTGCGAGCAGGGAATTCTTACCCGTGACTTGGGTGGTGACGCCACGACGAAGCAGGTCACCGATGCAGTTGTGGCGGAGATCAAGAAACTTGCGATTAGCGAGTGAGCTTGTGTCAGAACAGAGATATTGTTGTTTGAGGATGAGCAATGAATGTATTAATTGAACCAAGACTAGTGGGCAGTATGAGTCCCAAAAACAGCTAAAATTATGAAAATGATAGAAATGGCAAAATGAGATGAAAGGTTCAATTCCTATAAAACACCTTTTTTCTTATAATATGTAACAGAATAGTGTGCTTTTCCATGTATTACCTTTGATATACCTGACTCGATCAATACTCGCGTCTCTCGTGATCGCCCATCTCGACCGCCTTTCAACTTCCATCAACTCAACCACCCTCAGAGACATTTGAATGGAGCGCCCTTCCAAAAGAGCCAGAATCTTATTAGATTCCAGTGATGGCTCAGCGCCTACACCAGCGCCTACACCTCTGGCGTCTTTACAAAGGGCCATTAGCCCACCATTGCCCCGAGGCTGTCCCGAACTGACTGATGGTAAATTGACTCCTGGCACTGAAGGCACTGAAGGCACTACTCGCCCTGCCCAGTTCATCAATTCACCAATACAACTCTCGCATATCCGAGATTTACCGGAAGGTAATAATGTCGATACTATCCGACTACGCGACATTCTGGGAGACCCCATGATCCGCGAGTGCTGGCAGTTTAACTACCTCTTTGATGTGGATTTTCTCATGTCGCAGTTTGACGAGGATGTCCGGGGTCTCGTACAAGTCAAAGTCGTGCATGGATCGTGGCGGAGGGAGGATACGAATCGTATTCGAGTTGAGGTAAGTTCGTACTGACAAGACTTCTTTTGATCGTGTGGACTTCGTCTGTCTGACTACACCTCATCACTGCTCGAAGGTTTCAAATGGTGCGAGACTAACCTGCTACTAGGAAGCCTGTTCGCGATATCCTAATGTTGAGCCTATTGCGGCCTACATGCCAGAGCCTTTCGGGACTCATCATTCCAAGATGATGATTCTTCTTCGACATGATGATCTAGCTCAGTAAGATTATGCCCAGCATTATTGGTCGCAATAGCCCGTATAGGTGTGACTAAATAACTAAACAGGGTTATCATTCACACGGCAAACATGATCCATATGGATTGGACCAATATGACTCAAGCCGCCTGGTGCTCTCCACTGCTTCCACTGCAGAAGGCAAACACAGCAGGCTCTCAGACAGACGGCAAAATTGGCTCGGGCGCGCGCTTCAAAAGAGACCTACTCGCTTATCTGAAGGCATACGGACCTAAAAAGACCGGCCCACTTGTCCAGCAGCTGGATAAATATGACTTCAGCTCCGTCCGCGCTGCCCTCATTGCTAGTGTCCCATCCAAGAAGCACGTCAGTGACACCAGCTCGGAGGAGGACACACTATGGGGCTGGCCTGCTCTGAAAGACTTGATGAGCCAAATACCCATCCAGCAGAAAACCCCAAACAAGAAACCCCACGTAGTAATCCAGGTACGTATCCATCTCCAATCAACCACCTCACTGTGACAAACAACCAACAAATCCAAGATCTCTTCAGTAGCAACCCTCGGCCAAACAAACAAGTGGCTCAAAGACGTCTTCTTCAAATCCCTCACCCCACAACCAACAACCTACTCAATAATCTTCCCAACTCCAGACGAGATCCGCCGCTCCTTAGACGGCTACAACTCCGGCGGCTCAATCCACATGAAAACTCAAAGCGCAGCACAACAAAAGCAACTGCAATACATGCGTCCCCATCTCTGCCAATGGGCAGGCGATTCCCTCCCCCCAGGCCAATGCATCGACCTATCCGAAGAGAACCCCCCAAGACGCGAAGCAGGCCGCGCCCGCGCAGCCCCACACATCAAGACTTACATCCGCTTCGCAGACTCAGACATGAAGACCATCGACTGGGCGATGGTGTCGTCGGCGAATCTGTCCACGCAGGCGTGGGGCGCGGCGACGAATGGGAGTGGCGAGGTGCGCATTTGTAGCTGGGAGATTGGCGTGGTTGTTTGGCCGGATCTTTTCCGGGATGGGGGTCGTGCTGATGCTGCATCGGAATCTGCGTCTGAATCCCGAGCCGAAGGGAAAGCCCCTATACCGGATGCGCTGATGGTTCCTTGCTTCAAGCGGGATCGTCCTGATGTGTCTGCCTCTGAGACGGCTTCTGTGGTCGTCGGGTTCCGGATGCCTTATGATCTTCCGTTGACGCCTTATGGTGCGGCTGATGAGCCGTGGTGTGCGACTGCTTCGCATGCTCTGCCGGACTGGCGGGGGGAGAGCTGGATTGTTTGAGTCTGCTGTCTTTTTGTTTAGTCTTAGCTGTACCCGGTGGTTTTTCGTCTCAGCAGTCCACGGGTGTGGATCGCATGGTTATCTCAGTGTATATAGTATACAGAATTCTGGGGCACGTGAGTACTGGGTCATGGAAAGTAGCATGCATTTGTATTCGTTTATTCGTCCTGAGAGCTTTGAGACAATACGATTATCTTTCTCTTTAGATAACCGTGTTTCCAAAATATCACCCGACAATATGTCCGATAAATCGCCAATCATTCCCCAAAATCAATTCTCCCAATTGTATCATCTATTCGTCGCGGGTGCCGTACTTGGTAATGAGGTCGTTGACGTGGCCGATGTAGAGCTGGTGAGCCTTAGCGGGGCTGTAGTCCTTGACCTTCTCCCAAGCACCGTAGAGCTGCTTCTTCTGTAGTGTTGCAAAGAATGCATTGTCAGCTACCGGCCTTCTTCAAAAGAAACGTGCTATAGTCCGGGCTTTCCCGAGCTCGAAATCCACTGGAAGCTAAACATACCTGAATATCGAACATGCCAGGCTTCTCCATAACGTCGCCCTTGCCAACCTTGAAGTAGATGTAGAGGTCCTTCTTCTCCATAAGACCGGGGGAAGACTTCAGCATCATAACAGCCTTGGCGGCGAACTCGAAGGCTTTGCGGGGGGTCTCGGCCTCGGTGGCATCATCGAGCTTCTCGAACTCGCCCTGCTCGGCGACCTTCGCGAAGATGTCCTTGAGAGCTGCGGCGTCGATACCCGCGGCGGCTTCTTGGACCTCGGGGGTGAACTTTTCTTTCTTCTGGGCGGCCTCCAGGACGGTAATGAAGGGGGTAATGTCGGACATTTTGGATTAGAGAGGTTTTCTTCTTAGGTATAAGGAGAGGTAAAAGTAAAGAGCTGAGGATTTATATGGTTGGGATGTTTGGAGATGTTGAGGGCGGGGTCAGGTATAGGTGGGGTCGCTGACACACTCGCCAGTTGGTTTTAAGGGCATTGTTATACATCAAAGGTGTACTCTATACATCAAGTAGTTACTATGTTATGTAGACTATGTATGAAATTACTAAAATAGAGTAAACCCAAATGGTCTCAACATATTCAACAATTAAATCCAAAAACTTGCGTAATATTTCAAAAGCCACGCCAACAGATGCATGTCCACATGCAACCACTGCGGAAACACTCGCTATGCACCAGAAAAAGAGAAGAAAAGAGAATGTCGAAATTCCCGCAATGTACAAAATCAAAGAGACAGGGAAATCACCAGTCCACGGCCCATCCATTTTTCGCCAAGAATTCCTCGCAAGCTGATTTCAAAGCGTAATTGTTTCGCAAATCGTGAACACTGATAGGAGCCCGAGTCAAAGGATCAACCCCAGCCTTCTCAACATACTTCGTGATGCTCAAGCGATCGAAACTGACACCGGACGGCGTAATAACAGGATCATGCATGATCTCAAACGTGATACCATCAACGAGATAGTCAGGCACAACCTAGAAAGCAATCCAACGTCAACAACCTCCCAAAAACCAACAACTCCAAAACATACCCTTTCCTGAACCTCCCCCTTGGAAGCAACGCGAAACGCCTCCCTCAAATTCCTAACCTTAGCATCCGCATCCTCGCGCAACGCCTTCTGATCCTCCCCAAACCCAATCTCCCCAATCTCCTCGCGCTCCAAACGACCCTGCAACTCCGCCAGCGCACGCGTCACATCCGCCTCAACGAGCGCCTCCACAGATCCCAGCGTCTCGTTTAGTTCGCGCATGCGCGCAGTCTCGCGCGCAGCCCAGATCTGCTGCTTCGCGCGCAGGACGGTCTGCGACAGGTTCTTCGACTGGGCACTCTTCGCTGCTAGACTTTGTTCGTACGCGTCGGACGCGACGTCGTGTGCTTCTTGTGGGCGTTGCAGGCCGAGGAGGGCTTGGGCGAGGTAGTCTTGGGTCTTTAGGGCGACGGGGTTCTTTAGGCCGTAGATTTCGATTGCGGCGCGGGCGTCATGTTCGGCGTCGGCCCATTTGGCTAGTCTGATTCGTGTAACTGCGCGGTTTGTGAAGAAGGTTGCATCGTGTGGGTTCTTTTGGATTCTGTAATTGGGGGTAGGAGTTAGATGGGGATATTTGAATGTTGGGTTTGCGACTGAGGGGACCGGAGGGGTCGGAGGGGTCGGGAGGGGCCGGATGTGATAGCTTACGCTTGGGAGAAGAAATCTTCGGCACCGATGTAGTCGTCGGCTTTGAAGAGCTCGTTGCCCTTTGCTTTGAGTTCTTGGGCCATGGTCTATGTGTGAGTGAGGCCTTGCGCTTCTGTGATCTGTTCCCCGATGTGGGGCGGTCCACCATATAAAGTCAGGAGTGATAGGAGTGGATATTATTCTAGTTCATGAAATCTGAGGGAATTTAAAGGGCTTTTGATCTGCAATTATCGTGTGAGTACCTGTGGATATCTTTGTGAGTCCATCTAAATCGCATGAAACAACTGCATATGGAAACTCATAGATCCCCGCAGAAGGTCTGAGTCAGCTCAATTGGCTGCGCAGGTGCGCAGGTCCGGAAGATATCGCAACTCTTCTATGGATTCCTCTGAAGTTTGACCATGGTTATTTCATTCACTATATACATATCTATGTGACCTTCTAATCCAATTTGGAAACGGAAGTAACATTTGATTCGTGGTATCATGCGCTGTGAGAACTAAGAAAGGCATAACAATCATGCAGACGAGTCGATGAAACATGACCAGTCATGCTCACTCGGAAGGTTGGCAGTGTTGGGCGACAATACCAGGGCGATTCTCTAGACATCCCAAGTGTTTCGGGTGTCATGGTGAGACCAGACAAAGAAAGACAATCTAAGCAGCAGTGCGGAACTGGACCTCATAGTCGGTGATAGCCTGGACCTTGGCAGCAGAGGCAGACTTGGGGTCGAAGCGGTAGTTGAGCCAGTCGGTAGCGAGCTTCTTGGCCAATTCGACACCGATGACACGCTGACCCATGCACAGGACTTGAGCGTCGTTGCTCAGGATGGAACGTTCAACGGAGAAGGGATCGTGGGCAGTGACAGCCCGGATGCCGGGCACCTTGTTGGCAGCGATGGCAACACCCAGACCAGTGCCGCAGATGAAGAGGCCACGGTCAGCCTTGCCATCCATGATGAGCTTGGCACCTTCGACGGCAGGGTGAGGGTAGGCGGTCTTATCGGAGGTTGAGTTGACACCGACATCAATGATCTCGGCGACGAGAGGGTTCTTCTCGAGGGTGGCCTTGATGGCATCCTTATATGGGACACCGGCCTCGTCACAGGCCATGACAATGCGGAAAGGAGTGGACATGATGAAGGTATTGACAGGAGGACGAAGGATGTACAAGAGTATGAATTGGATCGAATGGTAGAGAGAGAGAAAGAGAGAGAGAGATTTGATATAGAAGAGAAATCCTGATTTGGGAGTACACCAAGGGGGTCTTTATATCTTTTTTACCTCTCGACTCTTCCCCTCCTTACCGTACAACCAACTTGGAAATCACTCAGGTCCAGCCAATCCTTGCATTTGATGGTATCATCATCCATCTCCACCGAGCGACTTGAATGGCCCTCTAGATATTGTTACGCGTATTTCCAGCGTCCCGGGTGGCCCGCCCCAGCATCATAGCACCCCAACGATGGACTATGACTGGTCAGTTCCAGAAGGAGGGTTCAACCGAGGTCGGATACTTTAGGAGTTCTGTCTTGGGTCATACAGGCATTTTACCGCGTATTACACGGGATGTTTTATTAAACCTCGCTGGCGCTTTGGACTATCCAAAGCTTCACATTGTGCCACATTCAAGCCAACAATCTGCCACACTCAAGCCATCGATGTCAGTGGTGAACAAACCTTAGTCAAGACGGACAAGGCGGCTGTGGCTGTTTTTTCACTGTCATGACCGTCTAACCTCCCTCTTTAATCCTGGTGCCTCCAAGCCAAGGGTCGGGATTCTTGGTTTCATCTTCTTTTTCCCCGACCCAGGATTGGTTTTGTGGCTAAGGCCTGGGCACCTCGTATATTAGGAAATTTACGGCTATGACCCCAGTCGGCTATGACCCCGGACGTCAGACGGGAAGAGGGGAATTATTGAAATTGACTTCCTGCAAGGTTATATTCAGCCAGTTCCAATACCCAGGTGGCATTGAATTAATTCCTGAGAGAATGCAGGGATGTCAACTTGAATTGCCTCACTCGATTATAACTTGATTTCCCAAAGGTCGAAGTACTACATACAATATACTTATCTACTTATTCCCCCACAGACGCTAGCCTTGGGAACCCCATAATAATTGACGTGCATTGTCTCATCGCATCCACTTTCCCACTCCACCATCTCCAATGTTGTTGGTCAAGTTAGCCCGGTTCGCCGGATTGAACTACTGTGCTATGGTACTATTGTATGATGTACTCCGGATTTTCGTTTGGATCTGCACTATATGTCCATTGTTCTAATCATATTATAGACAGATGAGATGTAGAAGATACTTTAAAATGTACAAAGTGTAGGCAAAAGTTCAAAGCGCCACTCGGAATAGTTTCTTTCTTTCTATTATATCTGCGGTACAGAGTAATTGATACTATATTGACTTCCCTTGGCCTCAGATTCATTGGACCCCGGCATTGAGTACTCCGGATGGTCTTTTTTACTTTGTATACCCCTGTCTGGCCTGATGTGACGTCGCGTACTCTGTGCATAGTACATAGTACTACATAGTACAGACACTAACCTGATGCCCCTCATATGCATTTCGCACTAAACTTGACGGGGCAATCGGAACGTCTAACGTAAAAGTCCCGCTAATGCAGCGCATTGACATGGAATTTAGTTACCTTTCCCAAGTCAAAATCACTTGGAAATACTTGGAAATAATTGGAATTCTCGCTTCAACTTTCCAAAGCAACTTATCCGAGAACCCCAAAGATCTCCAAGACGGGAAAGCTAGATCCCCCCTAACACCCAGACAATCACACAACTTCCCCAACACCCGTCACCATCATCATCACCACCATGGCGGCCTCTTACCCAATCCTCCCCGAGAAGCTCCTCCCTCATCTCTCTAAAGATGTACTTCACCCCAGACCGCACACTCACCTACCTCCGCGACCTCCTCAACCCATCCAACGAAATCGTCAACCCAGCAAACCGAGACAAACTCCTCCTAGCTCTAATCCCCGACTTCCTAACCATCTGGCCCTGCTCCCAAATCCTAAAAGAGTACGAGACCAACCTCCCAGATACCTCACCATCCCAACCCCCCTTCCTCCTCGGCGCACAAGACTGCTTCTGGGAATCCCAAGGCGCCTACACAGGCGAAGTATCCCCAGCCTCAATCCGCGCCCTGGGCTGCACAATCGTCGAACCAGGCCACGCCGAGCGCCGCGCCATCTTCAACGAAACAGACGACCAAACCGCCCGAAAAGCAGCCGCAACCTGCGCCCAGCACATGGTTCCGCTCGTCTGCGTCGGCGAAGTCACAAGCCCCGGCCCCATCGCCTCGCAAGCAGTCGGCCAGGCTGTGACTGAGTGCGCGGTGCTGGTGCGCGCAGTGTTGGCTGCTATTCCTGACGACGCGCCCGTTATCTTCGCCTACGAGCCTGTCTGGGCTATTGGCCAGCCGAAGCCGGCGGGTGTTGATCACGTCGCTGCTGTTGTGCAGGGTATCCGTGCTGTTATTGGTGATCGGGCGGGTACGGCGCGGGTCTTGTATGGGGGCAGTGCGGGGCCTGGTCTTTGGGGGAGGGTGGGCTTGGTCAAGCTGTTGATGGGATGTTTTTGGGCAGGTTCGCGCATGAAATTCGAGGTGTCAGGGAGGTTGTTCGTGAGGTGGAGGAGACGTTGGCTCTGAAGTGATGCTGTATTTGGTTGTGTTTGCTGATGGCATTGGATGCTATATGCTTACGCGCCCGTACTAGTATCCATTCCAAGGTTGCTTTGACGACTTGACACCTTGACACCTTGATGTGTCTACAATTATACATACGGTATTGTGTTTCGCACTATACGGTTCCTCGTCATTGTTATACCGAATAATACATAACACAGCTTCAGCAAAAAAAAACAGATGCATCTAGACAAAAGTTCACATCAGAAAAAGTGGGCATCTCAACCGGCTGGGGTCTCGGGAAGCCTATCTGGGGGAATCCGGCAGCTCCACTGAACTTCCCCGGTTTTCTGAGCCCGTCACGAGGCCGATCAGAGATTTCCCTCTCAGATGACTTTTAAAGCTTTTTTAGCTTTTCAATAGGCCGTGAAGCTATGTCGGTCCACTTGTTCTATGTGGGTTGTGGATTCTGGAGCTCCATTCTGCACTGATCGAGTAATCCGAGCTATTGTGGATATTCCTACATGTATGTAGGCATGTCGCATTGTTCTTACCGACATTTCTCAATTCCATGTTTATTTATTTATTTCGGTACTGCCTCACTCGGTCGTTGCTCATGCATATAATCCCTGCGAAGGTGCAGAGCGTTAAATGCCTCTGAGAGTTGGTGCTTGAGTTATGCCTGGTTTTAAAGAGGCCGTAAACCGTTGACCTTCCAACCCTGGAAGGTTGGATTCTACCTAAGGTCCAACAACCCGCTACAACACTAAGATACAGAGAAGATCCAGGAAGATCCAGGGAAGATCCAAAGTAGATCTAAAGAAGATCTAAAGGAGTTCTAAAGGAGTTCTAAAGGAGATACCAAGCACGCATCAACCCGAAGCAGTTGGTTGAATCCCCTATGCCAACATCGGCCCACACCGTACACATTCAGGCGCCCTGCACGAGCTAGAGCCTGCTGATGACCTTCAGCCACGGGCTTTTTGAGTGCTGTCCAGGCCACTCACCAGAACCATACCTGGCGCAACAAGGTCATAGGACTTCGTACATGGAACCCCTATACCTATGGAAACGTTGAGGTTGGAGACGAACATGGTGTGCAGGATGGTTCCACAAATACTCTGGCAAAGTGCTTAAATCTATTTCAGTTACAATTGACGATAATACGCTTCTTTCATTTCATCACCGCTCATAGTGCTTTGAACATCGCTATCCCCCATGTTGATACCGCAGGCACAGAGAGGTCTTGCCGATCCTCGAGCTCGCAGTACCAGGGCCCTCCGGACAGCTCGGGGATAATACCTGCTTGTGGTAGACAATCTCGGAAGCTACAAGCCAGCTTGGGCAGTGGAAGTTGAGATCTGGTCGGAGGTGCCGAATCACAAACCAGCACTGAGTACAAGAGAGCACGCAGCCCACGCCACAGTATTGCCTGTGTGCAGCGTTATGGGAGTGTTCTAATCATGATTAGATCTCTGGCTGCATAAATATGACGAGTTGACCGAGCTTTCTGTCTTTACCGAAGCAAAGTCCCGATGTCGATTAGATGCTTTGAGGTGGCAGTATACCGCAGCCTATCAGATCGAAGACTGCTCCAAAACCCTGCCGGCACTCGAGTGACTTTGGCTAGTGCTTGGGTTGAGGATGCACGGGTGATTGCCGCGCCCTTGCCCGTCGACTCCCTGACCGAGGTGTCGAGTGTCGAGCTGGGCCACGAGTCCACTGGATTTGTCTGCCACGTGAATGACAATACGGCTCTCAATATTTTCAGAAATATTCTCCAACACCCTGTCCCCAAGGAAGCATGGGTCGGATCCGCGAAATGTCCATTTCTTTGATGGCTCGCGGGGTGTCAGCCTAGATTGGCTGTGGTAAATGGCACAATTACCCATGAAGATACCAAAGACATTAAAGAAGACACCAAGGCAGCCTCTTCTTCATCTTCTATTATGAGCAATCTTCCAGACGGCTATGTCGTCCACCACTTTTCCCGCTATGCTGCGAACAACCGTCCAAAGCCTTCCAAGGTTGTCGCCTCCTTTGAGGCCGGCGGGATTCAGGACAAGCCTACCGACCCACAAGGAATGGTAAAGTCCATTTTGCATCTCGCTTCACATTAAAGATTCAACTCATCGCTTATACTATATAGTTACATCCAGATCGCCTACCATGCTTCAGTTGAGGATAAGGAAACCCCTCTTTCCACCTTTGTCGACCAAATAGTCATGGAGGCGCCGTTGCTGCAATACGATGCTGAACAGAGCACTCCGTCGAATCAGATATAAGGGAAGAGTAACCAATGACTTGTCGTCCTAGGTCTGTTCCGATTAGTCCTTCAAACCCTCGAAAATCACCGTGTTTGCCGATAGGCCACGTCCATTCTTTGGCGTGAATCCGCAGCAAGTGAGAGGAGTGCTTTGTGGCGATATCACTCCCAGCAGGGAGGGATCGAACTAGAGGACTCGACACAGCAATATATCGACAATCTCCAGACTTGTGAGGCTCCCTTTTCTTCTTTCTCTTTTGCCTTCCTTTCACCTCTCATCTCCTGTCATCTCCTCGCATTACCTCTGGTCTGCACAATGGTCAACGTAACGGCGAAGGACATTCTCTGTCCACTTCTCTCCATTCCCTGCTCGCCGGCGAGGATCACACAAGCTTCTCTGCTTTAACTGGGACCATGTCATTTGGGCCGTTACAGGGGTGGCAGAATTTCCTCCTTGATGTCCACGATTTCTACGTGAATCAACCATCGTCAAGGAAGAACGCGGATTGCCGGCTTGCGTCTAGCGATGTTCACGAGGAGAGAGTCTTCGTCGGTGACGGAAAAGGCCTCCAGGGCCGCTTCCAACAATCGGTGGGGCAGGTTGTTGGAGCAGTCCTGGAGGCCCAGCAGCGACCTATAGCATTTGCTGATTTCAAAGCTGTAGGGTTGCCGTACGCTGGGGTACCTGACTTCGATCTTATGTGTACCAATACAAGCAGCCCACAGGCTCAAAGCTGGGAGAGAGCAGAAAGTCCCCTGGAAGAGTGACCATGACTTCACCTTCGGCATGCAAAGTGAAGACACTCTGCGCCCAGGAGTGATCGAATATCGGTTTTCATGGGAAGAATTTGCTAGACTCATAAAAGTAGTCCCTTTAAACACATTCGGTCGCCGATGGAGTACCAGGGTAGTCGATCTTTCTCATCAGGATGGGACTTGCACGACAACCAGCAGAAAATGGGTTGACCACGACGACGTACAAGCCTTTCACGAATAGGGGGAGCAAGGAATGCAGAATATTACTTTGCTTGTTCATATCCACGTTATTTACAGGATCTATCAAAGACCGAATGAGAATAATAAAAGGAAAATTCATAGTTTGCACCGCTTATTTCTTCTGCAGCTCCTCGCGCAGCTCCTGCTTGACACGCGTGACAGTGCCGACACCACCGTAGACAACACCAGTATACATCATAGCAACCGAAGCACCGGCCTTGAGAGCCTCACGCGCCTCCTTACCGGTAGTGATGCCGCCAGAAGCGAAGATAACCTTACGCGGAAGCTCAGACACCTTCTCGACAGACTTATCCGAGTCGGCCGCAGAAGGGGGTCCCTGGTCAAGCAGGGCGCGGTAACGGGCGACGAGCGCAACGGAGCGGTCGAACAGCTGGGGGCCGGAGTAACCGCCGGTTTCTTTCAGGGTCTTCTGTTCCTCTTCGGGAGGACAAAGCCCTTAGGCACGGGGTCGGGTCGACGGTTGGTAGTGTTGCCGACGATGACGCCGTCGACGCCGGAGTTCCAGACAGCCTCGCAGATGCCGGAGATCTGCTCGTTGGAGTCCTCATCCGGGCTTACCTTGACCATGACGTAGGGCTTGGTCTTGCGCTCGACGTTCTTGGCCGAGGCGACGACCGCCGTCAGGATTGCTGTGAGGGAGAGCGGCGGCTTGGAGGTCGCGCAGGCCGGGGGTGTTGGGGCTAGAGACGTTCACGACGAGGATATCGGCGTACCGCGCTACTCGGTCAACGCAGTAGACGTAGTCGCGCTTGATGGCTTCGATGTCTCCGTCGGGTGTGAGCTTGTTCTTGGCAACTTGCACGGCGAGAAGCTTGCCCGGGACCAGACTTCCGGGCGGGACATTGGCTTCGCCGTCCAAGACGCGCTGCTCGGATTCCTCGTGCACGCCGAATCCGGCGGCGTAGGCGAAGTCAGCTACGCGCTGCTTCAGCACCTTGGCCATGTGGTCGGCGCCCTTGGAGTTGAGACCGTAGCGGTTGATCATGGCGTGTTGAGAGGGCAGTCGGAAGACTCGTGGCTTCGGGTTGCCTTCCTGTGGCAGAGGCGTGGTGCCGCCTACCTCCACGATGGCGGGGCCGAGGTCGAACAGTGCATCGGGGATGTCGGCGTGCTTGTCCAGACCGGCGGAGATACCGATGGGGTTGGAGAGGGTGTATCCAAAGACCTGTCGGATCTCGTCAGTGGTTGGCTATCGACGGATTTTGAATGTCATTACCTCCGTTGCCAGGGCACCGTCACGATCAGGCTCGCCTCGCTCGCGCGGGTGAAGACCATACTGGTAGAGCATCTTCAGGTTATCCACGCCGATGTGGTGCGCATCCTCCGCGTCGGGCCACAGAAGGCGGATCAAGGGCACAATGCCGTATCTGTGGATACTGGCTCTGGTGTCGGTTCCATAGATGTAGCCCACTAGCAGAGTCAAGGCCAATGAGGCACTGTACAAGGCTTTCTTAGAGCCACGGCCCGCTTTGCGGGGGATCTCCTTGGCGGTCTCCTTTGTAGCATCCTTCACTGTCTCCTTGGCTGCCTCGGCGGGTGCAGGTGCAGCCGAGTCCGAAGCATAACGCGAAGCACCGGGGTAGCGCTGGGTCCGGAGCAATGTCGACGGTCGTTGAGTCAAACGGCAGCTAGGAAGGGCACGAGCCCGAACGCTGGCTCTCCAGGCCATTGTCGCAGAGTTACAAGCCATTTTTATTGTGTGTGGAGCTAATTATCTCGCCGGCGGAGCAACGCCCGATCGAACCTATACGGCGGTTAGTACTTGCGATTGATAGTGTATTGTGACTGGGGCCGTGGAGCTCGTCAAGCTCCAATCGACTCGCATTGGAAACTAGCCAATTGGGACGGTACATAAGGGATCGATATGCACCTAAACAAATACTTACAATTGCAATTGAGCACGATCCGAGGTTCTCGCACGTCCCTTGCAGTTCTCGAGGGCGGATTCGGGTTCTTTGCTGCACAATCCGGGCGGTGGCCATATGTCCTGCAGAATTTATATCTTGTAGGCGGTACCCTGACAATACCATCGGATGTTCACCTGGGCACTCATTTACTTCATTTCTTCTCGAACAATGTCTAGGCTTTATATGCAGAATGAATGAAACATATTGACTGGTTATCTTCTCTTCATCACGATATAACCCTACCACACGGTGACTTGGCATGTGATTTTATATTCACACCACAGCTTAGCTTTCAGATCCGCGGGCAAAGAGTCCGGGAGAATCTCGCGTAAGGCGCCTGCGTTTCATTGCGTTTTTCGGGAATTCTTCTTCTGAGCTAAGCTGTTCAGGGGAACTCGGCGACGATTTCGAGTGCCCGGTGACAATGGCTTATCGACGCCTTGGTCTAGCAGCTGTTTCTGATGTTCTGCTTCGGCAGACGAAAGAAAGTAACAGAGCTCCCTCGATGAGATAAGGATATCTTGATCGAGATCGGGGTATTTCTGTGCGATGCTCTTAGGGGCAAAGTCCCTAAGTGAAAGCTGGAGCGACGGTTGTTTAGGTTCATCGACTGGAAGTCCAGACTCCGTTCGAAAAGGCTACAAATCGTTGGTTAGTGCTAGTTTCTTAGGACTGCGGCTGAAAAGGAACGTACTATCATCTCGACCACAGCCTTTACTTCGAGTTCCTTCACCCTATCTACGGTTATTTTGTGCGGTCGCTAAACGGATATAGTCGCCTTTTTAGACCCTCTATATTCAATATTTAGGGCAATCATAGCGTTCACGCTCGTATTAGTGTCGAGGATATAATCATCTGCTAAGTCTGTAGCAGCTCGAACTTTTTATGAATAGCACAGTTCTATAATAATACCGAGATATTTGGTATGTTCGTGTATAAATAATGTATCTAGGTACCGTTCGGAATAAATCTACTCTCTATTTTTTGTATTATTCGGTAGCCGGATTCTAGATGTCGATAAATGTTTAATCTTTCTAGTAAAGTCACCGAAGGCTTTATCACTCTTTTGTAACTCTGTTAATTGATTTAAAATTTTAGAGACTACCTCGGTATAAAACAAATCATATAGCGGACTCGGCATTCGGATAGTGAGACGGGACCGTCTGGGGTCGTAGTCAAGCCTGTAAGATAACTCAACAAACATGCCTTCGATATACCTAAAGATTGATGGTACTTACCTTATTTTATCTTCTACGTAACCTCGAAGAGATTCGTTACTATATAGTACACGTAAAACCTCTGTATATTAGTCCGGAGTGAGCCGGTGTTGCCGCTAAGATTGTGGCCTTCGACCTTCACGGTGGAGTTTGAAACAGTTTAGCACGCTTTGAGCACTGGTCGACAACTTTTTCTCTTCTGAAGGCGGGGGTGTGGGGGGAGTATTCACGAAACTCCTAGTTGGTGTGATTTTCTTCTCCATGAGGTCTGATTCAGGCGACATCCTTAGGGTACGAGTTGTTTATATCGTAGAGAAGGGGCTTAGCGCCGGATGAGTTGAGGTGTCACATGCTGACGCGGTTGCAGGGATATCGTGTACAACGTAGCAACCGCCTTGTGAGGGCCATCTGGGAAAAGAAATGAGAGCTTGGGCAAGTGCAGCGACAAGAGTTTGATTTTATTGCGGCTCGGGAGCGCGGGGAAGCTAAGGAGCGTCAACGAGTAATTGACCGGCTATCGACTCCTTCTACCGGTGCTAATAGCTCATCAGACACTGACTGCTCTAATTAGGGTTTTCCGTTTCGGTATTTAAAAAGGCGGACGTCCTTTAAAACTTACTAGTAGATACATCTACTAAGTGTTACTACAGGGCAGCTATTTATATATATAAAAGGGATGCCGGCGCGTCTAGAGATAATGTAATTGCGAGTTCGACCTAAACTCCCGAGGACGGCCGCTACGAGGTAAGGATTTAATAGTGTGGTGCTATTTAAAGGGTTAAAAATATATTAAATAATATAGCCTTACGAGAGCACCTAAAATCAGCTACTAGCTTTATCTACGAACACTAGCCTCGTAGGTATAGATAATAGCTGAGCGCTCTGAGGTAGAAAGCTCACCTTTTGCTCTACAAGGGAAGGCTATTTTCCATACCTGTGCGAGGTATAGGGGAGGTGTAGGAAGGGAAAAAAATAACAATGGGTTGGTTGTTGGGGTGATTCAAAGTGGTGAGACTTAAATAACTCCTAACATATGTATTTCTTGAGGTGCATGATCTCCTCACTCCGCTCTCAAAAATAGTGCACTCAAGCATGATGACGGAAGACTGGAAGGTACAGAATCCCATCTGTCACGGTGTGGCGGAGAACAGCCTCCTCGAATGACCAGGTAACTTGGACAGTCCGATGATGGTTCCAGAGGGGGTCGAACCCTCGACTTTGACGTTATTAGCATCACACTCTAACCAACTGAGTTATGGAACCCGTTATATTGTGGTTTGTCGAGCGAAAATGGGAATCATAGGGTAAACTTGGGTGGACCACCTGGGGCAGTCGTCATTGAGCGCAGGGCTCCGCTAGTCCTAAAACAGCTAGCTACCAGCGTACATATGGGATGAATATACTACCACATGAACGTCTTTCAGGTAATTGGGGGAATTAACTAATTATATACGACGTATACCGATGGCTGCATTGGCTTACATTCTACGCAGCTAGAGTTGCCAGGCCGTAGTATCCAGCCCTAACTTGCCGATAGTGGAGTGTTCCCACGGCCCCATGTGGACCACCCACGCTTTTCTTCCCTTATGATTCAAATTTTCACTCAACAAACACAATAAAACGGGTTCCATAACTCAGTTGGTTAGAGTGTGATGCTAATAACGTCAAAGTCGAGGGTTCGACCCCCTCTGGAACCAGGTTTCTTTCTTTTTTGCCATCTATTAGAGTCTCTTCCAAAGCTAAAATTAGCTAGATTCTTTTGTTCACTTGGGCAAAAAGAATTGCAGCCTTGGGATAACAATCTTTTCTTTTTCGGAATTCGGATAGGCATTCGTTAACACAACCAAGTTTGTACTGAAATCAAAATAGTTGGTAATGCATTGTCTGCAAATATATACTAGTTGCCGGGGTTAAGTGCAGAATACAAGAGCTGCTCCGGAAGAACCTTGCTGGAATATGTCAAAAAAGAAAGAAGGCAAAGAAATATATACCCGCCTAGAAAATCCAAGGCCAAAGCTGGCAACCATGCAATTTAAGGCTAGAACCTATCAAGGAAAGTCTTCTTTGAACCTTAGGTACCCAGAAGTGCCAACTATCGCACCTATTGCGGAATCCTCAAGACCACTCTGCCATCAATCTCCGAGCGCTCCAGGCGGTCCAACACATCATTGATATCGTCCAACCCAAAGACTTCAACATGCGCCTTCACATCGCCAGCCACGGCCATAGCCAACATTTCATCCATCTCATCCGCCGTTCCCGCGGAGTTTCCGACAATAGTGAGACCTGTAGTAGTTGGTCAGACTGGTTCATGCTTTGAATGCATAAGTATCAGAGAACCCACCTTTGACAATCATATCGAATGGCGTAGCTGGCAGCCTGAATGGCTTGTTGGGAATACCGACGCAGACTAGTGTGCCAAATGGACGCAACATCTGCATACTTTGTTCGTATGCTCGCTCGCCGTTGGCGGTGCAGATCACAGCATGTACACCGAAGGTTGTCTTGGCTTTGACTGCCTGGACAATGTTGAGTTCTCGGTAGTGCCAGGAATTCAGTAGCCCCAAGCGAAAGGCACAGCTGCTTTTTCTTATCTCCGCTTTAGAAGCATAATTCGGTTAGTCGGTTATAAAGGTGACAGAAAATGTTCAACTTGAAGTATCATATACCTGTCAATCGCAATGACCCTGAGGCCCTTTTTAACTGCAATTTGGATTCCCCTGTAAGAGATATATTCGTTAGAAGAAGAGCGTCTAGTCACCAAAACCTGGGTAGGGGAATATACATATGACCAAGGCCACCTCCAGCACCAAGGATGGCAAGGTAGTCTCCCGGGCGAGTCTTGGTCTTCATGATAGAAGAGTACATCGCAATTCCAGCTGGAGAAACGGATTAGCATCTGTACTGGCGAAATATCAATCGGAAACACATACCGCATAGAAGCGGCGCAGCACTATCTGGTGAAAGCTGCTCCGGAATCCTTGTCACATGGAGTGCTGGACTGACAATATACTCTGGGAGATGACATTAGAAGTGCTCGACTGGGCTGGACGATCGCACTGATAAATAAAACACTTACGTTGGAAGGTCCCAGGTACATTCTGGAAACCATCAATGTAATCAGTAACGGAAGAAATGGCGGAAGACACATAATTCGAGGTGATGAACAACTTACTGCGCCAGCATTCTTCTGATAAGGGCATACGGTATGGTTGATTTCACAGATTTCACACTGGCGACAAGAGCTGTAGAGCCATCTAATAGTGGAAATGCATTCAGCGTCAATATATCTTCAACCGGACGACCACTGCGACGAAGGAGACAGACCTGATGCCAACCCGCGTTCCCATCCATTGCTTCTCGTCAACCTCGGGTCCGACTGATAACGACAATGTCAGTTTAGTATACTTTCTGTGTCCTGAGCTGCATTCAACGTGATACAGCGATAGCTCTTACCCTTGACTACTTTCCCAACGCCTTCATGACCAGCGACATCAGTCAACATGGGCGTGTCGCCACGGATGCTGTGAAGATCCGAGTGACATACGCCAGAAAACTCGAGCTTGACGAGGATTTCGCCTTTTCCTGGAGTTGGCACCGGACGATTGCTCTTGATCCCCACCTTTACGGTATCAGAAGTACCGGATGCGATAACAGCAGCGATTTGAATCAGAGGGATTGGGGGGACGGACATGTTCCTGGTTCTATGGATATTCGAGATCACTGGAGGAAGTAAATGAACCTTTATGAGGACACTCTTAAATTAGTAGTTGAGACCTTGATCTGATCGGCATTAGTCGTATCGCAGATGCGGGGGTGTGCACAGGCGACATCTGGAGGATGCAAAGATAAGCAGAAACAGCAGCCCTGGAGATGCCAAGATCAACTGGGACATCTGGAAGGATCTCGCGTTTGGGCAGGTTAGGCAGGTGAGACCGGAGAGATATCAATAATAGTTACGGACTCGGATAGAATAAATCTGACACTTCTCTTTTACAATTCAGGGTCAATAATTCAATTAAACAGTTATGTGTAAGCCGCAGGTCTGACATCGGAATCATGAAGGAATATAAGACAAGGACTCTGTGAGGTCAAGTCGAAGGGAAGAAGTGGTACAGCACTCCGAATGCAGCAGAAGGCCTCCGAGTCGTGCGAGAAAGTCGAAGACCAAGGTATCAAAGATGAAATTCTAAACCCGACATAGAAACGCCAGAAAATCATGCATTCTCGGACTGGATTGTTTGCTGCAAGTAGAGGCATAGTTAGTTTGAGGACCCAGCAGATTGCATTGGGGAGAGAAACGAACCACCAGCCAATCCATTCCCTCATTAATACCCTTGCCATCAATGGCAGAGCAAGCGACAATACTCCAGTTTCGGTCACGCAACTCTCCTAGCTTCAAAGCCTCTGAGATCTCGCCTGCGCCCTTGGCACCGGGTTGATCTTGCTTGTTGGCAAACACCAGCAATGCCGCGTCCTGAAGTTCCTCCTCATTCAGCATGGCTGCTAATTCATCTGCTGCAGTCCCTAATCGCTCAATATCCGTGGAGTCGATGACAAAGACCACTGCGGCGGTGTTCGCGTAGTAGCATCGCCAGTATGGGCGGATAGAAGTTTGGCCACCAAGATCCTACAACCCAGGGATATTAGGTATGGCCAGAATTGGCTTAGACTTGGGTAAAACGTACCCAGACATTGAGATTGAGGTTCTTATATGTGACCGATTCGACGTTGAAACCAATTGTAGGTATCGTAGTGACGACCTCACCGATCTGTGGGCGCAAGGTGTCAGCTCGCGAATCCCACCCAAACGCGCCAGAAAATCAAAGTTTCAAGGCCATGATATCTTACCTTGAGTCTGTACAGCAAAGTGGTCTTTCCAGCGTTATCCTATATCCCGAAAGAATGTTAATTAGTTTCAGTCCTTGTCACACTAGTGGGACCCTGGTTTCCCCGCGTGGGACGCGGTAAGGCACAACATACAAGTCCTAGAATCAGGATGCGGATCTCCTTCTTGGACCAGAGCAGGGACCAGATACGCGATAGTGAACCCCCCCCATCGTGTGTATGATTAACTGGGCGCGTTGTCCACTGTTCACAGGTTGTCCGGACAAGTATGGAGCCGAGGATGATAGGTTGAGGGGCGCGTAAATGGTATGAATTGAGTGGAATAAGACAAACTCGCTAGGGGTTATGGTACAAGTAGATGAGATAAGAGGTGAAAGAGAAGAAGGCACTGGTGGCAACCACTTTGGATGTTCTTTGGCCGATCGGCCTGTGCGGTGTGGGCGGTCAATCGGGGGATCATCGTCTTCGGGTTTGAGCTCCTCATTTAGAAAACCCCCATTGTCTCTTTCCCTCTGTCATATTCTGGGCTTGTTTACTTTTATCGCATCCTACGAGACTATCTGTCACATCTCAAGCGCAATCAGGGAACTGCAATCACCTCCGGCGCACTCCCTAGATTTGCCGCGATTAGTCTCTATTGAAGACAGCCGACCACAACCCGATACCATCATGGTTGGAAAGAAGTCGGGCAAGGCCCTCCGGGATGAGGGTAAGACAATCTCACCTAGCTTGTGGAATACAGCCATCAACAACAGAGCAGCTAATACTTGATATAGGCCTGGAGCGGACCGACAATAACATGGAGTTATCCAGCTGGCCGCAGATTCCAGCAATTAACCAGAAGAACTACTACACGTACGCATATCCAGGCGGATATATATTGCATGGCTTCAGTGGGAACATCAATGCTGATTTGCGCTATGTAGTGACTACCTGAAACGAGATGACCAAAACCTCGCATTCCGACTCCAAAACGAGGAAGCAAGGACAAAGATGACCAAGAAAGCGAAGGACCACGATCGTGCCCTCGCTATGGCAAAGACCGAGACCGCAGAAGGCGAGGCTGAAGCAGATGGCGACGCGCAGATGGAGGATGCGGAGGAGACCCCAGCTGAGATGGCTGGCTCTAAAGTCATTGTCATTCACATGGGCAGTCAGAACCTCCGGATTGGACTTGCCAGTGACGCACTGCCGAAGACCTTGCCAATGGTGATTGCGAGGAAAGCAGCCACCAGCGAGTCAGAAGATCATGATGAACCTAAGCCCAAGAGGTTTAAACACGATGATGGCTCTGAAATGGAGCCCGAAAAAGCCTTCGGACCTGAAGTATGTTGACTGCAATCCTATTGAGATGACTTTGTACTAATACTTTTTTGTAGTGGTCGTCTCATTTCAATCGGATGTCTGCGGATTTGAAGGTTCATATGCGACAGAACAAGCGAAGAATGCTTCCAAACTCCAAGGAGATGGTCGTCAACTATAACCGCAGGACAGTGCCAGAAATTATCTCGGAACACAATGATCCTATGCGTGCCGAATGGACCGAGCTCTCTAGTCCCCCACCAGAGTATATTGTTGGGCAGCCGGCCCTACGGGTACCGGATTCTTCAAAACCTCGATACAAGCTGTATTGGCCAATCCGGAATGGTTGGTGCAATGAGAAAGACTACACAAGCAAGAGGTCGCTCTTCCTGGATATTTCATTGATCGTGGAAGATGCGATCAAGAATCAACTGCGCTTGACGAGCAAGAAGGACTGGACCCAGTATTCGTGTGTGTTCGTCATCCCAGATCTTTACGACAAATCCTATGTCACCCAAGTCTTGGATATGTTGATGCGAGAATTTGCTTTCGCTCGGGTGTGTTTCATCCAAGAGAGTCTGGCAGCCACCTTTGGTGCCGGCTTCACCTCGGCATGCGTCGTCGATATTGGAGCACAGAAGACTTCAATCTGCTGTGTGGAAGAAGGCATGTGTATTGAGAACTCCCGAGTGAACCTGAAGTATGGTGGTCAAGACGTGACTGAAACGTTCGTCAAGATGATGCTGCACGATCATTTCCCCTATGCCGACATCAACCTACGGCGTAGACATGACTTCCTTCTGGCCGAAGAGCTCAAGAAGAACATCTGCACCATGAACGAAGCCAGCGTTTCTCCACAAGTCTTTGACTTCCACCTCCGTGTGGCAGGCCAAGATACACGAAAGTATACTTTCAAGGCTTTTGACGAAGTTCACTTAGCGCCAATGGGAGTTTTTGAGCCTGACATTTTCGACAACTCTGACAAGATTACCGGGAGACGGACCTTGATCGATCGTTCTGTTGACATCTACGATGGGTCACCTAATGATCCTACTTCTGCAGCCCAATCAGAGATCTTGACTGCCATGGCCCCTGCCCTCCCCTCCCATGGCAAGACAAATGGCGAGTCTCACTCGGCGGCGCCCGATGTTCAGGCCACACCAAGCCGCCCCCCAACACCCCAACGCTTTAAGCAAAGTCCAAGACATGGAGGGCACACCTCGATCTTCCGTCGCTGGTTCTCCAGGACCGGAGAATACAGGGACGCCTCAAGCAGGAGGGACAAGCACACCCGCTGCCACGGCCGCTGCAGCCCAGGCTCCCCGTCCTCCTGCGGTCGAAGATCGTGACGATATCATGCCTGTGTTTGGTCTGGACAACGCTATCCTGACCTCCATTGCGCACGCGTCTCGCTCAGACGAGAAGAAGATGCGGGATTTCATCGGCGGTATCATGGTCGTCGGTGGAGGCAGCTTGACTAGCGGGTTCCATCTCTTCTTGGAAGAGCGGCTGCAGGCTCTCCGCCCTGGCTTCTCAAAGGAGATCATGATCGGGACACCGCCCAGAGACCTCGATCCCCAGGTTGTTGTGTGGAAGGGAGCTAGTATTTTCGGCAAACTGACCGGTACAAACGACAGTTGGATCGGAAGGCTGGAGTATGATCGACTTGGTCCCCGGCTGATGGCGTACAAGTGCATGTGGGCCTACTAAGTGTACTTTGAGAGAATCATTTACGGTATTATGAGAATTCGGCGTAGGACTTGCATGTTTTTTTTTGGTCACTTTCAAAAGGAATTTCGATATTTTTTTATAATACAATCGAGTACTCTGGATTCTACAAGCATCAACTAAATGAGCTAAAAGGGAAGAATCTAGATGTGAACTGTTCAATGTTGTCCTGAGGTTGGAATAATGCATGCATGTCTCTTTCAATATTCATACTTCCCGTCTTTCCACGTGATCACCAATGTATCTCCACAGCAAACAGGCGGTGAATTTAGGCAAAATAATGGCCTTCAGGCTCAGCTTCGGAGTTGCTCTGAATGGCAGCTTTTGCCGATTCCTCCAGCTTCATTTGTGGGCAGTTTGGATAAACCTCTTCTACTGGTGAGCTGAGCCACTGGATTCTGATATTGTTGCCAATTTTCCTCCACGCCGCTGCCCTTGACTCTCTACAAGCCCCTAGACTTTCCTCACTGTAGGTTTGCGACCAATTCCCTCGTCTTCATTCTGAATCAAGCTCTCATACTAACTGGCTACTGTAGTCTTGCGCTACCATTTTTGTCTGCCAAAATTGAGGCGACAACATCCCAACATCCCAACTCATCTCAGTCCATTGCAGTCCATTACAGTGAGCTTCCGTCCCACTCAGTCCAGACGTACGCCAAGTCGCTAATGCGCAGTTAATCGCCCAGTCAATAGTGCGAGCAAATAAGCCGACAATATGTCTTCCAAATCTAAGGAGGGTCAGTCATCAGGTGGCTTTCACCAGGAGTACATTGCGTCCCTCCGCTATCGCAATGATCTCCCTCCCCCGGATATGCCCCCCAAGTTCCTTGATATCCCGCACGAGGGCTTGAGTCGCTTCCTCACCCCCGGTTTTGCCTCAAGCCTGGCGCGCCGTGAGGAGCCCAACATTGAAGTCGATGCCGAAGGTGGAATGCCAATTGACCTTGTCGGTATTCCTGGGTTACATTTGGGCGACGAGAGTGGTATGTCACCGCAGAGTCCCCTATAATTGCATTGCTGCAACTAACATTTTCACCAGCTATTATGGCACCCGAGAATCCTCAGCCCATGGACCCCGCTGACCTTCCCCTTCTCATGACTATTGAGCAACTCCGGAATCCTGCTCCCAGAAATACCAACGTCAGTTTCCTCCGCCGTACACAACATATCGGTGTCGACCGCAGTGCCGGAGATGGATCTCGTCCTGCACCCGTTAAACCACAAGCACGCACTGCGAAGAAAGGGAAGCCTCCCGTGGATGATCCGAAACATGTTAAGAAATTCATCCAAAAAGGATTCGATATCGCCTACCCTCAGAGCAAGCACTCTGGAGAAGACACTGATAGCCACATCCGTGGTCTGCCGCCAACAAAGGCAGAACTGAATGCCTGGGCTAATCCCGTTCACCCTGAGAACCCGAAGCTGAAGCCAGTCGGTTTCTTCCCTGTGATGCCTGACCTGGAAGGATTCCCAGACCCTGGTGGTTACCTTCAGTTCAAATTTGATAAGGCGCCTTTGGCAGCTGTCGCAGGCAAGCGGGACAAGCGTATGGATGTTGGTATCCTGACCCCAGTCGCGCCCGAGCAGCGCGTTTGCGTGGAGCACGAATCTAAAGTGCATCTTCACAACACGAACCCTGCTCTCTATGCCCACCCGGGCCCAGTCCCTTATGACTACCAGCTCTTCCTTCCAGAGAAGCCCCAATCTGTTAAGAACATTGACGCAAGCATGAACCTGTCCAACCCAAACCGAGACAGCGAAGACCTCTACACCAACGAGAGCGCCGAGGGCAACAAGTTCCACCGTTATGATCGCATTCGCACTTACGCCACCAGTGCTCAGGTCTTCAACACTGAGCAAAAGGACATCGCCCTGACTCTCTTCGAACCCAAGGATGGCGACACCAGACAGTTAGCCGCCTATTACTATCCAATCTCAGGCAAGGCCCGCCTCAAGCCGGAGCGTGCCCGCACTATCGCCCAGGCCGGTCTTGCTCCAACTTCCACCCAACAGGAAGAGATTGAGGAGCGGATTGATCAGATGCAGATAGTCATGCGTGACCCCAACGAGGCTGAAATCTACAAGCGTGCTTTGACCCGTCTGCGCATCGATCCGAAGTTTGCAAGCAATATGCCACCGGAGCCCGTTCCTCAGGAAGAGGAGCAACCGTTGGAGAATGAGGAGACAGAAAAGCCAGCCGATGAGGATACTCGCATGAGCGATGACGAATAGATATTCGTGGCTGTCTATTATGTATTATGGATCTTTATTTGAACATTACAATCTCGAAATATCTGCCTAGGTAGATTCCCATGGGTCTGGCGTTTGAGCAATGGAAAATGGCGTTAAGTATAGCCAATGGTTACCATCAATGAACGTAGTTACATGATTTAGTCTGCATTTGTGTAGCTTTGTATGTTGAGATCATCCCATTCTCCATGCCTGATCTTGGGTGGCAAACTGAGCGCTTGTTTGTTATGCCTCTATAGAGAGCCTCTTGCTAGTTTGAATGCTGTTTCTTCTTGATCTTCCTGGTTGTGGTAGCATGTAACCTCCAACATTATGTACTGTATATATTTGCCTCGACGCCTTCGGGTTTCAGGTTCATGATATTCCTTATAAGTAGACTATCGTCACTAACGGACAACACTGAGGTTTGTTCTTTCCAAGATTGCTCCCTTTCATGACTTCCCTTTAGGCCTATTTTCCATCTTCTTACATTCACTTTGTCCTGTGCTTCGATTCGCCTCATTTGTCTCTTCTCCTTAGCACACGCTCACAACAACCACAACGGTCCGCCTCGCAACCCATCTTCAAACAGTCAACGCCTTTTCTTGATCTCCAAAATGGAGTTGCTTGACCTTCCAACTGAACTAATCCTCATGATCGAGGAACATCTTCCCACGAAAGCCGATGTCTCTGCCTTGATGAGACCCAATTCCGCCATGTTTGTTATTCTCCAAAAGAGACTTTACAGACTAACGAAGCGGCCTGAGGTTGACTCCAATTTGAGATGGGCATGTGAAAGGGGGAACGAAGACCTGGCTTCTGCGATGCTTGACATGGGAGCTGATATTATGTTCAGCATGGATCACCCCGCGCCGTTGAGTATTGCTGCAATCGGTGGTCAACTCAGTATGGTGAAGTTTCTGATCAGCTATGATCCAAAAATCATAGATGGAACGCCAGGCCCAAGAAACGTCGGGTTTACCGCGCGGTACTCTCTACAGACACACAGAGATTGTGAAGTTTCTCCTCGCCCAACCGGGCCTTAACCCGCAAAAGGCAAGTTCATATTTGTCTTCCAAAAATCCGAGCTAGGAGTTCACAGAAGATCGGACTGGTGCGAAATTCCCATCAACCAAGCTCTCTACCGCGGAAATCGAGAGCTAGTTCGGATATTTTAAAAACCCGCACTACGACCAGACGAGATCATCGACGCCGTGAACAAACGCATCGCCGCCATCGGGCAAGCCCTGCTCGGCGAACACAGGGTACTCATGGGGAACAACATGATCGAAAGGCCGAGATGGTACCCAGGCGATTCAGACCCAGACCCCGAGCCTTTTGTCCCATTAGCCACAGTCGTGGCCTGGAGTCGCGTGGAACTGAGTGCCTCCAGTTTGGTTTGGGCTACCAGAGGAGGTGCGCAGGTTGTTGGAGCAGTCCTGGAGGCCCAGCAGTGACCTATAGCATTTGCTGATTTCAAAGCTGTAGGGTTGCCGTCCAATTACCAACTGAAGTTGATCAGTGGGCTGCGCCTACAGGAGTTGAGCCTGCTTTGTGTGGTCAAGCTCCTTCTCATCGTTGCAATCAGGACAGGGCAACTAGGGAGGATGACTATTGAGGCGCTACTTGACAAGCTGACACGGCATAACCGGCTGGTGGTGTTCCAATACCCGCAACGGCCGTTAGTGTGTCTTGCGGAAAGACATCGGTCACATGTCGACAAGCCCGCTGGTGGTCATATGCTTGGTAGCTTACTTAGGAGAATGGGGAATAGCGCGGGGATCTTGGAGCCCCTATATACCCATGATTTTTTACGTCGCAGGGCGGCGAGAGATGTCGCCCACTTATCTGTAGCCAAGCTGGCTGTCAACAGTGAGGAGGCATTCACGTCAAGCAACAGATGTCGGAGTAACAGAGCATTACGTAGGAGGGATCCAGGAAGACTTCTGCACCCTCCGTGCCATGAACCGACCCGCTCGAGACATATGGGTACAGGTTGACTAAACCCAAAAGGGAACATTATGCGGCTTGGAATTGTCAGGAATGGAAATTGGGGGAGATATTGTCTTGAACCATAACATTTGAAGCTTTGCATTATCTCATTGTCAGTTGGTCCGTGATATCAATGTATACGTATTTCTCCGTATACTAGAAGTGGTTTCACCCTTCGTGTCTCGAGTACGGCAGTCTCCAACCGCCAGTGGTAGTCTTCTTAGGCAGTCTTCTCTGATAGTGTTTTATGTCTTTTCAGGGGACTATTCGGTGGTATTTTTAGGTAGACTTCTTCGATACATGTATCTAGTTATATTTTCTCTCCTTCTTAGTTTGTTAGGTAGATAGTAGAAAAGGGCCAAAAAGGGCATAATTTGTGAAAGGGGACTTTCCATACAGAACCTTTAATATCTCAACTTCTATAATATAAACTCATACAGTGTCAATTCTATCAATTTTTATATTCAATAAAATACACATATACTAGCTTTATGAAATATTCTGCTGACAAAATACGATATGGCACACTGGCTGTTGGAGACTGCCATAATCTCGAGATCCACCTAGAGATTTGCTCGATGATATAGCGGTGTATTTGAGAACAGATATGAAAGAGAGGGAAATATCCGAGGCCAAGTATGTAGAAGACAAAACTAAACAATTCTTCTTGGAATATCAATCCACGAGCCTCAAACGACACCTTCATAACGAAGTTCAATCTCATCTTGGACCTCGGTCTTAATCCATATGCAATTTATTCAACCAAGCATCTCAGTCTTGGTGATCATTTGCTGAATTTATATCCCCTGACCGGGTGTGAGTAACATAAATAGAGCGCAAAAGGACCATTTCATGCAAGACTGCCTAACATTTCCATATATAACATTGGATCAAGATTCAATATGTCGGTCTGGGAGTGGAAAGGATGCTACATATATTGATTTACAAACGGAATTGACAAATGCTCACTGTGGAAGTTAGGTACGGAGAGTAGAGTACTTAGAGACTCCGTACATAATCGCGAAATGCTCCGGGATCTACTTTATACTCAATTATGGGTGACACTGAGATCCCATCAAACCTGGGGAACTCCCAGTGTGCTAGCAAGCAAGGAGTTGATTGGCGCCCGTGGGCCCTAAAGATTGGCCTTGGTGGCGGCCCTATTGGGGGCACAGCAGGCCCCACGGGTCAGGTCGACGGGACCTTAACGGTCCACGCCAAGACTTTGGGGGAACCACATGGGAGGTGACTTGGCTGTGAGTGGCCAAGATACTTAGGGGACTCCGCTACTGCAGGAACCCAATTGTCCTTAGAGTTGCATCGGATTTGATTTGCAGTTTAGTTCGGTTCATGCTGTTTTGGGATGATCGACTACTTCAATTCAAAGGATGATAGTGGACCAGGTACAAGTTACTTCCTTAATGTATGTTGAGTATACGTGTAGTCAATGTTTATTGTACCTCCCCATGCCCCTCCACTCTCTCTTATCATCTGCACCCCCCCATGTGTCGCCCTGATAGGACAAGGTACACGCTGCCGTCTCCTCGTGAGGGGGACATGTGGTCAATTGAAACCCAATTCAATTTGTATTTGAATCTCACGGTCGCTTCTCTCACTCTCCGTTCATTGCATCACTCTTTACATACTGAACATGGATTTGATGCACGTCTACATCGGCGCGGCCGCCGTACTGGTGTTTGCCTTGGTCGGTCTGGTTCTTCTCGTCTCCTCTCAGCATATCAAAGTCGCCAACACTGGAGTTGGCCCTTACTTGAAATTCATCTGGGCGAACTTCCTCAAACCGCACGATAAGAAGGCCGGGGGCCAGCAGGATGCATTGGAGAGCTTCTACAAGACTCAGGTGCGATCAAGTGACTACGAGCTTGGATATGGCTCGAAGCTGACCATGTCAGGCCGCAATTTACGATGCCACTCGTCGTCGTCTGCTCTGTGGTCGCGAGGACATGCTTGGTCTTGTGGCCGCACAGATGAAGTACAAGGTTACCAACAAAGAAGTCAAGTCTGGAAAGGCTGTCTGGGTGGATGTGAGTATTGGCTTGTTGCCTTCCTGAGCTAGCGCTAATGTATTCCAGGTCGGTGGCGGTACTGGGTAGGCACAAAAGGTTCCCCGAAGTGATACAGACGGAACATCTGACTTGTGACAGATACAACATTGAAGCCATGGCGGCCTTCCTCCCGGTCGACAAATTCTTCAAGCACGTTTACTTGGTCGACCTCTCTCCGTCCCTTTGCGAAGTCGCCCGCGAGCGCTTCGAGCGTCTTGGGTGGAAGAATGTCACTGTTCTCTGCCAGGATGCCCGGTCTTTCCAACTACCCGAGAAAGAGCTCAACCCACGGTCTACGAATGAAGCAAGCGGTGGCGTGGACTTGATTACTATGAGCTACAGTCTATCAATGATCCCTGGTGAGTATCTAAGACCCACGAAAGGCAATTGATATTGACTTTTTTTAGACTACTACAGCGTCGTCGACTCATTAACCTCCCGCCTGAAGTCCACTGGAATGTTGGGTGTGTGTGACTTTTACGGTAAGCAATGCCTCGAACTTCTGCATGAACGTCACTCATTCAGATCTAGTCCAAAGCATCGTGGATGTGTCCTGCCGCAACTACACTGGTGGCGCCTTCAACCGCCATGTCAACTGGCTTGGACGTGTATTCTGGAGAGCCTGGTTCGATTTCGACCGGGTCAGTCTTGAAGCCGCCCGCCGCGACTACCTGGAATACAAGTTTGGTACTGTCATCTCCGCCAGCGAACGAAACTACTTGCTTGGCGGCATTCCCTACTACATCTTTGTTGGTTGCCCAAAGGAAATCGAAGCTACTCCATCAAGTCAATCCATTGAAAAGCTGAATGCGTCTTTTACTGAGTCTCCTTACCTGCTTCCTGCCAATCACAAACAGGAGATGGATGATGCAGTGGTGAAGAGCACAAACGAGATTCGCTCCAAGGCATATGAGTCTGCTGTGATTAACCTGAGTGCAAACCTGCCGCTTCCATCATCCTTTTACCAGAACCACCACTACCGCATTCATTACAACGACATGCTGCCCAAGCATACTCAGTTCCAGAACGAGTATATCTACGCATTCACATGGGAAGACCCGCGAGTTGACCACCGTCTCCTGAATATCGGCAAAGACGACGTGATCCTGGCGATCACCAGTGCTGGCGACAATATTCTTGATTATCTGCAAAAGAACCCCCCGCCGTGTGCACGCTGTGGACTTGAACCCTAACCAGAACCACCTTCTCGAGCTGAAGGTTGCCTGTTATTCAGCATTGGGCCACCGGGATATGTGGAAGATCTTCGGTGATGGCAAGCACGCCCAGTTCCGTGAACTGCTAATCTCCAAACTCAGCCCTCACCTGTCCAGCCAGGCTTTCCAGTACTGGCTCGAGCACAGCCAGACCTTCACCTCTACTTCTGGCCATGGTCTGTACGAGACTGGTGGATCTCGCCACGCCATTCGCATGGTGCGATGGCTCTTCAATGTCTTCGGACTCCAGGGTGAAGTTCGCAAGCTGTGTGAAGCACAAACTATCGCAGAGCAGCGCGAAATCTGGCCTCGCATTCGTGGTGTGCTAATGAGCCGGCCCCTCCACTGGGCTATTGTGAGCACTGAATGGTTCGCCTGGAAGGCCGCCGGTGTGCCACGCAACCAGAGAAATATGATCGTCGACGACTTCTTCCGCCGCAACGGCTTGACGGAAGATATGAAGAAGGCCAAGGACGTCAGCGGCCGGTCAATTTGGGAATACGTTGTCAATACTCTTGACCCTGTGGTCAACGAGACTCTGATCAGCAATGACAACTATTTCTACTTCCTTTGCGTTCAGGGCAAATTCTCACGGAGGTTCGTTCCTTTCTTTCTTTTTTACGCCTTTCAATTACATGTGCTAACTGCCGCCATAGATGCCACCCCACCTATCTTTCTCCTCAAGCACACGTCCGACTTTCCACGCCTGGTGCATTTGATGGACTTCGTATCCACACTGATGAGATCAACGAGGTGATCAACCGTATCACCCCAGGAACCCTGACTATCGCTGTGGTAAGTATCAAAATACCTTTCAGCGGTATTTTTTTCATGCTAATTGTATATCAGGTCATGGACTCAATGGACTGGTTCGATCCCGAAGGGGATTCAGCCCCTAACCAAGCCCGAACTTTCAACAAAGCCTTGAAGAAGGGCGGTCGCATTCTCCTCCGTTCCGCCAGTATCGATCCTTGGTACATCAAGCACTTTGAGGAAAACGGCTTCTCTGCTCGTCGCGTGGGAGCTCGTTTCCCAGGTACATGCATTGACCGGTGAGTTTTGGAGTCTTGTTCTTGACCATCACGGACGAAGCTTATACAACTATTCTAGGGTAAATATGTATGCATCCACCTGGATCTGTACTAAAACCGAAGACATGTCCCGCCCCAGTACAGACCGCAAAATGTCGACTCTCTCATTGGGGGACAGCGCTATTGCCGGAGGCGAGATGCCGAGCAGCGTGGAGAATCTGTTGATTTAAGTACGGCGATAACTGTTTTTTTCCCCTTGATGTCCTTTCAAATTACGCCGCACGTGCCTCTCATGATACCTATGATCTGGAGTTAGATGGAGTGTTTCGTATCGCTTGCCTTCAAAAGCGCAGGGGTCAGGAGTATGATTCGAACTATCTTTGCGGTTTGCATGTGAAATCGGGATGCCATGGCTTTGTCCTATAGCACCCATTTTTATTTGTAGTTCCAACTATTCTTTGAAAACAATTCTAGATCTATCTAAACCGAAGAGCATCTGGACATGCAAGCTGGGATCTACAACGTTGCAGATCTCCACATATCAGCCAGAAAAGGCTATATCGCGGTCGATCCCCCCCGGCGCTGATTTGAGCACATTTGCGCAAATAGCCTACATATGTACATAGTCAATAGACGGTATTTACTCAATGAATAAATCCATATCCCCTCGTTTCCAGGCATAGACATTGGCACAATCCTTTTTCATTGGAACTAGCTATATTCGACAAAATCAGAGATATGCCATTCGACTCCCAAGGTGATAAGTGGTCTTGGTGAGATATCTCCTGTCTTAGATCCATACGAGATCGTAGAAACATACTTACAACCCCTACAAAAGTGAATCCTGCGTTCGAGGCCACCGCTCGTCCAAGTGCGCACACTACGACCGACCGATGAAGAGAATCCCCAAGGCTGGACGTCCGCTGGCCAAGTGCTCGCATCTCAATGGAGTTGATTGCAGTTGTCGGGAGGTCTGGGCAATTATGGTTCCGCTTGCTCCAGGTATGTCGTGTCAGAGGAATGGAAGGGATCTGGGTTGGACATAGATTTGTAGTAATATTGCTTTGAATAGGGTCGACGGTTTGCAGACCAGACTTTGAGAACTGGCCGGTACAGCAGCAAGTCGATGATGTTTATACTGAAGGTAGATGATTGTTTGGGCGATGTCGATGGGCATTGAAGGAGTTAGGTATATGACGAAGTGTGGATTAAGTTATAGCGCATCATGGTTGATCTACATGGAGATATTCACCCAGGAGTTCCCTGAAAAAGATATCCCAGGAAGCAGTTCGCCCACCAGGGCATCGAAAAGGACAGAAACGAAGACGCCGACGTTGAAGGTCACCACGGAGACCACCCTATCAATTCAGGTAACTAGTCGATCATTCAATTTCTACCTATGAAGTTGTGGTAATTAGTTCACACCAGTTCCTATCGCTCCACACGTAGTTACACCACTTCCTAGCTCCTAATCTCTACCCGATAAAGCATATCTCTAATAGATACTCGAGGTGCTCGTAAGTCTCCCTACCCTACTATAGTTGGTCTCAAATTGGCTAATAAAGTAACACGTATTCGTCCTAGGCCTAGTTCTAAACGTCTACAAAAGAAAAGAAAAAAAGGCTAGAATAGAAAGCTGATTTCCAGAAACAAACACACGATTCTGACTTGTAGTGAGTGATACCTACATATGTACCTAGGTAAGGGGTGGTGTTTAAGTGTGTCAGCGGCAGATCTACCCGTGGACCCGTGGACCTCTCCCAAGGTTACATATGTAGGTACATATACAGTATTTAACCAAACCAGTACCTCTTACCAATATACATGTCCTAATAATTCTAAAACTATACATAATTTCAAACTACTACGGAACGCAAGTTCAGTCCACCAGCTTTGTAGCTGGGTTAATAAGCAAGCCATCTAGCCCCAGCATCTCGTAAGCTCCACTTTCATCATCACGGATGGGCTCCGGTTCCGGCTTATTAGCAAGACGACTCGTGAATCCACGGGACCGTAGAAGACCAACAATTCTTGCCGCCTTGATTGTTTGAATAGTCTTGGGATCGAGACCTCCGGCACTTGTGGACAGGGCGTCCCAAAAGATGCCGTCTAAGGTTTCATAGTTTGCATGGCGAATCCAGCCCACACGGAGGCGATATTTGCTCATGAATTGCTGGAGGGAGTGCAGATTCGTCCCAAAAGGACCGATTTCAGCTTCAGCCCAGTCAATGACTCCAACTAGATGATTGTCGTCGGCGTCAACCATAACATTATTGACACCAAAGTCCTTATGAACAAGGACCATGGGAAGTGAGAAAATAGCTGGCAGAGAATCAATGGATTGTTGGATGACGGGGAGGAAGCGACTGGGTAGAGCAGCGAGAAGTTGGCGCAAGTCCTTCTCGTATCTCCGAAACATGGCTTCTCGATCTGATGGGTTAGCATCTTGAGGATTCTTCCATGCCAAACCAAGGAATCTGGAAAATATTAGCCTAAATACCGCGAAGAAAGGCGGCCAGCATACCCCGCAATGTCAGACACCAGGTTTTCCCGCCATGTACAATACTCGAGGGAATCTTCCAGGAAATTATGAGCCAGGATGAAATCGAGGTGACTGATGCCTTTTACTCGGCTCATCACATAGACGGAGAGGGGCTCTTTCCCATCGACGCCCTCTTCTCCGATCTGGCCATGGAAAGTGGCAGTTGGAACCAATGACCCATATATGTCACGGGCTAGAGTGGCCATTTTGGTGTTCAAACCTAGCGATTGCAACCGAAACTGAACCACGAACCCGTGATTAGGGCCCGCGTAAACGGTATAGCTGCAAACACCTTGGACTGTAACGGGGACGACAGGTCCCCCCACGAGCTCCTGTGCATAAGCATCACAAGATGACTTAGTCGCAGAGGTCTTACGGAAGAAGTAAAGGATTTCCTCGTCGACTGAGTATTCTTGGGGAGTTTCTGAATTCATTTTGGGAGTATTAATGAATGTTACTTGTAAATTGAGCCAAAGGATAAGGGAATGATCCAGGCGATGGGAGCATATTTTATTAGGCTGTGAAAGAAAGGTGCGGTGTAAGGAAGATACAGTACAGCAGGGGTTGCGCTGGATCATCATTGATCCGCTGTGCCTTCGATTCCTATTCCACTGGAGACACAAGGATTCTTGTCGATACGGGTAGAACAAGGTAATGAGTGGTATTAGGTTGCAGCTGAGCGGAGTAGGACATTGGGCCACGAGCCCTAGCTGAAACACTTGCCCAGGTGCTCAGCAGTACGTAACCACTTAGGGGAATGATTTCGACTGGACCAACGGGGTGGTCTTCGAATACACGTAAGTTCAGGCCAATATGAGGTCTCTCCTCAGTCTGAATCTCATACTTTTTAAAAGCATGCCTCGAAAGTCAAGGGGCTTAGAGGCTGGCGATAAACGCTTTTCTCTTGACCTATTCCTCTCGAGAAGTGGACATGTCCGACCCTACAAATTATGCTGTGGACTGGATTTGTGCTATAGCCATCGGATATGTTGCTGCGCAAGTGTTTCTTGATGAAAACGCAAAGGACTGAGATTTGTACCGCCAAGTATGAGATCAATAGGCATCGGCTAGAAAAGGCCATCAGCCATTCCCGTAAAGAACGCGAGGCTACGTCAAAAGTGCGAACGACCCGGACCAACCACCGACAGGCCGTTTCGCGGAGCTCCTATCTGTGTAGATGATTCTTCGACAGCTTCTCAATCAACACATAGGAAGCCCACCAAGCTGCCACTATAAGACAGCACGCGTTACATAGCACGCGGTAGATAGAGCCTAGCCGGGACTTCGAAGCTCCATCTGCAATCATCCACCATGACAAGTCCCTTCCTGCCAGCCGGCAGTTCCCTGAGAAAATCTCCCAAGAAGCAGTTCGCCCACCAGGACGCCGAAAAGCACAACGACGAAGACGCCGACGTTGAAGGTCATCACGGACAGCATCCTATCGATTTCAAGAATTAGTCGATCATTCGATAAATGACAGTGTGCAGACAGCCGCAGATGTGACCACTCACAAGAAATATCCAATCAAAGCCCTAACACATTCAAGCAACGCACGTGTCCCGTCTTTCCGAAGACTCCACGTTCCACTGGCCTTCCACGACGGGAGCATGCATGTCAATGACATCCTCTTCCGAGGACCATCCCTTTTGAGAGGTCTCATTGTCGTGCTTCGTGTTTCATTGTTATTTGAAACTGGCAAAGTCTCTTCCTCGTCCTCGTCCCCATGTATGCGCATGTAGTCTGGAAGAGGACTGAGCTTTGCTTTCCGGATGTTTTGTCGTGGATTTACTGGAGCGAGATGCAGGGTTGGAGGGGAGGTATGCTGGGACCAGGATCTCTCTAGTTGGAATTTGAGAGCGCCGAGGAAGCGGTTGAAGATGGCGAGGAGGAATAGAAAGGTCAGCGTGAAGACGTATTGCGTCGTCGTTGAGGTTGTCCAGCCTGTGAAGAGGATTGTGATTTCAATAGAGGCTGAGAACACGGCTGGCATGTTCATGTCCATGTCCATGGTTGAGATATGATGTCCACTCGAGTGCGATGTGAGTCGGAGACTATGATCGAGTCCAGGGCGTTGTATTACTCCATGTTGGGGAGGATCAAGAGTAAAAAAGCCTGTAGGCACCAGGCCAGAGAAGATTACATGGCCTTTGCCTTTGCGGTTTTAGATGAATGAGGTGTTGAGTTCATCTAACGATCTAATTTAAAACGTTCTCAAATAAGATCACAGCTTACAAGCTCAAATGCGCTCATCTTCACATGAAATGTCTCAAATGTTACTTTCCCATTAAGCGAACTATAAAAAGAAGAAATTCTAGGAACTTTGGAGTCTTGCTTTTCAAATAATATATTGCAAGTCAGGTCATTCATTGACTTCAGGTCTAATCATATTTCACAGGGGAAGAAGACTGGAACACGCCAAAGCAGCGGCCCTCTAAACAAACAGTGATTAAAAAAAGAGTCTGGGAAAATTCATAAATGGACCACCATGAGCCCGGCGCTTTCACCTCCTATCATATCATGTCTGTCTGTTGCCCAGCCAAAGTGCGCATACAGATACAGGACATGCACATGCGAATCGTGGATATAATCAGAGACAAAAAGGAAGTTCAGGAATTGAAGATCTCATGAGCGGCCATACCGTGTCTTTCCGAAAGAGAAAGGCACGTAGCGGTACTTAATCATGTGCTGGATTTGTCGTCGCACTGCAAAAAAGCGCCAAGTTAGACAGATATCCACAAAAAAAAAAAACGGGTATCGTATCGAATTCCGACCAAAAGGGGAAACATACTCGTCAACACAAACAGAATTATCCAGTAAACAACCAGCACCGGCCAGAAGACGGGGATATCGAAGACGGCGAGCCAAGAGCAAACAAAGGCAATGGCAATGGCGCGAGTGGCCGAGTGCCAGAACTTGAACTCCGGCAGACGGCGGATGAATGGCCGGAACTCCTCGTCCTTCTTGGTAGGGAGGCTGGGGGATCCGGCGTCACCGTCCTCGAGGCCCTCGTCTTGGGTAAGAGAGGGGTCGAATTTGGGAGTCAGGAAAGCGAGGAAGAGGTTCAGGAGATAAATGCCGAGTGTATAGGCGACTGTGATATGAGATTCCAGCGTTAGCAGTTTGTTTATGCAAATGTTCCGCTGTGGATGAATGGCTTTCGCGTGTTGGAGCCGAAGCGCATCATTTCTGCTTTGCTGATTCCAGTTCAGGGGTTCAATCGAGTCATACCGATATACCAGCCCTGCGCGAGGAAAATGCGCAGGAAGAAGATGAAGAGAAGCACGCCGGAACCAACCCAGCGGTAGGTTGTGTACGGGGTCGAGGCATCGAGGTAGGCTTGATAGTGCTGCGATTGATGTATTAGCATATTGATCCGACTATTGCGACTCATTTCAGAAATAAAGGATCCAAAGACATTGCGGATCGAAAGATATTGCGCAATGCCTTTGCCCCTCACGAGACACTCACTCGAGTCAGTTTAGAGGTGTGCGCGGACACGGCTGTGAAGGGCGACTGATCGGGCTCAGGGACATCCATGATGAAGAATTAGAGAGTGGGCAAAGCACAGGGCTAGACCACCGAAAGGAAAAAAAGGACAGAGGAAAAGCAAAGGAGAAGCAGTGATTAAGATAAGCTGCTGAAACCAGACATTCCCGGACAGGCACTGCACTTCAGGACAGAAAAGTGTCCACTGCACACAGACCAATCATATTAGAGATTAGTCACCAGCCACTTATGGGCACGTGAGATGTGGCACAGTCAGTATGGTGGCGGTGCAGTGACATAAAACAGACTAAAAGGGTTTAGCCTCTTCACGTGTACCTCGGGACGGTTAACTTCGGCGTTCAGTCGGTCGCGGGGAAACGGGCTATCTATGATGGTATCGTATAGCTACTTCCTCCTTTCTCTGCATAATTCAATCTCAATTATCTGAAAGTAATTGCCTTTTGCTTGACATATCACAATGTTTGCCCGTCAATGCACTCGTCTGGCCACTTCCCGGACATCGGCCCCCTTGACTTCCTACCTAGCCCGAGTCCGGGGTTATTCTTCAGCTGCTGGTAGCTATGAGCACATCCTCACCTCGACCCCCAAGCCCGGCGTGGGATTGAGTATGTAACACTGGCCAATATACTACAGGACCAATTCTCATTGCTATTATAGTTACCCTTAACCGCCCCAAGGCCCTCAACGCACTATGCTCTCCATTGTTCAAGGAGCTTAATGAAGCCCTGAGCAACTACGACAATGACAAGAGCATCGGCGCGATTATTATAACTGGAAGCGAGAAGGCCTTTGCCGGTATGTACATGCCCTATTTACACATTTCCACTGTATCCTTTCCCGTCAATCCCTCGCCCCAATCCTGATATACCTCAACAATATTAACCAAACAAACCCGCAGCCGGCGCCGACATCAAAGAAATGGCCCCTCTAAGCTTCTCCGCCGCCTACAGCGACAACTTCATTGCGCCCTGGTCCCACCTCGCCACCTCCATCCGCACTCCAGTCATCGCCGCTGTCTCCGGCTACGCCCTCGGCGGCGGCTGCGAGCTAGCCCTGATGTGCGACATCCTGTACTGCTCCGAAAACGCCACCTTCGGCCAGCCGGAGATCAAGCTCGGCACCATCCCCGGCGCAGGCGGCTCTCAGCGCCTGACCCGTGCGATCGGCAAGAGCAAGGCCATGGAGCTTATCCTTACTGGCAAGAACTTCAGCGGTAAGGAGGCCGGTGAGTGGGGTGTTGCGGCGAAGGTTGTGCCGGGTGGTAAGGAGGAGCTGCTTGAGCAGGCGTATAAGACGGCTGAGACTATTGCCAGCTATAGCCGTGTGGCTGTTGTTGCTGGTAAGGAGGTTGTTAATAAGAGTCAGGAGTTGTCGCTCAAGGAGGGTGTTGAGTATGAGAGACGGTTGTTCCATGCGCTCTTTGGCAGCAAGGATCAGAAGATTGGTAGGTTGACAATTTGGTCTCCTGAGTTACTGGGTTTGAGATGTGGGTTGCTAACGATTATTCTAGGTATGACTGCCTTTGCGGAAAAGAAGAAGCCTGAGTGGTCCCATGAATAGATGGTGGGTAGAACATACTCCTTTGGAACATTGAATGAAGAGGCTGGCTTTTTTCATGGCCTTTGTGTAATTCACAATGCTGGAGCTGTAGAATAAAGTATTGGTTATATGACATAGTGCAGTATCATCTGGGGTTCTCAGCACCAAAAGAGAAGTGAAGATATGAGACAAAATGGAGATTTCATTTTACATTTTGTATTTGACCATCATATGAAGATATTAGATTAAGGCTATATTAATGCTGAAAATGCTATGTACATGCAAGAGTGCCTAACAATTTAGGTTCCCAGAAGCAGAATTAGTCGTAAACATAAGACACATCGCATCATATCGAACCGTGATTTTTCTCCAATTGGCTCTCATCAGTCCGGTTATTTTTCTCCGCACGGTAATCATCAATGACACGACCCTCAATGGTCTCATCGAACACGTCCACCTGGGTCGTCGCGAACTTGCGAGCGCTGACACCGCGCTCAAAGAGCAGGTCAAGCTCAGCGAACGATCGGCCGCGAGGCTCGGGGACGCGGAAGTATGTGTAGATGATGCACAAGAAACAAATGCCACCCCAGAAGAAACCGGCGTAATTGCCCCAGTTCCAAGCGCCCGGGTTCAGCATGTAAGGGGTCAGAACGCCGCAGATGATGGCGACGACATTATACAGGTTGCGGCCGAGCACGACCGTCTTGATTTGCAGTCGGCGGGTGGAGAGCTCAGCTACAAGGGAGAAGCAGACCGTGCCAACGGTAAGCTGGTAGAATAGGGCCCAGATCAACATCATGGAACCTGTGGCTAGGGAGCCTTGGTCTTTGTGCTCCTCAGGAACAAGGCCAAGGAAACCCATGACTAATAGCATGGTGCACAGGCCACAGAGACCATACAGACATAACGTTCGTCGGCCGATTCCGAGTGTCATAAGGAACCATGCTCCAAAAACGCCAATCATGTTGATGCCGTATTGACCCATGGCAAAAGCGTAAGAGTTAGAGGAGTCTAACCCAGCCTGTTTCAAGAAGTAGGTCGAGTAGTTGGAAAAGGAGTTTCCGCTAAGATTTTGGATGGCCCAGACCATACAGACAATCTCTGTACGACGGAGATCGGTACCCCGGAAGCAGTCCAAGTAGCTCGCACCCTGGGTAATCTTTTCCTCCAAAGCGGTGGTGTGAACCATCATAGCGACTGTCTCATCGGGATCGAAATCTCCATCCTGACCCCGACTTTTACTGGTCAACCGCACAAGGGCCCGTTTGGCATCTTCGGTGCGGCCTTTCCGAACCAACCACCACGGGGATTCGGGCGCAAGGTAGATACCAATAAAGAGCGGCAGCGGCCACATCCATTGCAGTCCGTATGGAATCCGGTAGGCCCATTCGTCATTCCGGTTCAACATGCCCTTGATCACACCAATGCCAATAAGCTGGCCAAGACCCCAGCAGAAATTGACATAGGTCGTCAAATATCCTCGCAGCGCCACGGGACACACCTCCGAGGCGTACGTAATCGTCAAAGTCTGGAAGACACCCCAGGGGATACCGCAGAGAATCTCCGCCGCGAGCAGGGCTTGCACATTCTTGGCCGTGAAGAAGATGGACGTCCACGCAGTAACAAGTATAAGACAGGCCATAATCGTGTACCGGTAACCGAATCGTTCCGAAGCCCAGCCGTTAATGAATAGACCAATGATCTCGCCGCAGTAGGCACCGTTGCTCAGACCTGCTTGCCACTGTACATCCAGACAATTGTCAGTTTCTTCATCCCGCAAAGAGGCAAATCCACCGCACTCCAAGAGATGGAGGGATGGCCACCGCCGGAATTGGTTGGACTTACCGCTGCGGAAACTTCGTATGAGCCATCAGCCAACAGCTCACCATACTTGCGATTGAATTGCGGGAAGGCATAGAAGTTGTTGACCAAACTAATATCATACCCCTCCATGGCAATGCATGTGGAGATGAGCACGCTCCAAAGAACGGCCTTAGGGTACAGGCGGATACCCTGCATCAAACTCATAGACTGCTCCTTCTCTGTGGCTGCCTTTGCATTTTGAATGACCTTGGTCATGGACGAGTCCGAAGCGGGTCCTGCGGCCGAAGAGTATCCGTATGCGGGAGGGCCATCCACCGGTGTGATGGCATCTGAGGCCTTGGGTTCGGCCATGTTGGATGGGCGAGATAACCGAGAGACACTGGGAGGAATTGGAGGGTTGTCTCAGACAACTTTCGATATGGGGTTTGAAAGTTGGCCTGGTTCGGAAGTCAGGGGAAAGAAAAATCAGAGTACCCACAATGGGAACATTGCACGCGAGTACTCCAGGGCGGCGAAAAGTCCCCTTGACGCCTACCGAGGGTAAGTGAATACTGCGGCAGAGGCAAAAGGGCTAGACAAAAAGAGGATAAAAGTCAATGGTCCGAATTGGTGGGGGAACGGGGGATTTGACGGGCTCGATGCCTCCAAGCGCAAATTTTCGCGGGATGGGGAAGCTTGGCGATACCCGGATGGGGAAAGTGATGGGTCATGGTAACAGTGTGAACTTGATTATATGAGGTCTGAGTGGCGCTATAGTCGGCATTTGTTACTCTAGGTAGTTGTAATTGCTGATCATATAATTTAAAGATTATAGTACTCCGTATACAATTTAAAGCTATACGAAGGACTAGGTCTTACAACCCCACGTGGGGGAACTATAATTCCCCTTGCAGCAATCAGAATGTACTACAACATAAGAATTGGAGTATTCTGATTATTTAATTATTATACATATATTATACTCTCTATTAGACTGTATATATTTGCATCGGAAAAGAACGAACCATATATACTCTTCATTTCATCCCATTGCTGGTCTCTATAAACCGGCTAGAAACGGCTATCTTTAACCCTATATGGAATCTGACATTGCCCAGGTGATCGCCAATAGTTTAAAACATACTTGCCGCTCAGACGAAACAATGCTATTCGAACTTCAGTGCTTAGTTCAAGCAACAATGCTCATCTCTCCGTGGGATCCTTTGATAGATCTTCTTTGATCGACCCCATTAAATATAGTCTCTTTGGAGAATGTGTATTAGTCCAATTAGTCTTCAAAGGCTGCTTTGAACATCTATATTTGTCTCTTTGACTACTCGATTAATTATAGTCTATCCACTTCTTTCAGATGTTGCTTGATCACTATAATAAGCTATTTTCTTACAATCTCATGGTTCCATCGAGTACCAGTCTTCAAAGGTCTACTAATATATAAGATACTATCCTTGTACTATATACTGAGCATTTCAATATCAATGACAGTCACTTTGGCCCAACTGCAACTAATCCGTTAACAGCGACCAATCCCTGACCAGCAGCTAACTCACCAACACCATCTAGTAAGTAAAACAACCATATAAACAGAAATGCCACGAAGTCTTCGCTCAGGGAATATCTACGCTTCTCCCCTTCCCCCTCCACCGCGCCCTCTTCGTGTCCCAGCCGAGAACGTCATCCGTAACCGGGACTATGAGCTCATAGGTAACATGAACATCCCCATGGGCCTCTCACGCAAGAAGGTTTCTGAATGCCATCTCGAATTTTTAGATATCGGGCCGAAAGATACAGAATGGTTCAAGGACCCAGAGCGAAATAACCACTGTATCCTCCGGCTCGTATTCTTACATCAACTGGAAGACGACACCCCATACGCACCTATTGGCACCAGGGGAGTTGTCCTGGACTTGGAAGGTGCGGAGCAACTACAAGATTCATATACAGGCGAGCTAATGATGAGTACCTTCGGGTACGAAGGCCCGCATCAGAGGTCGATGCGAGTTGTCAAGCTGCGTATGGGCGGCGAGAGGACAGTTGGGGATGCTGTTAGGATCATTCGGAATACTCGTTTGGTGCCTTGTCACTTTGATACACCCAACGAGCACTTGGTTGGCTGTCGAGATTTTGTGTAAGTTTTGTTTCTGTTTCTGTTTCTGGTATGTTTGGAGTCATATGCTAACAACATTGATAGATCGCAATTGATTTATCAGTTGGATAGGAACAAGTTTTTAAGGCTTCCGGCTGATGCTGACACTACGGTTTATGACTCGTTCAACTACCGTTATGATATGGATGATGACCCTGCTATCGGTTATGTCCCTACTCCTGTGAAGTATGCTATCTTTAGGGCGTCATATCAACATACGGCTATTAACAGGATTAATTATCATGGAACGCGTGAGTTGCCCCGGATATCATTCCCCATGTTTCATTGGATTGAACGCTAACGAGATATTGATAGGTCGTTTCCTGGACGGGCAGTAGAAGAAGTCGGAACAAAAGGATCGGAAATATTGTATAAAAGCCAAGGATGATAAGTCCAACTTATTCGATGGCTTAGTGTTCAATCTCTGCTATGCAGAATTGCGAGAAGACTAACTTTCAAAGCACAGTGGAAGTGTTACTGTTTAAAATATTGCGTTCAAGCCATAGACCTGAAATTTACGAAGAACTCGGTTAGTCCATAATAAAGTATGGTGTAAATTCGTAAATCGTATCCAAATTGCTGAGATATCTATACATATGTATGCAGTGATGTGGAGTGAACCCACGATTATTTTGAGTATGAAATCAAGCAAGGAAAAGTGCAACTACAAACGCGCGGGCGGGGCACCAGTAACATGAGCCTCCGTAGCAACCTGGATGCGAGAACCAAGATCCGCGTTAACACGACGGAACATCTCATAAGTAGCCTTGCGAACACGCTCATCTGCGCCGCACAGGTGACCAGAGATGTTATCGACGAAGTTCTCCTGCTGGCCGGGGGTACGGCCAAGGACCTGCCACAGGCCGTTAGCCTGGACGTAGTCCTCTGAGGTCACAGGGTACTGCTCGGCGATGACAGCGCCGGACCACTTCTCGTGTTCCTGGCTAGCCTTGACGGGCTTGTGGGCGAGCGCACGGAAGGTAGAAGGGTAGTTAGGGTTAGCGCCGTAGTTGCCGTTGACGTTCATGTAACCATCGCGGTGTGTGGGATTGAAGGCTTTGAGCGGGCAGTTGACGGGGATCTGCTCGTAGTTGCCGCCCAGGCGGTGGCGGTGCGTGTCAGGATAGGAGAAGAGACGGGACTGAAGGACTGGGTCGGCGGAGGGCTCGACACCGGGGACCATGTGAGAGGGGGAGAAAGCGGCCTGTTCGATCTCCGCAAAGTAATTCTGCGGATTCTTGTTCAGGGTGAAGCGGCCAAATCGGCGCAGAGGCACCTCTTTCTGGGGCCAGACTTTGGTCAGGTCGAAGACGTTCCAGCGGAACTTCTCAGCCTGCTCGGGGCTCAAGACTTGCACGTAGCAGGTCCAGGAGGGGTTCTCGCCGCGCTGAATGGCCTCGAATAGGTCCTGGGTGTGCCAGTCCGGGTTCTCAGCGGACAGCTTGGCTGCCTCATCGTTGGTGAAGGTCTTGTTGCCCTGATCGGTCTTACAGTGGATCTGGACGTAGTTGAAGGTGCCATCTGGCTTGATCCACTTGTAGGTGTGGCCGGAGTAGCCGTTCATGTGACGGTAGGAGTATGGGGTACCGCGGTCACTGAACAGGTGCATCACCTGGTGAACGGCCTCGTGGTGGGTGGAAAGGTAATCCCAAAACATGGTGGCATCCTTAAGGTTGGTCTGCGGGTTGCGCTTCTGGGTGTGGATGAAGACGGGGAACTTAGCAGGGTCGCGCAGGAAGAAAACTGGGGTGTTGTTGAACACCCAATCCCAGTTGCCCTCCTCGGTATAGAATTTCATGGCAAATCCGCGGGGATCACGGGCACTGTCCGGAGATCCCTTCTCACCACCGACGGTCGAGAAGCGGGTGAGCATCTTGGTCTTCTTGCCCACACCCTTGAGCATATCAATGATGGTCTATGCGGTATTAGCCTCGTGTTCTCGGGGGAATTATAGAAGCTTCCCAGATAGTACATACGATATCGCTAATATCATCAGTGACCTCAAACTCGCCATAGGCGCCAGCACCCTTGGCATGAACCACGCGCTCAGGAATGCGCTCACGGTCGAAGTGTGCCAGCAAATCGATCAGGTGGAAATCTTGCATCAGAAGAGGGCCGTTGGGGCCAATGCGCTGAGCGGCCTGGGGGTCCATGACCTATATGTATATGATTAGACCTTGCGATTCAGGAGGAAGTGAGCTGGGCATAACGTACAGGACAGCCGTTGGAGGCTGTGTAGACCGGAGTCTCATTGTAGCGGTAGGTTTCTGCGAAAGAGAGGACCGTTAGTTGGTGTTCTGGGCTTTGATGGTTTGTAAAACCTACTAGGCTCGTTATCTTGACCCATGATGGCAGATCTAGGGAGAAGAGAGAAAAGTCCCGGGAGCACTCTTTATATGGCAAAAAAAAAAGTGCCTTGTGGGGAGCCATGGAAAAGTCCTACGAAGCCCATGGACCCACCGGGTTTTTGATATGGAAATCATCCAACTATCTATTGGTCCACAAATCAATCTGAATATCAGCCAACACCACTACCTACATGTAAGTTTCTTGATGTAGGATGTATCTGCAAAAATGCTGGGCCTCTGACTTGCGCACGAATGGTCGATATCCAATCGCCAATGTCACCCTATCGGGTCCACTCCCCAGAATTGGAGTACTAACGATGGGATTTGTAAATGGACTATGGCTAGACTTAGAGGGACATTCCGGGGAGGTCAAGTTTTCCCAATTAAGCAGTTCGATCCGAGCTCAAGCTGTCAATTGAATTTATTCTACCGGCACGATCCGAGATCGGCAAGCCCCGACTTTCCGATCCGGTACGGAGATGACCTTGCAGACTTGTTGAGTAGAGTCAAATACACACTTTTATATTCAACGAATTCATTCATCTAATCTCCATTGTATGATAGCAATCCGAAAAAAAAAAAAATTGAGAAAACCTCCAAGGGTCAGTCCCTCCAAGGTGCTGCGCGAAGTAGTGGCTAATTCCAACTGTGCCTCGACAGAGTACCTCGAATAGTGCTTCCCTTGGAATTGATCCAAGAAATACCCAAAAAGCTCTCAGCTGAGTCGTGGAAACAACAAGAAAAAGTAAGTCAAAAGCAAAAAAAACAAATGCTCGCTTAATGCGCCAATCGTATATCTTGTATATCGCAAGGAAACCCAAAGCAGATTGGGGTCCGAACAAATCGTAAAAGTGCGTGGGTATATCTGGCGCTTGCGGCTTCTCAAGAACCTACAGATCAATCGAAATCAAGGGGACACTGAGAGTATGCTGCAAGTGCATGCATGGGAAGGAATAGGGGTTAGCTGGTAAGAGTGGGCGCCGAGGTAACCGCAGGCGTGTTAGTTGACTCATCCCAACATCCCCAGAATACTCCCGGGCTAAGACAGGTTGTGGAAGTGGGCGAGGCAGGATTAGCGGTAGTCGTGGCTACCGTACTCGTTTCGTCACGGCAGCCAAACCACCCTGGTTCGTGACAGCTGGTCGTTGTAGTCACCGTGGGCAAAGTGGTAGTCACTGTGGGTGCCGGGGTGGCTGTTGTGGTAGTAGGATCATTGCACCCGAACCAACCAGGAGTCATGCATGTTGTAGTAGTGGCAGTGCTTGTCGCCGTAGTCGTAGTCGTAGTCGTAGCAGTTGTGCTCTCATCCAGACAGCCCCACCACCCGGGGGTCTTGCAGGTAGAAGTTCTGGTGGGAGATGTGGTAGTGGTGGTGGTAGTGGTAGTAGTTGTGATCTCAGAGCCGTTGCTTCGGAAGAACTTCCAGAGTTCGCAATCGAAGCATTCTTCCTCTGCGACACATGAGGGCACGCTGTCGTATGTCATAAGAACATCAGATATCACGTTCTCAATCTTGTGGGTACCAAGACCGACACGCCAGCCCTTGTCTGCCACGGTGTCATACGTGCACACCTGTCCAGTGTGACATACTGACTCCATCGCATAGCCGCCCCACGTACATATCGAGTTGATTCCATTGCAGGTTCCCATAAAGACTGGGTCTGCAGTATGTCCAAAATGGTAGGCTCCAGTAAACTGTCGCGACTGTGGAAATCGTGGGTCATGGCCTGGCGGGCTTGGGAGGCCAAGTCGAGCTGCGGGTAATGCTTCTGGGACGGCCTCAAAAGTGACTACAGGCAATCCGAACGTCAATCCAACCAGACTCGTCATGGCGCCACCTAGCGAATGACCGGTCATCCAAATATTTGCATCCGGGTAGATCTCCGTAACATTAGAGTACAGGTCGATCGCTGCCCGGTAATAACGGTCTTCGTCCGTCATAGACTCGATGATGCATGTCAGATTTGCCGTGAATGTAGCACTCTGACAATCACATGATTGTCTCCATAGATATGAGCCTCCTTGGCCGCAGCAACAACTAAAGTATAGATTATCGTTGACTTTATCGTTGGTTGTGGTACCGGCTCCATCAAAAAGAGCGGGCGAAGTGCCCTTCAGAGAAATGACAACAGTGTCGTTTGTCTTATCGGAGTAGATGTGCCCCCTCAGTCCATCCTTTTGCCAACCAAAGCTCCCCGAATAGTTGAATCTGCCATTGATAGTGTGCCACTGTCCTGTTCCAGGCTCCTCAATATAGTCATTTGCGGTCATTTGTGCAAATGTCAAGACGGTCGGCTTGTCTGTAATATTCGGACCAGGCAAGGTGTCCATGACCCATTCTAGTGGAGACAAGGCGGCCGCAAAGCCCGAAGATTGCGCAGCTGCCAAGTGACCTTCAATCACCGGGAGTCGTCGGTCGGCTAACCGTTGTATTGTGAGAGGACTGGATGAAGCAAGCAGAGATGATTCCGATGCAATATATTCTTCTTCGTGCCCATCTTCGGATACAGTTCGAAGGCGAGTGTCTGGCTTGACGTCGAGTCTGGCATGGAAGTCGGGTTGTTCATAGGTACCTCGGTGGAAGATATGGCGCAAGGACTATAAACGGTTATTACAGGTCATCCAGCGTGATACAAGTTGCGTAGGGCATCTTACAAACTCATGGATATCTGGTGTAGCTTCGGGCCCCTTCAAAGGTACCTGGGGCGGGATGATGGGGACTTGCTGAGAGGGTGGATAATAGCCCGAGGCGTATGCAGCACCTGATAATACTGCAACCGATAATAATAGGCTGTGGATGCTAAGTTCAAATCGTGACCGTTTTCGAGGCATGATGGGGGTGATGATGAGGATCAAGGTCAAGGAGGCGTGAGCCTATGTGAGTCTATCGCGGTTATCGGCAAGTCACTTATCAAGTGACGCAGTGCGGAGAGCAATCGGCACGTGATGAGTACCCCCAGTGAAGTGACGCGATCTCGCGTGAATCAGATATTCCTCGTGAATTTCGTCTCTTCTGAAATGACCAGGAGAAAAGCATTCTGCTGCTGATCAGCTGCAGTACCCTCCGTGTTTGGTACAGAATACTTCCGATCGCTTTACTTCTGGACAACAGGCTCGAACTTGGCCTCCCAGACGCGGATCAGCACAGGCCTATCAGCTGTACCCGGAAGCGGAGACACGCAGTTAGTGCCTTATAGAACCCCATCGCCCCTGGCCTTAAAATGTCTGGCCCCTCCGAAACTAGCACTCAGCCTTATTTGCATTTAGCACGGTCATTCACCAGAATGGGTGGCTCGGACGTGAAATTTCCCACTGACCAAGATTCCAAAACAACACCTTTGTCATCACCTGTCAATAATGAGGGGCAGGAAAGTGGACACGATGTATTCGAAAGACGAGGCTCCGCAGACTCTGGCACAGCAGGCGAGGCCCAGGCAGATGATGGCTTTGTGCTTTCGCGGAGCGTACAAGACCCTTCTGAGGAGCTACCGATCGAACTAATCAGCCTGGCGGATCGGTAAGTGTGGTCATATCAGTGCCCTTGTTCCAATGTTTTATTCTGACAGCCTTTTTGGCCAATAGTTTTGTGAATTCCCTAAGCGCCAAAGTACACAACTCGCCTCCCACAATCGAGAAGATCTCCGATCTCTTCCAAGTTTTCTACAGCCGCGCCGAGTCCCACATTGCGACACACGTATCTGCTCTCATATCTCGTATCAACCGGGATCTGTCACCTCAGATGCCTGCAAAAGCTCCACGAGGAAGCGCACTGTCGAAACTAAGCAGCAAACGCTCTCAAGATGATGTCAGGACAGGAGCCTCGGGTCGCCAAATGCTGACTGCGTCGGAAGTAGCTGAAAAGCGACAGGCCCGCAGAGCCCTTGAAAACAAACGGAGTGCATTAGAAGAGGCCGCCGAGCGAAGGGTCTGCGAGCTGGTTTATGATAAACTTTGGAGGCACAAAAGTACATTAGATGATGTGCGGGATGAAAAGTTGCGTTCCAAGACTGCAGCTTTGCTGCTGGTCGGCATTAATCTGAAGGATCTTGGGATCGATCTGGACCTTGAAGCAATCGATGAGCAGAAGCAGGACGAGGCGAACGAATTCCTTTGTCAAGCCCGGGAGTATCTTGCGAAGATGAACGATTACAAATACCCCCTTGGAAAGCTTCAGCAGCTCGCAGCGGCGCACAAGGCCATTGTTGACGCTCTTACTAAACTTTTACCGTCTTCTTCTTCTGCGGACGAGATTCTACCCACGTTGATTTATACACTTGTGACGTGCCCTCCTGAAGGGATCAACATTGTCAGCAACTTGGTTTTTATCCAGCGTTTCAGGTCTTCAAACAAAATTGACGGAGAAACGGCTTACTGCTTAACCAATCTAGAGGCTGCAATAAGCTTTTTGGAAAATGTCGATCTTTCTACGTTGCGTGCCGATGAGCTGCAGGATGGCCCTCTGAAACCCCCCAGTGAGACAACGACACCATCTGCAGAACATGTCGATCCTTTTCGGCCACCCAAGGAGACTACCACCTCGGCTGTGACGACTGTATCTGCGTCGCCGGAATTATCAAAACCAGAGATCAAAGAACCCGCCTCTTCTACATTACCCCGGCCGCAAGCCTCCACCACACCACAGCAACGACGTCTCAGCAACCTTTTCCAACCACCTTCTAAAGTTCTCGGGGCTGCAAATGATGCTGTGCGCACCACTGCAGACCAAAGCTTGAAGAACATTGGTGCTACCTTGGACAGCAGTTTCAACTTTCTGTTTGGTCGTCTGAAGGAAATGCAAAACGTCCAAGGACCTGGCCCGGACGGTAGCGAACCAATACTGCCAAAGACATTGGCCGAAGCTCGCCGTCTGGTGAGCTTGCCGCTTGCATCTGCAACCAACCAAAACCTGACCCAAGGGGAGCTCGCAGCGATCAATTCTGTTTCCGTGGATGAAAGCACACCCCCACGCAGTAGTTCGAGACTCACAGACCTCTCCAGCGGCCCTGCCCCTCGAGACCGGAGTGTGGATAGCACCCGAACCCAAGGGAGCGGTAAAAAGTCCATCACGGCATCACTGCGCGAAGATTTTGCATCGAGTTCACCCATCAGTCCCACGCCGTTAGAATCAATGCGAAACTTCGGCAACACGCTCAACCCTCTGAACCACATCCCGGGCATGATGAAGAACTTTGGCCGCAACGCACCGGAAACTCCCAGCGGCAGGTCTGTATCTCCATCGGGACTGGACAGACTCAAGCCATCACCTGCCTCGACAGACGGCGCTAGTGGTACTGTCAGCCCGCTCCCCAACCCTTCCTTGAAAATTGATCCTCCGATCCAGCGCTTCCTTGAGACACAGGATGCATCCGATCTCCGCATTGGGGATATAGCTGTTCTACTGGAGGACTATAAGAGACTCGCTGCCGCGCTTTATAAACCCGGTGCCGAGGCTCGATAAGTTTCCAAGGTTCTATTACATTATTAGTCTCATCTCTCTCTCAATGATTGCAGTGGGAGATGGGGTATTCTTGCATTATGGATCCATGGCGTTATTATATCTGGTATTCCATTTCATTTGGGCGAATAAACCATGGGTTAGATAGCATAGCTTTGGCGAGTGAGCTACACATTGTCCATATCATACATCATTTTAGCAGGGAAAAAACAAATTCAGACCAACATATGAATGCGAACTTGATAAACCCCCACCTATGACCCCAGGAAATAAACAATAGCAACAAGAAACTCGAAAGCGTAAAAGGGGTATTGAACATGAATAAATCAAGTCCCGCTGTGGGTAATTTGGGGCATAAAACGATCATCTCAAACAACATAAGGGTCAATGAAAAGCCAGGCTGAGCAAAAGAACTATTCCTCACTCATGAGTGGCGTCCACGCAGAACCTCTGCACCGCCCGTTCTCATCTCAGTCAATTTATTCGTCAACTCCGAACTTTGCGTTTCAACTTGGTCATGGCGGCGCTTGACTTCGCCTTCAAACACAGCAGCTGTGCGGCGGCGGGCACGCCGTAGGTTCTTCATTTCTGAAAGAAGATGAGTGAAACGCTCGATCATTTGATCTCCGCAGTCTTCCCATTCATCCATACTCATGTGGGACAAGTAATTCTGGCGTTCTTGGTCTGTCAGGGTCAACAGGTGGGAGACGGCATTCTTGGGCTCCTGAGGGTCCGGGACAAAAGGTGGTGGATTTGGTGGCAACGAAGGTGATTTGGCGATTGGTGGAGGAGGGGTGGGTGATTTGTCAAAGGGCTCAGCCTGGAGCTCGGAAAAAGACTTTTGGTAGAGCACTTCCGGTGGGTAATCTGCTTCAAGTGATCGCTTTTTGGAACGGATGGCAGTGTTGCGGCGGCTACGATGCGGCGGCTCTTGTGGTTCGTGGGAATCTTGCACAAAGAACGGATCTTGGATGGTGTGATCAACGTCTAGGTCGGTCAAACTGGTCATATCAAAGGCATTGATTGAATGCCCGCCGCTTTCCCGTCGTCCATCCGCCCGTATGGTGCGGTCCATGCCATCGTCGCTTCCACCGTCACTGTCAGTATGTTCCTGGAACGATGTAATGCTGAGTGTCCGGCCAACATCTGGCGGAGGTTGAGAGTTATGGCGAGTAGGTGATGCATCGAGTTGTTGGTCGAGTTGTTCAAGGAGCGAAGGCTTTGGAGGACTGAAACGTGTCCTGGGTGTTGCTGACGTGGTGTGAGGGAGAACAATTTTCCTGGGCCCCGTAGGAGGAAGCATTTGACCTAATTTCCGCGGCTTAGACTTGGGTTGTGGTTGAGTCTGAGGCTCGGGGTCAGAGTCTACATTGAGAGGCTGTCGCGAAGAAGTTCTCTTTCTGCTGGCAGACCAGAAATTCTCCAGGCGCTTGCTCAATGGTTCCTCGGTCGTACGCGGTTTGTGCGACACATTCCAGTTGTGTGCTTCGTCGGGCTTTTCATTATCCCCGCCATCTCCGCCAAGAGACGAAGTAATTTGGCTTCCAAAGTCATCGAAGTCATCCGAATCAAACCCGGCCTTCTTCATAGCTTGGTCTCCCAGGCCTTCATACCAGTTAGACCCGTAAGTATGCCGTGAAGGCTGCGGCTGGTACATTGATTGTGGATCCGGGTTGGTGTAGGCAGCATTGGTACTTGACGCTGCCTGAGATTTGTTGTCATCAAATCCGTAGACACTAGTCCCTGCCACAGTTGAATCATCGATCGCCTCCACGTCTGTATCAAACACGCTCTCCTGCTGCATCCCATGCGTAGGGAGACTGCGGGGCTGATTTGGGAATTGAGATGCACCACGAAATTCTAGCGAGCCAACCCTACCATTGGCACCAGTGGGGACTGGGTCGACTAGCTGGGTGACAGGTACCTCGACTCTGGCTTGTTCTGCACGTTGCTGGCGCGACTGGGTGGCTTGGTCGGGGGCTCCGCGAGCCTGCCCACCTTCTTTGGAGTGGACATAATCGCCAACCCCCCATGATATTGTGAACCTGGCTATCGTAGGGGAAATGAATAAAAGTGTTCTCTTTTTTTTATGACGCTGGAAAACGGCAGGATCAGTCACACGGTAAGGTTGTTGGGCAAACGCGATATCGCCGCGTAGTCACGTGCCGATTATTTCAAACGACTTCGAGGCCGCCACGATAGTATGGGGCCTTGGAGCGGCGTTGTTTCCCGGAATAAATGCTAAAAGACCTTTGGCTTGTGTGTTCGCATAGATTGTGAATACTGTGACCACACTAGGCTACGTATATGTAATTCTTCATCTGGGCATTATATACAACTATGTAACTATGCAACAAACTCTACTAGTTATACTGGGTGGGAGAGGGTTTAGTTATAACAAGTTGCAATGCATTGGGGGTATATTGGATAAAAATTTACATGACAAATTCCATGGGAAAAGACATCGAGATCATCTCAACAAGGACCTCAATCAGCAGAGTCATCATCAATATGAAGACTCTCCATATTGTATGCGACACTCCTGCCTCGTTTCTTGGCCTTCTCGAAGAGCTCAATCGACCTTTGGACTTCGGCTGCTTTCTTTTCAGTTGCCAGCCTGTACTCACGTCTCGCTTCAAGGGAGCTGAGGGTTCCATCCATGAGCATCCTGTCAGGGTCGTCGTTCTCTTCAAAGTCCACAGGTAATGATAGCGCAGATAGTAACAGATCACCGATCCACAAACAGATCATGCCTCTGAGCTCCAGCAATTCAGGAGAGTCGGAGTATGGAGGAGATCCCAGGAGCTGGTCCATACGCGCAGCAATCTGCTGCGCCTTTTCCAATTCCAATGCCCTGGTTGCTGTGATGGCAGCATCTGTCTTGTTTTGTGACTTCCGACGGTGGCCAAATTCAGATTCTGAGTTTTCGTCCTCAGAAAACTCCTCAGGCTCTTCTTCTTGGCGAAGAGTAACATTTTTCCTAGTCACCTTGCTTTCTTCCTGAGTGATATACACCCAAAGCCCAAACATCGCAGGGTAGAAGTGTAAAGAGGAAATAGACTGTGGCGAAGATTTCGTGAACGGATGGTTGAGAATAAGGCGCTCATAATATTCTTTGGCTGCTGCAAAACCCTTGGTGGTAAAATTTATGGGTGTGCTTTCCATCGGATTCGGCACCTTGGTGGTACCAGGATTGGCTGAGTTTTTCTGTTCGTCACGCCGCAGCAAGATTTCAGCACCAATGCCCCACCTTGCTTCGTTGCGGACGTCCATCCGAAAGCCTCTGTAATCTTCGCGCAAGATCAAGCCCCAGGCTCGTCCAGCTCGGACATAATCACCTTGGAGCATACATCGATGTAAGATCGCCGTCAATGCACCCAGATGTTGGAAGCGAATGTTGCCTTGCTGGGCCGACTGAGGAGGATAGATTGGAGGCGATAATGCCGCCAAGTCTTTGAGGTGACGTGAGGTAGTCTCTCTTCTCAATTGCTCCTCCTTATCTGCTTCATGGGGAAAATGGCCTTTCGGCAATTCTTGGTGGAATGGGAAACCAGCAATTCGGTACTGATGGGATTCATTCGGCGTCAATACTAAGGGATGCCCAGCGGGCTCAGATTCCGTAGCTGAGGTGATATCAGTCGTTTCTTCGCCATCCAGATCGCTTTCACTCCACCCGACACTCTTTTTGCGTTTCCGGCGGTCATATTGAGATACGCGAGTGCTAGGCGGGTGGAGCCAAGGCGGTAATGGCAGAGAAAAAACCGAAGACGACGGCGCAGCCATATGCCCAAGATGGGGCGTATTCCATGCGCCCAAAGAAATTTAGAGCCGTAGCAAGTCTGTACTAGGGCCTAGGCTATGATTGCCCCAATTGATGGTTTGCGCATTTGTCAGAAGACGGGGTGGTGGAACCTTGGAACATGACGGAATGAAGACATGGTGCCTCAGGCATCAAAGTCGAAGCAAACGAGGCAAACATCATCACTTATCGTCCTTCTATCAATTGCTTGCTTTGATATGACTCCTCTACTCCTCCTTTTCCTTTTCCTCTAGTTCCCCCTTTTCATTTTGCCCAGCGCTCTTTTACCTCCTTTTGTTTTTGCTACTTGCTGGCTGTTCTTTTTCGAGCGTGGTTACCATAGATTCCCGAGATTCAAGGCTCGGCGGTTATACCACTCGGAGTGTGGGCTGTGCCTGGACTCGTCAGACAGTTTGAGACCTCTGGCCGCTGTTGCTCGTATTGGGCAGTGAAATTGTCTTACACGTTTTGTACCTGTCGCAAATAACCCGGTAACCGCCAACTCCCTGTCCGCTCTCCACTCCTTTGTTCCAAAGCTCCGGCACATACGGCTTCTCCAGAACCAATACCCGAGAATCAACTGCATCGACCTTTTCAGCTTGAGCAAGAAGTCAACACCTGTTTCATATATCACTCAGGTACTTTTACTTGTCATATCCATCTCATAGGTTCAACCAAAGATCGATACGGTCGCCGCTACCAGCCATATGGTTCTCGCGTGGCGATGAATAGTCGTTGACACTCTGCATCACTCCGACGGTCACAAATCTGTTATTATGGGACAGTCCTCTTCTACGCAACGTGATCCATCCAACTCTGGCTACCCGACACACCTCGCACCTTTCCCGACACAGCGTGGCCCTAACACAAGGGATGAAAACATGAATCATAGACAGGCGGCTGAACACAACGGAGAGAGCGGTTTGCCACCCCGGACAGAAATGAACACACACACCGGGGGCGACCAAGATATGGCATCCGATCGGCCAAGCTGGTCCCCCCCAGGGCTCGCAACCCATGCGGAGCATCGAAGAGGAGGGCGCGCCCGAATATGAACTCCCACCTCGCGAGTACCGCACTGCGGCATTTGCTCGAATGGCAGCACGAAGACAATCGACCATGTCAAGGCTGGGATCTAGGCTTCTTCCAAATTCAGTCATTCGTGGACTTCTCAACAGTCAAGAAGAGACTCCGGCGGAAGGACATGCACATCGACATGGCCTAGTTCCTATGCCCATCCCAAGATCCGAGACTGCCCACACATCCGGTCGGTTTAGTGCGTTCAATTCACTTAGCTCTAGAGGAATTACTCGACGCAGATCTGCTCGTGCGCCATATTTTATTCCACCCCGCGCGGAGTCTGTTGGAATTCCAGATGCACCAGCAAACCCGCCATTCATCGACTCTCCCTCTCAAATACCCGAGCCCACAAGAGCATCCTGGCGCCGTAGTGTCAGGCTACAACGCATGCGCCATTCGATTTCATCTCCCATTTCTCACATGTTCGGCCAGCCACACTCGGATTTGCGGCCGCACGGAAGCCCGGAATTACAAATGTCAGATCCCTTATTTGATGATAGGGCTATGGACACGCGTCTGGACTTCGGCGAGCCCCCTCACGAACTGGATTCGGTAGAGCCAGCCATCCAGGCTGGGAGACCAGCAACTGCTTCATCTTCCACCCAGCCAAGTCCTGCTTTGATGCGCCGGTTGCCCGGGATTATCCGAGCAAGATCATCCAGGGTCCTGCGACGAGAGGAGCAAACACCTCTGTCAAGGGTTCTTCAGCTTGCCGCATCCGCAATTGCAGCTCAGTTATCCGGCACTGCCGGTCCAGCGTTGCCTGATATCCAGGCATTGGGCAATGACGGGTTAGATGGCTCTTTGGAGAACTTCATCCAGAGTTTGCAGCATGCAACTTCTACACAGGCTCAGCCGCATACAACAGGAGAAGGGCCGAGCGATACTGCAAACGAAGCACCCTCACATCCTGTCAATTTCTTGCGTGTATTCCGATTTGCCAATTCAGAATCTCCAGCAGGCCCAGGCGCTTCAGGACAGAGCGCGAATGGTATCGGCGAACGTGGGACCCAAACGGATGGAATGGACATTGACGAGCCTGCCGAAGGTGAAGGACGAACTGTTACACTGGTCGTTGTTGGAGTTCGGTCCGTGCCGGCTGGAAACGGAGGTCATAATGAGCACCAACATCCTCCAAGTCCGGGGCCCGGTCTAGATGCCCTGCTCGGGCTACCATTTTTGCCACCTAATACTATCCCACGGCCCCAAGATGCCACTGGTGAACCTAGCCAACGAGGCGATGTGCGATCTAGATTGAATCTTCCTCGACAGCCAGGCCATGCAGGAGTACACGCCCCGGCCGGAACTACAGAATTTCCACGCCCGTCAGTCCCCAATGCCTTTAGAAGAATGTCTGACACCGGGCCCCGTGCTGCATTCCCATCCTATCATCCTTCTGGTTTCTCCGAAAGCCCCCCCGGGACCGCACCCACCTCCATCAACCCCAGCTGAACAGGGGTTGTCTGCTTTATCCTCCGGCACTTCGACTCCGAGCCGTAGACCATCCTCTGCTTCAGCAATTGCTCCAGATACTCTACCCCATCTCCATGAAGGCCGGGAAATGCAACCGACGGCTGAGACTTTGGAAGAGCCCGCGACATTGAATACCGCTCGTCAGCGACGCCGAAGCGATTCTGAGTATGCTCGTCATCGGGCCCTCGGCTCTGGCGCTGTTCGACGCAATGGCATGGTTGAGCCCGATCAACCTCCACCAAGCGGAGGTCGCAGTTGGTTAATCTATGTTGTTGGAACCAACCTCTCCGAAAATCACCCGGCTTTGACCACACCAAGCCTTTTCACCGATGTAAGAATTCCCTACTGGTCTTTGTCAGGAACCTGGTTGCTAATATTTAAACAGAACCCAACCTACGAGGATATGATCCTACTCTCATCACTGTTGGGTCCAGCCAAACCCCCCCGTCGCCTCCCAAACCGACGTCAACTCCGCCGGCGGACTATTCCGTCTTGTCGAATATGCAGGTTCATTGGTCGCCGAAGCCGTGGAAGGCGCTGGTACCATTCAAATTCAAGACGGGGAGCGTTGTTTGATCTGCTTGAGTGATTATGAAGTGGCCGAGGAAGTTCGAGAGCTGGGTAAATGCAAGCATGTCTTCCACAAGGACTGCATAGACCAGGTTTGTTACCCTTTGCCCACTTTACTTGGATCTGTTCGATTTGCTGACCGTTACGTCGCAGTGGTTAACCACCGGGAGAAACTCTTGTCCTCTTTGCCGAGGTCAGGGTGTCAACGAAACCCCCAGAAACGACTCCAACACCCAAAACTCGCCGCCCAATCCTGCATCTGCACCTGCACCTGCTCCTGGTCTAGATGGCACAGCCGTATGATCCCTTCTGCCTCCTAGCAAGCATGGTCAAAACCAGCCATGTGAGCAACCCCCAAGTTTGACTTTTGAATTCTTCTCCCTTTTAGCTTTAGCATGCAGCGTGTGCTTAGAAACCTTAACGATTTTTTCCATGGATATCCCCTTTGCATTTCATTGCTGTGCATCGACTTTGGGTGCTTTTATCATGTTGGGTTATTGAATATTTGTTCTCGAAGCCTAGAAACAAGGAACTCTCGTCTTGGAAGACGACTCAAGGCTTTGAGTCCCGGGAATGTTAGTCTTTTCGTCTATTAATTCTTGGTTTTCGTTTGTTCGGTGTGTTGTAGATTTACACTCTAGCCGCTCATGGCTCTATCTGGCCAGGAAATGTTTCACATATTGAGATAATTGTACAAACAACATAATGCTATACAGCCAGCCTTAAAGATAATTTCGTTATTATGATTATTGCTTCTTGATGTTTCCCGTATACATAGTAGTATCTCATCTACAGTCCTCTCCCAAGGCCGGTGCTGCCCCGCGACTTAGGTAATCCAAAAAATCACCCAACTCTATTGCCCGCAGATTGGCTTGCAGTGATCTTGTGCTATTTCGTTTGTTTCTAAGCTGCAGAGGAGCATCTGCAGTCTCGCTATCAGAAGCAATACTCAATTGACCTCACCGCAATCGAAGAAAGGTTCAACCGTGTATCCTACCCTTTCAACCTCCGAAGTCTGCAATTTCACGAAAACCCCCACCATACAACCCACCAGAGACCTATAATCCACCATGACCTCCCCAATTCGCGTCACAGTCCTCATCTCTGGCAATGGCTCAAACCTACAAGCTGTGATCGACAAAGTGGCTGCAGGTCAGTTAAACGCAACAATCGTCCGCGTAATCTCCAACCGCAAGACCGCATTCGGCCTCGAGCGTGCAAGCAAGGCCAACATCCCAACCGAATACCACAACCTTGTCAAGTACAAGAAGCAGCAACCCGCGACGCCGGAGGGTGTTCAAGCTGCGCGCGAGGAATACGATGCTGAGCTCGCGAGGCTGATCCTTGCCGACGCGCCGGAGCTAGTTGTGTGTCTCGGCTTCATGCACATTCTCTCGCCGCAGTTCTTGGAGCCTCTCGAGGCAGCTAAGACGAGGATTATTAACTTGCATCCCGCCTTGCCGGGGGCGTTCAATGGCGTTGTAAGTCACAGAGTTCCTTTTTTGGGATTGTGTCTTGTTAGCTAGGATGATATGCTGATATGTCTTTTTCTGATCATTAGAATGCGATTGAGCGTGCTCATGCTGCGTGGTTGGAGGGCCAAATTGACAAGACCGGTGTTATGATGCACGATGTCATTTCTGAGGTGGATATGGGCACACCAATTCTGGTGCGGGAGATCCCTTTCCGAAAGGGCCAGGACGAGAACCTCGAGGCCTTTGAAACTCGGGTCCATGAAACCGAGTGGGGAGTTGTTGTTGAAGGAGTGGATAAAGTGTTGAAGGAATTGATGGCCCAGAAACAAAAAGCCTGAAGTGCATGAATACCCAGTTGTCTTGGATGGCATAATTCCGCATAGTGGACGAAGGGACGCCGCGGTTCTCGATCTGCACTTGTTTTGACAAATGATCGACCCAGGACTACAAATCCCGAATGATGCCATCGTCGGGGCTGTTGACGATTTATGACTATATACTCCGTATATTTTGTATGATTGCAGCAAACAAAAACCACACATATGATCATATCGCATGCTCGTGTACATTTCACGCGCTTTGCCGCCCAACTTGGAGATCAGAGCCGCGGCCGGCATGGGTTGAGAGACCAGACCAAGACTTCCGCCAGAGAGAAGCCATGAACGTGCCAAGACTACTGGTCCAACATTCAGACATACTTTGTACCCATGTGGGCAATCATATCTGTCTCATGGTAATTATAGTGGAAATGAAAAACGGAGGATCCTAGCTCAAATGGCCCCGCAAGCAGAACTGGATATGAAATTGCAAGCATTTCACCGGTCGAATTCTCATCACATGCTAGACCAGCACGGCTGATTTAGCTGCACTTTAGCCCTTCCCTCTCCAATAAGGGAACCACATACATATGTGGGTATCTTCCAGGATTCCATTCCTGAGACATGGGTCACGCGACACACATGTATGGCCTCCCCTTGTCTATGTAGGACAGACTGCAAACCTCAGCTCAGGCAAGTAATCTACAACATAGAGAGAACTTCGAAAGCCGAGGGAAAATCATAGCGAAGGAGGAAAGGGGCCCTGCAGTGCAACCCAAACCAGAAAGTGGGCAATCAGAGCGTTGCACCGCTAAACTGACCGTTGGGCCTATGATCGTGGCGTAAACGTGAGAGATCACGGCCAATTCCCAACGTCCTGCTTCTCTGATGGCTCCACCATTCCCCTTTTCCTCGGATGTTGGGCTTGATGGTGGATTATGTGGGTTGCTTATGGTCCCCAAATTCACCGGCGTCAACTCAATTAGATGTGGTGTCCCGTCATTTGAGATCGGCGAATAGCATACAACATAATTATATTGGGTGCGGACTGGGATCTGTCTTGGCCCAGTTTGAGAGCTCTGGTAGTGTTGTTTGCTTGTTTCTTGAGTTTTGATAGATCACAACTGAACCATTGCACAACGTATAACGTATAATTCAAAGGCTAGTAGGTATATAGCAACATCATTACTTGACATCATTTTACATTGGAAGTCGGGGTAATAAGCTCCGACTGCCGAGAATGGAACGGGCCTTTTGGTCTGTATAAATTCTCATTGCAGCCACTTTATATCCACCTACTAGTGGCCAATCCAGAACCAGGGCTATCATAAAAGGGAAAAAGCCACAATTCTGTGTGAGTACTTTGTACTTTGCACATATTAAACCGCTGTGATAGCCAATAGAAGACTTGGATTGTAAGCTCCCGGGCCGATATGATTTTCCACGTTTCCGCCAGATTAAGGACACACTTTTCTTCGTGGCGCACAATATAAACCGATAATTCAATCATCTCTATTATAGAGTATATTATAGAGTACTCTCTATTGAAGACCAAAGCAACAGGACTAAAAAGATAGAAAGCGTTAGAAGTATAAAACTCCGTCATGTTCGCACCTTGCAAGTCACTATATGATCTCCATCGAGTTCCACCAGGAAACCACGTTTTGCCTGCTGATCTCACTGTCAGCGGTCCCTGGAACCTTGTTGCTCTCAAAATGATACCGAATCGGGCATAGTGGCAAAGGGGTGGGGACGTAGATATTTACCTAGGTAACTTCTACCAGGATCTATGTATGTTGTATGCTGTATATTATATGACAATTTCACAGATATGTATTACCTAGATCAGCTTGATGCATGATGTACAGTATTTCGTACAGAGGATATGTAAGGAAGTTGCGAGCCAAGAATAGTCAAAAAGAAAGCCAAACAGAAAATTCCTCTTACGGAGCCTCACACTCACATGGGTGTCATGGAGGTCCCCTAGCGTGGTCTTAGCCCGGATTATCTCTCACCCACAGATGAAATGCTCGTGCACGGCCCAGATATTTAGGGGATGAATGTGGCCAGAGCTTTGCAACCCTGGAATATCGGTATTGTCTATCATTTTCGGCCGTTTGATGGGGTTGCAATCTACATCGTGCATACCCATACAATTACTATTCCGCCCCATTACCCCTATATTTCCATACTTGAACTAATATTGCAAATCACAGTAGGGATTATGAAGCGTCCTAGACTGATTTTCAGCTGAATTGAGATACTTGAGCCGATATTGAAGTCGACCCAAGGGTTCGAAGAGCGTGAGTGTTTTTTTCTTTCTCTTTCGATCTACTAGGCCCACCCTCTCTGTTAACGCATCGTCGATCAGTCAAAGTGCCGGTTGAAAATCCCCGGACATATCTTAGCCCGAATTGGGAAGTCAAACGAGGCGGAAATGGCGAAGTAACAGCTTACGGCTGCATTTTGCGCGGTACTCAGACTAGAACCAGTTAGGAAAATGAAAAGACAACGAAAATCCCCCCCACATTTAGCAGGCAGACCCATGAATCCTAGTGCAGACTATTGCTTCTTCAATCCTCGAATGAGAGTCTCCAGACTCCCACAATCTCCTCTAGCCGCCTCCACTTCGAACCGATCTCCGTCAACAGAACGTTTTCGGCATTTTTTGCTATTTGCGTGCTCAAGGTTTCAGAATTGCCGAGTCTAACCTTTTTTTTTAATTGCGGGACTCGCCGTCAAACATAATTTATGTACATACTCCGTATGGAGGACAAGTTATGAAGTCTGATCTTGTCGGAGCTTAACGCATAATCGAGTCATTCAGGACCCTTGTTGCTTTTGCCTTCGATCCACTGGCAATATGCAAGGGCAAAAAAAAAAAGGCATCGACAAAAATCCCCGGGGTTCCGTCTCCTCCGTCTCCTATAAAAAAAAGCTAGAAAATTTAGGACACAAATATACCAGTCACTGGCTTATCTCCCCTACAACATATTATTACCATAAACCGAAAATGGCTCGGGGAACCGGAACAGATGCATAGACGCTATGAATCATGATCCTCTGCATATTAGAGCCAGCCAAGCCCTAAGACTGTATCCCCGTGGCTTGGGATCGTCGTTCTCGCCCCCCCTTTTCTTTTCTCTCTTTTTTCCCCTCTGTCATTTTTCTGATACGCCGAGATCCGAATTTCGTCCGTGGAGATCTGCCTTGTGTTCTGCTCTTGACTAAAATGATGTTCAAGGTGTTCCTGATCTCCGTTGAACAGGGGCTAGGACAGTAATGGTGTACGGAGTACAAAATACGGAGTACTCCGTAGAGAGAACTCGTACAAAATCGGTGTATTCAGAAGCAAGTATCACTTGGAATTTTTGTATAGGTCCAAGGGGAATGGAATAATTAGAATGAATGTCTAAAAAACTGACTGTATATAACCTTGAAGGGCAATGCCTACTATGTTGTATAGACCAAGCCCCATATGTGGCGCCAAAGAAATAGGTTTTGATTTAGC